AAAACCTTTGCATATTTGGGGTTAATTATCATTGGGCAACAAAAGTCAATATCTCAATAGATGTGGCTAAGCAACCACAAGGAAATTATGTTCACTGAAACTTTTCCAAGATGCCGATGGCGGTTTGGGTGAAATTTTTATTTCACTGAAATTGCCAATAGTTTAAACATGTATAAATAGTTGTTATGCAGATAACTAGCTCTGAATGACCTCCATAAATCTGATCAACTAGTGCCATCCATTGCTTTTCATAAGATGTTGCAAATGTCCTACAATCACTAAGAAACTCCAGTGTACTAGCAATTAAGTTTATGTTCCATTCTACTTCTTTCAACTCAGGAGAGTGAACAGTAAGCTCAAGTCTCATTAATCCTTCATTCCTGCAAGCAACAAGTGTTTCACCAAATTGCTGAGAAGTTGGCATCACTAGCTCTGATAGCTTAGAAGTAAGTTGATTACGAACCTCACCACTTTCTAGAAGTTGAACAAATTTATTATACAACTTGTTCCTAATTTTTATTTCATCTTCATCAGTAAACCAGCTAATACAGTTTGCTCCAACTTTATCTTCATCATCAAGAATATCATTGCTACTGATTTCATTATCAAGAAGAAATTCCTTAATCACAGCCCTAGAAGATATGTTTAAACAATCCATTGTAATATCATAGTTCAGAAGAAATACATGTTCCTGATGCATCCTAAGAAAGATATCAGTTAGTGCAGGATCAGCTATTGCAACATTTGGAGCAGATACTTTGTAAACAGAGACTTTACCATTTCTTGCACTTGTCATGCACTTCATATACTTAAATCTGTATCCATCACCAAAAACTCTATGCAATCTAACAAATGGAGTAATATTGTTAATCTGATCTATAAGAGCATATGATTCAGGTATCTCAACAACACATGAATCCATAAAGATATCAGATTGCTGAACAAATCCTTGTTGTTCAATGCCATTACTAGTATATCTTGCATCAGATATATCAGGCATATTATCTCTATTCTTCAACTGAAGTCCCAAAAGGGAGTTAAGATGTACTGCCAAGGAGGCCATTCACAAATATAAATAGTTAAAGAAACTAAATAACTATTATCAGAATAACCAATTAACAAATAAGAAATCAATTACTAGCAGTAGATAAATATTTTAAAATACAGAATGTTTAGTAGTGGCCAAAAAGATTCTAGCAACTAGATTAACAAATAAACAAAGATGCCAAATATGGTGCTTCTACGAAACCCCCTTCGGCATCCTGAAAAATTTCAGTTGATACACAATTAATATGCTTCTACTGAGATAGAGGCTGCATCCGAGAAATCAACTGAAATTTTTCAGGATGCCGAAGGGGGTTTCGGAGAAGCACCATATTTGGCATCTTTGTTTATTTGTTAATCTAGTTGCTAGAATCTTTTTGGCCACTACTAAACATTCTGTATTTTAATATATTTATCTATTGCTAGTAATTGATTTCTTATTTGTTAATTGGTTATTCTGATAATAGATATTTAGTTTCTTTAAACTTTTATATTTGTGAATGGCCTCCTTTTCCAAGATGCCGATGGTGGTTTGGGTGAAATTTTTATTTCACTGAAATTGCCAATAGTTCCAGCATGCATAAATAGTTAATGGGCAGATAAGTATCTCTGTATAACCCCTGTGTACCAACTGAAATTTTTCAGGATGCAGAAGGGGTTTCATATAAGCACCATATTTGGCATCTTTGTTTATTTATTAATCTAGTTGCTAGAATCTTTTTGGCCACTGCTAAATATTCTGTATTTTAAAATATTTATCTATTACTAGTAATTGATTTCCTATTTGTTAATTGGTTATTCTGATAATAGATATTTAGTTTCTTTAAACATTTATATTTGTGAATGGCCTCCTATACATTCCTGAGCCTGGAGCTCTGCTAGTGCTGTGGACCAATGCATCAGAGCTTGGTATGGGAGCAGTATTGCTGGTACATTTAGGGGGTTATACAGAGATACTTATCTGCCCATTAACTATTTATGCATGCTGGAACTATTGGCAATTTCAGTGAAATAAAAATTTCACCCAAACTGCCATCGGCATCTTGGAAAAGTTTCAGTGAACATAATTTCCTTGTGGTTGCTTAGCCACATCTATTGAGATATTGACTTTTGTTGCCAATGATAATTAACCCCAAATATGCAAAGGTTTTTCTTTCTGGTTGAAATTATGTTCACTGAAACTTTTCCAAGATGCCGATGGCGGTTTGGGTGAAATGGCAAAAAAAAATATTTATATTTTTAAAATCAATTATACACACAAAAACATTCTGGACACAACAATTATGAATATCTGTTCCAAAAATATCTAGTAGCTAAAAATAGTTCTGAAAACGATTATTCAAATATCTATCTAACAAAATTGTAATTTACTAAAATTTACAAGTCCAGGAATGACCCCATATCCTCTGATAAAGATGATTTGGCACCTATAGCATTATTCTCTAAGTAGTTTGATGGACTGAAAGGTCAGCGATCCCCCTGGATAGCAAGAATGCACAGCCATTGTAGAAGTGGTGAAGTACTTTTACCTATATCTTGATAGATATGCCAACCTGCAGATTCAGACAGATGCTACTACCACACATACCATATTCCAACACAAGAGAGAGAGCGATGCAGATAATCTCTCAAACTTCAAGATGGAGCTGTCCAGCATGGGCATTACAAACTGAGTGATGGAGCATCTGCTAGGTATTAAGCAACAAATAGCAGATTGGCTGTCACATGATATTGCACCTTTGGTTGGCAAAAATAACCAGAAAATTATTGAACCAGTTCACTATATCTTTGGCACCATTCGAACAGACACTGATGATGAAGGGTCAAGTTCAGATAGCAAGGTTGAGGATGTCAAATTCTCAGTTGATGACTATGAAAACAAGATGTCTGACGATGACAGCAGGAACATGCCACAAGCCAACACACAAAGCATGCAGCAGGACAACGATGATGACAATGATGATGACGATGATGTGCAGCATACTATAGGTGCACAGCTGGATGAAGAAGAGCTTGGCACCAGAATGGAGCACATGTATATGGCACTTCCTTGATCTGCCTATATCCATCAGAATATCTCGAGTGCCAGCACACTGACAATTTCCTCCTTATGATCTGGTGTATATGTGAAGAGTGAACACAAGTAGGCATGGATGCAGACCAGCTGCATTTGGAGGAAGCAGCTGATTATCGAACTCCAAAATGGAGTACTTGTCCATTTTTGTTGAGCTCAGAAGTCTACATGGTACTGATCTATGGGCACCAGTACTTAAAAATCTGCAGCTCATGAGTACATAGCTGCGGCACACATGGCATTGGCACATCCACGGTATAAGCAGCTCTATGGGTTTGTACGCCAATGGATATAGTACCACCAGTTATCCAAATTGGTCAATGATGTAACCAAATGCTGTACCGAATGCCAGATGACAGCAATTCAGCAACGGCCTAGTATGATAATGGTGCCTTCGCAGATGCCAACTCTATGGGAACAAGTCTACATCGATCTTCTTACAGTTGGTCCAACTGACAACCCTGAACATGAAGCATTGGTCATTTTTGATGCTGCAAGTATGTATTTTAAAGTCTATCTGATGACAAATACTACTGCAGGTGATGTCATCGATGTGCTCATTATGAATTGGTTCCAGGCATATGGCCGACCCCGGATTTTGACCTCAGATCATGGGCCCCAGTTCAACTGTGTTGAATTCTGCAACTTCTTGCAGAGTAACAACATTGCATGGAACCCATCGTCGACATACCATCCACAAGCTAATATTGCTGAAACTGCAGTAAAATGCTTCAAAAATGCCCTGAGGACTGCTCTTGCTGCAGCATCTGCATAAGAATTCATGGATGCATCATGCAGCCTGAATCGTAGCTGCGAATGCTGTCACCCCTAACAGTACAATTGGATGTACTCCAGCTGAGCTGTTCTTTGGCGAATGAAATCAGCACACAATTAACGAGCTGGTTGATAATCCTTACCAGCGAGCATGTCAGCAGCAACAGCACATATGGCAACAAGCAAGACTGTATGCGAATGCCATTGTAGCACTGCACTATTTCTTACCCAGTGAGCTGATGACCACCCATGCTCACCCAATCGCACACAACATTGCTCAAGCACCAGAACGCCAACGCGGTCCATACAAAGTAGTCCAGAGAATAGGCATGGTCTATAAGCTCTGTGACAGGCATGAAAACGTGCTTGCAAAGAACTTTGCTGGCACTGACTTGATGCTGATACTGGGAAGACGACGATGGTGAATGGTGACAGACCAATACATCAAGCAGACCCGGATCACCAGGAGCACCAGGAGCACCAGGAGGACCCGGTAGCTCCTTTGGATCATCCAGATCAAGAAGAGGGCCGCCTAGTTCGCCAGCAGACAGTGGATCAGGGTTGAGACCTAAGCAGTCAAGGCCTGACTCACTGGACGCCAACACATCATGTGCTAGCTGCAAACGAGACGATGAATTTGGATGACATGCAGGCAGAAGCAATAGTACCAGTGACAGCCGAAATGTCCGAACCAATGGATAGCGCACTGAATAGCCAAGAAGTGCCTAACATTGAGGCTGAGCATTATTCTGCATGCTCAAGACCGAATGCATTGACCGAAACGGAGCGCCATAGACCAGTAACATGGTCATTGTCTCACGAAACAATCACGCCCCCAGATTATAACCCAGATCGGCATCGGGACGTTTACAGATGGGTTCGTGAAGGCCAGACCAGATCGTGGACTTACAGTTGATCCCATTGCTGAACCTGACTCAATACTCGAGGGTCATCCCAACATCTCCCCGGGTATTAGTACGCTGGACGAGTATGGTATCAACAAAGTTCCAGGATATGCAAGTCTGTCGGCGATGTACGAACGTGACGGCGAACAAGTAAACCTTGAAGAACCGATGACAAACAAGGATAGCGCTGAGAGCAGCCCTAGCTGCAATTGTGGCTCTGTATTGAATCGTGCTAATTTTAAGAAAACTGCTTGGCATCTTGGGCTCGCTTGGCAGCATCGGCAAGATATTCAAACTCGCCGGACTTTTCACACATGCTCCGGAAGATACTGCCTTGTCTGTTGAGCAAGTTGGCTGGAGTGTCAAACTCGGCAACCTTGCCCTTGTCCAGTACCAGCACGCGGTCATAGTCGATGATGGTGCGCAGCCGGTGAGCAATGCAGAACAGGGTCGAGTCGGCAAACTCGGAGCCACGGATCGTGCGCTGGATACGGTCATCGGTATCGAAATCGACCGACGCCGTTGCCTCGTCCATGATGATCAGTCGCGACCGGCGGACCAGAGCGCGAGCCAGCGCCACCAGCTGACGCTGACCCAGCGACAGGTTCTGGCCATTCTCCTTGATCTCGGCCTCCAGGCTAGTGAATATGCCCGACATGCGCTCCAGCGAGCTGTCGATGGCATTGCCTTCAAACACGCTGATTGCGGTGCTGGCGGTCTGGCTGCCACGCTCGCGCACCAGATGCGCACGGTGCAGCGCATCCCACACAATCTCATCGGGGTACTCGCTGAACGGGTCAAGGTTGAAGCGAATAGTGCCGTTGAACAGCACCGGATCCTGCGGGATGATAGTGACATTGCGACGGAGATCCTCCAGGCCAATCTTCGAGATGTCGACCCCGTCGAGCACGATCCGGCCCTTGGCTGCCTCGATGAACCGCAGGAACGCCAGCGACAGCGTCGACTTGCCAGCGCCGGTGCGACCAACCACACCAATTTTCTCGCCATGCTTGATCGACATGCTCAGGCCATGCAACACTGGGACATTAGGCACGTACTCGACGACCAGGTCCTCAATCTCAAGGTCACCAGTCCTGGGCCAGTTGCTGACGGGCTTGTTCTCGGGCGTCGACTGAGCGCTGGCCTCCTGGTCAAGCTTTAGATACTGGCTAACCCGCTCAACACCGTTCATGTTCAGCTCATTGTCGCCATAGTTCCGGATGGCAAACAGCATATAGTCTTTAAACTGCAGTGCATGTACCAACGCAAACCCAGCAAGACCGGCGTCGAAGCTGTGGACATTCCACAAGATGAAGAAGGCGCAGAAGAACGACACTGTTGCACCTGCGGCATCAAGTCGGACAGACATCCAGCGGCTCGACACCATTGTTAAGGTAGAACGGGCGATTCAGCTCATCTGATCTGTTAATAGCCTCCATGATGTAGTACTTTTTGAGACCAAACGCGCGGATCGACGATACACCCTGTATCAGCTCGCCAAACAGCGACAGCAGCGGCGCTGAGGCATTTGACTCGAGTCGCTTCAGTTCGCGGGTTGAATCCAAATAACGCTTGGCAATCACCACATATGCGAACTGTGATGACAACAGCAACAAAAATGAATGGCGGCGTAACTGCAGTGATGATGATGATAACACCCAATGCAGAGGTGAAGTCTGCAAACATCCAAATGAGTGAATCTAGGGTGTTCGTGCCAATCGATTCCATGTCGCGGGAGAACCGGTTAATGATCCGGCCGAATGGTGTCGAATCAAAGAAGCGTGGTGTGGCATGGACAACTGACCTGATCAGCTTTGCATGCACATTTCTGGCAGCTTTGATCAGTCCAGAATATGCATAGGCAAGCTTGATAAACAGTGCAAAAACTTCGATGACACCGATTGCCAGGTAAATACCGATCCAAAACGATACTGTATGCTGGCCGACTATGTTGGTGTTTGCTGTTGGTGATACTGTGTCGGTAGAATCGCGTAGAACCACGTGTGGAGATGCTGCGTTGTTTGCTTCTACCCAGATGCGGATCCAGTAGTCTTGAACAATCATGAAGCACTTTGGTCAGGACGTTTAGCAGAAGCACAGCAATCCAATACCAGTGGCTTCCACATGCCGAGAAGAATATGCCCCAAACCTCCATTTTGACCCGTCCAGTCTCACGCTCCTCGTCCTCAACCAAAGTTCCTTCAAGGTTTGCCGGAGTTGATATCTGTACCCAAGCCCCCGTCAACGACCAGTTTGTGCCAGTCTCTTGCTGTTGTACTCGTCTTCCGATGTCGGATCATTGACAGCCTTGGCCCGCTCGGCATTGCCATCATCTTCGATGTCATCAACTTCCTTGCCCTTTGATCCATCATCAGAATTGGTGTCTTCCTTAGGTGTCGAGCTCAGCAAGTGTGGCAGAGAACCTGCCCAGGGCTTGCAGTTCCTGTGGATTGCCCTTGAGCGCAATCTCGCCCTCGCGCATCACCGCGATGTACTGCGCATACAGGAAGGCACATCGATACGTGGTGGGTGACGAGGACACGAGTGCGGCCATGCATCAGTGATGTCTTGTTCAGCAGGCATTCCATCAGGATGTGCTTGGCAGTGTGCACATCGACAGCTGACAGACAATCGTCAATAAGCAGGATCTTGCGGTCCGAGTACACAGCACGCGCCAATGCAACACGCTGCTTCTGGCCACCCGACAGCGTCACGCCGCGCTCACCAATCTCGGTCTGGTCGCCAGCAGTCAGGATCCGCAGATCGGGCTTCAGTGCACAGACACGCAGCACCTCCTCATAGCGCTGCTGATCATACGGCTCGCCGAACAGGATGTTCTCGCGGATGGTGGCATTGCGCAGCCATGCCTCCTGCGCAACATAGCCAATATCTGCGAATTGCCATCTGTTCGCGTGACAGCTCAATAACGTCTTGATAGTCCTGGTTCGAAGCGATGCTCTGGTCGGCATTGACAGTTGGCAGCTGAATAGACCCGCTGATCAATGTCATCTCGCCAATGAGTGCTGACAGCAGCGATGACTTGCCACTGCCCGATCGGACCAGCAATGACCGATAGCCCTGTTAGCAGGGAAGCGAATATCGATGTCCTTGAGCCTGAATGCAACCTTATCTGGCTGCTCCTGCTGGCTGTCCAATGAAGCATCTGAACGGGTCGAAGCGATCTGATATCAGTGGTGTGTTCTCGTCGACCTTCGCCATATACCCAGTATCATCGTCCGAATTAGTTGAGCTGTCTTTCCCATGTGTGTCCCAGACTAGACTAGCCTTGACAAATCCTAGCACATCATCACTGCCATCTACTCGACAGATCCGCTCTTCGAGGTCCTGGGCCTGAGGCATCGCAAGGTACGAATCGATACGTTTCAGCGACACATAGCCCGAAATGACCCAGCTCAAAAAGTCGGGGAAATGCTCCAGTGAAATTCGCAGAAGCTGGAACACCGAGATCGTTGTAAATGCAATCTCGGCATTGATTTGATGTCCGAATATGCCGGTATACGATGCAAGTATCAGTACCATGACGATCATCGGTGACAGAGATGTGACGATGGATGCATAGGCCCAGCCAAGTAGCCATCTCCACATCGAACCCAGCTGCTTTTCGTGGTGCGCGTCGATCTTTTTGAGGAACTGGGACTCCCAGCCATAGAGCTTGACAGCCTTGATTCCTTGCAGAAGCTCTGTAATCGCTTCCACACGCTCGTCGCTCAGCTCCAAAGTTTTCTCCTCAAGATCCGACAGATAGCTGAATAGTTTCCTTGTCAGTGGGTAGTACGGAATCACGATCGAGAATCCGATGAGCGATGACCATCCCAGCAGCTTGAACATGTAAATGACACCAATGACTGCTGACAGAGGCAGCGTGTACAGGTCATCCAGGTAGGCGACGATCTTGGTGACACGGTTGAGATCTGTGGTGAGCAGATTCATTATTTTGCCGTTTGTCGCTTCCTGCGCCGACTCTAGCCCATTGTCGCTGCTATCCTCATCGTCATCGCCTGTGACGCCCTCAAGTGATCCCTTTGCACGACGGTTCAAGGTCTTGGTAGACAGCTCGCCAACCAAGAGACCCTTCATGCGGAAATCCATATGACGGCCAATCCACATCGCTTGGTCAATAAGCTGCATATTTAGGAGTGTGAAGACGAACAGCCCGAATGCATCCAGATATGCACTACGGATCGATTTTGCTGGAGTACCACCCACGGCAGTATTGCCAATAATCTCGATCGACTGCAGAATGCGCTGCAAGAAGAACGGACCAGAGTAGTTTAATACTGCGACAGCCACAGAAAGCAGCAGCTGAGCGAGGAGCTGAGGGGCAAATGTCAGGATTAGCGACAATAGCAGATGACCGACTTGGTTTGCGGTGCTTTGCATAGCTGGCTCCAGTTTGGAATCGCCGTGTCGCTTGTATCCAGTTTGTAAATGTCAGAATTTATGATTCTCTGGGTTTCTACCATTTTTTCTTCCTCATCGGATCCATGTGTCATCACAGCCATGACTCCGATCCTTCTTTGGGATCTCCCTCTTCTCCACTCTCGATTTCTTTCTTATAACTACTTTCTCTTCTTATTCGTAGTTCTTTTTCTTTTTCTGGCTGCTTACAGCCCATTCCTTATACAATACAATAATTGTCTGGCTGACTCAGCCCAAACCACTCGCTGAAACTCGTGACCTTCCAACAGTAAAGATCCGCATAATCGAGCTGATGACGGGAATCCGTGTAGAATATGTCGTTGACTCACGAGAATGTGAATGTATCGAACCACGAACCACTGTACTCGGGTGTATCGACCAGGGAAGGAGAGCCATTCTTTCCGCGTTCTTGTGCCAACAGTGTTTCAACAAAGTCTCTGTCCGACTCAGCATCCACATATCCCTCGGTCACATCGGTGCAGGGTTGGTGTGGGCGGAGGAAAAATCCACGGTGCTGCGCGGCTCCATGGAGGAAAAGCAAGGTGGTATTGCCGGCTGTAATCAAGAGCAGGTAGCGTGAGCGCTGCGAAGCACCAAACCAGAACCGAGTGTCACTGTTCTCAGGTGTGAAGAACGAGAAGTAGACCTCAAGCAAATCCAGGGCAAGTAGAATACCAATAGCCCGGTCAAAGATGGCGGAAACAGCCTCTGTACGAGATGCGATCGGTAGCGCGCATGAAAGCCATGTAGTATAATACTGATGCTACTGCGATCACTAGCATGGGTAGTACAACGCTGCCAGAAAATAGCCTCTCTAAAGTAAACTGAGGCGATATACACAAAGTTATATAATAAGAAATGAGAAAATATTAAGCGCTAAACAATGAAGAAAAAGAAAAGTTCTTTCAGAGAGAAGCTCAGAGTCACATAGTTGACGAGTCGGCGAGTCAGGATTTCCTCACACAGTGACTTGCCGATTTAAGGACTAACTGCGTAGTCCATTAACTAGTGTCCAACATAAGCCGATGCTTGTTTGAGTGGAATAGCAATTTCACTGAGAATGCCAGTAGTTTGAACATGGCTAAATAATTGAAGAGCAGGACAAGTATCTCTGAATATCCATCCGAATAGTGACCAAAGGAAACCATCAGTTGAACTGCCTTCATATAAAATACTGTAGCTAATGTATTCAATTAGAAATTTAAAAATAATGTGCTATAGGGTTAAAAGTGATAAGACTTAGAGACTGCATCATATGATGCACGGGCAAGAGGGTTCATGTACACATGCTGCTCTTGCTCCAAGGTGAATGGTGGGGCATCCTTGATCTGGACAAATGGACACTTGCCAACAAGTGCATCATGGAAATAATGATATGATTTTTGTTGGCGAAGTTTGACTTTCTGGTGATACGCATTCAATTCCTCCTTTGGTAAGGGTTGCAAGCAAATAATCCGAGTGAACAATAAGCGCCTCTGCGCCAGTTTGCCCAAATCCATATGATGTAATCAATGCTGCTTTGATTTGGGGCACCTTCAATGACTGTGACGTGTAAATGAGGTTAGTGAACTTGTCGAATGTGGGATCAATGTTATCCGCGCACCTGTTTCCAGGAATGATATTCGAATTCATAGCCTGGAGGACTGCATGCAGTTGCCATGCCCCCGCAACTGCCTTGGAGTGTCCGGTAATAGACTTTTGGCAAGTAACAGGAACCGGATAGCCAGGTGTGCGGCCAATGTAAGACAGCTGGCGGTCCACAATTATTGACTCGTTCAGGTCATTCAGTGGTGTGGAAGTCCCATGGAATGATGCCATACCAATGTCATCTGCTGTTAGCCCCCACATCGCAAGTGCTCCACGAAGAGGGGAAATCTCTGGTGCATTCCGCCAAAACTCACTACCCCATGTGTCTTTGGCGATACTCTTTGCGTGCTGTGCAGCGTTTTCGATCTTAGCCTTCTCGGTAGAATAGATAGTAGAGTTTGCTTTTGATAGACGGCCCAACTTTTGTTTCGTAGAAAGCTCGATCCATGAAAGCTGTTCAAGCAGTTCCTTACGGCGATATGCAATATCAAGCTGATAATGATCGCTACTTATTGTTTGGCGTGCGTTTGTAAGCAATCCTTGGCCAGGAGCTCCGAGATTGCTGCTCTGCTTATCAGTTGAAATGGCAAGTTGCGAAACAACGCCATATATAGGAGCGCCTATTTCGATAGCTGCAGAAGCAGACATAAGAACAAAAACTCCAGAGCCATACCCTTCCATGAATCCAGAACGTGTGTCCGTGCATGGTCTGCACATATCTTTTGGGTCACGCCCGCACTGCAACTCCAAATCGCCGTTAGATGTTGCGCCCAGTTGTCCGAACTCATAGGATGTGTCACCAGAGAAGCTATCATGAGCTCCACAAACCATCACTTTGGCTTTTCCAGCGATGATGGTATTAATGCCGACATCCAGAGATAAAAACGAAGTGACACATGCACCAACAGTCGATACCAGTGGGCCAGCACCAGACATGAGGAGCATGTTGACATACGCTGCTGCACTATTAATCATCATAGATACTGACAGCCCAGTGTGCAAGTTCCTGTCCATCCAACGATGGCGAATAGCCTCAAGCGCACTCTTTGTGCCATTTGTTGATGACCCAATAGAGTGACCAACCTGCGACACATGGAAGTACTGGTACAATTCGTAGGGGTCCGTGATACCTGACCGAATCAGTGCTTCCATTGCAGCTACTAAAACATAGCAAGATGTTGGGTCGGCAATGTCGATAATCTCTTGCGGTATTCCAAAATGTGCAGGGTTCCAACCAGTTGGCAGCTGAGACGCTGCGCAGCGATCAAACCGGAGTGCTTTTGGAACCAGCAGAACCGCCCCTTTCAAAAATTTGACCGACCATGAGCCATCAGCATTCTCCCATATGTCTACGCTATCACCATTACCACGCTTGAAATTGGCCTGCCTCCTCGGCACTGGCCTCAAATGGTTCAAGGCTGATGGTCGATTTGAAGCTCACGCATCATCTCTTTCTTCAATGGGTCATACCCGTCGTGGAGTTCTGGCTCAATGAGACGAATTCCAGTGTGCTCCAGGATATATGGCTCATATCTGGCCTTGACATCCATATCATGTACTGGTTCATTCGATTTTGCATCGACCCATCCAGTATAGTGTGTCTGTGTTACTGGGTGTTGGCCAGTCATAATGCTTGATGAGGCCCATGATCCATGCCAGCTCAACACAGCCTTCGAGGAGAAACTCGCCGTGGGCCTCCATTTCCCAGCGCATTGTGGAATTGCCAAAGGGACCAACCTCACCGAATCCAGTCACTACTACCACCTTGTCGAGGTTTATCATTCCTTCCAGTTGATGCAGATGCTCCAACTTGTCGTACATTTGACTTCTGGGATATTTGTACTTGTGGTTAGCAAGGGGATTTGTCGAATCGACATGGAAGAAGATTGAATTCATCACCATGCTGGATGTTCTTTTCGCTCAGGTCCTCGGCATAGATCGCCCTCCTAGAGGTACTCTCTGCAAGCAAATGGTCGCGGACTGTTGAAATATATCGGCCGTGTTTCCAAAAACGACAAAACACCACCAGTGAAATTTCCATCAACTGGACCTTGACTAGCAAGTTTAGCAATTGTTGGCGTCATAAGCCCAAAGATGCAGAATGCCATTTCATCGCGAGAGTATGTCCGGAGACCAGACTTTTCCAAACCCTCATAAATCATCCTGTGCTGGGCCGGTAAAATTTGGTACCGCGCACCCACCCAATGTCAATCCCAGCAACAGATACATAGTCGGACCATGGCTCAGCATGCCAGCGGTCATATATGCTCAAGAGCGCCATCTTTGCGGCACTGTAGAGTCCATCATCTCCCATCACGCCCTTATTCGGCGAATTGGGCAATATCACTAGCGCAGGAGAATCACCGCACTGGTACTTTACTTTGGCAGTCTTGATAGCACCAATCATACGTACAACGTTCGTCAACATGATGCGGAATGCCAACTCGGATTGAGAGCCGATGTTTGTCGCGTCACGCCCCGTCTCAGGAATTGCAGCAAACGGCAGTACATAGTCCAAGTCCCATGCGAGTCCATCTGGGCTATAGATGTAATCGAGCAAGGACTCCACATCCTGGGCAGAACCCTGGTTGAAAGGCACCACTACTAATTGCGACCCCCGGCCACCACACCGCCGGTACACATTCTCGTAGAACCGTGTAACCTCAAGGCAGTAGTGGGACGTGGTCACAACAACCTTTGCGCCGCCAGATAATAAGCCTTCAAGAAGTCCCAACGCAAGCGAACGCTCACTGCACCCAGTAATGAGAGCACAAGTTCCCGCAAATGTAAGTCCATTTTCGGATATTTCATTCAGTGCTCCGAAATAGACCCTCGTTCGCTCCTCACTATGAACCCAAGTCCATTGCTGTGACCGCTCACGCAAGAAAATTGGAGGGAACTTATCAAGGCAAGGTTTTTGAATATTTGCCAGAAACTGTGAAGTTGATTGCTCATGCAGGCGCTGGTTTCTCGATATATTCAATCTCGCCTGTTGCAGAAATGACAGTGCATGGGCGCATGTGCTTGGTGATCAGACGGTAGAGTGGGCTCGCATTACAGCTTTCAACGCAAGCCTTCAGCACCAGGTCAATAGCACTGCACGCATATTGTGAATTGATATCCCCTGAATTGGCAAGAACAAGCTTACAGGCTTCGAGCATCTCAATCAGTGCGGAGTGCGAGCGGTTTCTAAACATGTGTGTTGCTCTCACCGCATCCACACTTTCATCCGATGGGGCACCATCAAGAATCATGCGGTTGATCCAGTCAAACACATCTTGGCGAACCCAGTTCCAGTATGAGTTGAGATGCCGTGACTTGCGTTTGTCAAACAGCGGCTGTGTTCCCTTCGTTAGACCATCGCCAAGCTCATTTGTAATGTCTGACCAATGTTTGCCTTGAAGCCAGGTGCTCAGCCTCTGCTGCCTCATACATGTGCTCCCCTTCGCGCATGTCAAGTCCTATATGCTGGGCAAGAGTCTGAATTTGGCGCATCGCCAAGTCACGCTGACTCTTCTGGGCCATGTCAAACTCGGCACTGTTGATAACAGCAATGGCCGTATTCTGCCCGGAGCCCAGACCACTCTGTCCACCCGAGGTTCTCGTGTAGATAATTCCTTCCTTCTTGGAGTATACCTCAGCCACACTCGAAATCCATTCTTTCACCTCATCGTCACTGGCAAGACGCGAGGGGGCTCCATAGTAATAGCCAGTAAGAAGAACCCATCCTGGCGCTGCTTCTCCTAAACCATATGCTTCACGCAGGTAATCCCTGGCCACAGGCTGAGTAAAGGTGTTTGGAAGCTTGATACTAAATAGTTTAGATACCAATGAGCGAGTGTGAATACCGAGCATTCCCATGGAATGTCCCAAGGCTGGCTGCTAATGCTGTATTGTCATATCCTCCGCTTATTTGGGATTTGCTTCCCTAATTCCTTCAGCATATCACCCATGATGTCATTCAGAAGAATTGATTTTCCAGCAGCTATCTCTTTGAGAGACCTTGTTAACGGGATGTCAACGAGGGACCGCTTCATCTTTTGGCCGATAACAGCACGTATCACGTCAGCAAGCTCGATGGGCTTGTCTGGTACAGAGCTCGCTGTTCCCATACTTTGGCCAGGGTCAGCAGCAACCACCGACGTCTCTGCTTGAGAGCTTTCGGCAACTGGCAGCTGGCTTTGAGGGACAGCAGTTGAGACGTTAGCCACAAGACTCTCCACTTCCTTTGGTTGTGATGCGATCTCAGCAACAGTCTCCAGTATGTACTTGTAGTAAATTTTATCGTGCTCGTGGACCACATGCATAATGGTCGGCTCCTCCTGTAATAGTTTGGTCATAGCGCATGTCTGCTTGACCATCTTGGTTAAAACAGGTGCAGGCCAACCTCAATCACTTGCTTTGTAGAGTGCGTGACTATGAGCGACTGCATTGTCTTGATCCAGCGCACTGGCGAGGTGAACTGGTAGGCCAAAAGCTCAATCAGTAGAAGTGTTTGCGAGCCTGTTTACTACATCTGCATCTGCCAACAGAGCATCATCCCAGTTAGCAAGAGCCTGGCTGAGGACAGGCGATTTGCACACATCATACACCATGGAGAAATACTCGCGGGAAACCTCGAATGCGGATCCAGTCATGTTTGGGATATACCTTCCACACAGCTCAGCATAGCTGCTACGGTCCACAGTGAGCTTTTGTGCAAGGAGTCTGCGGAAGGTGTCAACACTGTCCAACAGCTGTCTAGAGTGCGATGGCACATCGACACCCGAGATAACTGTGGTAGCAATGCCATTCGCTAGCTGGCCAGTAGCATTTGCTTTGTGTCCACACTCGGTTATAAGCTCCGAGATGTTATCGGCCACTGTTGCCTTGCCTGGATGCAAGCGCATCAAGGACCAAGACCCATGATCGCGAGTGATGAGGTATGGCCGGTTACAACATACTGCTGGTCAGTTACATTGTAATTGATGACCTCCAGCAGCTTGCCGCTGCGCTTGCTAATTTGCTTGACAATGCGCAAAAGACTCCTCTCGTCAAACCCTGCCACAACCTTCGACGGGTTAACTGAGACCATCGCATACTGCGACCTGCCTTGGTCATCGCGCTCAACAGACGCATGTAGCAGCAGCCCACGAACAAAGGCTAACTCCACCGCATCTTCGATAGAGACAATCTGTCCGATTGCAGCCAGTCGACCCGATTTCGCCAAGCGAGTGGCCAGCAAACATTGCCGATGACTGAATAAGACCCTTAGAACGCATGTCAGCAACATGTGCAAGTGACATCACCGTCTGGATTGGCTGAGTGAAGAGCGTCGAGTTCAGCAGCCCATTTGCCGAACGATGGACATAATTGATCACTTGTAGCAAGCGATCCCCGGAATCAGCTGCACAACGCTATCACCAACTTGTCGTGTTAGCCCCATGTAGTTGTCGCGAATCTGTTCTCCAGTAGCCCCGCTAAATCTGACTTGATAAGATAACGGGTTTTCGCGTACAATCTTCAACAGGGACACGCCATATGTGGTTTTCATGTATGCATCTGCACGAATCCACACATCCTTTGCAGCAGACGACGACTCGTACATATCCATTCCCATCCCGACAAACTGTGCACCTTGACCAGGTGAATATATAGGATGTCTTCGGCTGGTCGATCTTGGCAGCAAACGCCATAACTGCCTCGCCGTGCTGGTTGATGGTCTTCCCCTCCAAGAGCATGAGTCCATCCTCCATACCCACATGCTTCAGCTCCACATCTAGGCAATCGCCGGGGAAGACTAAGCTGACAAAATCCAGTTTTGAAGGACCGGAATCTCTCAGGGTCACCACATGCAACATACTTTTCTACAACAGCCCTCGTAGCAGCTGAAGTCCACATCCCATGTATGATCGGACCTGGCAGTCCAACATAGCTCGCAATGTGGGCCGAATGGTGTATCGGGTTGTAATCCCCAGATATATGCGAGTACTTCCAGCAGTCAGTTGGGGCCTGGAAACTCGTGGTTACACCTGCCACTGGCAGCACTGGGTTCCCCCCATTCTCGAAGACTAGCTTTTCCTGGATGTCCTCGGAATATTTATCCAGATAGGACTGCACCGGATTCCCAACGACATTGCACGAGTCAAACTCAATGCTTGCTATATGAACCTTCTTCGTGCGCTCATTCTGCAAGTAGATTCCTCCAGTCGTGGTCACACGTGAGCACATGGTAGTGCTGGCATATCGGGTCACGAGTGTCGAGACTGAATTCGAGGGTGGATCCTGGAGCCAGCGTGGCAAACAGATCATCAACTTGCGTAACCCATTGCCTAGACTGAAGTACCGATATGTCCGCTGCAGACCTTAGAACGACATGCGACGTTGACTTTTCAATATACTCAAAGGCACTGCCGGCATCGGCTTCGTGCCCTCTGAACAGCATTCCGATTTCCATAGTGGCTAGTGGTTCCCATGGCGCGAGAACCTTGAACTAATCTCATGTTTCTTCCCCATAGGCTGTGTCGATAATGGCAGTGACTCGTACGTCCGTGTCGATCACATCACCAATGCAGAGAATCGATGCCCCAGGAGCAAACTCAACGTGGTTGTACAGATGAATCACATCAAACATATCCGAGTTCCACTGCTCGCTGCGACAACATTGTGAGCGTCCCTTCCCATGCAATCAAAAAGAACATATCCATGGGGCAGGACTGCCATGCTTGGATTTGTAGCATCCATCTGTGTTACCAGCGGATAGGCATAGGCGATCCACAAGGTCTGCAGTTACTACGAATGGCTGGCATGTATAAACCGAAGGTATTCCTTCTCCATCCGCAGCAACATCAACCCCTGAGGCATTTGGGCCATAGTGGTTGCCAAAATACAGTCCTCTGTATGCGTTCACCAAGATCATGCATAACCTCGGACTATTGGCATTGCAGGCCGCGACGGGCAGTACAGGTATTTGAGAACAAGGTCAAAGCACTCGTCTCTAACTGAATGAACAACCCGAAGCGTGATATCACTCTGGGCTAGCATAGCTGATAATGACTTCCGAGCTCACCATTATTACCATGCACCTCAAGCTTCTGTGGCATGCCGTTCAGGTCTGAAACCGTGACGGATTGACCAGCCCTTGGTTCCATGATCCGCCTGACTCCATTCGCGACAAACTTGTCGTTCTGCACAATGCTCAGCGAAGTGAGGATCGCTCGCAACCAACTCTTAACTGGCCCTGCCAAGATATCAAGCCATAGGTCTAGCTCTGGGAGAGAAGCAGCATCTGCAGGAAGAGCATATGTACGCGCTGAATCACCCATACGCTGAATGATAGGCGACTGCACCAGTGCCCGTTTGGGCTCCAGAACCGAATGTACTCGACTGCAGGAATCTTAGCACGGTAACTACCCTGTATCCTTTGAATTACAGCTGTATAAATGCCATCCAGCATATCCTTCAGCAGGTAATATTGGCTGTCGACGAGTATCCGGCTGAAACCGGCCCATGAGGAATCAACTGACGCTGAGCATCATGGCTAGGCGCATAGTCACTGTTTGCCGACAATGAAACAGCACCCTGCAGCATCCACATGTCTCCAGGTCACTGTCGAGAGCAGGAACGAATGGGACCTGGACTCTGACCTGAGCGTTTGCACAGCATGATGAAATACTGGATGTCCTCTGTAGCCATTAGCTGTGAAGCCACTTCCGGGATATACCCGCTCAATGCAGCGAATTGACTCGAGCGGATTGTCATCAAGCTCCAGTTGGTGGCGAATGATACACTCACGCACACATCCGCTGAAGCGATCCTCTACACGCTTGGCAAAGTCATAAACGATGCGGCCAAGACTGGAATCAATCCAGCATGACTTGTCGTCGACGTACATGAGCTCGATCATTCGGCGAATGACCTCAGAATACGTCATATCCTGCAGCTCAGCAACCGAGCCATCCGCCTTTTTGCTGAACCAGGGCTTAACGTAGTCTGAATTCAGCCGCTGGACTATGGAGTCTCCCTTCTGCTGGAGAAGCTCAGTCTGCTTGTCAGCTGCCTTGTGAGAAGATAGAGTCCTGCAGCTCCTTGACGAATAGAGCTGCGCGTGTCGCAATAACATGCATCGGCTTGCCATTTTCGCCAGTGATTGACGTGACACCACCAGCAACACCACTGTACGTATCCATCCACTCGTTTGGACCAACACCAGCAGTGCCAGCGATGAGCTGCTTGGTAGCATCTGAAATATCAGACTCTTTTGCGACCATGATACAGGAGCCAATCGCAACCCCGTCAAATGGCATCGGTGGCCGCCCGAATGGCACACTCCAGCTACCAGACATGTACTGCATCGCAGTGTCCGCATCGCCAATACCGGATCCAGCGACAAGGACAATGTTCCTGTGGAACCGGAGCAGGCTGTAGGTATCGAGAATTGGCTGGTAAAAGTCGTCCCACTGAATGGTAGCCGCCGTTGCGGCCACCCATCCACTGAAGAATGACAGGGAACGTGCGATCCACCTTCGAAATGGCGATCGTAGCACGAATGTCGGCCAGAGTTGCAGCCTTGAGAGTGATATGACGAAGACCAGCGCCACGCATACCCGCAATAATGTCGGTCGCTGCTGCAGCTGTTGGGATAGAGCCAGAAATACTCCAGTCCACTGATCGGCTGGCCTGCTTGGCGCATGCGCAGAATCTCTGGGAACAGTACCTCCCACTGCTCCTGGTTCGAATAGTCACAGCAGAGAGCAATGTCCTGGCCAGGTTCAATGAGCTGGACTAGATCGGCCACCTGTTTCTGCAGTTGGCCAGTGCTTGTGATCCCAGTGGTGGAGAGCTCGGCATGATAACCGGCGTTGATGGCAGCCGCAACCAGCTGAACACTAGTGGTGCTCGGTTCAACAGTAGACACCATCACTGGCGGACGCCCCAAGGCATGGAACATCGGCGAGTTGATGTGAATCTGGTTGTCGCTCTTGACTTGGACAAGCCTGGGGCTGAATGCTCTTCTCCAATCCATGGACTGGACTACTGAGCGGATGTCACGCTGGAAAATGTCAGCCTTTGGAACCCAGAAGTCGATGTTTGTGAGCAATGAGTGAGCTGCAAGCTAATGATGTTGACACCACTACCATCAACGATACCGCGTGCCAGTCGCGCAAAGGCACCGAACCCACCGGGGCTAAAGTCAACGATATGCGTAGCATCGGCTCCCTTGAGGGTTGATGGCCAGTCAAAACGACGAGTACAAATGACGTGTGCCACCATCTCATCAAGATCGACACCAGACGAAATATCAACGCCATTGACTTTGACAGGAGGAATGACTTGAGTATCGCCACAGTTATAAGACCAATCTCTTTCAGTGACAAACCCAGGAAGCAACTCGCCAGTAGCTTGCAAGAGATGGCAGTGGGTGACGATGCTGGAGTTCACGTAGCTGATATCCGCCACCTGGCTTGCGCTGAGAGAACGGGATGTTCGACTGGTCAGCACCTGGATTCTGCACAACGCTGGCGGAGGAACTGGACAAACTGCACGACAACCTTCAGACGGCCAGTGACAACAAATAGGTCAAAAGTGTTGATGAGCGCCAGGTAGACGTGATCGGTGGGCGAAAGGTAGCAGGAATTGAACTGAGCAATCAGCTTTCTTAAGCGCCGGAAGAGGAACACCACGGATGGACACCATGGGTGATGGTTTGCCGTCAGAACGGAACAACATTGGCAGCCAGTATCAGTGTCCTACTGACTCGAGAGGGACAGCAATTGGATTGCATAGGATCCAGCGATAAGCGTGCCTAACACCTTCTTCGACTTTGCGTAAAAGGACTTTTCATCAGTCACCGTCGGAATCATTGGTCCGCAATAGCAATGCCTTGGCTATGAGAAATGACACCTATCGATATGGAGTGGCTAGTTAGTACATAGCTGCTTCAGAGAATGATGTCAATGTGGCACATAATTCTGCCGATACCTACTTTTGAATGACTGAGAAAGTTCGCCCGGGGTAACCCTGAGTGTCTTGTACAAGACCATCAGGTGCATCAGTTGGATTAGAGCTAGGATTGGCGACGCAATATAGATAGCAGCGAGAAGCTCCATACTTGGACGCGACTCGGGGTGAAGAAGCCAGCCCATGAGGTCTATCGGCTGATTATAAACACGTGTGAAAGGCGAATCCTGGGTCGTGACCAGCAAGAATCCAGCCATCTCAGCGACAAAGTCGGCAAGAAGTGGGCGATAGACGTCAAGAAGCCAGACAGCCTCGTCCAGATAGTTGTCCATGGCCGCCGTAGCCGCCAAACATGGCAGTCAGCTTCACCCTGTCGTGGGTAAAGAGCGCGGGCGGGGGACATCGGGCAGCATCTCACGGGATTCAAGCACATCCCAGACCTGAGTAGTATCCCTTGATGACAGACTGGGCTTGCTCGGCCGTGAGCTTGAGCTGCTGGACAACAACGTGGATGTTGTCAATCGAGCAGTACTTTTGGTGAAGGTACTGGAAGGCAGCGACAGCGACTTCGGTGTTCTCGGTTGCAGCAAAGTTGACAAAGCGTGCAACAGTCTCGATTTCAAATGACGAATCCTTGTACGGAAAACGGGCGACAAGAGCCTCTGCTTGGGCAGAGTCCTTGTCTGAGATACTGATAGCAACCCCGTGGATAGTAACTTGGTAGTGGACCATTGGGTGAGGAAATTATTGAGTACTAGCTAGTCAAAACCGATATAAGGCTTGGTTGAATGGAGTGGTTGAGAAATTCTCGGTAGGGTGAACTGGAGTTTTTGAGCTGGTTGGCGAGTATTTGTGGAAATCTGGTGCGTCTCTACTCCAGCAATGGATTACTTTGCTGTGCCTGCCTATAACTGACCTCACCGTACCCGACAGATCAAGACAGCTTTGACATTGCATTCATGTTCGGCATGTGAATCCACTCAAGCGCCTCCAGCACCAAACTTACATACCCAGGGGAGCTTTGTGAGAAACAGACACCTTGTTCCCAAGCCCATGTGCAAGAAATAGTGCAAGCACAATTCAGAGAGGCTCAGATGTGCTGTCCATTAAGATAGTGCTCCTACACCCCAGCTATTGACATGATGCTTACAGATTCGACAGCGGCTATAAAGGGGCGTGTGAGCGAGTACTTGGCTCATTGTTGAGTGCATTTGTGCCACATGTCACGCATTTGCTCCAGCTGGCGGCTGAGTTTTTGGGTGGTTGGCTTTTTTCAAACATGATAAAGTCACATAGCACATGATTCAACCGCTTTAAATTGGATATGCTAGCATATGTGGTTCCTGGGATGTGGAAGTGTAGCACGGATAGGCGTTGGAGACGGTCAAGCACAAGAAAATTGGGATTTACCCTACACACTTCGCAAATTGCCTGTTGCAACTTGAATCCAAATGCATGCAAAACATACAAGTTTGATTGCAAGCTTCGGCCATTTAGATGATAAAGGAAACACATCAAATGACAATGAGTGAGCGTTACGCCACAAAAATCAAGACAAGCTGACAGCACACCACCTTTTCTCACGAGCAAATTTTTAGCCCATAGTGCCCAGTATAGATATACACCCTAAAATTACCAGCTAAGCACTTATTGCGTGCATTGATAGTCTAGGAGGCACGCCTGCCACTTACGCAGAAACACAATACTTTGAGTGGCTTGGGGACGCACTATCACTCTATCAATTGACCTCCATGGTATACCGCCTGAATAGTGCGCATGGTTTGTATCCCCAAAGCCCTCAGGGAAGCAGGTGATTGTCTGGCCCAGGCTGTTTGTCTAGTGAGCAAAACAGGTTTGCAGCTCCAACATCAAGCATTCCCTTGCTTCTCCGGGTCAGGGTTAGGCAGAAAACAGTGGTGGGCAGTCAAACACTACGACGAAGGACTTTTGAAAAGATTCGAAATTGTCATTTGAGGGATTTTCTCGGTAATAGAGGCAAATAAAGTATCATAGGTGATGGCAGTTACTTTGGCTAGGCGCGGTGGCAGTCGTGCTACACTTGTGCATACTATCAGACCTGCTGATTGTGTTTTGTATAATATCTATACCGGCTGGTCAGCCCTACGACATTAAAGCTACTGATGGAAGTTGGATACTTTGGTGGTTTTGTTTGGAGCACTTGTTCGCAAACGGTGTAGAAGAAAATGAACATAATGTCATAGATATCCAAGTGGCTATTACTTATCAAGACTATATTCTTGGCCATAGCGAGGACCAGTCAAATGATAAACCACCTTAGTTTTGGAGTGACAATGATGCGCAACCGAAAGGTACTATTACTGACTTTTTCTAAATACTCTTGTTGGTAGTCAGCAGTCGCGCTCGAACAAGACACATTTCCATAAGGGTTTGTTTTATGATTCCGTTGTTATCTTTGCCCTATCTGGTTTTTTACTTAATGCATGCAGCAGAATGCAGAGCTGTTGTTTTCTAGTGCGAAAATCTCGTCAAGAGTTGTGCGCAGCACGTCTACGGGATTCTGATCGCGTTTGTAGTTCTCTGTTTTTTATGTTAAAAAAATTGCTATCATGACTACAATTGATACAACGGACATGAGGAGGTTTATGAAGCTGCTAAATGATGGCTGCTATCACTGCTATCATTCAGCAGACAGGAGTATACCAGTTTAGGTTTAACAACAGGATCGGGTAGACATGTCAATCTCAACAAGCATGTCCCAACACTCAAATCTGCTAACTCATTAATATGCTTGCCTCTTCCTTTCTCGTTATCAGTTTTCCCATTAGTTTCTTCCGCAATTCTAGAACTCTTGGTCATCTATTTCAAAAACGTCAATGTCTTTCTGCTTTGTACTTCACTTTACGCGCCCAATATTATATTTACATTCCTCCTGTTCAGTTCCGCTTGAGTGGAGTGACAAGATATTTGATCACACCAACCTTGTCTCATGCAGCACGGGCCGATTGCAAATACCCGAAAAAAGTGGTGGCACCGAACCATCCTGATAATTAAACTAAAGACCAGCAGCCGATAAAGATGCCAGGACATGAAGCATGATAGTATAAACTAGCGTCAGCCAGGTATAAACTCAATGAATATGGAATCTGTCTTCATATTTTGCCTCGCATTTTTCTACTAACATGTCCAAATCTCCTTTATTCATTTAAGCGACCATCAGTTGAAGTCAGCATCTACCCTGCAGACAAGTCAACTTGTGCTGCAAGACATGAGGGCTCCACTGGCTTATCTACTTGGACATATTCTGCTTGCAGGTTCGTCGGAGTACAGTTTTAAACAGCCTCTGCGTTAACTTTTGTGGTGAACAGAAGATGAGAATCCTGCGAAGGGCTTGGCGCTACCGGCTTGCGCCTTGATAAAGTGAAGTGTTATGATATCTCTGCAACTTTGATCGACAATACCACAGCCGCTCAAGCAGATATCGAAAACGCTAAACTCTTAGCACTGTGGCCATCAGAACTAACTTATACTAGGTATGATGAGCAATCGCCAGCCCATCAAAGCAAGGTTCCTGTTTTGATGCTAACGCCCGGCGAATACCGCTTTCCATTTTCACTTCAGCTGCCTGCTAACCTCCCTGCCTCAGTCATATCGCCGCGTGGACACACATAATACACGCTGGCTGCTAGCCCTTCGCTGACCATGGCACCAAAACATCACGAAAAAGCTCGACCATCCCATCGCCATTTAGAGACTCCCTGGATCCTCAACACTCCAGAGGCACGGGCTATGCAGATATCGAATCTGTTAGAGGCTCTAGTAACCTCGCCACTATTGCGCAAGATTCAGTGTATGCAATGTATGGAAGGTATTCGTCTATACCCCATCGCATGCACTTGTTCCTGGGACAATCGGTTCGCCTGCAGGTGTTTGCCTCTTACTGCAGCAAGGAGAACCACAGGAATACGGCAGAGTACAGTTCCATTGAGGCTTTTGCAGTTCGATGTTGTGTTGCATGAGGTGATTGTTCACCGGTCGCCAAACCAAGAGGCAGCCCGCACTACAGAGAGGGTTGTTGCATGGACTGGGTTGTGTCCACTGAAAGTAAAGTGCGATTCGTCTTTGCTGCATCACCAGTCGCTTGAGCACAAATCATTTCGAATCTGGGAGATACGGTCGATGAATTCCCAAATTCCACGCTCACTGCTGCTTGCTTTACCTACCCGCATGGAAGCGAGGATATGCAGACTGATTCAGAGTCTGCCCTCTTTTCTGTATCGCACGAATTTGGATTTGTGGTGAACATTTGCTGAACCACAGCAAGGCAGGCCGCCAACACAAGGTCGAATTTGCCGTCCCAGTAGCTGTATTCCCAGAGTCGATATACGGGGAGAGTGCCATAGGGGAATTGCCGGTATATAGCAGTTCTGCGAAAGATACCTTGCTAGAGACATCGAACAGCGCTTCCATCCTTCCGCCATACTCGTCTAGTCATATCTAATGTACTGAATCATAAAATAAAAAACATACCGAAAGGCACCTAATCCCTCTACAGGTCTAGCTATTTGCTGTTCTTGGGGAACTCGCCACATTCGTTCTTGTAGTCGTCCTCAGAAGCAAGCAGAGGCTGTACATGCTCCATGAACGCATCAAAGGTGCACATGGTGCTGCCCATCTTGGCATGGTGCTTGCCAGGGATCTCACATGTCGGCACCTGCTAGCACGCGGTCATTGAGCTTGACGCGCACGTACTTTCCGCCTTCCTCGCGGTCCTTGAACAGCTCAAAGGTCAGCATTGATGCGAATGGCACCCACTCCTCGCTCTGGTTGCCCATGATGGTAGACAATGGGCCGACAGTGACATCGTGACCGCCGTAGAGAGCGAGCTTGGGAACACGCGGAATATCGGACCCGGATACCTCGCTGAGACCACCAGGACCAATCAGCAAGTCGCCTGTGCGCTGGGGTCCGATCGGGACGGCACCCCATCCCTTGTACCACGGCTGATACCTGCCATGGACAGCCTGGGTCATCGTGCTCACCAGGTCATTGACGAGACGGCCAAAGCCCAAACGCTGGTCCTTGGTGTATACCACGACGTGGGACCACTGGTGGTGCGAGGCTTCGCCGAGGCGATTGAGATAGTCCTGAGATATGTCGTCGGGAATAGCCATTCCGTGGCCCTTCATTGCGACCAGCTCGTCGTAGATCTTGTGGAAGTTGGATCCAAAGGCAGGCTCAGCGAGGATATTCCTTTGCCTGGGCGCCGATGCTCTTCAGCGCAACCGTCTGCTTGTAGAGGTCATCAATCCACTTAATCTTGCGCGCCGGCTCAACCATGGTATTGGCAAAGTTGCGCATAAACTCGTAGCAGCCAAAGTTGCCGTGCATAGTCTCATGGTTGTGGCGACGCGTAAACATGGGGAACAGTGCCAAGAACTCCTTTGTTGAAGGTTGTCCACCTTCCGGTCCATGCCGACTGCGGATGCCCCGGATATAGGCCGACCAGGAGCGCATGGGTCGACTGAATCACACGCGAATAGTCAGTTGTCCTGACGTAAATGTAATCGCTGACCTTGCCCTCTGGCGTAGGCGGCAAAAAGTTCAGCTTATCGACATACAGCGACCTCAGGAACGAGCCAGTGCGGAAGAGCGAGTCGAGGCCGACGTCAGTCAACTGGCCCATGTCACTACGAAAACACGCAAAGCCATGTGAGTAATATTGGAAAACAATGGCCTTGAGGAGATCTGCCTTCTCCACGCTGCACCGAGTCAAACTCCTGTCTGAACTTACCACATCGTAGGCTCCCACGAATCCTCAGCTGCGGCCACAGGGCCACTGCCCGACGTGTTACCATCAAGTGCCTTCTCTGAATCCTGTGTGAGTCTCAGTGACCAGGCAGCCGGCTCATACTCGATGCCAGACTTGAGTGTCGCGGTGCGCTTCGTGTAGCGCGGGTCGCTGTGGCCGCTGGCAATGAGATCCGGGTTTGGCGACGGCATTGCCTCCTGGCGCGGCACAAACTTGCCAATGGCGGTCATAAACTCGGAATACAGATAGTTTGCACGCTCGCAAAATGCCCACTGCGACTGCGACGAGAACCGGGTGACAATGGGGCTGCGCTCGCCGTGGCGGAAGAACACCTGCGCCTGGATCAGCTCCAGGTAAGAGGGGTAGTGCCTGCCCATGTACTCGGGAGTCAGCTCCGGGAGCGTGGCCGCCTCCGAAAACGAGGGCCTTTGTGGCGACAGCAGTATCCATGCTTGGGTTCTAGATTCTAAATAGGTGCGGAAAATGTGCTTGGTCAGAAAAGCACGAGCGGGCCAGCACGCCCTTTTATCACGCAGGCACTGTCTGTGCGTCGCTCGCACTGTGGGAAAGTCCGTGGTTCAGGAAATGGCTCGGCTCGGCTCGGACAACAGGATGTGCAGCAGCCTCATTCCAGGTAAACGCGTTCAGTTCTATTCCACCTTCTTGCACTCTTCTCGCCCTAAAAACACAACTACCGCACCTGCCATACGCACTTCATTTTCTAACCTTCACCCCCTTTTCCTCTCTTCTCTCTTACTTATTTTCCGCGCACACACCTGCCTTTCCCTGTTTTTCGACTATAAATTCGTAAGATGCTGTGGCGATTCGGTCTTCAGCACGCGTCAAACATTGACAAGCTGCTGGAGAAGGAGGACCTGACCCTCGAGGAGTTTCTAAATGACCCAGATCTGCTGCAAGAGGTTCGCGAGCAGAACCCCAAGGTTATAAACTAGTAAGTAGCCCGCCAGGAAGCTGGCCGCTGACCAGCATATACAAGGCTCACCTGTTTTGCCGTTGTTGCTAACAAACCACACGCCATTGTTTTCATACGCTGCTAGCCTTGTACAGCCGCAAAACATGAAGCAGATGGTCGACTATATTGCCAGCGACGGGTTCTTCAAGTTCTCAAAGATGGCATCGACGTCGTGTGAGGTTCTGTGCAGCAACAGCGCGGCGTTTGCAGAGTCGCTGGATCGCCGAGTTCACGCCACAGGACTTTATCGAAGAGGATGAGGACGATGAGGACGATGGTGAGGGCGAGAGTGAGGGCGAAGGTGAAGGCAACAGCGACAGAAGCAATGTGAATACCGACAAGCAGGGCGACGCTGGAAGTCGCTCGGCACCGCCCATTGAGGACCAGACGCCGCGGCAATACCTTCTCGAAACCCTGTGGGCAGTAATGCGTCTGCCGACCGGCGAGCTGGATGCCCTGCAGGCAACACATTTCTCGCGTGTGCTGTGCGGGATTCTGCAGCGCAAGCCCTACGAGACGCTCGACTTTATCCGTGCGCAGGAGGGAGCTGTCGAGCTGTTCTTGCAGCACATTGACGTGTCGGCAATTGTGGATCTGCTGCTCAAAGTCATCAGCCTGGAAGAGCTGGATGAGGGTCCCAGCATCATTGCATGGCTCAGCCAGTACCGCCTCATTCCGATGCTTGTCGACCGGCTGGCGCCTGACCAGGACCCCGAGACACACTCGCTGGCAGCCCAGGTTCTGCTCGACATCATTGCCGATTTCGCAGTGCAACAATCCCATCGCAGCCAACTATCGGCACAAATGCGCTGATTGACGAGCTCAAGAGCGAGGCGACTGTGACACGACTGGCCGACTACATGCTGAGCCGCACAGGGCCGCACGCAACATCAACGCTCATCAACTGCGTATACATCTTCATCGAGCTCATCCGCCGCAACTACTCGGATACTGACAGCAACGAGCTATCACCCGAAGATCAGGGCGGATACAACAGCTTTGGCGAGTATGAGACCGGCTCGTACGACCAGCATGGGAATCCAGCACGTGCGCTGCCTACAGTTGATCTAAGCGCCATGATGAAGGTGCTTGCGCTGCGCATCAACGACCTGGTGGAGCTGCTCAAAACGCCGCGGTCGTCAACCGAGCCGGTGGCCACGACGCTCGGACTTCGCGAGCCGCTGGGTTTTGAGCGACTGCGTATTTGCGAGCTGTTCGCCGAGCTGCTGCACTGCTCAAATATGCCCCGCCTGAACCTGCCGCTGGGCAGCCACGAGCTGTTGCCGGAGGATGGGTCGTTCAAGGACAGTCCAACTATTCCACTCTGCCATCCATTCTGGCCCGCCTACGGATTCAAAGAGCAGCGGTGGAAGTGAAAGCAGGCCGTCGCCGCAAGAGCCCACTGCCACAACAGCACCCAATACCACAGCGGCTGCTGCTGCTGCTGCCAGTGTCCCCACAGAGACCGAGGACGACGCGTATGGCACAATCCCGCTGGAGATTGGAGACCCCAACGACCACGATGAGACCAACACGCCAGTGGGGCAGCTACTCAAGTGGAATCTGATTCGGTACAAGGTGCTGCCAATGTGCGTAGACCTGTTTTTCCGGTTCCCACTCAACAACTTTTTGCACTCGGTGGTCTACGACATGATGCACCAGGTGCTGAATCTGCCGCTGAACCTCGAGTGCAACGTTGCACTGGTGGTGGTGGCTTTCCGTGACGTGCGCATAACGTCGCGCATCGCCCGGGCCTGCGCCGAGAACGACGAGATCTGCCAAGAGCCCAAGGGCGTGCGGCTCGGATACATGGGCCACCTGACTGGCATCGGCGAGGAAGTCGCACGGCTGCTTGAGCTGTCGGGGGCTGCGCTCGAGTCGCTGATCTCTCCGTACATTAATGGCGATGAGTGGCTGGACTATGTAGCGCGCACGCTGCAGGAAGTGCGTGAGCGCGACCAGCAGCCACTGGGCGGCGAGCGTCCTGGCCTGGATATGCTGGAAGCTGACGACTCGAGCCAGGTATTTGTGTCACGCATGGGCCTGGTGGACCCGTCGACGGGCGAGACCTATGATCCAGAGGAAGATGAGGACGACGACGATGACGACGACAGCGAAGACAATGCCCGCAGCTTTAGTGGTATGGGCAACGACAACGATTTGGCCTCTTCGTCGTCGCGGCATCCGCCCAGTGGCAGCCTGCTGGGTCCTAATGAAGACGACGAAATCGACTACATAAACACGGACACGGAGCGCTACTTTGCTCGTACCTCAACCTCTCAAGCCCCGCCGATTCAAGACCAGTATAGCCTGCGGACCGTCAGTTGATGACGATGACGAGCAGTTTATCATCAAAGGTGTAGGCGGACCAGGGGATGACCATTCATCTGACGAGGAGGACCGTGACAGCAGCGATGGCGAGGGCATTGGTCCGGCCGGCAACATCGGCCGCTTCCACAGCTATCAGAATGAGACGAGCCGCTCGGTGGTTGCCAGGGACATGCGTGTAAATGACGCTGATAGCCTTGGACGACGAGAACGATGATGATGAGGTCGACGGCGATGATGACGATGCGTCAGAGATGGGCCGCATGAACGACTACCTGCGCAACCGAGCAGCCGATCTGGCGGAATCGACACGTCTGCATGCAGCAAAAAGACACGAGGAACAACAACAACAAGGTAAAGGAGGTAGTAGTAGTAGTCACAATTTGTTCACTGATAGTGCAGCCGAAGACGATGGTGCGTTTGTTCCGCTGAGATCCGAAAATCCGCCGCTGGTGCTGGCACCATGCGAGAATGAGGAGCCACTCGGTGCAACAAACGACAAACCGGCGCTGCAGCACCAGCTGGCCCGACTATCACTTGACAGCAGCCCGCACCACACACCCATTTTGCCTGAGCCGTCCACAGAACCGCCACTCCCCTCATACCTACTATCGCTGAAGCCATTGTCCAATGACGGTCCACGCCAAGCGCCAGCTGCCGCTCCAGTCAATGTCCCCCCGCCCATTCCACCACGACCTCAGCTTGGTCACCACCACCGGATCAATGAGCTGTCACAATTCAGCGATGACGATGATGATGATGATTTTGGCCCAGTGCGGCGTCGCACCATGTCAAGCTCAGAGCTGGAGGACGTGGTTTCGCGTGACCTGCATGGGTGGACGCCATTTGCGCCAGTAACCGAGGAGGAGCCGGTAGAGCTGTCGACGTCAACGCCGCCGCTGCCAATTCCGGAACGGCCCACATCATCAGAAAAGAAGCAGCAGCCGCGCTCAGCCCCGGGCAGCGTGGGTGGTGTGGGCAGGCGGCAGCGATCGCGCAGCCAGAGTGCAGGTGTGGGGATATCGCGGGCAATGGTGATCCAGGCGGCGTCGCAGGGTCAGTTCCCGTTCCTGGATGCGTCTACGTGTGAGTTTGTGGGGCAGTTGAAGGGCGATGTGATTACGCTGGGTGGTGCAGCGGCGGGCAACCGCGGAGCGCGGCAGCGCAGCCATACAGCGTCAGCGCAGCTGCTGAAAACGAAGGCTGGGTTGGCGGTGGGCAGTGGCGGGTCATTGTCGGCGTCATCGTCACCGATCTCGTCCTCGTTCAACATCCCGCGCCCAGCACCACCATCTGGGCTGCGCTCATTCCCGATGGAGTCTCTGTCTGATAGCTCCTCCTCCTCCTCCTCCTCTGATGAAGATGATGAAGATGATGATGAAGATGATGATTGTTTGAAAGCCAACGGCAATGTTTTACATCCTAAACAACAGCGTTGCGGCGGTGATGTACCTGGCGCTGGTGGTGGCGATATAGCAACCTCCGCCGGGTTCGATCGAATGCTCAGGACTATTACTACTGCTGCCACTACCACTTCCCGAACAACTAGTGTAACTACTACCTCCTTTCCTTCCGCTGCTTCACTCTCGCCTGCACCTTGCTCCCCGTTAACCATTCCCACACCACCATTGTCCAGCAGCTTAGGCAGCGGCAGCACTCCGGCTGTCACTAGATCGAGTAGAGTCAACAGCGGTGGGATCGACATCCTGCCCGACTTTCCACTGATTCCAGTGTCTCCCGAGATCAAGAGAGGCAGTGGAATAGGAGGGCTATATGGATTTGGTGGTGGCAGTAGTGGTGGTAAGTCCCCCATCGATTTTATGTGACCATGATGTAAACCCCCGCCTCCACTCTTGTCAAATGTCTTTCTGTGACGGCAGGGCAGGGACCAGGTGTGGTAGAGTGATACTGAATTCATGCATGGCTGTGTAGGGCACTCTCGGACGATGATGGCGCCGGCGGACGATGACGACGAGTCGACAAACTGGGCAGACTTTTCGACGTTTGCTAGCCATGCGGCGATTCCGGCGACAAGCACAGATGCAGATGACGACGACGAGTTTGGCGACTGGCATGGGGCTCCGACATCGCAGCCTTCTGTGTCCGGCACGTCTGCCGCGACCAAGGGCAGCAACAGAGACGTCGAGAAGCTGACAGGAGATGTTCCAGACGCTGCACAGGTCGCCGTCGACAAAATAATACCACCCTTTTTTCCCTCGCTATTTCCCGATTCTTTATTCCTTAGTCCTTCTTTCTAGACCACGGCTATTTTTTCCTCCTTTTTTCTTTTTTTTTTCTCGAATTAAACTATATCCCTAGTTGATGATAGCTCCTCAGGAATGATCTGGTGGGTTAAATGTAAAAGAAAAATAGTGTTTACTGGCCTCCCATGGCGGCGGCCTGCTCCTCCTCAGCAGTGGGGCGCTTCTTCAGCGCCAGCTCGTTGCCGGTAACGCGACGGTAGATGTCGCGGATGTCGTCGTAGACGGTCTCAAAGTGCGAGGTGGCGTCGTAGGAGCGGCTGACAAAGACATTGTCCGCGGAGCCGTCGGCCACGGGCTCGTAGAGGTCGGACACGGCGACAAAGATCTGGTCGATCTCGCCCAGCAGCTTGAGGGCAGCAGCAATCTCGTCCTTCGGGTCCTCCGCAGTCTCGGCAATGGTGGCGATGGAGGCCACGTAGTAGTCCTTGGGGCACACGTTGTGGCCAGCCGACAGGTAGGTGATGTAGATGTCGTGCTTGCGGCCGACCTGGTTCTGCGGCAGGATGATCTGGGCCGAGTCAGCATCGTTGATGTTTGCGATTGGGTGCTTGAGGAAGCACGTGGCGCGGATGACGCGGCCGGTCTTGCGCACGCTGTCGCGGAAGTAGGACGGGTCGCCAATGACCTGCTTCGCCTTGACGGTCTGGTCGCCGGACCGCACGCCGACAAACTTGCCTGCGTCGTCACGCACGACCTCGTCCACAGGCTGGGCCAGCATGTAGGTGCCGCCGTAGATGGCGCTCAGACGCGCAAAGCCCTGGGGCAGCTCGCCCAGGCCGTAGCCCGGGTAGATGTAGGGCGACTTGCCGTAGCGCGCGACCGAGTTCGTGTAGAGCACAATGCGGTCGCAGGTCAGGCGCGCCGGCTTCGTCATGTAGTCGTCGTTCAGATACAGCGCCATCGCATGGCCAATGAAGTCCTGGGTGCCGCTGTCCAGGCCAAAGTGCTTGTAGACGGTCTCCATCGAGTCCCGGTCCAGGTCCAGCCCCTGGATGCGTCGCCGCGTCGTCGTCGCGCCACGCCTGCAGGAACTCAAAGAACTTCTTCGCCCGGCGCTTCTCGAAGAAGCCCATCAGCGGGCTCGCCACCGCCTCCATCTCCGTGGCCGGCACCTTGTTGATTTTGCCGTCGCGGTACACCAGCGACGCCGAGATCTGCTTGAACTCAAGGTACCGGGTCACGTCAGTGTACACAAGAACCTTCACCAGACCCTCATCCGCCATCAGGAATTTCGGAATCAGGTCGATGTTGTAGTCGCGGTCACGGCCCAGCGACTCGGGCGGCGTGGCGCCATCACGGAACTTGGCGTAGAGCTGGGTCAGGTTCAGGCTGGCGCAGTCGCCGCCATAGTAGTCGTTGCGGTCCATGTGCAGGACCTTCTTGCCCTCGACAGACAGAATTCCAGACAGAACACACTCGGTCAGGCCAGTGCCAAGAACGACAACATCGTATTCCTCATCCATTGTTGCAAGAGAATTTGGTAGAGCAGAGAACTGGGTTAAAAATAAAAAGGAGGATAGAGGGGGTTAGAAAAACAAGATACTGGAGAAGGGAAGAGAGGGGAGGAAAACTCCACGCAACCACTCTTTATCAGGTGGCCCGTTTATTTTTCCAAAACACAGCGCATACAAAAACAAGGGCAAAACAAAGAGCATAGGGATTGCCCCCTTGTCCAGCAGGGCCGCTGCAAGCGGTGGGGGGCATGTTGTTTACTGTATTTTCAAGGGTCAGGCCGACGACATGCCGTACGTTCTGTTGAATTCTATGTGGATCTCGAGGTCCTTGGCGCTGACGCTGGGCCGCACCTGGCGCAGCGCATAGGCAAAGTCGGCGTGCGAGATGGGCCGCACGTCCTCGACGCTGGCAGTCGCAATGTCAGCTATGGACCGGATGGGGCCATAGGCCGCCTCGCGACACAGCGAGTCCATGTCGGCGCCCGAGAACCCGTCGGTCTGATCGCAGATCTGCTCCAGCTGCTGATCGGTCAGATCGTGGGTCTGCTTGCGCATCAGATTCCGCACAATCGTGCGGCGGCCGTCGCGATCGGGCAGCGGCACATACAGGCGCTTGGGGAAGCGGCGCCGTGCGGCCTCGTCCAGCTCGTGCGGGCGGTTGGTCGCGCCCAGCAGGATGATGCGGTCCTCGTTGGATGAGCCGCAGCCATCCAGCTGCACCAGAAACTCGGTCTTGATGCGTCTCGTGGCCTCCTGCTCGCCGTCCGTGCGCTGTGTCAGCAGCGAGTCGATCTCATCGATGAATATCACCGTCGGCTGCCGCACCCGCGCCACGGCAAACAGCGCCCGCACCATCTTCTCTCCTTCGCCGATCCACTTGGACGTCAGCGACGACGCCGAGATGTTGACGAAAGGTCGCACCTGCCTGGCTCGCAATGCACCGCCCGATCAGCGTCTTGCCCGTCCCCGGCGGCCCAAACAGCAGCAGGCCCTTGGGTGGTGCCCGGATGCCCTGGAACAGCTCTGGCTTCAGCAGCGGGTAGATCACCGCCATCTGCACTGCCTTCTTTGCCTGCTGCAGCCCCGCAATGTCGTCCCACGACACGCCCTGTGTGTCCGTCAGAATCTCGTTCTCAATCGCCTCGATCATCCGTGGTTCGATGTTCTTGAGCCGCTCGTCCACCGCCTCCTCACCATCTGCCATCTGCCCGCTGCTGCCATCCTTCTTCTGTCCAGGCACCGGCGCCATATTACGCCGCAGTCCGCCGCGCTGGCGCTGGAATATGCTCGCCAACGACCCGCTGTTGCCTCCAAAGTACGTTTCCGCGAGTCGCGACTGACTTGCCTCCTCTTCCTCGGCTGCGCTCCTTCGCACCGGCGGCACAAACTTCCGGCTCACGCCGCTCTGCCTAGCGCCTCCGTTCAGCCCGTGTCTTTTGATGCTGTCCAGCTTCATCTGCCGCTTCGCACTCACAAATTCGCTACTGCCGTCGTCGCTGCGATACCCGCCTGCCGTCCTTGTGTGTATCCACTGCCCCACTAGGCTTTGCACCTGCCTCCGAGTCCTCCGAGTACGCACGCTTTTTTGCATTCATGCCAAGCTCTGGCCGCCTGCCCTCCACCTTCTCTGCCCGGCGGATTACTTTATTTGCGCATATGCCAGACTTGCTGATCTGCCGGAAATCAACTCGACTTGCGGCACTACCTTGCCAGAAACAGACGCTCAGCACTAGCACGTAGGGCGTCGCGAGAGAACAGCCCAGGCACTGCTGCCCCGAGACGCACCTCAGCATGCTGTGCATTTGCCAGCGACAGCTCATAGACTGACGGGCTCTGTTTGTCAACTGCAGTCTCTGTATCAAAGTAGTTGCGCTCAAACAAGTAGTACTCTTGACCGTCAGTGCTGTCGCTAGTCATTTTACTCGCAATTCAAACTGTGGCATGGAATTTAACAAGGTGGCTTGAATGCTGAAAAAGCAAGTATAGTTTATTGATCTCCGGCTGCGCAGCTTGTTAAACTAGTCAGCCAAAATATGTGGATTGCTGGATCACCAGAAGCAGCGTCTGATTGAATCAAGAGGGTCCAACTAACTTCACACTGGTGATGTCAGCAGAGTCAGGCACATATAGCCTGTGCAATCCCTAGGCTCATGATAGGCATAAAGAATCATAACTCAGCAGTGAAGGCCTGAATATCTGCATCATGCCTGCCGAATATTTGTGGATTCATGTACTGCCAGCAGCAATAAGAACGATCGCTCAAATATGCTTCCTATACATATACTCTAGCCCACTGTACTGGCGGTCCTCTGAAGAACACTCGTTTACACACTGCCTGTACCTAACAATATCATGCTTCTAATATCAGTGGGTCACTGCAGCTTCTGTGAACGAGCACATGTTTGTTAGCCCGCTCCACGAGATGCCACATGCAAATCACAACACCAGTTGTATTTTTAGTATTTAACGCTGCCAAGCTAGCCAACATGCATGGGCTGAGTTTAAAATAGCGCTGGAATCCTCGGCTCGATCACCATCCTGTTAATCTGTGCTTGGCGCGTATACTTCAGAAGACCCCTCGGTTTCATGAATGCAAGCCATATTGATAATCCTAACTTTAATGGCAATAGAATAGTCGGCAAAAAGGACCTAGTGTCTTTGCAGCTACTGCATTGGCATGCGTCATAGGTAGCACCGATATCCATCGTGCATGCCTTGGCACAGCCGGCGATCGCAGATAGAATCGCCCTGGAAATTAAATGGTCTTGTCGATATAAAAGGCGAGCTGGTTTCTACATCTGCCATGTAAATACTCATCATCACCAACTTCTGCATACACCTGCACCCTCAACAAGTCTCTGCATTAAAACCCCTCCACCCAATTCCAGCCAACTACCATGCGCTTCGCCTCCATTACCTTCATTGCCTGCGCCGTCCTCATCGCTTCGCCCGATATCGCCATGGGCGCCTCTACTGGCTCCAAGGGATCGGCTGTTGGTTCCAAGGGAACAACAGGCAAGGCCAAGTCTTCTCTCCTGCAGCCAAGTCAAAGGCGCCGGCTCTCCCTAAATCGAAGGCGCCAGTTCTTCCCAAGTCCAAGTCAGCACCTCCAACCAAGTCCAAGTCAGCACCTCCAACCAAGTCCAAGTCAGCACCCCCAACCAAGTCCAAGTCGGCAGCACCCACCGCGCCCGCGACTAAGGCCACCGCGTCGCACACGGCCACCTCAACCTAGCGCCGCACCTACCTCAACCAACCTGACGCACGACAAGTGTCCAACCAGCGTCCGCTCGTGCTCCAAGCAGACCAAGACCACCGATTACTGCTGCTTCGAAGAGAACGGCCAGTATGTCCTGTCACAGCAATGGACCAAGGGCCTGGGGACCGACGACTACTTTACTATTCACGGCATGTGGCCGAACACCTGTGCGGGTACGCTGACTCCTAGATCCGGATGCGATAATTCACGGGTGTACACTGACGTGAAGGCGCGGATCCAGAAATTGAAGCCTGCACTGGTGACTGACATGACAAAGTACTGGCCGTCGAAGGGCAACCCCAATGATGTGTTCTGGAACCACGAGTGGAAGACGCACGGTACCTGTGTGAGTACCCTGCGCCCGCAGTGCTACAAGTCGTACACCGAGGACCAGGACATCGTCGACTACTTCACCAATGCCATGAACCTGCACAAGAAGTACGACTATGCTGCTGCCCTGAAGAAGCACAGCATTGTGCCGGACAACACGAACCTTGTCAAGGCTGCCGACTTCAAGAAGGCTATCAACACTGAGCATGGCGTCAATGTCGTGCTCAAGTGCAAGACTAACCCTGCCACCAAGGTCAGCGAACTCAACGAGGTCTGGACCTTACTTCAATGTCCAGGATCTGAACACTTACATTGCGATTCAGCCGGGTAGCAGGGACACATGCCCCACGCAATTCCTGTACTTTAAGAAGTAGCTGTATACATTCATTTTAACTTGACAACCGTGAAACATCTTGTGACAGGGTGATTGAATAAACTCGTTCAAATATGCACATTGGAATTGTACATTAATACCACTTCCAACTGGGATACAGACGGCCATCTTCATTGATGAGAGTTACTGGATATCGTGCCTACTATGTGCGATAAACACGTCGAGCACGGGAAAATTGAACCTCACTTTTCAAGAGGATTATACATAATCTGCTTTGCTAGCTTCTTCAGAATGTATGGTTGCACATATAGCAGCATCAATCCCCAACACGTAACTATTCTAGATTGACCTATCAGTTGGTATCTAATCTACGGCGAGCGTTTCGAGACATTAATTCGGCAGTCACGATCCACATTGGTCGGAGAAATAACCATGTAGGCTATATAATCCATAACTTTCGGGTATCCGTTTTTATCCTTAATATCTGGGCCGAGGTGCGTATAGTCCGACGGGAGGGACAGGTCATAATCCTTGAGGATATTAGAAGTAATTGTAAGCAGTTCCATCATTGCCAGTTGCTTGCCAGTGCAGGTTCTGACGCCATAACTGAACCCAAAAAAGTTGCGGCGGGCATCTTCGTTGTCCAAGAATCGCTCCGGGTCGAACTTGAACGGATCTTTCCAAACTCCCTTGTTCTTCGATAACCCATGAGGGCAGACACTAATCACCGTACCGCCTGGAATAAAATGGTTCTGCAATGTGATTCCAGAAGGTGGTGTGACGCGTGGGTTACGTGTAGCAACGACAGGGATCAAACGCTGAGCTTCAAGCACGCACGCCTCAATATATGGTAGCGACTTTCTTGCATCGGCAAAGCTGACAAGATGGTCGCCTGTAAATTGGGTACGGACCTCGTCAACGGCTCTAGCACGGATTTCAGGGTGCAGCATCAATAGCTGCATAATCCATGTCAGCGTCAAAGCCGATGGCGCTGCGCCAGCAAGTGTGAACATGAATGACTCTCCCTGGATCTGGACATTGCTCATTCGGATCTTCGATTTGGGGTCCTCTGCATCAATGAATGCCTGGAGAAGGTCTGCTGGTTTTGCTTCCCCATTCGCGACACTGCTCCTTCTGTGTTTAATTGACCCGTCGGCGATCTCCATAACCCGACCAAACTGTGTCCGCAGGCGTTGAACACCAAACGAGAACGGATAGTACTTGAGGAGGGGCAGTACACCGCATATCCCCAGAAACAGGTTTGCGTCCCTCGCCTGGTAGCAGAATGAGTAGTCGTCATTTTTCAGTGAGTTGAATTTGCGGCCAAAGGCGAGGCCACTGATGGTATCGAAGGTTGCCAGAAGAAAGTCGTTCCCGTAATTGATTTCGACAGTACCATTGCCACTTTTTTCGAGCAGCAAGGTCCCACTTTTCCTTGATTGCACGGATTCCGTAGGTTAGTATCGCCTCCTCCATGCGTGCGAGATAGGCCGAGTTAAAGTACTGCCCAGTTTGGCGTTTGCGCATTTTGACAAAGCCGATATCGCGTCCACTGAGACTATTCTGCTCGTTCAGTACATCCATGGCCTTGAAATGATCGGACTTGGGAAATGAGTGCGTCCCGAGGATGCGACGGGCATCTGAGGGATTGGAAATAACGACGTTGTTTGGCCCTCGCACATAGATATCGCCATACTTGTCATAGTCACTAAGTGCTATCTCCACCAGTCTGCCAGTTAATCCAAGTATGATGGAGTATGCGCCCGTAAGACGTGCAAGAAATGGACCGGGAAGATGGCGCAAAGGAGATATATAGAGCGCATAAACGACGCGGTATACGATAAATAGGAATAGAAAAGATAAAAATGGGGTTATCCAGCCCACGTCTACTATGACACCAATAAGCGGTACTATAATTGAGGACAGCATTATAATATTTAGTGTATAGCTTTCAAAAATGATGACTATAAGAGTGGCTGCTGAAGAAGGGAAGGAGTGGAGCGTCTCCAGTTTAGCCTGTCGTATAGACTACTTCACTTGCCAACGCGCACCTGCTGTCAATTAGCTTATTCGCACCAGCAGCATCTATTGAGCTAATTGCTGTTTTATTTGAACCCAACACGCCCCGCTTGACAGGCGAATTTCAACAGGTAGAGTCGCCGTGAGAGCTACACTATATGACATGGCTGCCCTTCAACTAGAGAAGAATGTCGGCAGGCAGAATTGGAAGTAGCAGCTGTGAAGGTGTTTCACACATTATATGCGTGGCTGTGATCATGCTGCCAACAAACACCTCAGGTCCAAGCAGGTGTTTGTACCAAAGCGATGTGCCGCATTTCCTGTCAGCTCCTCCTCTGGTTTCTTGTTGCCTGCTGCCTGTCCTTGTCCAGTTGCCTGCTGGGCACTTCTCTGGTGCTATCCCCAGTCCTGGAAACAGACGTCGGTGCTGCACATTTCTGCCATGATACTCGACATGGCACCTTCGCATGGGCTCATCAGCTGATCAACAGTGTAATTTAATCTGATTATCATTTTGCACTAACCTCAAAAAAATTATATTTTTCTTCGGATTGCCTTTGAGCCTGGCAGAGTTTCGTTTCCAACCCGTCCTTTTCTCTATATTCACTCTAGAAATCCAGTACAGTACACCCCATTTGGAATAAAAATGGCCAAGAAGACCGTCCGTCGCAGCAAGTCGCAGGGCTCCAAAGCGCAAAACCAGGCAACAAAGACACGGAGCGAGGCCACAGAGATCACGCGGTGGACGTGCGCTTTCGACAACATCAACGGCACCGAGAGTTCTCTGGCCCTGGTCCGCTCAGGCGTCAATGGGCACCAATTGCGGATTATCGACATCCACACTGGCACACAGCGCAGTGAGCACCTGACCGAGAACGGCGTCAAGATCCGCTCGGTTGCATGGGGGCAGCTGCCGTCGGCTGACAAGAAGAATGCCGGAGGATCCAAGCAGGTTGTTGTTGCTCTTGCTTTGCAGAACGGTCAGATCCAGATCTACTCCCCGGCGCGCGACACTGTTGTGAAGACGCTTGAAGGCGAGCACGAGAACCCTGTAGTGGACCTCGCATTTGGCCCCGATGGCAGCGGCCAGCTGGTGTCGGTCGACGAATCGGGTCTGCTGGTGCAGTGGGATATTGCCGTTGGTTCAGCACTGAACCAGATCAACACCGGGATCCACGAGGCGCGGAAACTGATTGTGTCGTCGGACGGCCAGCGCGCAGTGATCGGGAGCCACAAGCTGGAGATGTGGGACCTTGGCAAGCAGAGCATGCTGCAGTCGTGGCCCGGACACACATCGCCCATCTTTAGCCTGGAATGGGCCGCCGATGAGACCGCACTGGTGTCGGCTGCAGAGAACGACCGTCCACGTGCAGATCTGGGATGCCAGCCCGACAGCCAGCTCCGCCACGGTGATGCGCGCGCGGGCGATCCTGGCTATCGACAGCGATGTTGTGTATGCACATGTCTCGGTTGACGGCTCTGTGCTCGCAATTGGCGAGGATGGCGTCATGTATGTGTGGCACCAGGTGGCCGTTGCCCAGCGCGACAGCAGCGCAAAGGCCAAGAGCGATATTGGCCAGGCGGCTGACGGCGTGGTGCGGATTCCTGTCCAGTGAGGATGCCGACAAGACGGTGGCGATTCCTGCTGGCGCGGTTCTCGCGTGTGTCTGGCGACGAGGGGCAGGTGATGATCATCCGCGGCAGTGCACTGATGCCGGTCTTCGAGACCCTGTCGATTGTCGACTCGACAGGCCAGTTCGAGCGCTCGCTTGTTTTGACGCGTGCCCCACAGAAGAACATTCTGGTGAGCTCGGCTCGCAGTGAGGCCGAGCAGAAGCTGGCCAAGCAGCAGCAAAAGTACGATGACAGCTCGGCGAGCGTAATTTCGCCGGTGGTGGAAGCTGTTGCCAAGTCGCAGAAGGTTGCGTCGGAGAGCAGCAAGCAGGAGATGCCCTCGCTGGCGGAGCGTGTCAAGCAGCTTTCGGCGGGCACCGATGACGAGGATGCGGAAATGCAGGATGGCAAGGTTGGCAAGCAGCTGACAGTGGGCACGCTTGTGCGCGTGCTAGTGCAGGCTCTGCACACGGACGACCAGGAGATGCTGAACATGGTCATCGATAACTCGTCACGCACCAACGTTGTCCGGGACACTGTCCTTGGCCTCCCGACCATGTACGTGCTGTCGTTCCTGCAGCAGCTGTTTGTGCGCTTCCAGACAACCCCCGCCAAGGCATCGACGCTTCTGCCGTGGATTCGCACCACCCTGACGCTGCACTCGGCGTATCTGACCACCATCCCGAACCTGATCCCGCAGCTGTCGGGCTTTTACCAGGGCGTTGAAGCCCGCCTCGAGACCCACCAGAAGCTGCTGCGGCTGAACGGCCGCCTGGAGCTCGTCCACACACAGATCCGCACCCGCGAGCTTGTGGAGAAGGACAAGTCGGGCCGCAAGCTGGCCCAGCAGTCGACTCCCGTCAAGAAGAGCAAGGCCATGAAGCCCCTGAACGTCTACCGTGAGTCTGACAGCGAGGATGACGAGGAGGTCGATGCCGCAACTGCGTGGCAGGCTGAGGAGAGCACGGACGATGACGCTGATATGGCCAGCGATGCCGAGTCTGACAACCAGTGGTCTGACGGCGAGGAGGAGATTGATGGCGTTGAAGCAGCTGCGTCCGATGACGAGGACGAGGACGAGGGCGACGAGTCGGGCAGCGAGCAGAGCGGCGAGGAGGACGATCTTGAGCAGTTTGACTAGCCAGCGCAAATCTAATTTTTCTATTTCGGTTGCAGAATCAAAATTTTCAACCATGCGTGATTTCGATAAGACATCGCCTGGCCAGTTTTATTTAAAATTTTCCAGCTCCTTTCAAGCTCCAATTCACAAATTCATACACTTTTATTGCCTCTATTATGTTGCGCGTAGTTGGAGGACGCCTCAGGAGTCAGGCCGCCGTTGCAGCTGCGTGCGCCTGCTGGATCGCGCTCTGTGGCCAATGCGGTCAAGCCTGCCGCGGCCCAAATCAGCTCTCCCTTTGACACCCTCCCCATTCGCCCTGTTCCTGCGGCCCGACACGCCTGCCTACTTTATGGCGAAGCCGCGCTACGCCGATCTTGTCAGCGGCCTGTCGCGGATCACGCAGGAATACCCACTGGGCCGCTTTAACAAGGCTACGCACAAGCCTGGCAAGTGGATCAAGCGCGACAAGCTCGAGAAAAAGCTGGAAATCAAGATCACCGAGAACGAGTACCGGATCTTGGTCCAGCGGCTGTGTGATGCGGAGCGGGCGCGGATCGCTGACCCTGATGTCAGGACCGAGGTGCGGCTGTATTTGCGGCAGTTTGAGCGCGGGTACACGCATATCGAGGTCGTCAAGAAGGACGAGGAGAACATGACTGAGGAAGAGAAGAAGGCTGCCGAGAGGAAGGCGCTGCTGAGGAAGAGGAAGTCGAACAGGGGATACAAGGACGACCTGGGAAGGTGGTATCGCTGTAGGTAAGCGCAAGGAGGCGGTGGCCAGGGCGTGGGTTGTACCTGTCAACGGACAGCTGGAGGCAGCCAAGGGCACGCCTGCTCCGGCTGTTGAGTCGGAGGCTGCTCCTGCTGCTGAATCTGAGCCCACTCCTGAGCCTATCTCTCCGATCCTGGCCCACCCGGGTGAGGTCCTTGTCAACGGCAAGCCCCTGGCAGAGTACTTTGCTCGCACAACTGATCGCGAGTCGGTGCTGTTCCCCTTCCAGACCATCAGCAAGATTGGCCAATTCAACGTCTATGGCGTCGTGCACGGTGGTGGTCTGACGGGCCAGGCCGAGGCTCTGCAGCTGGCCATCGCGCGCGCTACCCATGCCATGAACCGCACTCTGCATGACGGCATTCGCCGTGCGGGTCTCCTCAGGAGAGATCCCGAGAACCGTCGAGCGTAAGAAGACCGGTCAGCCAAAGGCCCGCAAGAGATACACTTGGGTCAAGCGTTGAAATTTTTTTATATTCTTTCCACAACATGGAGTCTTGTGCTTACCCATTTACCAGCATGTTCATCAGGATCTGGTTGTCCAGGTGGATCACTTCGGCGCGGCTATGTGCGCTCTTGCATGGCATGTTCTCGCTGTACCGCTTCATCTCGGGTGACCTGCATCGATGGCTCTCCGTGACATCCCACACCTGCGCACTGAGCTTCTTGACGAACGTCTTGCGCGCAAGCCGATCAAATGCCTGGAACCTCAGCCGGTCGTACTTTTTCTCGGGGTCGTCCGACATCCGGCAGCACCAGAACGGGCCTGACCTGTAGATAAACCTGGCTCTAGGATACACCGACTTGAGCCTGTCTGCCATGCGAACCACTTGCTTTGTAAACCAGGTCCAGTTGCCGAATGCCGCGTCCCAGGTGACGATTTGCACTACTACCAAGCTAGCCTCGCGGTACTGTGAGATATTGCGGCGTGTAATGTCGCGGTCCCAGAAGCTGCCCTGCATGTCCAGCGTGCCTCGAGTGAACAGATAATACAGGTCAAAGTAGTCGTTCCGCAGCGAGTATCCGGGCGGCACATAGTCCGGAAGGTAGTCTTCTCTGATCGGATCCTTCTCGACAATCGGCCGCTCATCTGTTGGATCCACTGGCAGGTTTCGCAGATCACTGTATATCTCGCTGCTCCTTACGCCGTCGCTATGTATACGATACCAATGCGGAACCGGCATGTTCGAATACCACTCATCAGGAAACAGGTCCTTGGGTGCGTCATTGCACAGGCAGTCAATGCGGCTGAGCTGAGACTTTTTATGGCACCACCTGCCGCTACTGAGGAACGGGCGTAATGTGCGGCGCGAATTCGAGTCTCCGTACCAGTGAATAGACGAGTACCGGGCGGACATGTAGAGCGTGAACTCGGGATGGCTGATGCGCCGCATACGACAGTGATACGGGAGCCAGACACGCCCGTCTTCGGCAGGAAACATGTACTGCCATTTCTGCCACGTGCTCGGCAGATTCGCTTCAGGGATCCAGCGCCCGGCTTCATCGCCTCGAGTGCACAGTGGCAGGTTCTGGTGACGCTTCAGGTACGTTGGGTGCTTCACGTCCAACTTCACATGAACTTGGCTCAGAACAAACTCGTTGCTTGGGATGGTTGTCTTCATTCGGGTCTCGCCATACGGAACAGAATCTTGGTGGGGCTCTGCGTTCCACTCTCCGTTGCGGTAGTCGAGGCGCGCATCAACGTCGTATACTCCGGGATCGTAGAGGCGTGCTGTGCCCTGGTAAATGTGTGCACGGGTGGGATCCCTGTCATCGGATTTGGCATAAAGATCAACGGGCACTGTGACATGCGAACCCTTGTAAAGCGCGTCTTCGTTGCCGTTCTCGTCGCGCGTGGTTCTGAGCACTAGATCTAGCATTATTGAGTCCGCCGGGTACCCTGGAATTGGCCGGTACAGCGTAGAATTAGCCGTTCCTGCATTACCGTCAGTTTTTGGAGGCACTACTGCGTGCACACAGACGCAGTCACCAGGGTTGATGGTTTTGGTTCCGAATTCGCTTCCAACTATATAGGCAAATGGTTCGGTGTCGGGTTTAACTGAGAACTTGTAACCGCGTGCGCTACGGCAAGCGGATGAGCAGCCATCATTGGGAATGACCCGAGCAGTGTACCACGTCGAGGAAGAGAATTCTGCAACGTACTTCAAGTACGCAACGCCGAAGAGGAATGCGACGAGCAGCACGAGACGCTTGCCCATTCGCAGCAGCTTTCGTGCTGGCAGACGCGACTTTGCCTTCTCCATTGCCACAACAACAGTGATGAGGAAGATGAAATGGTGCTAAGAGCAGATAGAGAGCATGAAGGAGTGCTGAGTGGCATCCAGGACTTGCCCTCTCCAACCCCGCTTCATATACGCCTTTGGGACCATGTGCCCCTATATTGGCCGCGCAATATACAATATCGGCCATGCACGTGCAGTGGGGTAGAGCTGGCTGTGATCCCTTGATTGCTTCTTGATCGGTCTGTTATCAGAGCTCGCGCATTTTTTGTGCTGGCTTGGCTCGCATTCAGGCAGGCTGGCTGATTCCAAGTGCAGCCCAGATATTGCTAAGCTTCACGATCTTCACGAGAACTTTTCTTTGCCTCTGTCAATTTAAAACTCCAACTTTTTCTAGCGGTCCAATCTCTTTGATTCCAAATTTATAATGCAGGCACTGAGGCGTGTTCTTTTCAACCCGGCCCGGATCACCCCTCGCGCCACCCGCCTGGCACCCCTCACAGCCTCGCGGTTCTCCAGCACGCTCGAGGTTCCGCGGAACCTGTTCCTGGCTAGCGAGCTTGAGAAGCCGAGCCAAGGGATGGTGTCAACAGCTGTCGGCGATCTGGACCCCGCTGCGCCAGCATCCAACGTGCGTAGCGAGTTCTGGCGGCTCTATGTCTCGGCAATGAGCCGACTGGGCGGCAGCCATATCAACCGGCCAAAGAAGTCCACTCTGCACTGGCTGGTGACGAATGCCGAGACCAGGGAGGAGCTGGACACGGCGCTTGAGATGGCCAAAGTGTGGCGGATGCAGATGATGCCGATCACCCAGGCGACCGCGCAGATCTGGATCGATTCGTGCATCCGGCTGAACTACCCCGAGCTCGCCATGACGATGCTTCTGGATCAATGGACCTACCGCCAGCTGCCGGTCTCGTATGGCATGGCCAAGCTGATCCGGTTCCTGGGCAAGCAGGCTAAAGAAACCGGCGATGAGGCGAAGCTGGACGATGCGTTCAGGGTGTTTGCGCTGTACCCGTACTACAACCTGCAGCATGATGCCGATGCATATGGCGCGCTGGTGGAGGCGTGCTGTGAGGTGAACTCGGAGGAGGCCTGGCGGAGGGCCCTGGTGGTTGCGGAGGAGACGCTGGCGGACGCAGCACCCGGAAATCACGGTTGAGGCACTGACGGCGCTCGAGACGCGTTCGTTGGAGCGCGGTGAGAACGAGATGGCCCAGCGGTACAAGTCACTCAAGGGCTCGCTGGAGTTCAAGCGCAGCACCAAGGATGTCAAGTTCGAACAAAACGACCAAGAAGTTGAAAACTAGAAGGCATATATTTCGTAGAAAGCATCAAAAAGTGGGTTTTCATTTTTCTGAGACATCGCTGCTAGTCTCGTCGCCTGTTGGGTATGTAAAGTGCAACGGCAACTGTGAGGTAGCCTCTTGGTCTTCTGTATCGCCTTTGTCGGCAGCATTCTGCTCTGCCTGGCTCCTGAGCATCCTCATCGCTCTTGACGCTATCCGGGGTGTTCCAGAAGGCTGAATCGAGCTTCGAATCGCCTTCCATCAGGGTTGCCTTGTTTGTTTGTCGACGCTCGGCAATATCCTGCGGTGGGTAGAAGAAGGAATCGAACCAGTCATCATATTTGTCCTCCTGCTTTGTCCTCTGTCTTGGAGCTGTTGTCTGCCTTGGGCGGTGCTGCAACTGATCCAAACTGGCTCTCGGCAGAAGAGATTGTCGGATCGTACTGGATCAGTAGGTGGCGGTGGTCACGGTATGCTGAATTTCCATCCGCCACAGCAGGGACGCTCTGCAGGACCGGGCTGATATGCCAGCTGGATCTGGTACCCCAGAGATATGGATGGTGGTGGTCAGAGAACCCATGAGAGGAGTCCTTGTGGTGGACCAGGATCAGCAGCACCGCCAAACGGCAGCTTGAGTCGAGCATATGCTTGGCTGTGCCAGCCTTCTTAGCGTTCGGATCCGTGCTGTCGCTGTCATCCTCGTCCCGCTCCTTATTCCACAGCGTCGGTACCCAGACAAACCCAACAACGACCAGCGCCGTGACAACCACTGCCACCAAACCACTGCGAATGGACTCGAGCCGGATTGCCTCGATATCTGTTTTCATTTCGCCGACAAGCACTTGGTACCGACTCGCAAGCGCGTGCAGTTTCATATCCAAATGCTTCATTGCATGGCTCGAATCGTGCTTGCGGTTATTCATCTCAATCTCGATATCGGATCGCAGATTTGCAATTTCGTCATTTGTTCCTCTGCGCCAGCGACTCAATATCGCGACTAATCGCTGCTGCGTGCGACTCGAGCAGCGCCTGGTCGTTTTTGCGAATCATCCTGCGTCTCGGTGCGCAGCTCCTGCAAAGCCGCCTTAAATAGGTATGCGTCGTTTTCGAGGTCGCTGCGGGTCAGCATCTCCAGCCGCACTTTCTCCATTCCTAGGTTGACCTTGAGCTTGACCAGCTTCATAATCGCCGTCGCCTGCTCGCGAGTGAATCCAGAGTCTGCGAGCTTGTTGACGAGCTCGTAGGTGCTGAACAGATTTTGCTGCATCATGGCATGGTTGTCAAGACTATCCTCTGTGGATTCCCCCACCTCCACATGCTGCTGCTGCTGCTGTTGCTGCTGCGCCTTGCGTGTCTTGCGCAGGTCATGGATAATGCTCGACACAGAAGAAATGGTCCCTCCACTGGCAGTGTCAGCAGTAGCTGGCGCAGAATCCGGTAATTTGTAGAAACCACGCCAGGGTCCGTTTTGCTGCCTGCTTCGTTATCAGTGCTACTTTCGCCAGGGCCCTTTTCCGGTTTGACACGGTCGTCCTTCAGGTGTGCCAGCGAGCTGTGAATTCCAGGGCTGCTCATGCGCTGCAGAATAACGCTCTCTGCCGTCGGCCAATTCGCTTTCCGGCGATTTTTCATCGTTCACAGCGCGGCTAGTGTGAAGCCGCTGCCTGAACAGGCGTCGTGGTGGTGTGCCGAGCTTTACAACCATGCCGAAATGACCGCTGCATTTTATGTTTTGGAAATGTAAAAGGCGTGAGAGCAATTAAAGTAAGCAGCGGTTTCAGAGCAAGCCGCCGTCTGGCCTTTCACGCGAGCTGGAGGTGATGACACGCTTGCAAGTCACAGCAAAACAAAACCAGCCGGATTTGGCCAGATTTGGAATCCACGAAGCGATTGGCATAGAGCGCCATACAGCAGCCACTGCTGCTTCACCTGCATCTTGGCCAGACCATTAGCAGAGATGAGCCGTTCATGATCCACAGCCTCCTCCAGTGCGCACAAGCATACCGTGCACATACTCGCTTCATTGCCTCGTCCATTTCTTTGCCACAGAAAACCAAACAATACGTACCGTTGTTACGACTCCATCCGCAACTACCGCCGCCATCACCACGACGGCTACTACCATCACCAGGTGGCGCTAGACATTTGCCACATATCTTGTTTAAAAGAATCACTCGAATGCCACCGTAAATAAGGAGAACACCACAGTCTATTTGCCCATTGGCAATAAGGTTACAAGTGAGTCTTCTCTTTCGCCACATTAATTGCACTGCGCGCATTTCTGCTTCAGACTCAATCCCGTTTGTCGCCGAAAAAACCCGGGCATTCACCAGCCATAGCTCGGCGTCGCTCTCAGAGTGTAAACATCGCCAGTTTCTGGTAGCTTGTCTTAGCGTGCTGAATTTTGAATCGGGCTTGTCTGCCGACAATGGAATGCAGAAACAAGAACTGGATTGATAGGCGAATTGTCTACGCCGCTTAATTATCTGCCACAGAAGCCAAAAAGCGCCGAACAAGAGCCATGCTAGACCACTTACTCGCAGTCCAAGGAGCTGTTCAAAGCTGTGGGACCGACAGCTTTGCCATGACTAGTTGTTTCTGTCTGATTGTCGATAATTTGTGGCCGCTTGAATCTTTTCTTGTCAAGCATCCTGCCGCAGGTCTTGCTGTCTTTTGATCCGAGCTAGAGTGCAGCCTTGTATAAATATTCGTCGAATGCTCCCTGTCCAACATCCTTGCCAGGCACATGGTATCCAGCTGCTTTTACATCCCTCTCTACTATTGGTATCCACCTCTACCGCCGTCTACCTCCCTCTTTTGCACTACACATCGACAAATATGGTCCCGCCCAACTCTACTGGCCTAGGTCTCAATGGATTCCATTCCCCAAAGACACAGCCGCTCTCTTTCGGTCAAGACAGCCAACGGCAGCTGTGTCTCGCTCCTTAATGATGACTTGTCCTGCGATTCGCGCCGTTGCTCCTCCGTGCCCGAGCTGACACCACAGCACTCTCCAGCACCCTACTCATCATGCATGCACTCGCCCACCCGTCTTCCTTCGCTTTCGGCACTGATCGAGGCCGTCAACATCGTCAGCCCACGGCCTGCCATCTACCCGACCTACTCCACCTCGACATCTCCAACCATGAGCTCACAGTGCTGCGATCAGCCTACACAGAAGCCCCCCGCCAAGCGCAAGTACCGGTGCTCGTTCCCGGGCTGCGAAAAGGCATTCACAACCTAGCGGCCACTTGTCACGGCACTACCGCATCCACACAGGCGAGAAAAACTACCACTGCCTTTACCCCGGCTGCACAAGCAGGTTCTCGCGCCAAGACAATATGATGCAGCACTATCGCACGCACTTGTCTCCCAGGAGCCGTCCGCAACCGTGGACCACTCAAGGCGCCCTCAATGGAGGCGCTTCCACACAACTTTGTCATGCCTACCCAGCACAACAGTATTCGCCACGCCTTCCACCCCTACGCTCCCGAGCAGTGGCCGTTTTAATAATTGTTCCCTAGTTTCTTTCTCTGTTCTAAACAACAATATCGTAAACTAATTGTAACCACACCCAGCTGCACTAGCAGCTGTTGCAAATGGTTTGCCATACGAGGCCTGGCGATGAAGATATTAGCATCAGCTATGTAGCCTAAAGGCTTTTTGGAGGGAGGCAACTATGCCGTTCAACGTGCTAGTTCTCCTTATTTGGCAATGCCTACGTAATATAAACCTTCATCTGCCTTCTGGATGCTCAGGCAATAGCGACACATGCCCACCAGGTATCGCTGCGCTGTATATTGAACACAGGAGGCTTAGCTTGTTTTCGGCCAACTGGTATCCATTCTTGGCGAAATAAGGCCCTGCGTAACGAATATACCGGGCAACTATCTGTCGTCGCATACAACGCCTACTAGGCCCAAGTGGCTGAGCCACAGAATACACCCCCAAGCCCACTAATGTTGACAGTAGCTGTGTAGTGCACAGATATGCTACAGCGGCAAGTGCACGATGAATGAAGAACTGCAATGGTCCTTGATCCTCTGGTCTTCCTTCCCTATGCAACACAATGCATGTGGCGAAATCGCGTTGTGCACAATGTGCGTCTGTGAAGCACACCTTCGACAGTAACTTGTCCTTGGCTTTTCGACTTTTGGATATATGGTTCGATCTAGACAATTAAAACGAAATTGCGGCAAAGCCGCCTCGAGAAATATATTGAAATCGATTTAGATTTTAGACGAGTACTCGGCCCAGCCAGGGAAGTAGGCGTACAGGTTGCCAGTGTACTTGGCATCGGCCAGTGCGCTGACAGCCATCCGGGCACGACCGCCGACCTTGGCAGTGGATGATCACATTGCGCTCCGGATCGTTGGGCTTGGGCATATCGAAGCCATACTTGGCCTGGAAGTCGGCGGGAGGCAGGGCAATGGCCTCCTTGATCTCGGAGACAGGCACGTTATGCGCAGTCTTGATATGGCCAGCGGCGAACTCGCCCGGGTTGCGCACATCGATGATCACATACTTTGAGGCATCAGGAGAGACGGACTCGGCGATATCGCGGATCTGTTCGAAGGAGAGGGGCTGGGCAGCAGACGACATGTTGGAAAAGTAGGATGTAAGCACACGAATAAATATAAGGCCTAGTGCAAAGTACACGATGTTGTTCATTACGGAAAGCAAAAAGTATGATTGTAAAGGGAGAGAGCAGGCTTGAGGGCCTCCGCATTCGAAGCCCCCTTTATACCTGCCGGTTTTCAGGGGGTTGCAGGAGTCGAGTTCAGCCAAGGTAAGCACGCAGTCTGTGATGCATGGATTTATAAGCTTTCGGCTTATTTTCCAAATCAAGTCGTACGACTCAGTCAGGAGCCGAAGCATAGCCGCTAGAGCCGAGCTGCGACTCGTGGGTGGCGAAGCATGCTGAACCCAAAAACTTGCCACAACCAAATATGCCCGATGGGCTTCTTGGACTCTGGTCCTTCCTCTGCTGTGCTGTATTTTCCTTACGCATTCTTTCCTTTTGAAATGCCGCCTACCGAGCAGCTGTCAGAGTACGAGCAGCAGCGTTTGGAGAACATCAGGCGCAACCGCGAGATCCTCCAGTCGCTCAACATTGGCGATGGGCCTTTGCTCGGGGCGGCGCCGGCAGTCCGAGGGAGAAAACAGTCAAAAAGCGCAAAAAGACAACTATCAGACGGCCAAAGAATCACACGCCGACACGCCGCTCAAAGAGGATACGTGGTGAAAGCGCAGACGAGGTGACCAAGGCTGAAGAGCAGGTTATCGAGAGCAACGACGCGACCGAGTTCTACCACCTGCCGACAGAGCACTTCTCGACAGATGTCGTGAAGAAGGCGGTGCACGTAGACGGGCACTACACGGGGTGGGTGGAGCCTGGGGTAATGCAGCGGCTTGGGATCAAGGGCAGCGCGACGGAGGCATGGGAAAGCGAGGGCGGCGGAAAGTTTTCGTTCAAGGACCCATTGGGAACCGGCAAGAAGATCAGCAAGAGGGCGCTACCTGCGGGCCAATCCGCAGCCAAATACGTATCGTCGCAGATGCTGAGGAAGAATCCGAATGCGTATTTCTATAGGAACACCGAGCCGGGGGTTGATCAGTGGACAGGTGACTGGACCGATGAGGAGAGGGACTTGTTTATAGAGACGGCGACGGAGTTTGGGTGCGGCGACAAGTGGGGGTTGTTCTCGACGTATATCCCGCACCGTGTCGGGTACCAGTGCAGCAACTTTTATAGGCAGTGCATTATCCCAGAGGGCTGGGTCATCGACGACAACTACCGCCTGGACAGTGGGGGCAAGGCCGTGTATGTCGGAAACCACAAGCGGAGGGGTGCAAAGTAAACTGCCATGTATAGGTCTACTTTCTTTTTAATAATGTTTGAGATGGCAGACACATGGAGAGCTTACTGCGAAGGATAGATCCTGAATTGGTACAGAATGACAAAGTGGATGATGCACGGGACCAAAGCACCCAGCAGCCAGGGCACGTACGGCGCCAGGTAGTGCGGGTCGAGCGAGACCACCAGAATGGCCAGCGCATATGTGACGTTTGCGATCAACGACAGAATGAACAGCCAGATCGATAGGCCCTCGACGCTCTTGCGCTGGTAGTTCTGGATAGCCTGCGGCACATAGGACATGATGTAGACAATGGCTGATACAGTGCCCATAGGCCTGGGCGATGATCTGCTTGACAGGGCGACGGGTCCACAGGCGGGGATGCCTGGGGCTGTCTCGTGGTGGTTCTTGACTACGACAGTCACCAAGCCGCCTACTGCAAGCAGGCCAAGGAACAATGCAACGACAGGCTGGCACGTGACGCTGCTGGTGCCACGGCAGGTTTTCAGTCACGAGCGTGCTATCATGTCCGTCGGCGTCCGAGCCATCAATCGGCTCGTACCCCTGGTAATCCACAGCCCCAGAGCCATGCTCGTTGCCGATGAGCGCGCTGTGCACCGCCGCACCCGTCTCTGCATCCTCCTCTCCGCTTTCCGCGCTGCTGCTTGTTCACCAGGTGGGCATTGTAAAAGATGCGGTAGTAAAACGTCTGCGACAGCAAGGTGACGTCCACCAGGATATAGTACGAGCCGATGAGGATGGTGGACAGCACCAGGTTCTGCATGACGGCGCCGGTGATGTTGAAGAGATCACCAACAACCCAGGCAATATTCATCATAGTGCTGACGCCCTCGCCGCTCTTGCGCCTGTAGTTGAGCCATATTTGTGGGAACATGACAACCACCCAGCATGAAAGCGAGATGTACCCGATAATGTCGGATGGCAGTCTGGTTCAGACCTTCGGTACCGGCGGCAGAGTCCATGGGCAAGGATTGAAGGGGGCAGAGGTACGGTAGAAATAGAGAAACAAATAAAGTATAGCGGGTCCGCTGGGAAGAAAAAGTATGATTGCTTTTGCTGTGCGCATGCCCTAGATACCGCTTTCCAAAAAATTTTGCCACTTCCATCGCCGCGCCAGACGCATTGTGATTTCCTCCCGTAAATTCTGTGCCTGAATAGCGCATGGAATGGTGCCTCTGGTGGCCGGGCCGGGCCGCAGTGATTGGGTGGCTCCAGGGCATGTGTTGCGACCAGCAGAAAATTAACGTACGACCGGCCGCATCGACCCCTTTCCTCCCTCTTGCGCTTGTCAGCTCTCACAAATAAAACCTTTCTCTCTTGCGAAAAAAGCGAGTGTTTCGTGCTCTTGTCTGTTATTTCCACACTGCACTGTTCTAATATCCCCTGCCCTCCACCGCAAGGCGCTTTCCTCACCTTGTAATTTCTTACACTTGCTCTCAGTTGGCGTGCTTTCTGTTCTGGAGCAATTGCGCATTTCATTTCCGCTCTATGTGCCCTTGAACATTGGTCTGTTCTGCTCGTCTGACGATTTGAAACTTGTCGAGGAGCGCAGATTCGCATTGCACACGCGCGCACTTTTAACCGACGACTCAATACACAGCAGAGACTGGTGATAGCCATGAGCCAGCCGCCGGGAGCTGTCATTTCAGAAAACCACGTCGACACGAATGGCCACCCGGTTCCGTGGAGCAGGGAGTCTGTCGTTCGATGGGCCCGGGACAACCACTTTGAAAAGTTTATCCCCGCATTTCTTCGTAAGTTGAACTCCCCCGCACGCATTCATGCTCCCAGGTACTCGGTATTCAGCGCTGGTCCATTAACCTAAGGCTGTCGGATATTAAATTATTCTTAGGGCGTGGCATATTTGCCGAGCGGTTCTACTCTCTGGACATTGACAGTCTGAAGGCAATGAATGTGCCGGGCGCGCTGTTTCGGGACTACGTGCAGCTTAATTCCGCCATATACAGGATAGTCGCCAGCAGCCACCTGCCGGACGCGCGTACATCGAACGAGGGCACGCTGCGGAACCAGCAGCACAAGCCATTGCCACCCACGCCCCAGGGCACCGAGGCTCCAGTGTTGCTGAACCAGGCAGGGCAGCCAGTACAGCAATTGCACTGGCAGCAGGGCCATTCGCGGCCACCGCCACCAGCACAGCCGCAGCAGCAGACAGTGCGACCACGACCGCAACCACGGCCACAACCACCACCACAACAACAGCAAATACGGCCAGCACAACAGCAATTGCGGCCAGCACCGTTGGCTCATAGCCAGGCATTTGCCATGCCGGTGCGCCCACAGCAACCACCACCACAGCCACGACCTATTCAGCAGCAGCCGCAGCTGAATCAGCATACAAATTCGCATATTCTCAACCGGCCACTGCAGCCACTTCGACCACCACCGCCATCATGGATGATTCGCAGAGACAGTCCACAGTTGCCGTCACAACAACAACACCAGCAGATATCAGCACCCAATCAATCGCCACCACAGCAGAGACCCCGGCCACAATTTATGAGACCGCCACCACAGCAACAGCAGCATCCGTTCTCGCAGCCTCCGCCCCAGCAGTCCATCTGCAATGGACTCCTAGTAGTGGAGTGCAAGCGAGGCCAGTCCACTTGACAGCATTACCTAACCCAGCAGTCTTAACAGCACCGCCGCATCCACCGCCACTAGCACCACAAGCACCCCCCAGCACCACAAGCACCACCAGCACAGCAACAGACACTATCTACGCCCAATGTCCCTACCGTAGCAGGTGGACCGTGGGTTGCGGCCCAGTCCCAGCATGCCGCTGCTGGTTCAGCAGCCGACCAAAGAGGACGCAGCCGAAACAGAGTCAGTCCGTAGCAATGCTCCTGTAAATGCACCAAGCAGTACTCAGCAGGTACCATTCGCAATCAACACCGGTGTAGCAGTGCAGCGGGATAATATTGGGTATGGCACATCGGCAGCGACTCGCCCATGGACATCACGGACAGCCTAATTCACCACGGTCGCCGTACCGCGACGGCCAGTATTCCGGCGATCGATCGGCTCGCTACGGCGGCGGTTCGGGATATCGCAGCCGAAACAGTGCGCACGTAGAAGACTGACGAATTGCCACTGGTGCGGCCAGGACAAACGACCTTGGGGGGTGCCCAGCCAGCCACAGCAGCAGCAGCACCAGCAGCACCAACAGCAACACATCAGCACATCAGCAACAACAAGGGTCGCAGCGGCGGACGCCAGCAAATGTCAACAACTTGCCATACCAGCCCAGCGGAGTACGTAGGCGCAGCCAGCTGTCAGAGCCAGGCGGTGATGATTATCTCCTATGTGGACCCTAAAGGTGAGCTGCACGTGTCGCCAGCCAACAGCCCACTGACACCACCGGTGACGGCTGCTGGCGTGTTCCGCCGAGGATCGGGGTCGAATAACGGCGTGCAGCATATGGCCAGAAGCGGCGTGAATCCGTCAGCGATGCCCCAGCCGGCCCGGTACCACGGCACGAACCAGCCGCATTCGCCGTATTATGCACACGGATCTGCATCATCGCCCATGTTCAATTACCGCGGAGTCACTGCACCAGCGACACGGACCGCATACGCGACCACGTCGCATGGATCGCGGTATTCGGCAGGTGAAGCCAGCGCCAGCGCAACAGTCGGACCGGCATTTCTGGGTAGCGACCCAAATGCTCCTCGCCAGCACTACCCTGCAGGCCATGCCCGGCCTGGGGTACGTGGCATGTTTGAGCCGGTGGTGACTGCGGCGCCGACTAGCGGAGCGTGGTCGCCTGCCCAGGTTCCGGTGACTACACGGCCAATGTCAGCCACAACGCCGTCTAGACGGACGTCGATATCGCCAGTACTCACTGCGCTGCAGCCAGCAGGCTACCACATTGCCAATCTACCCGACGATGGTGATTCAGGATTCGTCTGATTCATCAGAGAACGAGTTTGGCGGGCCGCGGGTTGTGCGAGTATCGTTCCCGAGACTCAACGACGCAGCTGGTGTTCCCAATATTAACACTGCTGTTAGTCGTGGAGTGCGGCCAGCATCTGACGTGGTGGCGACGCCGTTGTCTGGTGGTCAATGTGTCGCCCAGTGCGCTCGATGTATCGGCGTCTCCGAGTTCAGTCAGCGAGTCCGCGCGCAGCATTGCATCGCCACACACTGCCAAAACCCCTACTGTCCAAGAGGACCTGCCGTCGCCACAGGGTCGGGCCGAAAGGACGGGCAAGGGCGCTCTAGACATGTCGCAGGAGAAGCTACTGTCGGCGTTTGGCGCGGATCTGGGCGATCTATCGAGTAGGAGGCCAGCGCACCTGCGCCATTCAAAATCCCCGTCACTGCCGATTTCCCTGAGTTCGTTTAACTCGTCATTGCATGGTTCGTCCGAGGATATGGCCAGGAAACCTCAACACCCACTGCAGCAGGAACAGCAACCATCCCCCGATGCCGGTGCCAGCAGCCGACTGGTCGGTGTGGGATGCAGAGGAGATTGAGGGCGACGAAGGCGAATCTGCTGCCAGTAGCGATGAGGATTTGATGGGCAACGCAGACCCAGTGGTGCCGTCGCCCGAGTCGGTGGAGTTTGATGCTGAACCGCTGGTATTTGATGCAGAGTCGATAGTGACATTCGATGCAGAAGAGGTTAGTGAAGGAAATGACGGGGGCGAGCCGTGCAGGACCTCAGAGGATTCGCTTGCGTCAGACTACGACCTCATGGGCAATGCTGACGAGGTTCCCGAACAGTCAGCTCTAACAGAGTCGGCCAGCCGGCACAGCAATGGCGCTCTGCCGATAATCGTTTTTGATGCGGCAGAGGTTGAAGAGAGCGAGGATGCAGACAACGCCAGTGATGCTGGCTCGGATGCGTCATCTGTGCACATTGATGCATATGATGCCGATCCGGTTGTAGCGCCGCTAACAGCAGATACACCCGGTGTCTCGGCCCTGCCGGTGCCTGTTTATGCATGGAATCCAGCGCGGCAGGCACATGTCGGCACTGGGAAGGCACGGAACGCAGGAGCAACTTGCAGCAATGGCAAATTCGCAGAGCCAGCCGGCGGCTGTGCATTCGCCGCACTTTTTGCCAGGGCATCTGCCATTCATGTCCTCCAATAAGTCCGCTGGCAATAGCGAGCTAGCGGCAGAGGCGGCATCCTCAGGGTCGGCGTTCAAGGTGAAGGGTGTCCGTCATGTGCTATCGTATGGGGCGGATATCGACAAGATGGCAGCTACTCTGCTGTCATCGAAGAGCAAATCGGCGAGAATCACTGCAGCCAACATTGCTGCAGCCATGGAGCAGCAACAACAGCAGCAGCAGCAACAACAGCAACAACAGCAGCATGCTGAGGATGTTTCTCCATTGGACACCGACCAGCCTGCTACTATTGCTTTCTTGGCATCGTCACCAACCGCGGTTTTGCCCAGACCTCGCAAGCCAGGAGCTGCGAATGAGAAGGACAGGCATTCTAGTCGGATTTCAGGATTGTTTGGGTTTGGGCAGCGCACGTCCAAGCATCAGACACAAGCCCAGCAGGCAGGCGGCAGTCTGCGTGTAGTCACCGATCTACAATCTCTACGCGGAGCTTCTTCCAATGGCAGCCAGACCGTCAACACCTCAGTGGCAAACCATGCCAGCATCAACACCGGACCGTCCTCATCAGACAGCCAAAAGAAGAGCGGCTCACCGTCGACGGTTTCACGGCGCTGGCGCTTCCCGTTCCAAAAGGCACGTCCGGCAATTCCTATTGAGGACGCCGACGCGGCAGCAGCCAGCGATCAGGGTGGCAACGACAGCGAGGCTGCTACTCCATCGCCGCTAGACACAGCTGCCAGGCGCACATTGCGGCAGAGCAGATACCGTGCAGGCACAACCAGCGACATCGAGTCGCCGCAGACAGCCAGCAGCGCAGCAGCGCAGCTGTCGGCAAGCCAGTCGCGGCCCTACAGCATGGTAGAGAGTGGCAGCAGCGCCGTCAGCCCTGCATCGGCGACCACCACTGGCAGCGGCAGCAGCAGTGGTACATCTCGCGGCCTCCGCCAGGCGCCGCCGCAGCTAGCAACCTCGAAGAGCTTCCTCAGCACGCAGAGCTCTAGCTCGCAGCGGGCGCGAGCCATGCATATGCTGCAGAGCACGTCGCCGATTTCGCCGCTAATGGGGCATATGCTGAAGCCGCGGCGGCGGTCGAGTGCAACACAGGCGCTGGATGAAGCCGAGAGCAGCGGGTCGTCGATGCGGATTGTGCTGGCCAAGCGCGAGCGTGACCGTGGGTTTATGCCCGTGAATATTAACGGGCTGATTTCAGGCGCTGGCATCGTCGAAAAGATCGTCAGCTCACTATACGCCGACACATCACACGTGCCGCCGCCGCCGCCGCCGCCTGGCGGGTGGTCCATGTCACTGCAGATGAGCGACGGGTCAGTGAAGCGCATTGGCTCGGAGGGCGAGCTGTGGATGCACTGCGTGCACGCAAAGACCGACACACCGGTGGTAGTAATCCTGAATGATCCAGTTGCTGACGAGGCGGGTACATTGTACAAAGCCAGCTCGTCTGGCGCGGAGCACCACATTATTCCAGCTAGCAAGGCTGGGTCGAAGCAGCGGCTGGTGCTGGCAGTCACAGGCGGCGAGCGGTCGTCGTCGGGGTCCGACTCCGAGGTGCAGTCAGCGTTCCCGTTCAATCGCACACCATTCATGCAGTCGCCAGTGGTAAATGATGGTTCGAGCAACATGCTGCCGCTGGTGACGACGAATCCGTCGCATATGCGCGAGGTGATGTCGCCAGGCAGTGACGTGTCATCGCCCAACACGGCTGGATCGTCGAGCCAGTCGTTTGCTACAGCAACGTCGCACTTGCCACTAACTCACCGCATCGAGTCGTCAGCGCCTGATATGCCTGTGGGTGGGGGCGCAGAAGCTTCTGGACAGTCGCCAGCGCAGCCCGAGTCGTGGACGCTGATGTTTGTTAACAAAGAGTTCTCTGCTACCAAGAAGGAGCCTGCAGAGACGGAAGAGCCTGTAGAGACGGAAGAGCTGGAGGCAGAGCCAAGCAGCGCCGGACTGGCGATCGGGTCATTTGTCAGCTCTGATTCGGGCCCGGTGCTTTTGACGCAGAGCCAGCTTGTGGCAGCGACCAAGGCAGCCGACCAAGAGGGGAAGGAGGAAGAGATGGCCCGGCGCTCGATTTTGTTTGACGCGGAGTCGATCGAGGGGGACGGCGAGGAGGATAGTGGCGATGACGCTAGCTCGTTTGGTGGCGATTTGTGGGACCGCTCCGAGTCAGAGGACGAGGCGGCAGATGACAGGGACAGGTCGACGAGCGAGAAAGAACCTAAGGGTAAAAGCAAGAGGGAGCGCCCGCAGAGCAACTTCAAGTTCACGCCCGGCATGCGCAAGGCCCTACTGGAGCGCCAGCCTTCACGCAACCTGCGCGACCGTCCGACAGCCGATGCCATTGGCGAGCACCTCGACCGGTGGTTCCCTGACCACGACCTTGACAAGCCGATCATCCAGGCAGTGCCAATCGACAGCGGGCTGTTGCCATCACAGGAGCTGAACATCATTGTCGATGACGAGGCGGCTGGCAGCAGCAACAGCAACAACAACAGCAGCAACAGCAAGTCGAGCGCGCGGCAGTCGCTGGAGATGCTGGTCAAGAACCGGCAGGTTAGCGAGGTGCGGGGGGCAGCGCTAGGGCGGCGTAAGAGCGTGCGGATGCTGGTGCAGGAGACGCGGCAGAGGCGGCGCAAGTCGAATCTGTCGACTGAGCTGGCCGAGCACCCGCTGCCACTGTCGCATAAAAGCTCGCTGCTGTCATTGGTGTCCACCAGCGAGGCAGCATCGGTTAATTTGGGCGCCAATTCCGAGGGCTTCTTGGAGGAAGACAGCAGGTCAGTGTATTCTCTGCCACAGGCTATTGTCAGGCGCAAGTCGACAAAAATGTGGGGGTGCATTCCAGAGGAGGTCCGCCCCCGACGGCACCGGGCCAGGCAGATCGCCGGTGTTACCTCGGCGGCAGCGGCGGCGGCGCCAGAGATGCCCCAGCATAGCAACGATACACTGATTGGGTCGTCGTCGTCGACGGTTGCAGCGGCAGCCGCGGCTAATGCCGACGAATCGGGCGCCTATGAGGGCGAGACGATCTCGCCGTCGTCGACGACGTCGACGGGCAATAATGCCAGTGGTCAAGTCAATGTGGAGATTGTGCGGCGCGCGCTGTCGTACCTGCGCAAGCCCGCGGCGGACCCGCAGGCAGAGAAGGCCATTGTCGAGGCGGCGATCAAGAGCGGCGACCACAGAGCTGTGGGGTCGACCCGGGCGCAGTTTGTGCATGAGCGCGACCGGCTGCGCGGGCTGCCCAAGGCCACGGAGCTGTGGGATGCGCTGCCCGAAGCGTCGTCGTCGTTGTCATCGTCATCATCGGTCAAGGACGCGGTTAGCTCGCTGTTTGCCAAGTGCGGGCTGCCGCTGACGCAGATCAAGATCCAGTGGATCAAGGGCCAGCTGATCGGAAAGGGCTCGTTCGGGCACGTCTACGTGGCTATCAATGCTGCGACCGGCGAGGTCATAGCTGTGAAGCAGATTGCGCTGCCCAAGTTCCTGTCGCCAATGTCCGATGAGTCGGCTGCGGGCGGTAGCAGCGCCAGTGGTGGTGGGGCTGGCAGCGACAAGGCGGGCATGGAGGAAGCGATTCGCATGATGCACACGGAGGTGGAGTTGCTGAAGGACCTGGACCACGAGAATATCGTGCAGCTCCTGGGGTTCGAGATCACAGGTGGGCTGATGAGCATGTTCCTCGAGTACGTGCCCGGCGGCACGGTGCACTCGCTGGTGCAGCAGCACGGGCCGCTGCCCGAGCCCGTGGTCCACTCGTTCCTGAGGCAGATTGTGGCCGGGCTGCAGTACTTGCATGACCGCGGCATCCTGCATCGGGACATCAAGGGGCCCAATATTCTGGTAGACGAGACGGGCACCTGCAAGATTTCGGACTTTGGCATCTCGCGACGCGTGGACTACGACCCAGTGAGGCAGCAGGCAGCGGACGACAAGAAGAAGCAGCAGAAGAACCTGCGGGCAGTGGGCACGGTGCCGTTTATGGCGCCCGAGGTGGCTCGCAAGCACGTGTATTCGGCTGGGGCAGATATCTGGGCGCTCGGCTGCGTGACGCTGCAGATGTGGTCGGGGCAGCAGGCGTGGGCTGGGTACCAGGAGCCTCAGATCTTCTTCAAGCTGGCCAATGGGCTGGCGCCGCCGTTCCCCGATGATCTGACCGAGGCGGGGTTGGAGTTTTGCAAGCGGTGCTTTGTCAGCACGCCCGATAAGCGCGCGGCAGCCGCGGAGCTTGCGGACATGGAGTTTGCGCAGGTGCCGAATGACTATGTGTATCCGTACACGAGCTAAGGGGTGGGAGCTGTTTTTTTTCCATGGGGGGTTTTTTTTTGTTGCAATATCAGCAATCGCATATCAATTGGCCGGCTAACTCGCATAGCCCAATTGTGTTTATGCCAATACGAGTGCGTGGTTTCTCTGTTCAGAGTTCGTTTGCGCAGAGGTCACTGGCATCCCTATTTTTTTCCACTATGCGGTGAGTGAAAAAAAAAAAAAAGGAAAGGGAGGCAGGGGAGCCACAGTGGGACGTGATGGCAAGCCGTGTGACCTGACGGTACTCTCTGGACGATCAGGCCAGGTGAGGAGGGGGATGGGTGGAGTAGGGAGAGAGAGAAAAAAAAAAACGAATTTCAAATAGGCGTGGAGGGTTTTTAAAACAAGGGGTGTTGACGGTTTTTCTTTTTTGCTTTCGTTTTTTGCTTTCTAGCTTCTCCTTGTTTTCATTTGCTTTGCAGAGTTCTTTCTCCTGCCCCTTCCTTCTTCTTTAAAAGTCTATAATTCGTGGGTTATTTGCAATGTCGTTGTCGGCTTCGTCGTCAAACAAGGAGCTTGTGAGGCGCATGGTTGTGCTGGGATATCGTGGAGTAGGCAAGTGATAGTGGGGGCGCGGGCTGAGCAGGCGGAGCTGGGTCTCAGTGCCAGTGTAACTAATAGCGTACATGTAGGCAAAACGTCGGCTATCCACCGGTTCCTCGAGGACGAGTTCATTGAGATGTACTATCCGACAGTGGAGCTCGTGCACGACCAGAAGATCTCGGTGGGCGGCGTAGAGTACGAGGTGCATATTATCGACTCTGCGGGCCAGGTAAGTTAACAATATCCTTTGCTTGATTGTTTTTTTTTTCTCACACTAGCCGGGCCATTTTTTTATTTATTTATTTTTTATTGATAAGATGTTTTGTTTGATATTAGGACGAGTTTTCGCTGCTGGACACACGGTACGCAGTGGATATTGACGTGTACGTGATTGCGTTTTCGGTGGTGGCGCGCAAGAGCTTCGAGATGGCGCGGATAATCCGCGACAAGATCCTGGATCTGACGGGCACCGAGTCGGTGACCATGGTGCTGGTGGGCAATAAGATTGATCTCAAGGACCAGCGCACGGTCACGTACGAGGAGGCCGAGGCGCTGGCCAAGGAGTTCGGGTGCCCGTATATCGAGACGTCGGCCAAGACCAACAACAACATCAGAGAGCTGTTTGTCAAGTCGGTCTCGGAAACCACCAAGCAGGAGGGCGAGGCGGCGGAGAACACCGAGGGCAGCAAGTGCGTTATTATGTAAACTAGAAAGCCGCCCACGGAAAAGGCAAAAGGCAAAAGGCAAAAGGCAGACGGCGTTTTGTCTTTTGTGGAGGGGCGGGCGGGCTTGCATCGCGAGCGCGGGATTTCTAGTTGTTATGTAAATGAACTACAAAAGAAAACAACAGGTCCCGTTTGTTTGGAAGACGCTTTGCGTGATTACCGCTTTGCAAAGAAAGAGGCAGGATTTGTAACCCAGCCACAGGCGTGGTAAATGGCGGGCTATGCCTTCAGTCCATCGACGCGTAGTTGTACTCGGGATCGGCGGCAGGCTGCGGCGAGTGCTCGATCAGCAGGCGCAGGATGTCGGTCAGGCTGACCACGCCGCAGACGGTGTCGGTGAAGGCGCCGGCAAAGTGCGGCGGGGCAATGGGCACGGTCTGCGAGGACGACGAGCTGATGGACGCCCGGCGCGCCGACGCCGTGGACCCGCTCCGCTGGCGCGGCTGGGCGGGCAGCTCCCCGGCGTCGCTGCCGGCGCTCGGACGGGTGACCCACACGCGGTGGGCCCCCGTGGCAATGAGCTTGCTCAGCGCATACCGCAGCGACGCCTCGGGCCGCACGGAAAACACCGCGGCGCGGTCGCGGCCGTCCTGCAGCCCCTGCATGTAGCGCACGCTCTGGATCAGCTCGATGCACGTGCCGTGCAGCAGCTGCTTGTTCTTCACCACGTACTTGATGTCGGTCACCGACAGGTTGCCCACCAGCCGCTGGTTGTCCTCCACAATCGCCACCGACGAGATGTGCCAGCGCTCCAGCAGGCTCAGCGCCTGCAGCACCGGCGTCGTCGGCTTCGCCATCACCACGTTCCCCGTCACCAGCCCCAGGTCCTGCAGCGTCCGGTCCAGCAGCCCGTTGATCTGCACTGCCTGCGGGTCCGTCGCCTGCGGCCCCGCGCAGTGCTCGAAGAAGTACCGCACCACCCGCGTCTGCGACAGAATCCCGCGGATCTCGCGCTCCGACTGCATCACCGCCACGCGGTGCGTGCCCGACGCAAACACCCCCACTATCTGCGCCACCGTGGTCTCCGGCAGCACGCTGTAGAACGGATTCATGTGCGACATGTCCGTCAGCCTGCTCACCTCCACCCCCTGCTGCCCCACCTCCCGCGCCAGCCCCTGCCGCCCCTGCGGCCGCTTTGCCAGCAGATACGACGCCAGGTCATGCAGGTCAAACATGCCGATGTACGATTTGCTCGCCCTGTCATACAGCGGCACCGACTGGATCTTGTGGGCGATCAGCGCATCGCACGCCTCCTCGATCGACGCCGACGAGTCCACTTGGATCACCTGCTGGTTCGTCACCAGGTCCTTGGCCTGCACCGACATCCAGTGCGCCGGGGCGCCGAGCCCAGGCCGGTCGTTTGTCTCGGACATGATGCTTGGATGAAATTCTGCCTGATGGTAAAAGAGTATAAAAGAGTATACAAGACAGCTCTACGGAGAGAAAAAGCTGCCGACGCGATATCCCTCCCACCAGCACAAACACGCCCTTTGCCGCTGGAGTCGGGGGGGAAACGCGGGCGAGTCATTTCGGCACACTGCCCCCTCATCCGTGCTGCATCACTGTCATGTATTTTTCAAGCCAGTGCATTTTCTGTCGCACGCCTTTCTTTTTTTTTTTTTTTTTTTTCGCTTTTGCCCAGACGCAAGTCAGACTACGCCGGGATCGCCGCTCGACTGGTCACGCTCAAATATGCACACCTCGCCCCACCTCTGGCCGCCCCCAGGCACATACAGCACCCTCTCCCAGAGCCGCGTGCGCTGCGGGTCCAGCACCGGCTCGCACATGCGCTTCTGCCACCCGCTTCTCCTGGCAAACGGCACCTCATTCTCGGCATACGCGGCTGCGCCAAACTCCGTGTCAACCGCGTAGTCGCACACTGCCTCATCGACCACATGCCTGGGCTCCCACCGGTTCATATCATTAAAGTCGCCGCGCTCCGCCCCGGTCGCGTTCTCATCAAAGGAGCCCGGCAAATGCCCGGAGAACTGGCTCGCCACAAACTCGAGCCGGAAGCCCTCAGGCAGCCAGTACGACGACGGGAACCGGTACCACTCCTTGCCCATGCACACCGTCTGCTGCCTGCCCGGCTCCGCACGCACCGTCCTGCTGCCCCACAGCGTCTTGATTGTCGGGCCCAGCGGCAGCAGCCCATTGCTCGCCGAATGCCCGGGCAGCGCCAGGAACACCGACGAGTACCCGCCGTAGTACTGGTGCAGCGCGCCCATGCGCAGCAGTCCGATAGCACCGGCCACCGCCAGCACCGAGAGATTGAGCGAGTCGCTGCGCGCAGACCACGCCCGCCCGGTCCTGGCCTGCAGCCAGGCGCGCAGCGGGTGCAGGAGGCTCAGGCAGACCGCCGCGTTAAAGCACATGTGCGGGTACGCAATGCTCAGGAACCGCTCCTCCTTGTGCCTCTGCAGCGAGAACACCACCAGCACCATGAAAAACGGCATGATCCGGTACAATAGCAGCCGGTGGCTGGTAAACAGCCGCTCCACCGTCGGACCCGTGCCCACGGCCGTCCCCCGCAGAACCAAATAGTACACGGTCCACATAGGCAGGCTCAGCAGCGCCAATGCCATCACCAGGTTGCCGTTGACCAGCCCGTTCTTGATGTAAAAGTGCCACGGCTCCGTCCCGTACAGGTCCGAGTGTCCGCTAACCACATTGTACTTGACCTGGTTCCACGACGCAACCACGAAACGCCCGTAGTACTGCGAATCAACCATGGCCAGCATGCCGCCAGCTACCGCCATCACCGCAATGCCCGTCACTATGGCCGCCAACGTGCGCTTCACCCGGCCCCGCTCCACCACCTCCTCGACCATATACGGCACTGCCATCACCGCCGCATACGGCCACCCGACCACCGCCATAACCGCAAACATCCCAGTGGCCACAACCGTGCGCCGCCACATATTCCCCTGCCACGCCGGCACCATCGCCGCCGCTCCGCCCACCATCCCACAGCACATAGCAAACGACGTCGGCAACAACGCCACCGCCGCATGATACATGCCCGCCATGCCAAACAGCCCCATCATCGTGTAGTTCGCAATCCTCCTGTCCACATGCACCGCAATGGCCCGGACGAACCCGGCCTCGCACGCCGCCGTCACCATCGCCAGCAGAATCCTCACTCCATAGAACACCTGCACCTTGCCCGCGAATCCCAATATGAAATGCAGCGCCCTCGCCATCCACACGTATATTTCCAGGAACCCGTACGACCGCAGTGCATATTGCGACGCGTACTCCCATGTCTGCTTGCCGTGCTTGAACTGCAGGAAATGCAGGGGCTCCCAGTAGTTGTACACCTCGTCGCAGTCCTGTATCGGCGCCGTTAGAGCCCCCACCACCCGGATAAGCGCCAGGATCCGGAACACCAGGCTGAACGACGGCGTGTAGCTGCGTGGCTCTGGCCTGTGCTGCTTTTGCCTTTGCTGTTGCTTTACTTTCTCCATAAGCTCCTGTTCATGCCGCTTGACTTTTTTGCGCTGCCGCCGCTCCGCCCGCTCCTGCTTTAGGCTTGGCCGCTGACGAGCACTAAGCATTTCTAAATAAAATAAAAAAAATAGCGAACTTAAAGGGGAGGCAAATTCAAGGGGGAAAAAAGGTAAAAGTAGAGATAAAGGGTGAGGATATCTGCAAGTCGGAAGTTGAATGCCAAAATGTCACGGGAACACCAAACACACCACTCCTGATCCGGAGCCCAGCCGATTAGTCGCTGATCAGTATCCTCATGTGGCGTGTATTGCAAGCATGTCATCTCTGTCCTAACGATAGGCATGCTCTCTCTCCGCTACACGATAACGCAAATGAATGCCTTCCTGCAGCTGCTGCGTACACTGACTTGTTTGACCCCTTTCCACAGCGTGTATTTGATCCTATAAATACATGCTATGTGACTGAAGATACAATATGAAGCTGGATGTATGCCTGCCTATATGCTGCCTGTAGCAATAGCGAAAGAGGAGAAAGATCAATACTGGCCATAACCATAGAAAATATACTTTCCAAAGTCATGTGGGTGATAGTGCTGATAACTACACCGAGTATAGCTTTTGTTTAATTCATAGCCATTACTGAAAAAACGATATCTGAAAACTATCGCTGCATATATCCATACGTATATATTGATATTCAACACTATATTCTGTACTTGCTATATCCGATCAAAACCATTTGCTCCTCCTATCAATCACTGCAATCCTCACGGATCGAATTCGGCCACGGCCGTCACTGTCGAAGCACTTGCGGTTTTTGGCCATGTCAAATGCTGCGAGAATATCTCTTGTGCTGTCTCTGTACTCACTGCAAACTCTGATTTCCTCGATGGATCTGAAAATACTTGCCAGCAGCAAGATGTGATGCGCGGCACGCGAATATGAATAGAAGCCATTACAACGGACGCACAGCTTTTTGAATCTTGAGTTGCCCAGAGCCACATACCTTTGCTGGAACCTCTCGGTATCGGCATCCGTCATGTCTCCTCGCTCGTTAACGTCATCGCTGTTCTTTAGCATCAACACCAGCAGCTGCAGCGCCGGGAACCTCTTGATCAGGTGGACCGCTTCAACAATAGTATAATGGATACCAGCCAGGTTTAGCTCCTTTACAAACCCGTGTGTAGACATGGCAGTCACCTCACGCTTAGGAGAAGTGGTGCATACTTTAAATGACCCTTTCTCGAGGACTGGACTGAGCGATACTAAGCGGCTGAGCTCCCATGCTAGGTCGATATCCATAAATCTGTCTCTAGGTAGAGACCACGCCAGGTCCATATAGCGCAGATTTGGGTAGGAACCAGTAGCGAACACCCCTTCTCTGACAAATGTTTTATACATCCCAACAAGTAGATGCACCTTCATCACCTCGACCGTGGGTTGGATCCAACGAAACATATCGCTGGTGGCGAATGGGAAATCACCTTTGCATATGAACTGCCGCAGCTTCGGGAAAGGGTTGACCTTGAGAGTGTAGCTGTCTTCGCCGCGTGTCCAGAAGTTGCTGCGTGTCAGTTTGAATGTGTGTAGCTTGGAGTACACAACAGGTGATCCATCCGCTGGACTCTTGAACAGCATGATGAATGATTCGTCATCAATGGCATCCACAGACAGTGTCTCCAGACGATCCGCATACCGTATAGCAAGCACAGTAATCCCGTCGCTTTTACCAACAGGCAAGAAAGCATGCATCTGCGTGATATTGGGTGCCAGCACATTGTCCAGAATGGTGCGCGAAAGCTCGCCTACAGGAATACTCAGATACTGGATAGATGGCGCAGCGGCTAACAGCGCTGATAGAATAGCGCTGTTCAGGGACGTGCTGTCTAATGTGTGATTATAAGGACCGATGTATGCCACTGAAACGACGCTTGGCATCGCCTCCCTCACGAGATCGCCGATACGACGGGCATTCTGGGAAACCTCCTTCTCCATGTTGGCGAGCTCCTGCAGGCGAATCACGGGCAGACCAGTTTGGCGATTGTAGATCCAATAGTACGAGTCGCGAAGAGAGGTATGGAGTGTGATAGTGTGGACATTCCTGAACTTGCCCTTGCATTGACTGACCAGCGAGTTGAACATTGAGTACGCTATGCCGTCTCTGATATCCTCCACAGTGAAATCAAGCAGCAGATGGCGGACACGTTGCTCGAGCCCGGCTGCAATAACGTCCCCAAGATAGTAGGCATGTTCAGATTTGCCTAGGCGAGTTGGTTTAGGCGGGTTGACAAAGACGATAGCTGGCTCGCCTATAAACCTTTTGGCAGTATCTCTCCACTTTTGGCAAACGCCCATCAGCGAGAATAACGCATGGGGTACAGTGGGCGTATAGGTATTTGTCAGAAGCCCTGGGACTAGCCTACCCCTCCCGATAGTGTACGAAATGATGTATTCGACAATGTGCGGCGGAAGGCGATCCATAGTGGTCCTTCACGTTCAAAGAGTTTGGACAGGAATAAACCAATTTTTGTTTGTATGGATGTTGTGTGGGTGGATTATTATGATTAAAAGTAACGAATACATACATTCAACTAATAAGAGGAGAGTGGGAGAACTGAGCATTCGCTGCCTGCCGTCCGTATCACCTCAAATGCATCCGTAGCGAAGAGTATTGTGTATTTTTAGCCACGGAGCGCCAAATCACTCCTGCGCCACCATATATTTGACCTAACTCTTGCTTGTTCTGACCCGGGGAACCTACCAGTGTTCATTTTTCTCCTAGGAATGAGACTTGTCCGACAGGTTTTCAAGTGAAGTGCTCTACTTATTTACATGCTAACCCTCTAGATATACGCCTGTTGGAACGAAACTGTTCCTAAAGAATAGTAGATTCATTAAGCCCATCAACAACTCCGGACTCCGAGCTATGCAGGATGAAAACACTCGTACGTGGAGAGAGCACTGTATGGATCGATCTCTTAGATGTAGGATAATTCTGTAGACAGGAGGATGGCGACGAAGAAAACGAAGACGAAAGAGTTGGAGTGCAGTGAACTGAGATTCTCACAGTTAACCACACCTCTATATTTCTATATAACCTGTGACAGGTATGCAGCCAAAGATACTGCACCTCGGTCCCTTTCGAAGCCTCCAATTCCTCTGCACACCTCATTGCAAGGGCACAAAAGGTGAAAACATTACCCTTTTTTCTGGTATTTCTTGCGACACACGAATTGTCCCTAGCATATCACCACCTGTTTTGAGCTCCGATCTCACCCTTGTCTCCCAATATGGCTATAATAAATCTGAGCATAGAGCCACCCTCACACCCTGCTTGTATACTCTACTTTAACGCTCTTTTCAGCACCACTTCTACAAGAAGCCCTTCATCTAGCAGTTGGTTCAGTTGATGAGAGGTATTGTTGAAAGTGTGTATTGAAAGAAATAAAAAGTTAGTTGTCCTGGAAATGCAGCCCGTCCGACAAGCTGTTTAGTGAGGTACTTATTTAAAAACTGCCTTCAAAAAAGCTACATGATACTCGATAGCATTTATAAAACAGGCGGCTCAGAGGCATCATCAAAATGACGAACACCAGAGGAGTATGAGACGAGACTACTAGTATGTGGAGAAAGCATGGTAAGGAATACTTTCTTAGCTATAGAGAAACTTGTAGTTAGGAAGATGGAGAATGTAAAATAGCTGCCAAAGAGACGAGCAAAGCGCGATAGGTTGTATTCTTCAGATTTAGCTACCGCTCTATCTTTTTATACGACCTGTGGCAGTCATACAGCTGAGAATACGGCCTCTCTATCCCTCTCAAGGCCTACAATTCATGCGCACGCCTCGATGCAAGAGCACAACTAACCAATATACAGCCCTTTCTTCCCTGGCGTCTCTTGCAGCACACAAATTGTCCCTGGTGTACCACTGCCTCCTCTGTGATATTCACCCCCATTTGCTCACTATTCCTTGGCAAAAGTAGCCTTTACCAACTCTTACAGCCTGTTTTGAGCTCCGACACCACTCTTATCTCCCAGTATGGCTGTAGTAGATGTGAAAATAGAGACACCATTGCACCATTGCACCATTGGACCCTGCGTGTATACTTTAATACTCTTTTCAGTATCTTTTCTACCAGAAACTCTTCACCTCATACAGCTGCTTTAACTGACGTGCTGTGCTGCTTGGATAAATGAATATTGAAAGAATTATATAAATTGCTATCCAAGGAACGAAACTTGTCTGACCGGCTTTGTTTAGTAAAGCACCTGAGTTATGTACAAGTCCCTTCTCGTAGGATCATTTCAATCAGAACTAGTCTCTAAGAAAAAGTATCTGGTGGACTCCAATTATATGTTTCATCGTTGTTAGAAAATGTAAGTAGGCTATTAGCATACGGAGAGAGCATGGTGTTTGTGATGGCCCAGGATATAAAATATTATGGCAAGAATAGGAAAAAGTGATGATAGAGTGCTACCCGTTGAGGTTTTCATGGGAGGCCACCGCTATCTATTTAAATGACACTTTGAAGGTGGGTAGCTAAGAATGTTGACCGTCTGTCTCTCTTGAGACCTCTTATTCCCCTGCACGCCTCGTTGCAAGGACACAAAAGGTTAATACATGCCTCTTTCTTCTCTGGCATTTCTTGCAACGCACGAATTGTTCCTAGTATGCCACCGCTGCCTCCTCCACTGTGGCATTCGTGCCCACTTGCCTACCATCCCTTGTCAAGAGCAGTCTGTGTAGCAGAAACTCTCCTCAGCGAACCAGAACCGCCTATACAGCGCACCAAACCGCCTACTTTGAACTCCGACCTCTTCCTCATCCCCGAATTGGCTATAATAGATGCAAGCACAGAGGCGCCTTCTGCACCCCATCCTTAATTGTGCATCAAGTAATCACTTTTCGACTGAGCCGCATCTAAGCCGTATAGAACAGGCGCTCACAAGCAAAAAAGCCATTTGTTAAGCCAGCGTGCATCTGGCGCTCTGCAGTTTGCAAGTTAGAAATTCTGGGGCGTATCAATTTTCAGCCTCGCTGGTTCCTTGGGATGAAGTGGCTTTGGCGTGATGGCCACTTCCAACTGTCGACGGTCCAAACAACCGTCCAGCTGGCTCTTAAAACAATCGTGGGTTGCTGTTTTCACGAGCATAGCCACCATATAGCGCCTCGTTCGCTCTTCGAAGAATGCCTGCAGATTAGTAACCAACCGAAGATATACAGAAAATTAGGAAAAGGGCTCAAAGACAATATTACGGTTGACTTTGAAGACCTGGTGGAGCATGGCCATGACGTGCGGGATCATGTGGTGGTTGGTCCTGACCTTGGTGACTCGAGGAAGGCGCAGCACCAGCTCGCAGAAACCGACCAGGTCGAATGTGCCGCGAACAAAGAGATCCAGTCGCTCGAGGCTCTCGCTGACAGGCAACTGGCTGCTTGGATCCAGGACCTCGCCGATCTCGTCAAATGTGATCTTCTGGTCCGGGAACCTGGTGGTATCCGCATCTTTCTGGTTCATAGAGAAGCAGTCTACAATGAGTGTGTGCAAAAGTGGTAGCTGTCCCAGAAGATTGGCAAGCCCGTGCTTGTCCGTGATGCTGGCTGATAGTTTGAGCGAGCGCAGGTTAACCCATGCAATCAGCTCGGGCAGCGGATAGTCGAGCAGCCCTAAGATGGCTTCCTCAACGCTGGATGGTAGTTGATAAAGGCGCTCAACCATGTCGACAGAGTACACATCGACAAACGGGGTCCTAGTTGGGTGGCCGATCTTGAGTATCTTCACCGACTCGAAAGCGTGCTCATTGATGTTTTCAAAGTTCGTCGGATCGTCCATGATAGTCAGACTCTCGAATAACCTGCCTTGGAAATAGGCGTAGATGTCGGTGTAGACGTAGGCAGAGCCAGTGATGTTAAGAGCACTCAATTTAGGGAAATACACAGGGTAACTGCAGCCTGGAAAATCGACAGTTTGCGCAGCAGCCTGAATGAACTCTAGCCGTAGATCCTGGAGGCTGTCAAAGTTCAGCGCGCCATCGGTGATCTCGAAGAGGTGCCAAGGGATGACAGCCTCGATCTGGAACATCTCGAGGATGCGCAGGCACTGAATCGGAATCACTGGCAAGTCACGGCGCTGACGGACGTAGATAATATTGATTGACAATGATGTGAGGTTGTCGAGGAGCTTAGTCACATTCATAGGGAAGGGAATAAGCACCTGTAGATGTTCCAGTTGGTGTGCATACTCTTTGAGAGTATATTCATACAGAGGACATATTCTCGAAAGCTCCTTCGTGATGTTAGGTGTCGGACCCCAATTCTTGAACAAATGGTACCTCAAGTCAGTGACACATGGGAACAGCTTTCGGATGGATTTAGCAGCTGTCTCTGCCGCCTTAAGTTCTTGGCGAGGCTCCACATCCTCTGCAATTCCAGCTTTGAATACGCCGTGCCCAAGAAACAGAATGGAACGCACATTTGGTAGAGATGACAGTAGCTTGCCTGTCATATCCTCCATTACCTTGTCAATGTGCATCGGCGACTTGCACTCGTTGAAAACGACCACTCTGAACTCTGTGACCAGGTGTAGCTTGTTGTGCTTAATGAGGAACCCCAAGTTCCACATCCAGTCTCGGGTATGATTTTTGTTGCACAAGCACTTTTCGCGGTCACACTCGACGTAGCACTCGAGAAGAAGCGTGCCAAACACTGTTTCAGGGAGTTCGTTGACGCGGTGTGGATTCGAGTTGACAAAGTTCATAACGTGAGAGTATTCGCTAGCAGTTGACGTGCGGGTGAGCGACTTGGCACAAAGGCCAGTGATGTCGGTGAAAGGGACTGACTCCCGCTGTCTGTCCGGCTGTTGCATGGTCATGATGTGTTAACAAGAAAAATAAATACAAAAGATGGGCTGAAGGTAGTCTGGAATAGGCGGTGCGAGGTAAAAGAGGAATGATATGTTGTGAGAAATAAGTGAAAGCGAGCTGATCCAGCTGCATCCTGATCGCAGACTTTATGTACTTCTGGTTTTCAATAAGCATAGTGCTATTCGCATTTTTCAACAACTCTGCTATGAGCACACAGGAACACATGATGCACCTTGCCGGGATGTATGCGTAGATGTGCATAGCATGCCATCCGTATATAGACATATTAAATTTTTGGAGCAGTGCGGCAAGAGCCATCTCTCAGCCAATTGCTGGAATGCGGAAAACAACTTCGAGTGCGTGGTTGGCTGGCAAGAGAATTGGCGCGGTAGGCTGCAGCATGACAAAAGCCGAGTCCCTTTGCAGTGGCTTGCAGCACTGCTCAAAGCGAATGGCAAGGCCCGCATTTTGCGTTCACGAATGCATCGCTGGCGTCGATCTGTAATGTGCAGCATCAGACAAAGGAAGACAGGCTGGCGTCCCCAGTTGCTTCTTGCACAGCCACCCGGAAGGAACCGTGTTCACGAATGAGAAATCTATGCACACGAACTCGCAGCCCTCGGCTTTAGCAGTGGATATTTTGTCTATTGTGGATGTGGGAGGGCAGGTCGTGCGCCATAAAGATGCCTATTTGCAGTTTATTTTGTGCTGGTTGGATGGTACTCAGCCATCCAGTATTCCGGGATTACATAGGCAAGATGGACTCCATACCCCACCATATCAGCCATTACGAGATTGAACACACATATGAGGCATTTTTGTGTCAAACAAGCTAACCTATTGGAAATCGTGCATTTCAGAGACTATGGTCTGCTTTAGACACCAACCCAGAAGGATAAACTGTATACCCCTTGTCTTATTCTCCGCTACGACTGTGTCGCTTATCCAGCATAAGTACTAGGTATTGTAGTGCTAAGCTATATCCCTATGTGTGCTGGTATAGCCCAGACATATTCAAAGACGCAGTAGTTCAGAGTGAGGATGTTCCATATCAAGATGCTGCTATAAAATAACCCTATTGTCACCCAAGCGTATCCTCTATGGTCATAAGCAAAGCCCTCCTTGTAGCACAGCTGTATATATCTCAAGTACCCCTTATCGATATGTGCATCTTGTCACCTTTCAGTCACTCTCAAGAGCACAGCCTGAAAACTTGTTGCAAAGCGGCCAACTCCATACAACCCGCATTGTCTCAAGAGCAGAATAGTGCGATGCGCAAGTGGTTTCCGAATACACCTCCAGTGCTTCCATTGGCCATATGCACTAGAGATGCAGCTGCCGCAGCATAGACAGCCTAGCCAGAAAATAATCTGGCTCAGCGACGTCACACTGAGATTCACTCTCCAGCACATGTGCCAGTTACTCTGCTCTCTTCTCCAACTTCCTTCTATTCTTTCTCGCACCACCCTCTCCACCATGGATATTTCGAATCGCTCCACTACCACATTTCAGCTGTACGTGTCAAAGGCATCGCAAAATGTCTATCTGACTTATCCGTAACTCAAACACTGACTTGCCCATCCTCGCCGTTGTAGGGAAGGAGCTGCCATCGCCGATCTTCTGGTTCTCGGATTTGTCGGACTGTGGGGACCAGCGGTTAAGGGCGTACACCCGCTGGCAGGGGTTCAGAGACCAGTTATTATTACCCTTTGCGCATCTACCAGTCTGCTGTCTTGGTATTCGCATGCTGGAACCCAGTTCAACTCAACTCTGGCCATTCTCTGCTCACTGACACTTGCTTTCCGAACAGCTAGCTTGAGGTTCTCCAGCGACATTGCTGCCATAGTGCATGCTCTGTGGTCGCTCCGTCTAGTCCTATTGTCTACCACCAGGGTTCCTGTAGCTCATGTTGCAGGGGCTGTAATCCATTTCCTTGTGGCATCGCTTCTCCTCAGTCCAGCCACAAGGAGTCATGTAAGACGCCATGTACGCGGTCTGCTATTTTTGGATACTATCGCCTTTTTTCGCCTCTGCACCCAGCGTGAAATTACGATGGAGGATATTTGGGATCCGAGATATTGCACACAGCAACTCGAGTTGGCCAAGCGTCTCAAATTCGATATCACAAAGCGGTTTTTCGCTTTACGCGCTGTATTGGAGCTATTCTGGCAGCCATTGCTGGTAACAACTGTTGCTAGTACATTCCTATCCACGGTACCGCTGACAAAGAGTATTGTTATGTCACGAATCATCAAAGCCGTTGACTCCAATGCAAACACAGATGACTGCCGTGTCTACAGCCTATTCGCTCTCTGGATGGCATTGTCACTATTTTCACTTGGTGATGCATATTTGGCCGCATTACAAAGGTTTTGCAAACGTTCTATTATAATGGTTCTGCGTAGCAATATTTTTGCTACCCTCAAGTCGCAAACCTCCCTCGAGTATCGACAGATAAACCACCCGCAGATTGTTTGGATTAGATCGAGTGGTTTAGCAGATGCAATCGATCGCTCAACGACCCTGTTAAGCAACATGCTTGCGAACTCGCTTACAATCAGCGTACTGGTTTCTACAATCGGCTGGCGTACCATCATTCCGCTTCTTACCTCGCTGGTGTATTTGGCGGTGTCACATTCTCTAACAGCACATCTCGATATGCTGGAAAAGGCGCATAAGCGGAACAAAGCAGCCGCATCTGGGCCACACGATATTCTCGCTGATACACAACATGCGCACCATCAAGTTCTACGGCTGGGAAGAGGCATTTAGGCAGGTGGCGGACGATGATCAAGTAGACAAATTCGTGCCGCCTGCCCACCTACGGATCGCAAGATATGCGACCTCTTTGGTTGGAAGCTCTCTCCCCCAGATCTCAGCAGCATTGACAGTCTCGTCGTTCTTACACACCTCGAACAATATCGAATATGCGGATATACTTTTGGTCATGTCATCTGCCGAGTCCCTGACTGGTCTTTTCTCGATGCTCGCTTCGGCCACAGGGATCATAAAGAGTATTTCTGAGACTTCCGAAGAACTAGAGATGCTGCTACGTAAGGACGATTACCAGTTTATCGCGTGCCGAAACGATGCTGACGACGTGGCTGTCTCGATGGATTGCTGCAGCTTCCAGTGGAACACAGGTGATTTTGCTCTGAAGAACATGGATCTCAGGATCAGCAAGGGCGAGTTCGCTGTGGTAGTCGGTCGTGTTGGCAGTGGAAAGTCATCGCTGTTGTCAGCGATCTGCAGCGAGATGCCAATAGCAGATGGCACCGGTCTGGTCTCTGGCAAGATCGGGTACGTCAGCCAGAAGCCTTGGATAATGAACGCAACGGTTCGCGACAATGTGCTTTTTGGGAGTCCTTTCGACGAAAAGTTCTACCACACGGTTCTCGATGCATGCGCGTTGGACCGAGGACATTAAGCTGTTCCCGGCCCAGGACCTAACTGAGATAGGTTTTCGCGGGATAAACCTGTCGGGTGGCCAGAAGGCAAGGCTGGCACTCGCTCGGGCAATCTACTCTCGCGCCGATATCTTTGTTTTGGATGACCTGCTGGCGGCAGTTGATGCCCATGTGGAACGGCACATTATTGAAAATGTGCTTGTCGGAGAACGCGGGATCATCAGTGGCAAGGACGCGGATTCTGGTGACTCATGCCGAGCATGTTGTGCCCTTGGCTGACAGAGTTGTCACGCTTGTCTCTGGGTGTGCCACCGTTGCGAAGCAAGTCCCGGCGCAGCTGAATGCGGGCGTGATACCTTCTGCAAACAGCGGACAAACAGCAGTTTCAGACGACTCGTCTGCCGGTTCAGGACAGTTCACATATGACCCAGAGCGCGGTGTGGACACGCATATTTGGCCAAAGCTGTGGCAGTACATCGTGTTTTGTGGGTTCTCTGCTGTTGGTCCGTCGGTGCTGCTACACCTGGTGAGCACATATATTGTCTACCGAGTTGAGAGCGTTCGGATGGACTTGCTCTTGGACGAGAATCGAGAAACGATGGTATCATCTCTGCAAAACTACCTTGTCGCCAGTGCTGTGGTTGGTGTCGTACGGACACAGTTACACATCGTCGGAGAATGGGCACGTAGGGTTCTGTGGTCACATAGGGTCTACAGGAAGACGCGGGCCGGTGTCCTGGATTCACTCCTCAGCATGCCTTTGGTTCTATTTGAAAGCCTACCGAGCGAATCGCTCATGTACTTGTGGGGATATGACCGTAAACTAACAGGGTACTACTTCCCTGAAACCATATGTCAGAAAATGCTGGTAGTCATGGAGTTCATGAGTATCGTTGCGCAAGTATACAGTCGATTCCCTATCCTGCTGCTCTTTGCTGCTCCTATTGTCCTGGTTTCGTACAAGGTCAAACAGGTGGCAGATATAGCGAGAGGATATGGAGATCAGATTGATGACAACCAGGGGCTTGCTTCTCCATATATACTCTACTCGGAGATTAATACAGGCGGATATGTCATGAGGATCCAAGGCGTTCTGGGTACCTTTCTTCACAAGTTTCACGTTGGTCTAGCAGTTGAAAATAATCTCTGCATCTGCTATCAAGATATCGCTGATCTACAAAGATGGCTGCGAGACCTCTTCAAGGTTATTGTAAGCGCGACCGCACTGCTGGTGACAATTCGCCGATGCGTTGCCTCAGAGAGTCATGCGACGCCTGGCTCAGTCGAAATGACTATGCGACTAGTCTCACTCTTCTTGACAGGACTTGGTGGTATGTTGGAGCTCGGAGAGGATCTCAAATACCCTTTAGGTAGATTTTCGAGATACTCCATCTATACCGGCTTGCCACGAGAGCCAGATAACAGCGATGTCGGCGTGAATTTGTCCAGCGACTGGCCAACGACGGGCACCATCGAATTCCGCGATTACAGCATGCGGTACTGCGAATCCCAGGACCTTGGTTCTCAACGGTGTTTCATTCTCAGTCCGACAGCAGGAGAAGATCGGGGTAGTTGGACGTACCGGTGCTGGCAAGTCGTCGCTTACATTTGCACTGATGCGCTTGGTTAGCCCAGACAGCGGGGCCATCTTCATTGATGGGGTGGACATTTCGAGTATTGGGCTCAAGCACTTGCGCTCGAAGATCAGCATCATCCCGCAGGACCCGGCTCTGTTCAACGGCACTATACGCGAGAATCTGGACCCGCTGAACGAGTTCACTGATGATGAGGTCTGGGGCGCCATTCACAAGGGTTGTATAGATGATATAGTCAGTACACCCACAGAAACATATTGGTGCGGGTGACAACAACAGCGGACCGTGGGTAGAGGGGATTGGGCTGAACAAGTGGATCGAAGATGGCGGCAGGAATTTTAGCGTCGGACAGCGTCAGCTCGTCAGTCTGTGCCGTGCACTTCTGTGGAAGCGCAAGATCCTGGTCCTCGACGAAGCAACAGCAAATGTTGATACAAAGACTGACCAAATCATGCAGCGTGTTATCCACGAGGAGTTCAAGGACTGCACAGTTCTGACCATCGCGCACCGGCTCAGGACCGTCATGGACAGCGACCGGATTCTGGTCATGGATCAGGGCAGAGTCGCCGAGTTCGATTCGCCGGCTAATCTGTTAGCACAGGACACGATGTTCAAGGGCCTTGTCGAGAGTATGGAGCTTCAACGAAAGCAAATGTCAGCCTAGCCCTAAGTAAATCCCCATATGTACGCTATCAGGTCCTTTGAGAATCCCCCGTGTTGCGATACCAAAAACAGCATCCATGCAATCCTGGCCATAAGGATCGTGTGGTACCGCGACAAGTATATATTCTGAGAGTGATGTGTTCCCAAAAAAACAGCACATACCCTGAATTCCATTTCTCAATACTAGTCTATCGACATGTCCACAATCGAAGACCTCGAGTTCCCTAGAGCCGTTCTTGCGCGTATCATCAAAGGCACGATGCCCGAGAACGTATCGATCCAGAAGGAAGCGCGGCACGCTGTGACCTAGAGCGGCGACTGTGTTCGTCAGCTATCTGGCAGCGACGGCCAACGACTGCGCACGCGAGGCCGGCCATAAGACTATCCTGGCGAACGATGTATTCAAGGCGCTGGAGGCTGTTGGGCTCACAGATTTCATCGACAAGCTGAAGGAGGACTTTGAGGCACATACGGTAATGGCCCGTGAGAAGAAGGAAATGAAGAGCAAGCAGGCTTCTGCAGATGGTGACGATGATAATGAGGATGAGAGCGATATGGCAGCGGCCACAGAAGGAGCCAAAGGACGACAGCATGGAAGTCGATGAAGCAGAAGAGTCCGTCCGACCCGTCCAAACGCCCACGCCTGGAGTAACTAGTGGGATAATTTAAGCCATATTCGAATTTTGGACGTGTGCGCCATAAAGGGGGTAAATATTATAAGCCTAAAGTGAGATGCTGTTTCCGAAAGAGAGGCGACAGGTTAAGCGTAACATATGCTGTAAGCAGAATAGGTGAGGATAGCATCCTTCACGCAGCAGTGGCGGACACCTGCTTCTTCGCGCTGTGCTTGCCTGATCGACGGCCACCACGCTTGGTGGGCCCGTCAGTTTTTGCTCTGGAATGGGCCCGCGGCACGTCTTGAGGGGTGACTTGGCTGCTTGCTTGTCGCCGGCATTGCTTGCCGCACCCTTGTTGTGCTTACGGCCACGGTGTCTATGGCGTCCAGACGAGCGACCAGGGTGGCTCTTCCCTTGAGCAGCATCGTGGTGGTGGTGGTGCTGCTGTGGTGGCGATGCCTGTTGAGATGAGCGCTCTAGGGCCTGGGGATCGGCACCCTCGCTTGTCCTTCCAGCATCGGCTGCAACGACTCCGGCACTCTCCTGTAGCTCAGCATTGGAGCTGTCCGCACCAGGATTTTGTACATCGGTAACGGCCGACTGCAGTTCCTGGACGACGGGCTGGCCATAGAAATATGGTCCGACATTTGGAGAACCAACAGAATATACAACACCAGCATTGACTGGCGGTGGACCCATGTACATGGGCTGCATGTACGGCATATGGGCAGCGGTAACAGCAGTTGCCTGCGGGTGAGGCGGGAACGGCATGTACGAGTGCGGCAGCTGCTGCTGCTGAATATGCACGGTTCCTGTGTAAGCACCATAGCCGTATGTTCCTGGTGGGGGCGGAGGGGGCGATGGACGCACAGCACCAGCCATATACGGAGACGCCATAATTCCTGGGTATGGCGACAGGCCCGCATTGCCATCAGCAGCTAGATCCTGGGTCACCTGTGGATAAGCGACCATACTGCCATCTGCCTGGGATACCACGGACGGTATATACGCCGGCATCGCAGGCACAGGCGATGGCACAGCAAACATTCGTGGGCTGTCGTGCGGCGACGGGTAGAGCCTGCTGTTGCTGCGGCTTCCATATCCGTGCGGTGGTGGGTGCTGCGGCTGCTGCTGGACAGCAGCATAATGTGGCTGCCAGTAGTGGTGCGGCTGATGCCCACCTCCATGATGGCCATGTCCACCACCAGACATATTCGAGCCGCCGTTGCTGGTGTTGTTGCCACTCCGCGTTCCGATTGGCCTGGGAGCCCTGTTGCCGCTACCTCTGCTGCCACTGCCACCACTGCCTCTGTTGGGATATGCGCGCGACCCCCCAAAGCTGTCGCCGTGCGACGATGACCGCGACTCGCTGTGATGGCGTGTCTGGTGCACCGAATGCTCATAGTTCTGCTGCGAGGCATCCGCTGCCCAGAGCGATGCCGCGCTGGCCGAAAATGGACTAAACATTGGCCCGACGGCAGTCAGATCCGCACCAACGCTAAATCCGCCGTAGCCCATGTAGCCGGGCATTGGCGCAACCTGGGCTGGGTGGTAGTTCCACGGCTGCTGCTGGTGCTGCTGCTGGTGCTCAGCCATGGACCCACCGGCAAAACCCATCCGGCTGGCCCACCGAAGCAGGAGGCGGACCCTGGTGAGCCTGAACAGCTCCATCAGCATCACCGGGGCTCTGAGCCGACGCTGTCGCGGTCTCTGGCGTAGTCTGTGCAGCGTGCGAGTGCTGCTGGGCCCATGCATGCCGGGGCGTAGGGCTGTTGCCTTGGTCAGCTGAGAAGAATCCGGGACGCGTTACGCCGTATGGTGTAAACAGCGGGCTGCTGTTGTTGCCCAGGTTGAACAGCGAGGTCGAGCTGTGAATATGAGGGATATACGAAGGATTGCTGGTGCTCATGTCTGATTCGCTCCGAAGCTGCTGGTGCTGCGACTTTGAAAGGTTTGGTGGCCTCTCGCGACGAATCGTGCACTGGTACAATCTTGCCCACCGCTCCGCTACCACCGACAGATGCGCTGGATCGAGGTGTGCTGCTAATACAGGCCGACTGGTCGCCATCGCCAAGAATATCAGCCAGCATGGTATGAGGCAATAGCGGCTGAGGCGGCGGAGTCAGGCCGGTCGATCTCTCTGACGCGATTCCGCTCTGTGCTGGGATCGTTGATATCGTCTGGCGCCGGTCGGGCATATGGTACTCACTGTGTCCTCCTCCTCCTTGCGTCGGGTGTGCGCTAGCTGCTGGAACCGTATACGCAGCAGCGGCGTCGGCTGCCTGGCAGTACTGGTGTTGGCTAGCGGCAGACTTGGCAGCTGGCATAGCTGGCAGAGGTGCCAGTGCTGCCCGATGCACTGCTAGCAGTGTGCTGTAGCGACTCCTTATTAGGTATGGAGCGCCAGCTACTTGCCATCTTGGCCTTTGACATCGGCTCATGCTTGCCTCGTTCAAAGCTGTTGTGCTGCTGCGGTTTACTGTCATCCCGAGCAACACCTTTGCTGCCGGCCATGACCGGAGTTGGTACAGAAGATGCCAGCTGGTTTGCTGCTGCTGCATGCTTCGGCTGGTATACTTGTGGCGAATTAATAGTGTCCTTCTGTGCATGGCCTGACCGCCAGTTGCCCACGCTCCGATTATCACGTCCATCCTTGCGCCATGACTGCCCCGGCTCGGTCCTGCGCTGTGCTGCTGTAGTAGGGCGCGAGACACCATTACTCTTCACGTCCTTGGTGCGCTGACTGACTGCTGGCTGCTCCTTAGGATTCTGGCGATTCCTGTTTTGATGTCCCGTGTGCTGGTGCAAGGGCAATTGTTGACTCGACTGCTGGCTCATGCACCGCCTTCTTGCTTGTAAAGTTGGAACCCGGCACCACCTGCCCGACATTACCCCCCGAATTCGTCGCAGCCTCTTCTGTCTCATTCGCTTCCGGCAACTTGGCCATAGGCACTGGTTCTTCGATGCTGGCTGTGTCGGCAGCACTGCCATCTATATCCCCATCAATATGCATAGTACTGCGCATGCCTGCTCGCGTAAGCAGCAGCGGTGGAACGACTGTGGGGACTGGCGCCTGGTGGCGTCGACCCCCGCGCTGGAATCGGCCACTGCGCTCGCTTCTGTCAGCCTGAGACACCCGTGGCTCTCCTCTGTCAGGCCGCTTCTGCATCTGTCGCAGCTGCTTAGGGGACCCAGCTGCAGCAGGCTGCAGTTTTTGCTGTTGCTGCTGCTGCCGTCGCGAAGCATGATCAGATGTCGCTGCTGTTGTTGTTTCTGGCCGTGGACCTGCTCGAGCACCACCAGACAAGCTTGCCTTCCACCACCGTGTATTTGGTGATGCATCCCCGGCATCGTCGGTCTTGGCTGGTGCAACCGTCTTGGCAGGCTTTCCCCAGACCTTTACCTCGACCTTCCGATCAACGGACTGCTGCTGCTGTTGTTCTTGTTGCTGCTGCTGTTTATCTGCGCTGCTGGCCGTGGGCCAAGCTGGGCCAATAGTCTCTGCGACTTCACCGGCGATTTGGGCCGGTTTGCTGGCATTTGGCTTCGATTTGATGTTTCGCTCGCTCGATTTGACTGGCTCCGACTTTGGATCTGCAGCAACAGCTGCTGCATCTGGCTGCTGTGGTTGCTGTTTAGTTGCAGCAGTAGCTAGTGGTGGCTCCTTGGGCTGAGGAGACAGTGGCACAGGGCTTATCCGCACCGTGGCACCATCACCAAACTCCAGGTCCTGCGAGAAATCAATGCCTTCAGTATCAAGCATCTCGTCCCACTGCTTGCTGCCATTGCTCCTGTTGCTTCCAACCGGCACTGGAGTAATCTGGGGTAGCTTCTGGCCACTTTTGGCAGCACCGCTTTTCCTTGAGACCGCCTGCTTGCTGCCCAATATGGCAGCCCCCGTCGATGTCGCTGCGTCATCCACAGCCGCGTTAGCCCTTGCACTCATCCGGCGACCGCGCGCCAGCCACGGATTCTCCTGCTTCCCGGCATCTGCCGCAGCCGACCCAGGCTTTTCAGCAACCGCCTGCGGTACCCCAGCCATGTGCTTCTTTGGCACAGTCCCGGCGCTGTTCGACAGCTTCCGGTTCACAAGCAGTAGGCCCGGATGCCCACTGATTCTCTCCTTTTGCTCCGTCGCCACCTTCGACCCATTGGCGTTGGTAAGGTTTGCATGTGCTGCTGCCGTGTCGCCGGGGGCGCCACCAACTGGCAGAGCTCGGACAGACGGGCGAAACACGGCCTTTCGTGGGCCAGAAGTCCGGTTACCGCTGCGCCCGCCCCCTCGCCCGGTACCTCTGCTGGTGCTGTTGCTCTCGCCTGACTCGCTGCCTCCTTTGTTTGAAATTTGCCCTCCGACCGCCCTGGCGCGCCATTTGAAGTGTGCAGGGAGAATACAAATAGTACGATAATAGATGCAAGCAAGGGGTTTGGTGAAATAAAAAAAAAAAGGGTGTGAACTTTCCCTCTGCGCACACGCGCGCTGCTAGGAAATAACGGGTGTGTCTGCTTGCTATATGCCGTTGGGCAGTGTTCTGTTGGTGGAGCTCTCTCTCCCTGCCGCAGTCAGTTCAAGCGCTGTAAATAAAAATGCGTAATAGAAAGAGTGGGAGCAAAAGCAGGACGGACAAGGAGCCAAAACTGACACCCCGGAAAAATCACAAAAAAGGTCCAAGAGTGATGAAACCACCTGAAGCCAAAAATGCAAGGTACTCTTGCAGGCTGGTTCACGCCATGGAACGTGACCACTTCCCGCCACTGATTTCTTGATTCCCGAACCACGATCAGCCACTCGATTCATATCAGCAGCGCTGGGCCATCATTGCTCAGCATTTCGCCTCAGCTCTCCTCTTTTTTTTTTTCAGCTCCAAAATTCAAGAATTATTTTGCAATGGCGACAGTGCGCAAGTTCTCGGCAAACATTCTTAACCACGTAAAGGCCGAGCATGCGGAAACTGCATTCAAGGTCTCCTTTGTGAATGGACATTGGCGGCCGCCCCACTTCAGCCTGCGCCGGCAGGCGGAGCTCCGCAAGGCGTGCCTCGTGCAGGGCATTGATCCGACATCCATTGGCATGTCCGAGCTGGCGCCCAAGAAGCCGGTGCGGTCGAAGCCGCCAAAGGGACACAAGCAGCAGCGCACATATGCCGAGAAGCAGGCCATGATCCAGAAGAACCTGGACGAGATGCCCGAAAAGATCCGCAAGTGGAAGGAGGTAAGAAAAGCCTGCATGGTGGGAGGGGGCGTCGTAAGGCACCGTAAGGCATCAAATATAGGGTCGCACTGCAATTGCACTAATGGCAGTCTTTCTCTGCATATAGGATCTGGCCAAGGAGAAGGAGAAGAACAAGTCGTCGCTGCCATTCTAGACATACTTTTTTGTCAATATCATGATGTGGACAATCACTGCAAGATTAGTGTAGATTTTAAAAGACCTTGCCGTTCTGCAGGGCAAAGGCCAGATCTGACTCGAACCCACGGCTGCGTCCGCTGCTGTTACCCGGCAGGATCAGACTACTGGTGTCCATCATGAAACCGCCGGGGTTTGCAGTAAGGCTGTTGAAGTCAAAATGCGCAGCAATATTCGGCTGGCCTGCCGAAGACATTGAAGCGATACCATGGAACGCGCTTCCAGGTGTGTACAACTGCTGCGGATACTCGGCATGCACTGGCTGGGTGTGAATGGCCAGGGTTGTTGCCAGAGATGCCGGCTGGTCAAAGATGGCCTGGTCAGTGATAATATTGAGGCCCTGCAGCGTCTGGATGATGTCCTGTCTGCGGGTCTTTGGGCCGATCTCACTCGGGGCAGCCACAGGGTAGTTGGCTGGTGCTGCCTGCAATGCTTGGGAGGCTACTGGCAGCGCTGCTTCCTCTTCGCCAGCACCATTGTCGTTTCCCTCGTCCTCGTCCTCGTCGTCATACTCATCGTCGTCCTCGTCCTCGTCCTCGTCACCATCGTCGCCAATATTATCCTCTTCTTCATCCATCTCCTCCTCGTCCTCCTCCAGATTCCCATTCTCATTCAAAACACTGCTGCCGCCCGACACCGATTGCGCACCCTCAGCGTTCTTGCGCATGGAAACGGCAAAGTCCATCGAACCATCAAACGCGTTTCCTAATGACTGGGAGACCAAGCCCTGCGAGCACTCCGAAATGCTGCTAAAGATGCTTGCACTGGAGTCGGCATTACTCATTGAACCACTACTCTGTCGCCCATCCTGCTGCGACACACCTTGCCATGACGATGATGACGATGATGACGACGATGACGACGATGATGACGAACTTTGCAGCAATTTCGCCACATCCACATCGGAAAAGATCTGGTCGACGATCATCTGGCTCAAGTTCCCGTCCAGCTGGCCCGTGCTCTCTGGGATTCTCGACGGCGTGATCATCGACGAGTACGGCGCCTGGCGCAAATGACTGTAGGGCGCGTGTGCTGTGGAGAAAGACTGGGATTTCGGCCGCTTCGCCTTGGGCTCCCCGCTACTCTGATGTCTGGCTGTAGGCGATGTCGGATTGCTTGATGGCTCGGCGGCATTAATTATGCCCAGCATATTATTCACGCTGTTGAGATCCAATGAGCCAATGTCGCCCAGGAAGCCCTGTGAACTGCGACCACCCGACATATCGCTACTGTTCGAAATGGGCGACAGTGCTGACAAGTCTCGCACGCTATTCTGCGCTGGCGGCTCGCACATCATCGGCATTGGAGCATTCATGGGCGCCTTGCGCACCAGCGAAACCGACCGCACCGGCATCCGCGCACCCGCCGCCTGCAACACACGCGGGCTATCCAGCATGGCCGGGAACGCCTGCTTGGGCTCGCTGCCTGGATTGTGGTACTGCTTTGTGTATTTGACGTGCAAGTTCTCGGAGCTAGGCCCGTCCGACGTGACCTTGTATTCGTTGACCACAGCCAGCCTGCGGCGGATAAACGACCCGTTATTGTCGAACCCGTAGGAGCCCAGGTCGCTCTCGGTGTCTGCATGGTCTTTGCGCTTGCGCGACTCGTTGGTCAGAAACTGCTTGTTCAGGTAGCGCGCAAACAGATCCTCGGGCGCTCCAGAGGAGGCGTACACATGGCTGGCGTTCTTCGAGTCAAATATCACCATGGCTACCTGCACACCGCACAGGACGCTGAGCTCGTGCGCCTTTTTTATCAGCCCGGCGCGTCGCCGCGCAAATGTCACAGTGCGCTGCCGCGAGTTTTCGATTTCGCGGATATTGATCTTCTTTCGGCCCATCCCCCAAATGATAGGAAAGAACAGAAACTATGCTGCCGAATGACGCTAGCCAGAAATGTAGCTGATATATGGAGCACCAAGCCAATATGTGATGTGTATGATGTGAGGCGGAAACAAAAAGCTGGCAAGCGTCGTTGGAGTCTGGACAAAAAATATTGCAGCAGTCCTGCAGAAAGAGGATCTTGACCATTTGGTTTTATGTCTTGCGGGTATGCGAGTTCCTTGACCTGCTGCAAAATGCGCCCTACTGCTCGCTTGCTCCGTCTTCTAACTGCTCCTGTGCGGCCTGGAGATACATAAAAGACCTAGACAGTGTACAGGGCTCTGGGCAGGGTGTTATTTTTCGGCTATCGAAATGGAGCCACGCTCCCCCTCACCGTCTGCTACGAACATTTTCCAGCCCTGCTGTCGGAGAGGTATGCGCTCCAGGCTAGTAGTTACTATTTTTATTTGTCTCCTTTTCAAAAAGAGGGGACCAAGTCCTTGCGGCATCGAGGAGTATGTGGAGACAAATGTTTGTTTGCCCATTCCCATCAAGCGCATATGCAAGCATCTCCACAAGATGGCTTACGGCGGCCATTGCTCCCACACACAAAAAACGCGCACTCCCGCACCCACGAAGAAACATGGAATAGTGTGATTTGATTCGTTTTAATACCAGTCGCCGTCGTCAGCCGCAGCAGCCGCGTCCGGGTTCTGGTCGTCCTCCAAGGCCAGCAGCAAAGTGCCGAGCTTCTCCTGCAAGATGCGCGTGGCCATAATAACGACATTCTGCGGCTTAATGGAGCCAACAGTCTCGACATTAAAGTAAAAGGTCGTGGGCTCAGCCTTGTAATCAAACGGAGCATCCGGATCTGTCTTGTCCTCTTCCTTGGCATTCTCGCTCAGTGGCCACTCCTTCTCAATGCTCTTCTCATACCAGTAGTCCAGATGGCGCAGATTATTGTGTGGGTCATATTCGAACGCCACCGCGCAGCACGGCGACCACTTTGCGTGCTCCTTGGCCACGCCCTTCTTCGCAATACAGTGGATGTTGATTTCCTGGCCCTTGCGCAATTTCAGCAGAATGATCCCTGGGTCGTCGTCTCCCTCGAGCACCGGCACCACGCTCTTATTGCTGCTGATCAACTCATGGCTGGTCACGGTCCGTGTGCCCTCCTCGGTGCACTTTACGTGCAAACGGAATTCCACCGAGCAGTCCTTGCAGTAGTCCGTGCAGATACAGTCGCGCGTGTACTTGAACTTGTCCACGTCGTGGCTTACCAAGGGAATCATGCCCAGGCGGTGCGCAATGAACTCGTCGGCAAGAACTGACGTGTTCTCGATGAACTCCACTAGGTCGATGGCCATTGTTGGTACTTCGGCGATCATTGTGCGCCGCAGCGAGTTGGCAACGCTACAAATTAAGGAAAGGCATTTGGTGAGCTTGGTGTTGTTCTGCAATGAGCTCCGAGACAACTAGCGCCCCACCGGGAGTTGCTTGCTGAGATTCCCCCTCCCTGTTGTGCAGGAAAAAAAACGCGTACCTGAGATGTGTGTTGGACAAGACAAAGTTGACATTGGTCTGGTCTATACTCCGAATGCGAAGCTGCGGGTCCGAGTCACCGGCGCCAAAGGTCTCGCTCTCCATTTTGCGAACACGAAATGAAAACAAAAGAGCAATAAACTGTCGCGAAAAAAGAATAAAATTGAAGAGGTGCAATGGCCCATTTGCCAGTTGACGAATGAGCCAAGGAGCGAAAATGGTGATCTGATTGCGTGATCTGCTCTCGGAGCCGAGCTCCGTGTTCACGTGTCGGAGTCTGGCAGGTTTGTCTGGCACCAGCGGCTAGCTGATGTCTGCCGGTTCCAGACTGCTAGAAAGGGGGAGCTTGCTGCGGACGTCATATGGACAAACAAAAAATCTGTGCCTCCACTGTAACTGGGAATTTTGCGGTATCTGAAGTGTGGAGTATTTCTCCCGCACATGGGGGCATGTGGGAGGGTGTCTTGGCAAAAGTAGCGAGTATTTGAGGACGTGGAAAAAAAGCCTGTGACTATAGCAGTAAACACACTATCCCTCTCCATGCAACTCCCGATTTCTTTGTCTCCGACAAATGAAGGCATGCATGCTTGCCAAGAGCAATAAGAGAATGGGAGGCGCCGTGTTTGGCAAATGGATGCTGCATTCGGTGGAGCACTGCGCAATGAGAAGAGCCCAGGAAAACTGGAAAAAACTATTTTTAGGGTGCTTCAGGCACTAGCGTGTTGCAACGATCGAATGCATGGGGGTGGTGTCAGGCATGCATAGCCCAACATGGACCCCCATGCATATGAAATTGGTTGGACGGTAAAAAAAACGCGGAGCTCCTATCTGCTGCATGCCTTTATCTACGAACCGAAGCGGCTTTGTCATGATATGCTTGGCAAAGAAAGTTTGGGTGGGTCGTTTGCAAGTCCGATACGTTCGATTTCGCTTTCCGGCAGTTTGCCATAGCATTGAGTAAGCACCAAGTGCATTAGTAAGAGAATCCCCGGTGGCTGCGCACTATACACGCAGATGTTCTTTGTTTCCAGGGGGTTCCAGGTGGCATGACAAATATTGCATTGCTGACAGGAACTCTTGGGCGGACACGATAGTTGGCAATAATGCCGATGTGGAGAGGGAAAAACACGGCTTGGCATGTGAGAGGCAAGGGCAGAAGATGAGTTTCCTTTTTTTTTTTTGCCGAGAATAGTAGACTGCCATTCAATTGCCGACATGGTTGTTGCAAGTCGGATGCGAATGTAGGCGCAGAGGCCAAGGGGGATCACCCAATCATGGCACGATGTTTTTCTATTCTTCTCGCCAAGCATGGGTTCGAGTGTTGGGGGGGCGAATAAAATTTTCGATATAAAAGCGGCTTGCCATGCAAAAAGCGATTGCGGCTGCGCTTTTTTTCAGTTTTATTCCTCACATTTTTTCTTCTTCTTTATTGTACAGATAAGCCCGCACTATTCCTCCCACCACTTGTAGCTTGATACCACCAAAACAAAAATATTCAGTATGAATTTCTCGTTTGCATCTGCACCCTCGACACCGTTCATTGCCCAGGATGGGCAGACGCTTATTCCACCCCAAATCTCAATTCAGCCTTTCAAAGACGGCGCGAGCAACAGACCCACTAAATGACATTAATTCGCCCGCGGCGTTTCAGTACCTGCAATACATGACAAGCCCGCTGTTTATCGATTCGGGGCTGGCCGAGTACGTGGGGACACAGCAGAGCTCGCCAAAACGCGCGGCGCCGCAGCTGTTTTCGTCAGCTGCTGCGCATCCCGCAGCCACAGCCAGCGCACCGCAGCTTCTGTCGCCATCCGCAGCGGTCGTGACCGACGGGCCACTTCCGGGCTTCGTCGATCCGGCCGAGGTATTCACGACGCCAGAGATCCGGCCGCTGACGGACCCGACAATGACGCCCCATCAGCAGCAGTTCGATGACGCGCTGGTGACGCCGCGGGAGCGCGCAATCACACACGACATCAGCGCGTTCAGCCCACAGACCGCGCAGACTGGACTGTCGTTGCTGGCAGCGTCGGCGACGTATGCGCGCGGGGCGAATGGGCCGACGCCGTCGTCGTCGCAGGCAACAGTGGAGATCGGGTCGCCGTTCCTGACGACTTCAGGCGAAGACGCAACGCTGATGTCGCAGCCGCAGAACAGCCTGGCGCAGCACGTGTCACCGCCCATGGCGGACCGCGGGGCGCCGCTGGGGGCTGCGGTGATGGCACTAACCGGGCGGTTTGCGCGCAGCACGGCATTGCTGCGCAATGCGTCGGCAATGAGTGCTGCCAGCTTCCACAACGACCTGGTGCCGGCCAACGAGTCGTTTTTCGCGCCCCTGGACGAAGTCTGCTCGGACAACGAGGCCACGCAGCAGCGGCAGTCGCAGCGCCTTCTGTCACCGCGCACCATCCGTCGCGCCGACCCGCGCAGCCCACCGATGGGCTCGCAGTTCTCGCCGGTCCTGCCATTGCGCCAGCCGCCAGCCCCGCCACTGATGCCGAAGCAGTCCGGGTTCCGCCCGCCCGCCTGGCCCACGCCGCTGTCGCGGCCGACGCTGCCGTCGCTGGTGCGCCCGGCACTACCCCCGCCGGTGTTTGCGCCGATCCCCTCATTGACCAGCAAGCGGGAGTCGCCCGAGGCCCTGGAGCCACTGCGCAAGGAGCGAAAGGTGCATAAGCGCGACATGGAGCGCCGGTTTGACTGCGATTTATGCGACCGGTCGTTTGCCCGGCAGTATAATCTGAAGACGCACCGGCTGACGCACTTCCCCGATGCCCGCGAGTCCCGGCCCTTCCAGTGCCCGCACTGCACCAAGGCCTTCACGCGCAAACACGACTTGCAGCGCCACGCCGTCCTGCATGAAAGACGCGACCGTTACCAGTGCGACAAATGCCAGCTGGGCTTCCCCCGCAAAGATGCGCTGAAAAAGCACACCGAGGCCGTCGGCCACTAAACCTACAAGTCTTTACTTCCTTGAATACATTATTGTCGATTTTTATGTATGGTTCGCTTAATTTTAACCACGCCATAGAAGGGGCAGCAGTCAAACTCAAATAGCGCCAAGATGCTCTATGCAAAAAACGTGACAGGGTGCGCTCAAAATCATCGCCCTTTTACAAGGCTGTCAGTGATCCAGCTCCCTACCACAAAAAGTTTGCGGGTTTTGCAATAGTTATTCTATCCCCTTTTGCCCTGCGCCAGCCCGCCTTTTGTGAGATCGCCGAATGCCACCGGCTGTGCTTAATATGGGCAGGCCTATTGTCGCACGCCCTGCCCTGCTGACCAACTGATTTATAAATAGCCTATCAGCGGCGGCAGGCTTCGCTTCCCCATGTCTGCATATGGCCAACTGACATGTAGTGCTCTGTTTTTGTGACGCACTAGCGTATATTCATCATCTAGAAGGCTTTTAGTTCTTTTTGATGCACTTGGGCGGCGCAGTGCTGGTGGGAGCAGCGGTCGGGTAAACCGTATCGGTGGGAGCAGCGGTCGGCGTAGCAGAGCCAGTCGGCGTGGCCGAACCCGAGGGAATCGCGCTGCTCTCCGGCCCAGTAACTCCGTCGACAATCAGGTTGTTCTTGTTGTTGCTGTTCCCGATGCCAAACGTCTTGATGAGCCCCAGAATCTCCTCGGCGCTGAACTTGTGTCCAGGATCGCGAATCAGAATTGACGCAGCAATACCCCACAGATACTGCATGCGGGATGCTGGGTGGATTCCGTCATAGAAGAAGTGGTTGTCGGGGTCCTGGCAGATAGTGACTGCGCCGGCGCTATCCTTGTTATAGCACGCGTGTGTCGAATCAGTGATTCCCATAGCTGCAAGGACCTGTGGTTCCAAGGCCCGGTTCATCAGATCCATGAGATTGAGCTTATGCACACCGCGGGCAACTGCCGGCTGCAGTGCAACATCAATCCGATTGTTGATCTCATCAACCAGCGGCATCACCAGCGAGCCCATCCCTATCGATGTAATGTACGGAATCTTGTCCACCGCCGGCAAGTTCCACACATAAATGTTCTTATACCCAGCCTTGACGAGAGCATTAACGTCATCTGCGATGTTTTTACCCAAAGCCGTCGCAAAATCATTCAGCGTGATGCTGCCATTCAAGATATTTGGCACGTTATGGAAGATATCGTTGCCACCGATTTCCACTGCTACCACGTCGTTCTGCAGACTGTGCTGCGACAGGTGCGCAGGATCCTTGAGCCACGCATTGACCTGGTCATGGAAACTGGGGATGGTTATGTTGCCAGAAGTTGCCGGTGACAGGTCGTTGTTTGAGGTGGCGCCGCCGTACGCGTGGTTCTCGAGGTTCATGCCCAGGAGCTTTGTGGTGTATTCGTTCCACACGTACGAATTCGATGCCCGTCCTTCCCAGTAGCCCGGGGAGCCGGTCAATGCTGCCACATTGCCATTATCGGACAGCGAGTTGCCGAAAATAACTAGGTTATTCTGGACAGAAACTGGTGCTGCAGCAACAAGCGAGCTAGCAATTGCAGCGAAGATGAAGTTGACCTTGAGCATAGTTGTCAAACGAAAAAGAGCAATTAGAAAAATGTTAGTATTAAACAGTACGAGTTAGCGCGGTATAAAAAAGAGCAGAAACCCCTTGCCAGGCCATCCATTCCGTGCACTAGCCTGGCTTATGTATGTGTCGGCAAGTGAGGGCGTGTGTGATGAGCATGTAGTTGGTAGGACGAGGGGACTGGTAGACCGAAGGGAAGCCAAATCATTCTCGTACGAATGGCGTAGATCATCAAGTGTTTTCTTTTGCAACCACAGCTGAATGGGAGTAGATCTACTGTGTACAAGGAGGTCGCGGTAATCGCGCAATTAGAAAATGCAACGGAATATGCATGCAAAACACGGAGCGTGCGGGCATGGCCAAAAGCGGGAGCCAACATGTGACCAGGTTTCCGAAGATCCATTTCGGTACCTAGAAAACTCTTGGCAGGAAAATGGCGAATGACAACGAGATAGCGCCTGTGAACTGAGTCAGATACGTTACATTCTTGTGCTCACTAAATCCACACAGCTATTTTTGTGCATCCTCGACTATGAACTAATAGACAGCGCTAATTTGGGAATGGTGCATGCGAAATAAGCATGCGTGTATTGAATGAGCAGGCTATTCATGACTTATTTCTTACAGCTGCTTATTAAAGGAGCAAGTGATATAGTTTACGATTCTGAATCCTCTTGAAAACGGTGGGATCTGTAATATACTCTGGAAAATTGCCACTATAAAATGGGCTGTCTAGAGGCATTTCATTTATCTTATCTAGATTTGGCTCATCTGGTATCAGTTAATTCTTGACGCGGTCAATTTCAGCCTGATGCATAGCATATTTTTCTTCAAGTTGCTGGAGAATAGTCTTTGCACGCACTATTCATCTTATTTCTTAGCCATCTGGTCTTATTTCCTCTGTTTCTGCAGCTTGCTCTGCAGGCTTACAAAAAGGGCAGCATTAACCTTTGCTGCCATACTTTGTTTCTGGGTACGAAATAAACCATGATGTTGATATACAACACCCCAAGAAGAAACGCCCTCCTATATGTTCAGACTCAATCGCTGCAAGTTCAATCGATGCAAAAGTAAATTGCTCAATGAATCCTGTATACCTAATGTCATATAGACAATCAATATAAATATCAAACCTGTTATAACCCTAATTTTTTTATGAATATCCTGCCTTGCACCTCAAAGCCATTCATGGTATGTGAACTATAGATATTAGCGTTCAGAACGTACTATAGGTTAAAACTCTTGCTAGTTATTCCCAAAGTTTGGCCCTATAGTAATATTACAACGACACCTGACTCATTGATGAAAAGTTAGTTAAATCTACATATCTATGATATTAGAATACCCAGGCAAATCAAGCTATGGACTTCTGATGCTGTTAAGGGTATCTAATCATGATTCGCCATACTCAACGTGTTTATCACACATAGTAGGCACGATGTCCATTAGCTTTCATAATGAAGATGGCCATCTGTATCCAAGTTGGAAGTGGTATTAGTGTACAATTCCAATGTGCATATTTGAACGAGTTTATTCAATCACCCTGTCACAAGATGTTTCACGGTTGTCAAGTAAAATGAATGTATACAGCTACTTCTTAAAGTACATGAATTGCGTGGGGCATGTGTCGCTGCTACTCGGCTGAGCCGCAATGTAAGTGTTCAGATCCTGAACACTGAAGTAAGTCCAGACCTCGTTGAGCTCGCTGACCTTGGTGGCAGGGTTAGTCTTGCACTTGAGCACGACATTGACGCCATGCTCAGTGTGGATAGCCTTCTTGAAGTCGGCAGCCTTGACAAGGTTCGTGTTGTCCGGCACAATGCTGTGCTTCTTCAGGGCAGCAGCATAGTCGTACTTCTTGTGCAGGTTCATGGCATTGGTGAAGTAGTCGACGATGTCCTGGTTCTTGCTGTACGACTTGTAGCACTGTGGGCGCAGGGTACTCACACAGGTACCGTGCTTCGACCACTCATGGCCCCAGAACTCATCATTGGGCTTGCCCTTCGACGGCCAGTACTTTGTCATATCAGTCACCAGCGCAGGCTTCAGCGGCTTGATCAGCGCCTCCACTTTCTTGTACACCCGTGAACTGTCGCATCCGGCAGAAGGGGTCAATTTACCCGCGCAGGTGTTTGGCCACAGACCGTGCATGGTGAAGTAATCATCGGTGCCCAGCCCCTTGGTCCATTGCTGCGACAGGACGTACTGGCCGTTCTCCTCGAAGCAGCAGTGATCCGTGGTCTTGGTCTGCTTGGAGCACGAGAGGACGCCGGTTGGACACTTGTCGTGCGTCAGGTTGGTTGAGGTAGGTGTGGCGCTAGTTGAGGTGGCCATGTGCGATGCGGTGGCCTTAGTCGCGGGCGCAGTGGGTGCTGCCGACTTGGACTTGGTTGGGGGTGCCGACTTGGACTTGGGAAGAACTGGCGCCTTCGATTTAGGGAGAGCCGGCGCCTTTGACTTGACTGCAGGAGAAGACTTGGCCTTGCCTGTTGTTCCCTTGGAACCAACAGCCGATCCCTTGGAGCCAGTGGAGGCGCCCATGGCGATATCGGGCGAGGCGATGAGGACGGCGCAGGCAATGAAGGTAATGGAGGCGAAGCGCATGGTAGTTGGCTGGAATTTGGTGGAGGGGTTTTAATGCAGAGACTTGTTGAGGGTGCAGGTGTATGCAGAAGTTGGTGATGATGAGTATTTACATGGCAGATGTAGAAACCAGCTCGCCTTTTATATCGACAAGACCATTTAATTTCCAGGGCGATTCTACCTGCGATCGCCGGCTGTGCCAAGGCATGCACGATGGATATCGGTGCTACCTATGACGCATGCCAATGCAGTAGCTGCAAAGATGCTAGGTCCTTTTTGCCGACTATTCTATTGCCATTAAAGTTAGGATTATCAATATGGCTTGCATTCATGAAACCGAGGGGTCTTCTGAAGTATACGCGCCAAGCACAGATTAACAGGATGGTGATCGAGCCGAGGATTCCAGCGCTATTTTAAACTCAGCCCATGCATGTTGGCTAGCTTGGCAGGTTAAATACTAAAAATACAACTGGTGTTGTGATTTGCATGTGCATCTCGTGGAGCGGGCTAACAAACATGTGCTCGTTCACAGAAGCTGCAGTGACCCACTGATATTAGAAACATGGTAGGATTAGGTACAGGTAGTGTGTAAACGAGCGCTTTTCAGGGGACCTTCAGTACAGTGGGCTAGAGTATAGGGACAGATACATGCTACGCCTGCATCACCTCAAAACCAATACGAAAGCATACTTTTCCCATTGAAAATACTGATCTACTTTTTAAGATTCTGCTCGTACGCCTGGAACAGGGCGCCATACGGCGTAGGCATGCATTCACGGACATAAAACTGGAACAGGGCCATTATCATCTCTTTCTCCCTCTCGCAGCACTCCACGGGCCTCTCTCTGTAAACCAAAAACACCGCAATCCTAGCCCATGTCGCAATCCACATTACACACGTTTCCAATTTCACCCCCGTCTGCAATGCCTTGTATAGATATCCAACGACAACATTCGCAAGCACACCGTCAGTGGTCTTGGGACAGAACCAGCACATCCACAAGGCGACATTGAGATCGCAGAATGTCTCCCAGGCGCGGTCCAGCCGTAAATGCACCATCCAGGCCAGTTTCCAGGACATTTCGCAATACCATGCAGGCATCAATTAGATCGTCGGGGATGTCGTAGGTGTCCGAGTGCTTTTCACTGGCATCAAGCAAGAACATGTAGAAATGCATGCCAAAGCGGCAAAACGCATCCACGGGTAGATCTGGCACATTCCATGCATGTAGATGTGCTTGGGTGTAGGAGAGATCAACAAGCCTCTGTAATGTGCTGATCCAGCGCTCCTCAGGCTCGTCCGCCCACCCGATATCCTTTTGCCACCAGGGCTCCATGTATTTTACCAGCTGTCGACCAGACGATTCGCTCAGGATTGCAGATGGCGGGTTTTCTGGCGATCTGGGCGGTTCCGGCGAGCTGGAAATCACACGGGAGAACCGGCGCCGGCTACTTGGCGGGGGAGAGGAGTCCGGGGATACGCGACACAGGAATGCTGAGCGGCTCGGGCGAACTGGACGCCATCACACGGGAGATGCGGCGACTGCGGAGGCGCAAAGGCGAAGGGGATCTGTTTTTCGATACAGTCATCTGGGACAAGCGGCGTGTAAGAATACGAGGTGGCGCGGGGGAGCCATCAGTGGATAAGTACTCTGGCGAGCTACTTTCGATACGTGGAGCCATCCATTTGATTGTTGGCTACATGTGCAAAATGGATATTTGGCACTTTGGAATTCCCTCCCTAACACCCGCAAAACAAGTACTTACCTTTGTGTGCTTCCTGGGGTTCATCACTTTGCCTGCAACCCTAATACACACACTGCATTCCATGACATGCGGACGCAAGGCCGATATGGTCATAGTGCGTTTGCACAAGCAAGTAGCATGGTCACTATCGGGCTTGGCGAACTTCGAGCTGGACACCTGGCACAACAGTGGATTTGAGAGTGCGGTTGTGGGTGCGGCGGTGGGTATCGCGAGTGTTCTTGTTAGTAAAGCGCTCATGGCAGACGGTGCACGAATGCGCATACTGGACGAAGCGGAGTCTGGGCATGGTATAAAAAAGCTTTTAGGGCGAATCCAGACAAGAAAAAGGCTTGCTGTTGGAATGGCTTGGAGGTTTTATATGTAAACCTTTTTTCTTTTCGGCAACTCGCAACATGGTGGCATGTGCGCCCTGCATATACAAAGAAATGAGCATGTCCCTGGGATAACCTGTGGGTACCATAGAATCAATGCAAGGCGTTTTTAGGGCGGCGGACCAAGATGGCTTCGCTAACACAGTTATTGTTTTCACTACAGCAAGCTACAAAAACGAAAAAAAAACATTCATGTTTCGCCTTCCTCTTCATCCTCTGGCGGCAGCGGGTAAAGGGCTGGTGGCTCAGACTTCAGCGGCACGAATGCCGGCTCCTCGACCGGGCTCCTCGACCGCTTTCCCAGAGCCCCACGCATCTCCTGCTGCTTCCTGATCTGCAGCTCGCGCTGTCTGACGACAATCTGGCTGGTAGCAGCCACAGTCTCCTTGACCTCGTCCTCGTCCAAAAGCGCCAGCGGCGTGTTATCCTTGGCCGAGCCACCCGGCCACACCCGACACATCGGACCCCTCCAGAGGCAATCCGCAATAGGGCTGAGACGGCCTTGCGGGTGAGCTCGGCGACATCCAGCTGCTCGTCACTGGACAGAGTCTGCAGCCCATCTTTGCTCAAAAGCGTCTGGGCATTGGGCACATTGATTTGCGGCTCCTCGACGTCCAATGCATTGTAGACGCCCAGGCTGCCCGGCGACTCGGCATGGAACTGGCCGCCAAAGGCCTTGTTGTAGGGCCAGGCGCTCGACTGGGTGCTGCCGGGCGTGCGGCCAGGTAAAGGCGAGCCGAAGGCGCCGTGCGGGCTGGGTACATGATGGATGCTGCCGAGAGAGCTGGCAGACTGAGCGCTGGGCGAGTCGAGGAAGCTGGCGGGGGCGCGGCTGCGCGGCTCGGCCGGTGTCATGGCGTCCATGTCGAGTTGCACGTCATAAGTCAGGTGCCAGACGGCTCGGCGGGACGCCGCGCAACTCAGCCTTGCTCCAGCTGCACCAAGCGTCTCGCACACCCACTTGTGTTTCAGCAGCTTCTCGGCGGTTGGCCGCTTGCTGGGTGCCCGGGTGAAGCACTTTTGCAGGAAATCCAAGCCATCGCTGCCCACAAGGCTGGCGTCAGGGTAACGGTGGACTAGTCGGCCACCACATGGTACATTGATGGCCCATTCGTTGTCGAGGTGGGCCCAGGGTGCAGAGCCCGTCAGCATTTCGACTATACAGCAGCCCAATGACCAAATGTCCTGAGCACCTAGGGCGCCGGGCTCCGGGCGTTCGGCGGCCGGACCGGTGATGACCTCCGGCGCCATGTACATTGGCGTGCCGGTCAATGTAGCGCCGTCACGGCCACGCCGCGTGCGCATGGCCAACGACTGGCGGTTGAGCACCTTGGCGGCTCCAAAGTCCACCAACTTGATGGTCATCGAGTCGTCCAGGAGAGTGTTGTCGCATTTGATGTCACGGTGGCAGATGCCCGACGCGTGGAGGTAGCGCAAACCGCGCAGCATCTGCACAACAAAGAGCCTCGCGGTGACCTCGTCAACCCGCCCTTGCTCTTGGATCAGCTTGGCCAGGCTGCCGCGGGTACACAGCTCCATGAACAAATAGACCTTTTCCCGGTGCACCTCAATACCGTAGTACGTGACAATGTTTGGGTGCTGCAGCATCGACATAACTTGCATTTCCCGCACAATCTTGCTGCCCTCGCCTGATAGCTTGGTCGGCTGTGCCGGGAACCGGATCTCCTTGACCGCCATTAGCTCGCTGGTATCCAGGTTGATGCCCACGTAGACGGAGCCGAATGCCCCGCCGCCGATGTACTGTCCGAGCTGCCAGCGGATAGTAATGTTGCTGGAGGATGCAGCCAAAAGTCGTAATGTCTGGTCCTCGGGCCGCGCGGTGACTTCGATGACGCGGCCGATGCGGCCTTCGCTGCCCAGATATGAGTCGCGCTGTAAATCGAACGGCGTGTGCGTGCTGCGTGCGGATCTTCTGCAGCTGCTGTGTGCGCAGGTTGGCCGAGATGCCATCCAGGGACATTAGCGCTGCCGGGTCGTCCAGAGCCTGGCCGGGTTGCTTCATGTGCTGGCGGCTGTTTTTCTTGGTTTCGGCATCACGTGCACCCAGAATATCGAAATGGCTAATCATCAAGGTCATGGCATCCGGCCACATTTGCCTTGATCAGTTGCCAGTCGTCGGCTGGCCAAAACCTGCACTGTGTTGTGCTTGGACATGCGCATGGTGAACTCCAACGCCTGCACTGCCCACCGGAACGTGCGCTTCTCGTTGGCCACGCAGTCCTCGGTGATAAACCCGCACCAGCCAACGCACATGTGCAGCAGCGCCAATCTCAAATACCGCTCGGCCTTGAGGTCCAGGAACCGCGACCCGCGCGACGCCGTATTCGACACAAACGTAAACGCATCCTGCACCGTCTCCAGAAGATCGCACGCAGCGCCGCGGCACGTCGGCAATGCGCCCATCTCGTCTCTGGGCTCCCGCCTCTCGGCCTGCCGTCGCTCATGGAAGTCAATATGCAATGTCCTCAGCATATCCGGCAGCTGTGTCAAAGCGTCCAGCAGCCGCACGATTCCGTATTTGAGCATCGTCCATTCGTGCTGGATCCGCGGGCTATGGGCGCGTGTGAGCTCGCGGATCCGCGCGGGCGCCGACGATGCTGGTGTGCCGGCCAATGCGTTGATGCGGTCGAGCCAGCCTGTCAAAGGCCGTCAGGCTGGGCCGTGCTCCCTCGGGGTCCTCGGCGCTGGCCTTGTGTGCGTCGATGATTTCGTCGGTCGCTGCAGTCGCCGTATCCCAGGCTGCGCGTTTTCGCCGCAATGCCAATGCGCTCCAGCCACTGCCTATGCCGCTCCAGCCGCGCCACTCCGGGCGAAATCAGCCGCAAGCTGGCCTGGGCTTAGTTGCAAATCCTGGAACCCCAGGGCTTCCTGATGGCGCCACAGACGTCCCGGTCCAGTTGAAGTCGGCGTCTGTGCGCACTACCAGAAGGTAGCAGTCCCGGTACTGGTCCTGTGGTCATGGTCTCGTCCATAATGCATGAGGTCAAGAGCCGCCTTGCCTACATGCGGCTTCTGCAGAATCGACTGGCTGCCGATCACAAACACCCCGCGTGACTCCCACTCACCCGCAGTATATACCAGCACATGCTTTAGTGTCCTACCAATTGCGCCAGCAGGGGGAACGGGTCGTCGAACTCGTAGTCGGACGAATTCGCCACCGCATTCTGGATCGTCCGCAAGTAGCCTCTGGCTCTTGAGCACCGGCGGCCGCACTATCTGCTAATGTGCGGCAGAGCCATTTGCCCAGATCCCGCGACTGCATCTGATCGTACGCCTGCGGGCCATTGAGCATCCTTGCCAGCATGCCCATCCAGTTTCTCACCAGCATCCTCGCCAGCTGGCAGTACCGCAATGCCATCTCGTACTGTCCGCCATCAATGTCCCGCACCACCTCCTGGAAGAATCCCCACTGGGCTTCCAGCAGTTCAAAGTCCTTGTTGCTGCCGTCAGTGGCACTGCTCAGTAGTTTGCGCTCCAGCAGCTTAAAGTACGTCTGCAGGCAGCTGTGCAATGCAATGTCGTATTCGGGGTCCAGGGTCGCGTCCGTGCTCCACTGGTCCATAGATTTGGTCAGTTCCAGGAACGACCGTTTGACGCGACATGCCACGGCCAGCGAGTCGCGGAAGTCTGCCAGCAATTGGTCCACCTGGGCCGCTGTCGGGCTACTCAGGATTGTCAGCGCTCTTTAGCCGGATCTTCAGGCATGTCTGCAGAAGGCGCGGTGGGAACCGCAATAGCATTGTCAGGTAATTGTGCGCTACAGACAGACCCAGCTCCTTGTACATGGCCTGCATTCTCCACCAGCTCCTGTCGTGCCGACGCAATCGCCTGCTCCAGTTCCACCATCATCTTTTGCTCAAAAATCCTCTGCAGCCCGTTCTCCTTCAACAGCCGCTCGACAAACGGCGTGTGCTGGAACTCCTTACCATTCTGCGTCTCTGCACTGGTAGAGTACAGCTCCAATGTCGGGCTACCGGTCCACCTCTGCAGCATGGTCACCAGCAACTGCAAACGCACCACGAGGTTCGCCCACGAGATCATGGCGGCCAGGCGCGCTTGGAACTCCATCGATACATACAGTGGCTTGGCATCTCCCAAAGCCCGTAGAGTCGGATACAGGCCCTCGATGTAGTCGACTTTGCGCAAAAGTTTCTGCAATTGCTCCAAGCACGCATGATTGAACTCGGCCTCCTCCATCTCAACGCTTCCCACGCACCGCTCCGTGCTGAACTCCATCACCGCCTTCAAGACATTGTCCACGTGCGTCACCCGCAGCGTCTCAAGGGTCTGCTTTTCTTGCGCGCTGGTGCGTCCGCGGATCGCTGCCCGGCACCCGACCCACAGTTCTCCGTGAATATGCCGAAACAGTGCCCGGTAGTCCTGGTTCTGCAAAAGCTCGCTCAGGCTGGCCGCAAACTCTGTGTCACTCATATTCAGCATCAGGTCGTCCTGGCTGCGTATTCAGCCGCTTCTTCTCGCTATCTACCACCTCGCCCATCAACGCTGCTGTTAGCATTTCCTGCCATTCGGCGCGCTCCCGCCGCTCGCTGTCGTCCAGTCGCCAGAAACCCCAGTGACTCGCTGGATGTGCTGGACGCCGTGTCAGTCAGTTTGCTGCGTGTATCCGAGGTCGCTACTGAGCGGGTCGCTGTGGGAACCGGCTTGCCCGAGATTGCGCGCACAGCGGCTGCTGCTGAACCAGAGTAGCGGGAACTATTGCTGTTGGAATGCATGTGCGACGCCATGTGCCTATGGTACTCGGTCGTGTCCTGGAACCCGAACCGGTGGTGTGAAGAAGAGCCCTGCAAGCCGTCCAAAGTGTCGTCCATTAAAAAGAATAGCTTGAAGAAATTACACGTATACAAAAAAAAAGCCTTCCAATTGGGAAATGAGAAATTTCCAAAGCCAAGGGGTCTTGTGGCCTCCCAAAAAGCACACCCAGCCAAAGCTAGTTTGGCCAATATATTGCCAACAGAAAAACTCTACTGTTGCGCCAGCGCCGCCTTGGCTAGGTCGACTGCCGCCCGAGCTTCTTCCACGGCCTCCCCATCGTTCGGCTACCGCAAGGAGGTTCTCCAGATCCTGCATGGCCGCACGGATCCGCCGCTCCGTGTCCGGTACCATCGCCAGGGTCTCCGTCAACACCTCCCGCTGCTTGCGCACGTCTGCCTCGTGCGCATTGCGCGCTTCGTACTCGGCAATGCGCTTTCTTTGCGACTCCGCTTCCACCAAGTAGCACTGTTTGTCCTTGATCAGCCGCTTCACTGCGCCAGTTTTGATCTTGAGCTGCCGTGCCTGTGCTGACATTATTTGAAATTTCTATGTAATAAGCGCAAGGGAAGAGAAAAGACAAACAACAAAAGGTGACGGAAACGGTTTATGATTCAGGACCTGGCTGTGGCTCGCCGGCTCGATTGGGAAATTGGGAGCCAGCATATATCAGCTCAGCTCCTCTTCAAGACCCGGTACTGGGTAAGCACTTCGATGGACTTGGTCGCCCTGCCTTTGGCAGTCTTTGTCCACAGATCCTCGTGTGTGCCAACGATATGCTGCGGGTCCGATGCAACCATTTCGTCCAACTCACGGAACTTGTCGTGTACCTCCTCCAGCTTTTTATTAACCATTCTCCTGGCATTACCGACCTCCCACTGCAGCTCTTCGGTCTGCTTTATATTGTCTGCCAGATATGCATTGAGCCCGTGCTGGTTGTGATATGCAGATTGCGCATGCTTGCTGTCGTAGTATTTTTGGCCCCACTCATTCAAGTCATAGCGGCTTCTATCTATTTCGTACTGCCACTTCACCATCCTCTGGAGTGTCTTGGTTAGCTGGTCCTCCTCGTACGACATTATTTTAGATTTCTTGATTCTTCTGTGGTGTCAATGAATGTGGTGCGGATGATGTCTGTAGAAGAAACCTACGTGAAAACTGTGGTCTTTATACGGAAATCTAGGTTTATTGCCGCACACCAAGTCTGGAAAGTATCTGAACATTGATAACAACACAATGGCTAGTCTAAGGCCGACAAAGGCCATTGGGTGTAGATACACTGACTTTTTATTGAGTACCATGGAGATTCGCAGTTGTTTTTTTACTCACAGCAGTCTTGTCAGCTAGGTAGCGACATTGAGGGTATTCCCAGTAAAACAGAATGACATTTGAATGTCCTTAATAGATGGGTATTACAAGATCCTTGAGTCTGGAACTCTGGAAATGTGCCAAGGATAACCTGCTCCAGCTTTGAAATTCTAACTTGCGGCTTAAGACTCGGCCCAGATCAAAGGGTCTCGAGAGTGAGAGAAGTTATTTTTAACTTTCCTACTGAAGATATGTGCGTTTCCCATCCTATGCAGAGTGGTACTCAATCTTACTAGCATTCCCCTTTACACTTTTACCATAGGCGGTTGACTTGATATTTGGTTTACATGAATCAAGTAACTCCTCCAACTCATTTATTTTCTTCGTTGCCTCATACAGCTGCTTAATTGCCAGAGATTATGCCTGGAAAGCGGTAGTTGCCAGGACCATAGATTCCCTGATAAAATATGGAGCGCTCTCCGAACTACCAAAGCAAGTGGCGTGATTCATTAAAGGAAGTAATGTTGCTATTTCTCTCTCTCCTTTCCAAAATGCTGCTGCAGAGCACAGGCTTTATTGTTAAATATAACATCTTTCCAAAATTCCTGCTTGGCTCGGTCTCTTCGAGGGACATGGTGAATATTCAGAAAAACAAGCGGTATGATGACAAGATGCAATATAGAGTTGAATGAGGAACAAGCTAACCTAAGGATGTACTGGCAATTTATATAGGATAGCTGATGCTGAATTCGTCAGATTTTTTATGCAGCAGCAATGTTTGGATAATAGATCAAGTGGTGATAGCCCACACTTGAAAGGATGGGTAACTATGTGAATGGTTCAACAGCAGTTGTACACAATACATATCTGTGTGATATTGTTTGATTTAATATGCTGGGCGTTCGAAGACTCTGCTCCGAGACATATTATAACCAGTAAGATACAGTCCGTCCAATCTTTTTATTATTCTCTTGCAATGATTACTACCACTATATCTGGCTTATCGTCCCCGGTTTATATTTGTAGATAGAGGCAGCTGACAGCATTTGGTTGCTGGGTGTGCTGGTAATGCACATAGACTATCCATTGATGGCACACAATAAGTGCTGGGGTGGATATTCCTCGGCCGTAGCTGCTCTCGGCCCCACCTGCACTCCCGCCTGCAAGACATATAATGGTGACGTGCAGGCTTGGCAGTGATGATGCTAGGTCGTGATTAAATCCAAGATAGGAAATCACCCACGCCCATTTTTGTACTCTTTTTCGATTCCAGCCCCGCGGGGAAAGAGGCAATCAACGCGCGTTCGTCACTGGACCCTCGTCCACTTCTTATTCCCCTTCAACCCTCCGAATTTCTATTAAGCGTATTTTTATATTTCCAGTAGTTTCGAATGAACGGCCAGAATTTAGACGGAACAGCAGGTGACTCGCTGGGGCAATTCAATCTCCCGGACACTGAGTACCATTCGCAGTCCATTGCCAACGCGGTAGCAGCTGTGCAGCACCTCCAGCAGCAGCAGCAGCAGCAGCAGCAGCAGCAGCAACAGCAGCAGTCGCCAGCGCCCACGCAGCCAAGGCGGTCACCGGCACCGATGTTTCCAGGGCCCAGTACGATCCCGACGAACTTTGCAAGCGGGCAAATAAACTCGCCCGAGGCGCTGCAGCAGTTCCAGAGCAAGTTCTGGACATCGCACATGGCGAGCATTGAAGACAACATGCCTGACTTTAAGAACCATCTTCTGCCGCTGGCGCGGATCAAGAAGGTCATGAAGTCGGATCCCGACGTCAAGGTGCAGATGATCTCAGCGGAAGCGCCGATTCTGTTTTCCAAGGCGTGCGAGATTTTCATTACCGAGATCACTCAGCGCTCGTGGATGAACGCCGAGGAGAACAAGCGGCGGACACTGCAGCGCCAGGACGTGTCGTTCGCCGCCCAGCGCAGCGAGATGTTTGATTTCCTGATTGACGTTGTGCCCAGAGAGGAGTACGCCAACAAAAAGAACGCCGCTGCTGCCGCCGTTGCCAAGGAGGAGCCTGCTGGTGGTGCAAGCCAGACGCCTGCGCCAGCAGCTCCCCAGCAGCAGCAACAGCCAGCACAGCCAGCAGCAGCCCCGCAGCAGCCCCAGCAGCAGACGCCGTCGGTGGCCGAGCTTTCACAGCAGGTTCCGCAGGCAGCGCAGCCAGGCCTCGCCCAGCAGGCGCAGCCAGCGGTAGCGCAGCCAGGCACGCCCAGCCAGGTGCAGCAGTCGGCAGCACAGTACTACAACGACCCGACTCTTCAACAATACTACGCTCAGCACCTGGTTGATGTGCCGGGGTTCCCGCCCGTAGCCGCTCCGCCGACGGCCACCCCAGAACAACGCAACGCGTACTACCAGCAGATCGAGCGGGAGCAGCTGCAGTGGTTCCAGCGCCAGGCACTGCAGCCTGGCTTTGGCTCGCCACAGGCCTCTTCTGTCAACGACAGTGCACCGCTGGCAGCCCAGATCCAGCAGAGGATGGGGGGCTCGCTGCCACAGGACCTGGCGAGCATGCAGGCCGAGGCCGACCAGAACGAGCAGGCCTAGTTTGCTGACTTCCTTTTTTCTTCCTATTATCTTTTCCGACTCGTAAATTCCGATACTGTCATATGCTTGATAAGCAGGTGTCTGGCACCAGTGCCGCGCCGTCGATGGGCTGGGCTGGTTGCCAGGACCTGGGACCTGGGACCTGGGACCACATCACGTGGCCGGTGCTGTGCTCCAGCCAATGATTAGGCTGATAGTCACACGTGATGTGACCGCGTTCGTCACTCGGAGCATTTCCCTCTTTCCAATCCCGGCAAAAAAATCTCCTTATCACCAACAGTTCCACTGGCCGCTCTAGAGCGAACACGCAAAAGCTTTCGACCTGGACTGCCGACAAGCTGGGCAGGCCTTTTCCGTTCTCACGTCTTCTTCGCTCTTTATCTGCACTCTTCGCTTCTCTTTCACTTTTTTTTCCAAATAGAACAAATGTTTGCTTCGTCTGTTGCACGCTCGCTCCGCACTGGTAAGCTTCCCGAATTCAGGCTCAGGCAATCTCGCTGGTGTTTGCGTCTAAATCTCGCTCTATGCCTGTTGTGAATTTGTAGCCTCGCAGCGCTGGTTTCGCTACGTCGGCCGCCCGCCGCTCGTACGAGGACACCGTGAAGAACCTCCGGATCAACAAGGACACTCCGCGTTCTCATCCAGGGCTTCACTGGCAAGCAGGTAAGGAGCCGCTGTAGTGTTTTTCTCTGGCTGCAGCGCACACGCCAGCACATGAGGGCTTGCTACTGGCGAATAGGGATTTGCAGGCCAAAAAGGAAGCTTTTCTCCACGCCCCCAACCCGTCCAGCAGTGCGATTGGCCTCGCATGGTTTTTTCAGCCCGTAGTCGGTCCTGTCCCCCTCCTATCTAAACCGCGCTTTTGTTTATCTGTAGGGCACTTTCCATGCCGGACAGGCCATTGCCTACGGCACCAACGTCATTGGCGGCGTGTCGACCGAAGAAGGCCGGACAGACCCACCTGGACAAGCCTGTGTTTGGCTCCGTCAAGGACGCCGTGCAGCAGGCGTCTCCCGACGCCACTGCCATCTACGTGCCTCCCCCCTTCGCTGCTGACGCCATCCTCGAGGCCATCGAGAACGAGATCGGCCTGATCGTTGCCATTACCGAGGGAATCCCGCAGCAGGACATGGTGCGCGTGGTGCAGGCCCTGAAGACCCAGTCCAAGTCGCGCCTGGTGGGCCCCAACTGCCCGGGCATCATCGCCCCCGACGCGTGCAAGATCGGTATCATGCCCGGCCATATCCACAGCGTTCGGCAAGATCGGCATTGTGTCGCGCTCCGGTACCCTGACCTACGAGGCTGTCAACCAGACGACCCAGGCCGGCCTCGGCCAGACCCTGTGCGTGGGCATCGGTGGCGACCCGTTCAACGGCACCAACTTTATTGACTGCCTCAAGGTCTTCCTCGCAGACGAGGCCACCGAGGGCATTGTCATGATCGGTGAGATCGGTGGGATCGGCTGAGGAGCAGGCTGCCGAGTTCCTGATCCAGCACAACCTGACCCGCGAGAAGCCCAAGCCCGTCGTGTCGTTCATTGCCGGTCCTGACTGCCCCGCCTGGCCGTCGCATGGGCCACGCTGGTGCCATCATTGCCGGCGGCAAGGGTACCGCCCAGGACAAGATCAAGGCCCTGGAGAAGGCCAATGTGCTGGTGTCCCAGAGCCCCGCCCAGATGGGTGTCCTGATGCGGAAGCGCATGGTCGAGGAGGGCCTCATCTAAGGTGATCTGTTGGGGGGGGTGCTCGTGATGCTGGCCCGCCACATAGCCCGAAGCCCTCGCCTAGTAATTAAAGGATTCTGTTTATCGTTTCAAATCACGGGCTTTTCAAATTACCGAATTGTAAACGATGTCATAGCTGCCCTGGATCCTCCGCGATGCCTGCCCGATAACAAACGAGCGAGATGGCCATGTTGCACGGCCGGTCTGGACGCACTGTAGCGCACTGCCATATAGGGCCTTGTGGCTCGCATTAGCGTATGAGAGATTCTCACGCTGCGCTTTGTCTCGCTCCGTGTTACACATCATTCCAGACTATGCCGCTGCTCTTCCTGGAGGAACGAAGCTGTGAAGTGGGGGGGAGACCTTTTCCATGAACGAGCGAATGACATTACGTCTGCTGTGCACCTAAACAGCTATTTTTTCTACAACATATTTGCAAATCCACTACTCCCTACCTTTTAGATTTTCTCGGCGGATCTATCCTTGTACTACTCAGCCATTGCAAACCGACCACTGCCCGATCCAGCATATTTATACACATCGCTCCTTTTCACTAGATGTAGTGTAGAGGGATGGGCCCCGAAGGACGTCGTGACCCGCCCAGGACCGATCCAAGCAGATATATCCATGCCACGCGAAGCTCGGTCCTACAGGTGGGCGAGTGGGAGGGCGTGTACCAGAATAACGCAGCTTCCTGTACCATCCACCCCCAAATCAGTCCATATCAGGTGTTTGGGGTCTGTCCAATATTCTCCTTTTTCTTTCGCTTGCCGTTTGGAGATTGCCTTTGCGGCCACACCAAGACCAACGATATGACAGAATTGCCTTTTGCGACTGTGTGTTCCAACATGTCACCCCTTAGAGTAGGGGAAAATAAGCGGAACCGGCTCTCTCATACAAATGCTTGCACCACCGTTTCTTGGGGAGAGGGAGGAGAGGGGGCGGTCAGCCGCCAGATCATATAAAATGCACATGCTTCCCACTTGGGAATCGCGATTCTTCAAGTAAACTACTTCTTTCCTTATAGTCCCTGGCCCCTTTCTATATTATCACGCAGAACACCTGTGCTAATGAACGTTGTGGATTCCGCCCCGGTCGCATCCAAGGAAATCTACAGCCCAGATGCCAAGGCTGACATTGATATGCACTCTAATGCATCAACAAAGGCGGCCGACGAGGACGGGCACATCAAGCGCACCAGCTCCTCGCTTGGCGCCTTTTTCAACATGACCGGCCAGGTCCTGGGATCCGGCTCCCTCCAGCTTCCCTATGTCTTGGCACGCGGCGGCTGGATCGGCCTCATTGTCATGGGCATCTGCGGTCTGATCGCCGTATTCAGCGCCATCATCACCATCCGCTGTCTGCACGCCGTGCCCGGCAAGCGTCTTCTCGGATTTGTCGACATTGGCCAGGCCAGCTTCGGCAAGCCAGGCCGGTATTTCGCGTATTTCTTCCACGCCCTGTACTGCTTCGGCACGTGCTGCCTGTACATTATCCTGTCTGGCACAACGATCCACACGCTGCTGGTGCCGACGGGCGTTACGCTGGATAAGAAGTTCTGGATGTTCATCTGCACCTTCATCATGTGGGTGCCATACGTCTGCCTGAAGCAAATGGCTGAGACGGCCATTATCAGCATGTTTGGGCTCCTTAGCAGTATCGTCGTGGTCTTGATCGCTGTCGGCATTGCCTTCCACAAGCCGTATTTGGCCCAGGGCCCCATTCCCACCGATAACCCGCACGCTGTTGTCGACGGCACAACGATCACACACATGTTTGTGCACTGGGGCGGTGTACCCACTGCCCTGGCTACCTTCTCGTTTGCCTTCGCTGGCAATGCCATCTATCCGTATATCGAGGGCAGCATGCGTACACCGCGCCACTGGCCGTACGTGTCGGTGTGTGCTATGGTTGTGATCACAAGCTTCTACATGCTCTGTGGCGCCGCTGGATATCACGCCTACGGACATCTTACGGTCTCGCCGATGCTTGACAACTTGCCGCGTGGCGCCGCGAGTGTAGCCGCCCAGATTCTGATCGTCATACATGTAATCGTCGCCGTGCCCGTGCTCATGACGTCCTTGTCGATGGAGATTGAGAAGTCGTTTAAGATTACGCCGCAGTACATGGGCAAGTGGAAGGAGCGGATTGCACGTACTGGCTCGCGCACCCTGCTGATCGGTGCGCTCATGGGTGTCTCTATGGCCATCCCGTATTTTTCAGAAGTTATGACCCTTGTTGGCGCCTTGTCCACCGGATGCGTGTTCTTGATCGAGCCCATTCTGTTCTACTGGAAACTGTATGGTTTTAAGCGGATTCCCTGGTGGCAGCACATCGTTGGCGTCGTTATGCTTTGTCTAGGTCTCCTAGCCATGGTGCTGGGCACCAAGGACGGCGCTATTGCTCTCAGGGATGCTATTAATGCCGACAAGAGCAACTGATATTCCTCTGCAAATTCATACACATTTCAATCATTTTCCGCAATACATACTTTTTCTTTGTTATTGTAGTACGCTTGTTTCCACCGAGTCGTCTGACAGCACCAACCATCGCTGCTATGGATGTCATATGCATTGCATAAATTGCACACGAGAAAAGATAACCAACATCCCTTTCTCTTTTCTTTTCTGTTATGAATGTAGAGGGCAATACCGGCTGACCAAAAGGGGCATTGTGGAACTCGCTTATAGAAATGCGAAAAATAGCCGTACTCCAAAACAGGACAAGGAGGTGGATCATTTGCACGTCAGCTGCACGCGGCCATGTACATCGAGCACAGATTGAGCACAGTTCATATTTGGAAAGAGGTGAAGCGTCGGATGCTTTGATAATAGAGCACCACCAACCGTCAGGCTGGATGCCAGGTGGCATTCTGCGAAATAGGGATAATGGCGAGTGTCATGAATTGAGAACAAAAACCACTGCATATGTGGTTCGGGTGTTGTCGCCAGAGGGTATTGTTCATGCAATCAGAACTGATACCTGTGGAAGAGATCGATGAACCCTGCTCAAGATAAACTTGGGTCAGACACTTCCCTCCATGAAGCCAATATATCTACAGGAGTATCTGAAACCACCATCAATAGATAGCTTGAAGTACTGGTCCAACAATAGATAGATATCTGACTAACAGCATCACAATGTCACAGCTATTGCATTTATGCGTCCTCTCACGATGCAGCATGTCTGGCTACGGCATGGTAAAGATAAACATCCATCACACGCATAGTCATTATCACCTGCAGACAGTAATGGGAAATGTTCGACAATAGTGTATGCAGCCTCTACGGCCCTCACCAACCCAAGCCTTCGCCAGCCGCAAGCCAACTGCCGAATTATACAGCCTATTTGTATGCAAGCCACTTTTAGAGGAACTATACAAAGGGGTATGTCCATACATAGCGTACGGTTCCAATAATGGCTAGAAAAGTATTTTGGAGTATTGTAGACGAGGCAGAGAATGGGGCTGCCAACTTGAAGAGGGCTATTTGCTAGGTATTTATTGCCTCCCAGCCCGCCACCAAGCCGTTACATACTGGAACAAGCAATGCTCTTCCCTCTTGTTCAATTATATCTCAAAACATCCCTTTTCTCCTTTCCTGACACCACTATCCACTCCTTCATATATTTGCACAATGCCTACTTATTTTAACCCTTCCAGTGTCCATATTCCTTCGGTCGACCTGCCCTCGTTCTTTTTTGACACCGTGAAGAATAAGACAGTGTTTGGACGAAAACCCGAGATTCCGTTCCTGATCAGCGAGCAAAGAACGCTATCATTCGCCGAGTTCGAAACGTTCACATATGGCCTTGCCTCTGGACTCAGCAACAACGCAGGTCCTGAAGTGCGGAGACGTGCTGCTTGTGGTACTGCCCAACACTGTGTACTATCCTGCAGTCACCCTAGCAGCCCAGATGGTCGGCGCTGCTGTTTGCACTGCCAATCCGCTGTATACTGCACATGAAATTGCCCACCAGATCAAGCTGACAGACGCAAAGGATGGTTCTCACCATTGACGCCAGGGTTCCGGTTCTCAAAGAGGCTATAAACATCGCTGGGTCATCAATCCCTGACAGCCTCATATTTACTCTTGATGGCGCAAACTCGGTTTTCGATATTCTCTCAGACAAATCCTACCCGCGCGTCTACCTGCAAACGGACGATGGGGTCAAGAACACGGTAGCATTTATCGTGTTCAGCTCTGGTACCAGCGGGTTTCCGAAAGGTGTTATGCTCAGTCATCGCAACATCGTTGCCAACATCCTACAGATGATTGGTTTCGAAAAAGCGGATAAGGTGCAGACTAGACGGTTTGCGGAAATCGAAGAGGCCCGCATGTTCTCGGAGTCTTGCCCTTCTTCCACATTTACGGATTGGTGTGCATCATGTACCACCAGCTTTGCGCTGGACGTGCCCTAGTGGTGATGTCGCAGTTTGATCTTGAAGGCATTCTGCCAGAATGTGCAAAGGTACCGCTGTCGCACTGCTCACCTCGTGCCGCCTATCATCCTTGGCTTAACCAAAAGCCCAATAACTGCGAAGTACGACCTATCAAGCTTCATCTTCGTCAACAGCGGCTCGGCCCCATTGACCAAGGAGCTGCAGCAAGAGGCACAGAAAGTCCTGGGATTTCCAATGTGCCATGGCTATGGGCTAACAGAGGCAAGTCCTGGGATCTGCCGTCCGTATATTGATGATGTCGTATATGGATCCTCTGGTCGCCTGGTACCGAACATGCAGGTGAAGGTTATCGACAGCGATGGCAGAGAGGTTGGTCCTGGAAAATCTGGTGAGCTATGCTTTGCTGGTCCAAACATCATGATGGGCTACCTAAACAACCCAGCTGCCACTGCCGAGACGATCGATGCTGATGGCTACCTCCGCACCGGCGATATCGGACACGTCGACAATAAAGGAAATATCTTCATCACCGACCGCAAGAAGGAGCTTATCAAGTACAAGGGTTTCCAAATTGCGCCCGCCGAGCTCGAAGGGCTCCTGCTTGACCACCCAGCTATTCTGGATGCAGCCGTTATTGGTGTCTATGCCGACGCTCAGGAAACCGAAGTTCCCAAGGGGTTCGTTGTCCTCCGACCCGGTACCAACACGTCTGGTATTGTTGATGAAATCCACAAGTGGGTAAACAAGCGCGCGATCCAGTACAAGAAGCTACGCGGCGGGATTGAGGTTGTTGATGCGATTCCAAAGTCAGCAACTGGGAAGATCCTCAGACGTGTTTTGAAGGAGCGCGAGTCACAGAAGAGCAAGCAGATGAAGTGCTAGGCAATGGCTTATTTTTTTGCCTAAAGAGGTTATCTACTGCTCGAAAGTTGATATAATTAAAACCACTTGTCCATGCATCCTCAGCATAAGTAGCAGTGCACCAGCCACCAAGTGATGGGCAATTTACTGGTTGACAGTATTATCATATGCTGGCGTTGGAAAAGTCATGATAAGTTTCAAATAAGCACGTGGGATCCTGACAGATAAACCATATGCTTGAGTTTCTTCTGAAAGAACTTTTTTTTTTTTCTTCTTTCTTTCGTTAGTTTTTTCTTTCTTATTTATAAACTGTGTATCGCTCGTTTTAAAACTTGGTGCCAATGCAGATATGATTGATTATTGATGAGATAAATTTGAGATGAAATTGTGGCTAGAAACGATACTTTTTCACAACAGGATCAAACTGGACTCGGGCCATCGGATTCAGGTAGACACCGGGTTCTTGTTTGTCCGTGTACGGGGGCGCGTCCTTGACCTGCACGAATGTGTGCTTGCCAGTTAGCGCGTTGCTCCAGTAGCAGCAAGCCTTTGCTTCACGCTCCATGACCTTGTAATGGTATTCCTCCAGCGTGCTTTGGCCAATTGCCTGCAAGAACATAGTCAGGATGCAGCACCAACACCTCGCCACCGACCTGACCGAAACCAAATGACTTTAAAAGCGCTGCCTTTAATACCAGGCGTTTGTATCGAGCGGTTTGGGTACAAAATGTAGTCGTACTGCTCAAGCTCCTCATCGATATTGTCAGCGTTGCGGTTTCCAGGCACAATCCCAGTGCGTAGTGACTGCAGTGCACCAGACAACATCCATGCTGCAGCAGGTCCCTTTGGGTGGCCTGTCAGCCACTTTTGGCACACAGCAGGAACTGCATGTCCGGGTGTACGTCCGAGATGTCCAAACTGCTGATTGATAACGTGGGGCTCGTTGCGGTCGTTTGCTCTGGTTGATGTTCCATGGAAAGACACCAAGTCCAATGTCGTCGACAGTCAGTCCCCATGTCGCCAGTGAACCGCGCAGAGGCGCAATGGTTGGATCGCGGTGCCAGAACTCGTTGCACCACTTGTCCTGTGCATCCTTACGTAGCTTGGTAGCCTCACATTGAATGAACCTCGTTCGCGCCTCCACAAACATTTGTTCATCGCAAGGTAGTCCCTGGGATGACTCCTTCAACCGGACAACCTCACGCTGCAGCTTACCATGCTGACGGTCCGACCCACTGGTCGATTTCCTGGATCCGCTCCGCTAGCTCCTCGCGACGGTACTCAAAATCAAGCAGCGGTGATGGAACTGCCGTGGAAATTTCACGGGCGGTGGTCAGAATTCCTTGTCCAGGCGCCGGCACGGAACGGCCCTCTTTGTCTGTTGAGGTAGCGGTCATTGCCAGCACACCATATATCGGGGCGCCAAACTCGATTGCGGCTGAAGCAGACATCAGTGTCAGGATTCCCGCGCCCAGACTCTCGACAAAGCCGTTGCGGCTGGATGTGCACGGACGCGACATCTCCGCAGGAGTCCTGCCGCGCTTGCCCTCATCAATAGAGCTTGCCGTTGCGTTGACTTTGCCTAATGCATAGGCGGCGTCGCCGCTGTACGAGTCAAATGCACCGGCAACCATCATTCTAGGCTTTGCCGCTCTGAATGGTCTCCACAGCAACATCAAGCGACATGGCCGTGGTTCCGCAGGCGCCGACTGTAGCTTTGATGGGGCCGGACGATGACAAAGAGAAGCATGTTGGTCCAGGCGGCCACTGTGTTTATGAACATCTCCTGCACAACATCTGTTTTGACATCCTTGTCGAGGGCGCCGTTTCCAAAGATATCCTTCATAGCATCCGCGCCACCAAAGCAGGCACCAGTAGAGTTGCCAACCTCAGACACATGGAAATACTTGTATAGCTCGTATGGATCGGTTATTCCAGATCGCAGCAGCGCCTCGACTGTCGCGACAAGTCCATAAAGCACAACTGGGTCGACTACGTCAATGATATCTTTTGGGATTCCATAGCGCTCAGCGCTCCAGCCAGTTGGTAGCTGTGCTGTGACAAGTCGATCAAACTGCAGCGCCTTGGGGACCGAGATCACAGCACCCTTTAAGAACCGCACGGACCATGTTCCGTCGGGATTCTCCCACACATCAACCCTATCGCCGTTACCGCGTTTGAAATGGCCAGCCTCGTCCGCAGTGGCCTCGAACGGCTCCAAGTCATGGTCGACCTGGATCTCGCGCATCATTACAATGTTGTTCGGGTCGTACCCTTTTGTCGCTGAGGGATCAAGAACACGAATGCCAGTGCTGGCAACAATGCGCGACTCGTACCTGGCCTTGATATCGTGATCTTTGACTGGCTCGTTGCTCTCGCTGTCAACCCAGCCAATATAGACATCTCCAGTTGAAGCAAGTGGTCCGCTGTGGTGCTTGATCAGGCCCATGATCCAGGCCAGTTCGGCACACCCCTCGAGAGAAAACTCGCCATACGCTTCCATCTGCCACCGTGTCTCGGCGTTGCCAAACGGATTCACCTCTCCGTACCCGGTGACCACAACTACCTTGTCTAGATTGACCATACCCTCAAGGTGGCGCAGGTGTGCAAGCTGCTCGTATGACTTGGCTTCAGGGAACGGCATAGGAGTGGTTGACCAGCGGCTCAACATTGTCCAATGTGAAAACATCGACCATTCGCGTCGCAGACATCTCTTGGTGGTCCTGAGCCGCAGCAGAGAGAAGCGCCACCCTTAGCTTTCCTTGCTCTGCATAAGCGTGCCGAGTGCCAACCATCGAGCTTATATTCTCAGAGAACTGCTCGAATCCACCGCTCAGATCTGCCCATACCGGCGATTCCAGCGCAATATCGCAGATAGCCGGGTGCAGGAGACCAAGGATGTTGAATGCCATCTCCGAAGGGGAGAATGTGCGGACATTGTGCTGCTCAACCACTTCGGCCAACGTATCATTCAAATCCATCATGCGAGTGCCGCGCGTCCATCCAATATCCGCACCCACAATCGACAAGTATGCAGACCATGACTCAGAGCGCCAGCGGTTGAGTAACGTCTCAAGCCCAGCCTTGCTCTCGCCATACAGCCCATCGCCGCCAAACACGCCATGGTTTGGAGATAGAGGCAATATGGCTTGGGTGGGCGAAAGGTCTAAACCAAGCCTGGCCTTAACAGACGCAACCTGGCCCAACAGGCGGATGGTGTTGGTCAACATAACACGATGGGCTAGCTCAGACTTGGATCTGACCCCAGTGATGTCCTGCCCTATTTCTGAAACTGACGCAAACGGCACGATAAAGTCGAGATCCCAGTTCAGACCCTGCTCGCTGTAAACGAAGTCAACCAACTCCTGAATATCCGAGATAGAGCCCTGGTTAAACGGAACAACCACCAGCTGTGACCCGCGTGACCCATGCTTTCGATAAATGTCCTCAAAGTATTGCGTTGATTTGCGGCAGTAGCTGGAAGTGGTTGCCAGGACCTTTGCGCCACTGGCCAACAGCCCCTTGAGGACCTCGCTCCCGATCGACCCACAGCCACAGCCAGTGACCAGCGCAGTGGTGCCACCTAGCGAAAGTCCCTCTGTGCACATCTGACGCAGCCCGTCAAAGTAAATGTCGGTGTGTGCTTTGTTAAGCAGCCACGTGCGGCCGCGCGCCTTGCTCTTGATAAACAAAAACGACTCGTGATCAGCATTGGGCTTGCACATATGCTCGACGTACTCGCTGTAACTCGGCTCATCTTCTCTGGCAAGCTCCTCATATAGAACCTCGCCTGCCATAGAAACCGTGGTGTGCGGGCGGGTAATAGTGGCAACACCTTTATATACAGGTGGCTTGCTTTGTGCGGGTTTGGCGGCGGCCAAGACATCGGTAACGCTTTGCAGTGCTGCTAGGGCCATGTCGTCTGCCTGCTGTTCCAAAATCCCAACTGTAGCATGAAGGTATTTGACCAGCTGCGGAGTAGATCGATTGGCCAGCATCAGCATTTGCTCGGCACTTACACTGCGCTTCTCCACGCAGAAAACCATTGACCAGCTCGTACATATCGATGCGCACCCAGTTCCAGCACGAATCGTAAAAGCGTGCCTTGTTCTTATCGAACATTGGCTGTATGCCGCCAACAAACTCGTCGCCTAGTTCCGAAGACCACACCATCCACCTGAGCCCGCAGTCACCGTGTTATCGGCCATAGCAGCCTCGTACATCCGCTCATGCTTGCACAGATCCAATCCGATATGCTGCGCAAGAACCTTTATCTGCCGTAAACTGTGCTCGCGCTGCTCCTTCTGTGCCAGTTCAAACTCTGCACTGTTCACGACTGGTACGCCGTCGCCGCCTGCACTGCCAGACCCGCTTGACCCTGAAGCGTCAGCCAAGGAAATGTTTGCGCGCTTGGCATAAATCTCGGCCACAGCATGCAACCAGCGCTTTGCCTCAACCTCCTGTGTAATACGACTTGGAGGCTCCATGGTTACAGCCACAAGGAAAAGAGCTGTCTGTCGCTGCGCACCAAACCCGTATGCAGATTTCAGATATGCACGTGCGCTTGACTGGGTGAACCCGCCAGGCATTTTGGCAGCGAACATGCGGGCAATCAGAGTGGTTGGTGTCTTACCCAGCGCCCCACCGAAAGCCCCAATTGACGCGGCCAGGTCACCAAGCGGCATTTCTTCGGCCTTGTCTGGGACCTTCTTGCCGAACTCCTTCTGCAGCTCGCTGACAATCTCGTTCTGCAGCGTCGACTTGCCACCAGCAAGTTCTTTGATCGTCTTGCTGTCTGTGACATCGATCCAGTGGCTTCATCAGCTTCTGCGCCACAAGCATTTGGATGATTGCAATTGTTGGGACGGGCTGGTCCTCGATCGCTGGCAGATGCAGCAGTGGTCGAGAGAGCTGCCTGCTGTGGGGGTGCTTGAGCAGCAACGACGATTGGTGCAGCAGGCACGCCTATTCTCGGTGGGAATCCTGCCGTGCTTGTCAGCAACTTCAGCTTCATACGAGTAGTACACATCGCTCTCGTTCTGCAGGATATGTAGGATTGCCACGTCTCGCTCAGCAAATGGATCCGTCGCCAGTGTCTTGTGAGCCATTCCATTGAGTGTTGGCGTCGGTCCCACTTCAATAAGGCGGTCGACACTGAGTGTACCGAACAGCAATTTTTGAGTCGCAATCCAGCGCACGGGCGAGGCGAACTGGTATGCAATGAGCTCAATAAGCAGCGTACGAGCCAAATTCGATGTATCCTGGTCGTTCTCTGATAACTCGGGGCTAATTCCAATCGCGCACCTCCTGGGCCAAAATCGGTGAGTGAGTGATACTCTCTGCATACTGGAAGTAGCTCCTAGACACCTCAAACGCACGTGCAGTAACATTCGGGATGTATACATCGCGGAGCTGCTGATAGTCGACACGTCCGGCTGGGATCCGCTCTTGCAAGCAGCGACGGAAGCACGCAACAGGCTGGCAGTCAGCTGCGTCGAGTGTGAAGGAACATCAATGCCGGAGAGGGGAATCGTCGCACGACCGCGCCTAGGCGTAATGTCACCGTCCAGAAGCTCAAGGACATCCTGGATAAGCCTAACGGTATGCTCCTTCCCAGCGTGCCCAGATGTATCGATTTTCTTGCTGCTGATAATATCCAGCACTCGACGAAGAGCCTCCAGCTGCGACAGATGGCCAGTAACGACATACTGTTGCTCGTCAACATTAAAGTTAACCAGCTCCAACAGCTGCTCTCCCATGCATGCATATCGACTCGACGACAAAGCACAGCTCGCGCTCGCCAAACCCGGGAGTAACCCTGGTCGGATTCACTGCGACCATGCCGTACTGCGAGCAGTTCTGCTCATCACGCTCAACTGACATATTGAGCAGCATCCCGCGATAGAAGGTGATGTCGACAATATCTTCCACAGTGAATATATGGGTCATGGCTGCCAAGGCACCGAATTCGCCAAGAGAGTGTCCTGCAAACAGCGTACGCTCGGAAATAAGCGACTTTGCGCGCATGTCGGCAATGCATGCCAATGCGAACACTGTTTGCGCAGGCTTGCGTGAACTTGAGTCGCATTTCAGCAGACCAGCGACGGCTCGGTGTTTGAAGCTGCGTGTGCGCGTGTTGATGCCAGGGAATAGCGGAACGATGCGGACAGTGCCATCACCGTTTGGAACTTCGGTTGTCAGCGACATGTAGGAGCTGCGCACCGATGTCCCCTTTCGGCTGTCGGCTGAACTTGACGGTTACTTCGGTCGGGTTCCCGCGCACAATACTCAGCAATGACACCCCGTACTTTGCGAGCATATGTGCATCAGCGCGGATCCCACACGCCTGCGAGCTGCCTCTGAGGTCGCGTAAAGATCCATGCCCATACCGACTTTCTGGGCACCTTGGCCGGTAAATACCATTGCGGTCAGCGGCTGTTCAATCTCAGCAGTGCAGGTGAGTACTGTTGACCCATGTTGGTTAGTGGTCTCACCGCTGAACAACATACGGCCATTCTTCATGCCAATGTGATGCAGCTTGGTCTCCAGCCTGTCGCCAGGGAAAACCATGTCGACGAATTCTGCGGAATAGGCGCGCATTCTGTCAGGAATTCCGTGTGCAGCAGCGTCCTCGACAAATGCCCGCGTGGCTGCCGCCGTCCACATTCCATGAATTATCGTACCAGGCAAGCCCGCATAGTTGGCCATGTACGGATTGGTATGTATCGGGTTTATATCGCCAGAAGCCTCCGCATATGGGTGTGCAGAGCGTGGGGCTACTGTTTGCATCGACCTCTGGACCGGGATTCCTAGCCCGTCGAACAGCGACTCCGAATCTATAGCTGCTCCATGCCGTTGTAGGAACACAACCACAGGATTTCCCAGCGACTCGAGGCATTCAAAATCGACTTCACCGACAACGGTCTTATGTCCTGGTGCATAGCCATCTCGGCGCATCACGCGGCCAGTGGTTTTGATGTAGGAATAGACAGTATCGGTCTTGTAGCGATACTGCGAGTAGAGTTCAAACTCGAGTACACTGCCGGGCACGAGATCAGCATCCTGCGGTCTCGCTGGGCACGAACCAGTCACGACCCCGAAGGATAGCAGCGTCAGAAGGACTCTGAAGTGCTAGCTCTATGCGTGACTCCTTCACGTATCTGAAAGCCACCGACTGGCTTATGCACGAGCCTCGATAGTGGAATGACGTAGATAGGGACGCGACTGAGGACCCCATGCTGTAAAAAGCGAACATTGAAGAACCAGCTTCTTGCCTCCAACGACATTAACAAGCTCTTGCATGGATACCTCGTAGTCGACTGTGTCTCCGACTTTGAGGGACCGGAATGTGTCAGGAGAAGGAACACTGGTAGCCCAGATGCAGCATGTCTAACACACCCTCATTGAGTGGCGACATAGTCAAAAACTTGAAGATGCCAGGTGTAGCAATGACAAAGAGAGCATCCATTGGTGCCTGCATTTGCTGCATTTCCCGGGGCTGATAGTGTGCACACCTGTTTGCCAACCGCACGGCAGTACTTGGCCACGAAACTCCTCGGTAACCAGGAATCCACTCCTTCTGTACGGACCTTGTCGGATTGGTCATATCGACAGCCGACTCAAACGGTTCTCCGCAGCCATCACCAATGCTGGCAATAGCTCGCATTGGGAGGCATATGCGACTATCACGCTCGTCCATGACCTCTCGAATCAGTGCATACGGCGTGTCAGGGCGATATATGAACATGAACTCCACTGGCAGCTCTCGACCATGCGCCGAATGATATATGATCAACGAAATGTTGCCACATATATCTGCTGACAGATCGACATCGGCCGCCACCTGGATTACGGCGCGACACGCGGATCCGCATTGGCACACCATCAACAAGGTGCACTGAAACCACCTGTCCTGGTCGTGGACGCATGATGCTGCGCACAAAGTTATCCGTGAACTTTGGAGCCCTGGCGTAATCACTGGTGCTGTCAGCAGTGCGTGCAGCCACGACTTGCGTGGGCCAGTTAGCGTGTTCGACCCATGCTTCGAGGTCCGGTAGCTGTGACCCGTCATCAGGGAGCTGGTACACCCATGAGTCCTCGAGCATGTGGCGCTGTACCGAATCAGGCAAAAGCAGGGGTGCAGGCTCGCAGCCAATATAGTCGTCCACAGGGACCATCCATTTGTTGCCTCCATAGAACCGGATGCAGCAGCGCAGCAATCTGGCCGCGGTAAATCCCATCAAGAATATCCTTGACTGGCTCGTTCACCTTAGTCACATACCGCGCAGCAACAGGCCCTTGCAGGATGGTAGTGCGCTGGATATCCTGGTCAAAAACAGAATCGATGTCCTCAGACTGACCAATAGTGTCCTTGAGCAGCCAGCTCGCAAAGTCTTTGTCCAGTACTGGGATGAATGGAACTGGCTTCTGGCCACGACGTCGGCATAGCGCAATGAAGTAGGTAGCATCTGATGATGTGAGCAGCTGTGTGCACATGGCCGGGTAACACTTGGCAATCCAATCGGACTAGCTTTACTGGATCCGATATCTCTCCGATGGTCTGCAGCTCATATGCATGCACGTTGCCTGAGAACCGGTCTTCAATATGGCGGATGAAGTCTCCAAAAAGCACAAGATACGATGGGTCGATCCAGCGTGCTGGCCGTTGAATGTACATAAGCTCCGCCAGCCGCAAGGAGACTTCCAGGTACGTCATCTCCTCAAGGTCCTACAACGCGTCCATCGGTCTTTCTCCCAAACCAGGGGCGCACATGGTCGGCGTTCAGACGTGCAATGATGTAGTCGCGCTTAGGCCTCCAGTAGCAGCAGCAGCTTGTCACGCGGCTTGGACAGGATCGTGTCGTGCATCTCCCGGCAGAAAATCGCTGAGCGCGTCGCTACAGCATGCATCAGCTCGCCATATTCTGAAGGTGTTGTAATAATCCCACCAGCAGCCGCCACATACGTCTTCTCCCATTCGGAATCGACAAGCCCGGGTGTCTGTGCTAATAGCTGCTTGCCAGCCAGAGACGTGCCAGCTTCTAGTGCAGTCATCACGCGCGATGCAACCAAAATGCCGTCAGCCGGCATTGGCGCCCTACCGTAAGTCAGGCTCCAGTCACCTGTAAGATATGGAATTGTACCGTCCGCGTCACCAAACCCAGAACCAACGACAAGCACAATGTTTTGCTGGCCACGAATTGCCGCATACGTCTCAAGCAAGGGCTGGTGGAAATCCTCGCATGAGTGATGGCCGCCAGCACGTCCGCCGGTCCACTGAAGAATAACAGGGAAATCCGAGTTGTCGTGGGCTATCTGAATGACCTTTGCGAATGGCACCGGCAGTCCCAGGCTTGAATGAGACGTGCTGTAGACCAGCAACACGGAAGCTTTGGATAATCTCGTTTGCCACTTCCAACGAGGGCACGCCGGCACCAATGCACACACCGGCAATCGGGAATCCGGCCCGTCGAAGTCGGAGGATCTCCGAGTAGTGGAACGCCCACAGCCGCTGGTTGAGGTAGATGCCGTTGAGCGTGATTCCCTGGCCCGGCCGAATATACTGCATCAGGCTATTGACCTTGGCCTCTAGAGCTTCCCTCGTGAAGATTCCGCCACCGGCGAGCTCGACATGGTACCCAGCCTGACTGATTGCGCCAACGAATTTCTCGTTGACAGTAGTGGGTGTCATGCCACCAACCATTAGCGGCGGCATGCCCAGTATGCGATGCATTGGCGTGTCAATATGCAGCTGATCGTTGTGCGCCGTGCGAACAAGTCGCGGAGCAAACTGCTTCTGCCAATTATGTGCCTCGATTACATCTGCAATGTCCTCTTTGAACAGCTCTGCCTTGGATCCCAGTGGAGAGAACGGGTCAGCCAATATGGCGCTTGTCGAAATCACTGCTTATGCCGCGACCTTCTAGAACAGAATGCGTAAACATACCGAATGCGCTGAACCGACCTGGACTGAAGTCGAACAACATGTGTCTCGTCAGGAATGCCAATAGCAGCTGGCCAGTCGACAGGAAGAGCACATGTGCATTCAAACAGGTGTCGAGTCAAGTCCTGCTCACCACGCAGATCGTGTCCGTCATTGCTGGCTCTAACTGTCGAACCGTAGGTCCTGCTGCATCCAGCACCCACCCCTTCTCGTACGCATATTCCCGCTGCTTGTCGATAACCGGCTGGAGTAGCTCACAGTGATATGGCCCGTTGATGGTCAAGTATGACATCTTTGCATTCGGCTTGCGCTGCGAGAACGGCACCCGAGATTGGCTTGCCATCTGGCTGTGCGCATTTCCCGCGAACCCACCGCACGAACTTTGCCAATGGCGCTGTCATACCTGACACCACGAACTGATTACGAGTGTTGACCAGCGACAAATAGACGCTCGCCCACTTGCCTGACTGCCGTCCGTTGTACTCGTGGATAAGCTGGAGCAACTGGGGCTTGTCGATTCCGCGCACAGACACCATCGGTGCCGGTGTGCCCTCGTGATTTTCAGCCTCTTGAACGAGGTCATGGCTGATGTGTGATTCTGGTCGCTCCAGTTCTGCCATGGCACCTACAAGCAGCAGAATCCCGAAGGACACGCTCCGATAATGCGTAGAATGAGGCTTCATCCTGTCACGGCAGCAAGCAGCACTGCGGTGGCTGTTCCTTGGCTGTGTCCCAACAGCAGCTACAAATCGACAAGAAAACATGGTGAGTACACTGCACCGTCGCTTAACCTATCCGTGTGAACGCCATCTTCTGGCCCCTTCCATTAAAAAGCACTGGCCGCACCATACCTGTAAAGCTGTCTGTCAGTTCGCCTGGAGATATCCCAAGGGTCTTGTACAAGACCATCACGTGCATGAGCTGGACTAGCCCGGTGATCGGAATGGCAACCGACACGTGTGCGAAATAAGTATCGGGTGGCTGAGTGCTGGGATATGTACACCATTGTACGGGGTCCAAGCCGCTATCGTAGAGCTGAGCAAGCCGTGGGTCCTGGCATTCGCGATCAAGAAACGCTGACATTCGGGAGACAAAGTCGCCGAGCAGCGGTGCGTACACATCAAGCAGCCAGCGTGCCTCGTCCATGTAATTCTCCATGCCACCCTGGCCACCAAACAGGGCCATTAAACTGACATCTGGGTCGGAGAGTAGTGCCGGAGTGTAGTGTGGTATGCAATGGCTGCCATGGGGCTCAGTCAAATTCCACACAGAGTAGTACCCTCTGAGTACTCGGCGCGCCTGCTCCTCATCGAGCCCGTGTCGTTGGATTACTAGGTGAATATCTGCATCTTGGCAGAACGAGTCACAAAAGTGGCCAAAGGTGGCCAGTGCTACAGCAGCATGTCGAGAGCTGCAGTAGCCGACAAACGAGGCAAGAAGCTCGATGTTGCAGGTGTATCCGATTGGCTCCTTAGCAAATCCTAGCCGCCAAACGTCGGGCATCGTGCGCAATTAACCGCTCAATAGGAACCTCGACGGCCAGAGTATCGGTGGAAACCGATATAAAGGCGTGGGTATCAGAGTACGTGGTCATAGCTCGCGAAAAGTAATTATCTAGAAGCCAGAATGACAAGAGGTTATGACATACAACGAACAACGACGACGAATACTGAAGTGCGAGGTGGAATAAAGAGCAGGGAGAGAAGAAACCAAAAGGGTGGAATTGGCTTTTCGAAAAGGGGGCCGCCAACTGCACTTATATCTGGACAGTCTTTTTGCCATGGGTCCCTGCCCTTAGTTCTCCCCTCGCTTCGTGGCCTAAATGGATAAGCAGCATTACAAAGCACTACATTTCAGCATTGCTCAATTGTACACCAAAAAATATTTGATAACCATTCTCTCCCTTCACGCAACTACACTAGCGTGACATTTCCTATGCCACAGTTTAACCCCCTCGGGTGAGTACGCAAACATGTAGGCTTGAAATTGGCTAGTGATACAATGCTCGTACACCTCTTCCCCCTCTTCCTCTCTACTTTCCACTATGCGCTTGAAGCTGCCCTTGTCTACTTGGAAAAGGTTGTTGGCTTATTTCTGTCTCTGCGCCATCAAAACATACAGGAGAATGTCTTGCAAGAGTGTTTTGAGGGACACGTCCCTCCCTCACTCTCCGAGCACAGCACACTAGGCACAATGGTCTAATAAGTCGATACAATGAGTATAGTGGCGGCAGGAATTGGCCAGGCTCTCAGCAATGTCTGCCTGAACGCATCGGTGTTTTGCTGGTGTCCACATTGAACCCAAATTGCGCCGGTTGCAAATTGTGCGGACTGGGCGATGAATAGATGCATGCATACGCTTTGCCAACAGCACTCCTTTTGTTGGCAGCCGTGTATCCAGTGGTGATTGATATAGATGAGGTGTGTGTATGTGGCAAATCAATCCTAGTTGTAAGCAGAGCGTTGTGGTCGTTTATTGCAATTCCGTGCATCTTCTTCCGCTTTTGGGCAGAGCAAGGCGCCAAGCGCTGAAAATGAGTACGAGGTTATCTGAGACAATCGTGGCAGTGGCTGGGTTATCTGCCGAGAGAGGCGAGGAATTGATGGCGTTTCTGCTGCTTGCTCTCCTCTTCTCTCCAGCATGGCATGCAGAAACCCAATGCAGACATACGGGGCGTGCGAAAGGCATTTTTCGATGTCCGTGACATGCTGCTTTGAACTCTAACCCAAATTTGCACTCAAGACGAGTAATTGAACCATGGTACCAGTGGACATCTGTATCCGGTCTAATTGCGCTGGTCTTGAGTATGTGAACCCGGAAAGGGACACCATGTACTACACCCCCTTACTTTCAAAGGCGACAACAAGCCAGGGTCAGGAAACGAAGCTGTTCCTCCAGAACAACAGGCAATTCCACAAGCACATTGTTGGCCCGGCTCGTTCTTCAAGCATTGGTGTCTGTAGGATGCTACGCCCCTATATCATGCCCCGGCACAGCAGGGCTGATCGAACCCCCACCTATCAACAACAGCGAACAATGGATGCGGAATTTCAGATTATATTTTTGTTTTGCTCTGACATCCGTATTGTAATCCAGTTTGATATAGTGTATGCTTGCTGGCATGCACAGTTGAATAGTGTTGTGGTTCAGCGACAGGCCTATGTAAGCCAACGACAATGGTGGAAGGAAGGAAGTCGCTTGTACCGCGAGGCTTATTTCTCCTGCTGTTTTGTGCACGGAATTGTGAACTATGTGTTGAGATCCTGTCGACACCAACATTCGGGAGGTAAAGCAGGGAGACAGTGCAGTTCAGTTCGAGTGCGGTTTTGCGCACAGGTATGATGATGTAAGTTGCTAAACCTGCCGTAGAATTGCAATGGGCGCCTCGCAATAGGAAGCTGCTAGGAAAATTGTTATTCCGGTCTGTTCCGCAGTCAGTCCACAGGCATGGCATTCGCTTTACAAGGGATAGTACGCAGCAAAATGCCAAGGGCGTTGATTTGCAAATAGTGCATGCATGAAATACATCGGTACACTGGAATAGTATGCGAGAAACCACACAGAATACCACAAATGTAAACTCGATACCATCATGACAGAGAAAAACATTGGGAAATTTGAGTTTCCGACGACTGCGAGTGTAGATCGGGATCAGCCTCGCTAGCTCAATGGTAGAGCATCAGGCTTTTAACCTGAGGGTTGTGGGTTCGAGCCCCACGCGAGGCGTTTTGCCTTCCTGGCATTTTTGCGCTGGAATGTATGGCCACGGTTTTTTTTTCTTCAATGTACTGGCGTAGTATGGCGAGGTGGATGTATTTACGATTAAGGCGAGTGGCTATGTGTACTTTTTGGTTCAAGGGTGCAGCTCGGCCCACATGTTGGGGACCAGAACACAGGCAGCGACCCACAGCGTGTAGAAGGCAGTAAAGATGCGGTAGAGGAGGTTGCCGCCCTTGTAAGCAGTAGATGTGCCAGAGATGCGAAGCTGGACCGCAAGGAAGGCGACAGCAAAGAAGTGGTAGAACAGCATATGCGGTTTGGCCACCAGGCCCGACAGGAAGCCCGACGGGTCCATGGTGGCGCGGCCGCCGCGGCCCAGGTACACGAAGCAGGCCTCGCGCAGCAGGCCGAGCTCCTTTGACTCGGCAGCAAACAGGGCGTGCAGGGAGACAGACAGGGCGTTGACGACGAGAGCGCGGGGGCGGCGCTGCCAGTACCACTTGGCCTTCAGGCGCTGCATATCGCGGGGGTCGTCGTAGTTGAACTCCTTGAGCAGGTCGGCGAACAGCACACAGTCCCAGTGGCCGACGGTCATGCCGCCGCCGGTCAGCGGATGGCGCACATTCAGGGCGTCGCCGATCCACACTGCGCCATTGATACGGTTGTTGACGGCCGGGATGAACTTGTTGCCAATCACGCGGATGCGCTTCGACTTGTCGATGGTGTCGAGCAGCAGGGCGTTGAGCCCTGGGTAGCGGTCTTTAGGCGCTGCGTTAGCCAGCGAGCTGCGTAAGATCGTGCGCAGCTTGCCGCTCGCATCCGAGGGCAGCGAACTGCCAGGGATATCAGCCAGCACACGGGTCTCGGTCTCCGACAGCTGGTACAGCAGCAGCGGGCCGACGCCGTCCAGCAGCACATGTCCGTTATGTGGCATCGGCAGCGGGTTGACGTCGGGCGACTGCGGGGTAGCCACATGTGTTGTGGCTCCTTCGGGACCGTCGAAGAACTCGGAGGAGCGCACTGGTTCGTGCTCGATCAGCAGCGCGCAAAAGTGCGACAGCAGGTGGATCGGCTTCTCGTTCAGGATCTTGCGAAACTGCGAGGTGATGCCGTCGCACACAAGCGTCAGCTTGGGCATGACCGCGTAGGACTTGTCGCCCTCGGGCTTCGAATGCACCGGCCCGATGCGCACCCCGCGCACCGTGGTCATCGTCTGCTCGCCGTTGACCAGAGCGTAGTCGGCAATGAGCTCGGTTACCGATGCCTCCAGGCACGTGATGTTGGGCCGCGACTTGGCCGCCGCGCGGATCTGCATCACCAGCCGCCCGTGGTGGAAGCTGACGCCCTTGAAGCGCTTCTCGCTGCCAGGCTCCTTCATGTACGGAATGTAGATGTGCTTGCCCTTGTATGCAACATAGTAGCCGTGCACTGGCACGCCGCCAATGCCCTTGAATACGCTGCCCAGCCCGAGCCGCTCCAGCGCCTGGCACCCGGCCGGCTGCATCAGCTCGCCGACAAACCGGTCTGGCTCGTTCCAGTTCTTTTCCACCAGCAGAATGCTGCGGTCCGGGTGGTCCTTGGCAATCCGGAACGCGAGCGCTGCGCCAACTGGCCCGGCCCCGATGACCACAAAATCGTAGTTCCTGGTCATCACCTCAGCATCCATCTGGTCGAAGGTCACGATCTGCTCGCGGCTGTTGTAGAACTCGGCGAACTCGTAGGCGCCCTGCGTGGGCCAGTTCTCGTTTTCGTCCATGACTTGTACGGCGTCGGCAGTCATTGTGAATTGAAGTAGCGAGTACAGAAAGAAAGCGGGGGAAGCAGTCGGTTTGCTGGTATTGCTTCTTCCGAACCTGGGGGGAAGGTTGGGTGAGTTTTATACAGAGGAAGAGACGCTTGTCGGAGAAAAAAGAAACGGCTGGGGTTTGTGCTGGTGGTGCTGTTCTTCGGCCGGGCTCAGGACTGTAGCATAGGCGTGTGGAATTGCGAATACCGGCGTGCAAGGGTGGAAGACGGTAAAAGGGACGTTTTGCAGACAGGAAAAATAGCAGTTTTAGTGGGCTGTTGTGCTGAGGATTTCCCGGCCAGCAGAAAAAACACTGCAAGCCAGAGCCGAGCCCGCAATTTGCACATGAAAGCCCAGGCAAACCCCCATTTCTGATTGCTTGGCGATGCGGCTCTGATATCAGGTGACATGTTCGGCTGCCAGCTCCAGCACAGTGGTACCAGAAGATATTGATGACTATCAAGAGCTGAGATTACAACACAAGTGAATTGGAAAAAGTGAGATGATACTATTTAAGACGTGCCAGGCAATGTGGCCATGGGGTGAGTGGGGCGGCGCTCAGACTTTGCCAAGCTTGTGCCAGCACCTCTCCTGTTCCACATGGCCTGGGCAGTGGAGTCAGTTTAGACATTGTGTCTGGCGCTGGCATTAAAGTCCTCATCGAAGGCGTCGCCCAGGCGCTGCGTGTCGGGCGTGCGACCAGAGCCCATTGAGCCATCGGCCCCCGTAACCACACCTTCCTCGACCTTCTTCTCCTCGTTGTTGGTGACGAGGCTGCCAGCCGAGTCGCCGCGCTTCTCGGTCTGCAGAGTGCTTGGCGCAACCTCGCACAGCGGCGGCGTCAGCTCGACCTCGCCGCTACGCACCTGTGTTGAGGTACAGCGAGATCGGGTCGTACGGCGTGCCGTCAGGCATCAGGCCAAGCATGACCCGGCGGCGCTCGACCATCTCGGGCGAGTCCTTCATGCGATGCCTGCCGACCTCCATGGGGAACTCGATCCGCAGCAGCCGACCCTTCTTCGTCACATGCCAGTACCAGAACCATGCCGCCACATACCAGCACCCAGGCGCAATATACCACGCCAGCAATACGTCGATTGTGTAGTGGGCGCGGTTCGCAATCACAATCAGCGAGCCGGCAATGCACAGGCACCAGACGAAGAACGTCAGCCCGCGGCCGATCCAGTTGCGCGGCGAGAACGACGACCACGCCATTGCCGAGATCACAAAGATCAGGGTGTGTCCAGAGTAGATGGCGTCGCCGCACCGGTGCAGCGTGAAGGTCGTGAAGACATTGCCCACCACGTACTCGCACGATGGCCGCGGGTCAGGCACCGATGTAATCGCCACCGTCGTAATCCGAATCAGCGACGCCAGCGACCACGCGCACCCCATCCGCGAGATCACCCGCCACGGCCGCTCGTGCGTTACCACCAGCAGCGCCGTTGGCACGAACATCAGCGCGTCGAACATGTCCGTCAGCCAGAGCAGCTCGATCATCCCGATCCAGTCAAAGAACACGTCCGGCAACGTGTACCGGAACCCGAGCGCTTCCTCAACCAGCCGGCTGCGCTGCGAGGCCACGTTCGCCATCACGTTCATGAAGTAGTACGACATGCCGAAGACGATGCCCAGGCATGTCAGGAAACACTATGCATACCTTGTCGAGCCACCAGTGCCGCTGCACGCGCCGCCACACGTAGTTCACCGGGCGCTGCGTGAACGCCGGCAGCTTTGCTATTCCCCGCTCGACGAGAGCCTTGATGTCGGGCATGCCGTAATGTGCGTATGTGGAATAATAAAATAAGGTGGTTGTGTAACGAAAGAAAGAAAGAAAGAAAGAACAGGGCCTGGTGCAAAAAATAGAAAGGTGCTGACCAACACACGTCCAAAGAGGGGTCTGCTTCAAGTTTTAAGAAGAAAATAGTAGGGGGTACAGTATTAAGCGAGCGAGGGTGGGTCTGGGCAGAAATAGAAGAGGAGAGGTATCAGAGCAGACAAGCAAGAGAGCGAGCTGGAATGCAATAACCGGCGCACCAGTGCGCCTTGCTGGGCGTAAAGTGCAGTTTTGTGCAAAACTCTACGTTCTTTCTGGTTGGCTGTTTCCGGCTTCTATACAGGAACTATTTGGATAAAGCACACTTCTTTATGCGCAATTTAGCCCAGGTTTTTGTTTTGGAATCTGCCCGTTCCTTCCTCCCCAGTGTTTCCCTATGCGGACACCTGGCGGATTGATCGCCGGATGGCCCCCTCTTTTCCTTCCAAACAACACTGGTCGTCGGTCACGACTGGGGTGCCCATGCTACTCTGCGGGGGGTGTGTGCAGAACCACTCCTGCCGCCTGGCCCGTCAGACTCAGCCAGGCGGCCATGTACGCCGATGTCCCGACAACAATGCCATGCTCAGCTGCTGCGACGCTCCGGAGCAGCGTGGCGGTGTGGCATGGGTGCAGGTACAGGAACGGCACATTCAATAGCGGGTGGTCCTGGATCCCCAGCGCCCCGCCAAACCCCACTGCGTCCATGGACGCCCTGAGCCCCGCGTCACGCACCAGCAGTCGCTTGACCTTCTCGACATCCATCACGTGCTCACCCCCGTTAAACACCCGCAGGTACAGCACGGGCACCTGCCATGTCCGGCTGAACACCGCGTGGTACTCGGTGCGGCACGCAGTGTTTGGGGGTTCATTCATGCTTGCGTCCCAGGCCGGATCATCGTCTTCGATGTCGCTCGATTCGCCTGGGTGTTGTGTCAACAATGCAGTGGATGCTGTTGTCTGCTCGTGGTAGAGGTACTGCTGGCCCTGGCTCTGCACAATTGTCCAGTCTGGGTACTGCCTGCAAAATGCTGCAATGCTGGCTGTGAACTCGTCGTAGGTCAGGTACGGGTAGTTGGAAAGCGCGCTGTCCATTGTCAGTACGGCTCTATTTGACGGGGGAGTAAGGGCAGGTAGGGAGGTAATGCGCTGGGGTTTTACTGTCCTGGCTGCAGGTCTCACCTCTGCTGCATCGCACGAGCAATGACCGAGCGCCAGAGCGTGAATCGGAAATGGGCCATGAATCAATAGATCCGGTGAGTGATCAAACATGCTGATAGATCAGATCGGCGCTAATGCTGGCGCTTTTTGCGAATTTGGCATCCGCCCACTGAGCCGGCGAGCCTGCCTGCCGGCCGGCCCAGCGCCCCGAGAAAACAGAGCCCACGCCGTGTATCTGCTGACCGACCTCTTTTCAGCGCGATACTAACAAACGGGTAAGCCGAGGTTTAATACTATTATTCCATTTTTCGGGGAGCATCCATCCATGATCGGGACTGGGCAGCGGGGGCGGATTCGGATACGCAGCTAAAAGGGGAAAACAGACAGGACAGCCGCTTTGCAGTGGAGAGAATTTGGAACCGGAAACTCTGCAATTCGAATTTGAAAATGGGCTGAGGCATGCCGATTTCAGCGCCAGAATTTGCGCCTGGCGTGCGCCCTTCACCCTGGCCCGCGACACAGAACAGAGCCCCCGAGGAAATGGACATTTGGCAGAGCTCCCCGCTCCCGCGACATTTGGCAAAAAGGCGTGCAGGAGCTAAATCTCCCCCTCCCCTCCCACCAAACCCTTGCTGCACTATGTAGGAATTTCTCGCAATACTCGAAATATGGCCACCACCCACATTCTGAAGCGCAACGACATTGCCCCGACCGAGACCGAGCTCCTGGTCGACCGTGCCCTGCAGGATCTCGAGGCCCACTCGCCCGAGCTCAAGAAGGACCTGCGCCCGATCCAGATCACAGCCGCCAAGGAGGTCGAGGTCTCGGCCGGCCGCAAGGCTATCGTGATCTTCGTCCCGGTGCCCCTGCTCAAGGCCACCCAGAAGGTCCAGCAGCGCGTGACCCGCGAGCTCGAGAAGAAGTTCTCGGACCGCCAGGTTCTGTTCATTGCTCAGCGCCGCATCGTGAAGAAGCCGGGCCGTGTTTCGCGTGCCAAGCAGCCGCGCCCCATGTCGCGCACCCTTGCCGCTGTCAACGAGAAGATCCTCGATGACCTGGTCTACCCGACCGAGATTGTCGGCAAGCGCACCCGCGTCAAGGTCGATGGCTCCAAGGTCCTCAAGGTCTTCCTTGACTCGAAGGATGCCACCAGCCTCGAGTACAAGCTGGACACCTTCTCGGCTGTCTACAAGCGTCTCACCGGCAAGGATGTCGTCTTTGAGTTCCCCGCCGAGCAGGCCTTCTAAAGTTTGGGTCTTGAAAACCGTTCAGTAAAACAAAATTTCCTTTGTGAGCTTGGACATCTCTTTCTATTCACCGAAAAGCAAATGGACCACCCCCTCCCCCTCCGATTCACTTTATTGAACATGCTTGCCCTCTTTGTGGAAAACAGGCAAAGTCTCGGCCATACATCCCTATGTGTCGAGTGGATTGTGACTTGAGCTATCGTTGTCTCATATGCTGCATATAAACAACAAATTGTGGCACCCGCTCCTCCCCCTTCCCACCCGCGACGCATATTCAGCCTTTCTTTCCTTTCATATTCATCGCCAGTTTCTGTTGTTCCAAGATGCATGCCACATCACCCTCCTTCATTTTCATTACCCTTTCTCTTCTCCACTCGGTCATCGCCGATGTCGCGGACTCGGGCAAATGGTGGAAGGGACATTTCCGACAGCGACCTCAAGGCAATAGTCATGGACCGCAGCCCACCCTCATACCTGAAAAACCGGTACGACATCTGGGCGTCAAGGTTCCAGCCATTCTCCGACAAAAGCACATCGGGCCGGACCACCGAAACAATGCAGTACGCAGTCGTTAAGAGTTCCGGCGACCTTAATCCGAATGCATACTACGTAGCTGCATACGTCTACATGACTCCGCTCAACCGCACGCTGTCTGTCGAAGGCGCTACATTCAATTACTTCCAATGCACATCTGACGGTAGTGGTGACTTTGACAGCATCGACAAGAAGCAGTGCGATGAGCAAAACAAAATTGGGACGTGGGTGGTGAAGAAGGAGCAGGAGCTAAGCTCCATCGATGTAGCCGATCTGGTGTTTGGCGACAAGCGCACGTACGATGAGAAAACCACAAAAGTGCTTACGTTCCAGACAGGCAAAAACCCAAGCGACCAAACGACGGTTGTCGAGGGCGTACCGGCTATTGTCGTATTTTACGACAAGGATAGAGCCCCAGCGCCAACCGTAAGGTGGATTGCGCCTATGCCCATGGATATTTGATCTTGGAGGCGAGCCTTGCATACAAGTGTCACACGCATGAGCAACCATATCTCTTAGCGCCTTACTAGCACGTACTAGGCCAGCTGAATCCTCCCCCAAAAATTACTAGTACCACTTGCTTCAGAAATTGGCTTCCACCCGCTATCCAAAATACACATACCTCTATTGTATTCATCTTAGAAATTGGTTTATTCCTCTGCGAAATGGCGGATCCCTCTGGTCTGTCGACCATATCGTCGGGGGTCTGGAAAGGCAATGCAAACCTCTCTGACTCCAGTGGGATGCTTAATTCCGTAGTATTTTTAAAAGCGCTGCAATTGCTGAGTTGGCGTGATCTTGGTTCGCTTCTCGCACGACTATCACAGCCACTGGAAAAACACCTACATGAGAGGAAATTGCTGCCATCCATTCGCCGTTGTATATTATCTATAGCCATCACTATCATACACATGCAGCAGATATACCCTGGGATATCACAGCATACTGCACAGCAGGACCATCTGGTGGTGCCAGTGCATTCCAAATTTGCGCACAAATTGTTCAATCTGCTGTTGCGCGCGGTTGCTGCGGTACAGAGTCAGTCACAAGCAGCGTTTCCCGCGGTTTCTCGGCAAGTGTTTAAGGCATTGGCGATGGTGGTGTGCGCGGATGAAGATGAATCTGGATTTTCACCTATGGCAGTGGTTGCTGCAGTAATGGATGCACCCGGTAATGGTCGAGAAAAGCGACGGAGAATCGAAGCGACGACGGACTGCATGACGGATGCCAGGAATTTCAGTTGCTTGGATTTGTTCACCAGGACATTTGATGACCCCAAGTCGGCGCATGCGCACCGGTATATTATCCAGATACTGAGAGCTCGCAGCAGTGTGGTACTTAAACAGGTCATTAGCTTGCCAGCGACCGATTCCGAGCCACAGTGCTTTGCCAAGGCAGTCATTGGCCTTGGAGTAGCGATACTGAAATCGGACGACTCCAATACTGAAGGCATGTTTGCCTTGATTCGTGACACAATCCCGCTGACACCTACTGCCAGTGCCTCCAGCCCGGCAACTGATCTGACTGACTCTATTGCCCAACTTTGCTCAGCACTTGCGCAGGTATTTGAACCCCATGTACCTGGTAGTCTGATCCAATACTGCATACAAAAAAAGCACCGGTGCTACCAGTGGGCTACCATGTGTCGTGCCAGCACTTGGCTTGTGCGCTCAATCGACTCGGACAGCCCGCTAGCAGCTGTATCCATCGCTATTGCCCAGGGCAGCCGCCTTAGTTGGCTCCAGCTACTGGACCCGGCCGAACCTGAAGACGACTCCCAATCAGCCATGTGGATGCTTTTAGTGTGTGAATCATTCTGCAACATCAACCTGCAGTACCCCGATACGTCGGGAGCGCTAGTCACGCCGCTCTACAGCTCCTCGCTGGTCACACAGTCGCGAGTATTCTCTGCAGTTGCAATGGTGCTTGGAAAGATCGGGCCTATGCTTCTTCGGCTGGTGCAGCAGCGGGGCACGGTGCTGTTTGTTTCGCGGCTCCTCAAGTCCTGTAGTCATACTATCCGTATTATTCCGAAATCCGGGTCATCGATGGGACTGTTTGCACCATACGGAACAGGTATTTTTTATGGCCAGCAGTTCGATCCCAAGTTTGATTCTCTAGGTGGGTTTATATTTCGGCCACCGGGACCGGTGGCAAATGCTGCTGAGGCAGGCAAACCGAAGCTGATGCCGACAGACATGGAGGAGCAGCAGCGGGAGGCACTGGAGGAGTCTGAGACCGAGGGTACGCTTGCCAAAGTGTTTGCTGCAATTAGCTTGCTCGCAACCTCAGTTGCAGATGCCGACGATTCTACTCGGCCACTGGTGGTATCGGCATTGCAGATAGCACTGGACTGGATCCACTCGTTTGCAGTTGCTGCGCGGCTGAATGCACATCGACAAGAGCACATTCTGAAGAACCAAGCGCCGGTCAAGATCAGGGTGGTCGGCGAGCATGCACGGCCCCATCGATCAGCGACCGACTGGACTCGCTTGCAGCGGGTGCCAGTAGTACATATCGGCGAAAGCACATGCAAGGATGCAGTAGCTGTGGTTGTTTGCCTGATGGCGGCGATATCAGGCTGGCTGATTGTCGACGACTATGAGCTGATACTGAAGAGATGCCTGGTGGTGACCAGCCCAGCAGCTATCGAGGCAGCCCGCACACTACATGCGCATCTGGGAGCCGATCATTTTTGGCGACTGTCGCTGTCTGCAATGCAAGCACTAGGGAGCATTCTAGGGGTGCCCGCATACCTCTCTGCCAGCGACCTGGGTCACATTCGATTGCCACAGCTGCACATTCGTGAACGTAGCCCCCGGTCATCAGAGACCCTGATGATCGAGGCACTGGACACTGGGGTTGGAAAGCTTTTGCTTGACCCGCATGTTCTGGAGCGCTTCGTCGAGTGTACTCGCAGCGGCCAGATACTGGACAAGCCAGAGGCTGTGCGCATGTCGCAGATCTGGCTCGACATGATCGGTACTGCGTTCAGTCACAGCCTTCTGCGTTCGCGCTTAGGCTGCTTGGTGGCCACAGCTGCGTCGGATCCTACGAGACTGGAGTTTGAGTTCTGGTGGCTGCTCGCGCTGGCTGCCAGCGTGCGCTGTCTAGTCGATCTTGCAAGCGACCCTGCAGTTCCTGCCGGCCAGCTGCGGATGGCCAGCATTCTGCTCGCACACCTGACATCCTGGTATTCAACACTCCGAGCCGACACGGACACTATGCGGCACCTCATCAAACAGCCGTTCCCAGAAGTCCTTGGCAGTTCCCCGGGCTTCAACAAACTGACTGGCTGGCTGCGCTCCTTCAGGCACCCAGATCGACCGAGTCCCATGGTCAATATCGTCTACTTGCTTGCGTGCAAGCTGCCACTCTCAGTCGAGCTGCTCAGGCGCGACACAGAAGACAGCGATATAGGTACTGCGCGCGTTAGCAGAGATATCTATGGAATTGCCAATGACTCGGTGCTGTTTCTCCGTCGCATGCTCAACCACCATGTATTCAGCAGCGATTTCACGCACCCGAGATTGATCGCCGAGTATGCCACGAGTCTGCGGTGCTGGCTAACCAGTAGCAACCTACCACAGAGGTTTTCTGATGCCATGAAGGCATTGGTCAGCATGGCTGATAGCACAGTGGTGTTTGCCGAGGACGAGGCAGACTTGGTTGCAATTCCCGACATGGACAGCGAGAATGTGGGTGGTGAGGACGATCTGGTTGGCCAGCTGCTGCGAGACTCGACACAACCGAACACGGGCGCCACAAGGAAGCGCCCGATTCATGAGTACTATACCGACCAGATACTCGGGTGGCTGTGGACTCAATATGCAGGGAGCCTGAGGGGCCTTGCTGTCCCAATGGTATTCGGTCCGCGGGCCAGCACGGCAGGCTACACTGCTCTGGCCTCTGGAACCGATCCCACGCACGATGACCAAGCGGTGCTGACGAATCTTGCTGGCAAGCTGGTATCACTCAGATCGCTATACTCGCAGTTCATGCCCTACCGGCACTATATCGAAGCTGGGTGCTCTTTGGTGTGTGATGATATTGCGGCGTATGTTCCGATCCATATGCCCTGTTCAGCCACTGCCTCAGCCACTGCCTCAGCCACTGCCCCCAGGAACGGCGGCAGCCAATCGGCAAGCCTGCTGGATACCTGCGAATTCGCAGCACTTGTTCTCCCCGACATCGCTGACAGCAGGCAGGACGACAATCTCGACAATCTGGCAGACACTGTAGAGGCCGTGGCGCGCACGCTTCTTGCTGGCACGTTTGACGGCAGCAGGCAGCAGCGCGAGCGGTGTGCGGGCGCGCTAAGCTTCTTTGTCTGGCGCCAGCGCCGTACAATCCTGGCGAATCTGAGCACGAACCTCGAAGTTCTGGAGCGCAACATGGGTGCCGAGCTCAGCGCGATGCGGCCGCATATACCGCAGCTGGCTGCTGTTGTCGCCAGCACGGGTGCCGATTCAAACACAATCCGGTTGTGTGGGGACGATTCAGACAGCACGGACAATTCGGTCGTGACGTCTCTGCAGCTTCTGACGACGGCGTCGCCGGTTTTCGACGCAATGCTCATGGGAAGCTTTGCCGAGTCACAGAAAACAAGCGACGGCATACGGTGCGTGCAGCTGCAGTGCGGCGCCCATCCGTTGGTGTCCCTGTTTAGGATATTCCACCTGATGGTTCTCTCAGCGAAAACGACGCAGTTGCGTATTCTGCTTGGCCAAATGTCGTCGGTGCTCAGCAAACAATATCCGACTGACGGGCTGGTCCAGGTGCTGGATCTGGCAAATTACTATGCGGTGCGGCCTGTGGTCTCGCTGCTGCTGTGGTTCTTTGCTGACCGTGTCCAGGCGCTGCAGCTTCCCACAGGCTCTGCCTTGGAGGCTCTGGCGAGCATGGTTGCTGACAATTGGAGTGCGTACTATTTCGACCAGTCCGTTGCAATGGCCTGTCGCAAACCGTTGGTGGCGCTGGTCTTGTTCAGCCTTGACAGCGATACCGCAGCGCAACTGGCCGGTGCTGTCACCAGCGAAGGCGCACAGAGCCTTACTGACGCTTCAGTTCACCTCTTGACAAGAAAGAAAGCGTCACAGCTGCACTATACCAGGGACTCAGACACTAGCAAAGAATGCCCCTAGGATAAAGAAATAAACGGGATGCTTCCCATTTTCGCTGGTGGTGCTTGTGGATATTGTTTTTTCCTCGCCAAGAGGCTTTATGTGACCAGCACGACCCACCCAGTGCAGTGTCAATGCACTATATCCCAACTTGTGCACTGCTGCAACTTTGGTGGCGCGCACACGGAAAGTACCCGGAGAAGTCAGCGGGGCGGGCCAGAAATTAGCGAATATGATAAATGCGGAGGTCAGATGCGGGCTCACTGACAGCACAAAGGCTTCCATTCAAGGATGCTTTTTTCTTCGTCAAAGCCGCACCATGCTCAAAGAGCTTCGCTTCCTTGTATTTCGCTTGGACGCTGAGAAATATGGAGAATAGCACGATGGCTGGCCAGAATACTGTATTATTGAATATAACGATTTAGGAATAGTGTGCATAAATGGATACATTGAATATATTAACGAACCATCATGCTTCCGGTTTTTTTTTTTTTTCTTTCGACTGATCTGTGGCAACTCACGGCATATTTTCCTTGACACAATATGAGGCTTGCCATCTTGGCGGTCCCAGCCTTGTGATACCAGCGACCTCTGCTGAGCACTGGCAGCGACATGGAGAGCTGGCATGATGTCGCCATTGGGCCGCTTCCGTCCAAGGGGCATTGTGGATGACTGTCAAGACCGTTGGATTGAAAGAGATGCTGGTAAGGAACCCAGGAGTCGATCTTGTATATAAGGTCCATATGTCCAGGCAGGTCCAGACTGAATCTCTAAGCTCCTCTCAAGGTCTCTTGTCTTTTAGCGTCATCCCCCATTGCCTAGTCAATTTCCTCAGCAGCACCCCAGCAGCAAGCCAGCTCCTACGCTCATTTTTCAACCCCCCCGACAACCACAACATCCATTTTAAAATGAAGTTCTTCACTGCCCTCCTTGTTGCCGCCTCCGTCGTTGCCGCTCAGGAATCCGGTGCCTCCTTTGGACCGGCTGTTGACTCTGGCTCGAACGCTATCTCCGCCCCCAATGTCAACAACGGCTGGCAGGCTCTTGGCTCGGTGTTCGACTCGAGCTCGAACGATGGCGCCGTGATCTCGGGCAACTCTGGCACGACCGTCAGCAAGGGCGTCTCGAACACTGCCAACACCAACCAGATCACCACCAACCCGCTCCAGTCGGCTGTTTCGGGCAACACTGGTCTTACCAACAACGGCCAGGGCAACCAGATCGGTGACCTGTTCGCTGGCGGTTTCCCCGGTGGCTTCCCTGGCTCGTTCGGTCCCCACGGCTTTGCCAAGCGTGGCGGCTACGGTGGTGAGCCTGTTGGCTACGGCGTCCCCCAGCCCGTCGACTTCCCGGTTGCTCGCCCTGTTGGTTACCCGGTCGCCGTCCCTCGCCCTGTTGCCTACCCTGTTGCTGTTCCTCGCCCCATTGCCGTCCCCCACCCCGTCGCCTACCCTGTCGCTTACCCGGTTGCCCACCCGGTCGGTTACCCGGCTGCCTACCCTGTTGGCTACGCCGGTGGCCACCACCACAACCAGGAGCAGAACGCCAGCATTGTCCAGAACCAGGCCTAAGTTTCTCCTCAAGCCCCCCCTGGGTCTAATCGGCCCCCCGTCCCTCACATACTGGTAGCCTCCCCTCTTCACCTACCTCTATCTAGTCCCCTTCCGATCTCATATTTTCTCTCAGCTCTTAATAATTGCCGGCAATAAACTCTAAACTACATTAGCTAGAGCAGCCAAGTGAAATTCCACAGGTTGAGGTTTCTTCTCTTTCGGGCCGGTATCCGGCCATTAGAAGCAGACTGATAGAGAGCAGGAAAAAGATGTAGCAGTTTAATTGTGTGAGGAACGCAGTGATTGAGTGTACTGTGACTCAATGGGCTTCGACGCATAGGGAAGCTGGTCGGCTGGCGCCACTGTCGTCACAGTACCCGGCGTATGGACGGTTGACGACGACAGCGCACTGTGAAGGGTATCACTGCTACCGTATACATGAGCCGTGGGCGGGGCTATCAACAGCATCTCACCAGGGGCGGCACTGCTGCCACCAGGTGCAGGAGCCAATGACGACAGGACGTAGTTGTGCTGGACAGGCATGGTATAATGTGACGGGGAGTCTTGCTGCGAAGCAGCTGAGTGGTGCGGCTGTTGGTCCTCGGGGGTTGCTGTGGTCCTGTATTTCAGCAGATCGTCCGAAGGCAGATTCAGTAGGTCTGTGGCCGACCGATCGCTTGCATCGCTGCTGCTGGTATCTGCCTTGGCACGGTCACTGGTCTCTGCCGGCGACGGCAGAGTGGCAGCCTGGGGCGCAGTGACGTTGATCAGTGGCGTGCTGGTATCTGCCTGGAACGACATGTGGCGCGTGCCACGGAACGCCGTCTGTTTGGGTCTCATCGGGCTGCCAATGCGGTAGCACTCAAGCGAGGGAGCAAAGCTAGCACGCCTGGGCATTCCCAGCGGCGCCTGGCTCGTCGCAAACGACTGGAACGCCAGGTCAGCTTCCTTTTCACGTACCGCAAGCTCGCGCTGCCGCAGCGCAATCTGCGCCATGTTGATTTGGTACTCGTGCTGCTGCCGCATCAGATCCAGCCGGTGCTGGTGCTCTTGCTCGCGCTCGCGGATCATCAGCTCGCGGCTATGCAGTGTGATCTCTTCTGGGCCAAGTGACCGGTTCGCCAGAGTCGACACATGCTCGATCCTTGTCGTCGCCGAGGAGGCATCGGAGTTGCGGTGTGTGTCTCCGCTAGCACTGCCTGCCGGCTGCTGGCCAGCCATGAGGCTGTTCGGTGCATGGACGATGGCAGCGATGGAATTACGCCGCTGGTCGATTGGCAGCCGAGGCGACAGGCTCAAGAATCTGTTGCTTTCATGGTAAGAGGTCTTGCGCGAGCTCTGGCCCATGGCCCAGCCACTGAGTGGCGACAGGAAGTTGGACGGCGACGGCGATAGCCCTGAGATGTTACTGTCCTGGCGACTGTAGGCACGGCTCATGGGCCTGCCGCTATCGGCGGTAATGGTTGTCTCGGTAGAGACAGAGGGCGGCATCAGCGGCAACTGGCTGTTTCCCGACCGAAGTCCGCTGTGATTGGTGGAACCGACGGCATCTACTGTTGTACTGTCGGCTGGACCAGAGCAGGTGGGCGGGCGTGGCAGGCCTCTAAGCTCGCCCTCTGTGTGGCGACGCACGCTGAACGTGGGGCTTTGCAGGAACCCTGTGCCATCCATGTCGTCAATGCGGCGCTTCTTGCTCTGCATGGCAACGCTGGCTGCGTCAATCGTTGGCTGCTGGCCTGTGGTCTCGAGGCTGAGCAGGCTGACTCTGAGCCGGGTTGGCTTCGCCTTAAACACCGTGTCCAGATGCGGGAACTCGGGAACAGGCGGATCAAAGCAGTCGTAAGCCTCCTTTTTCTGCGCGGATGTCATGGCGTCGGCCTCAAGTGAGCGGACCTCGAGCCACTTTTGAAATTGCCGCTGTGCCTTCTTGTAGCGGTTCTCGAGGCTGGCGAGCTTGTTCTTGATCTGGCCCGCCGACCGGTCGCGCAGGATATGCTCGCTGATCTGGTTGTAGCAGTAGTTTTTGTTGTAGAGGAACACCCGCAGGTTCTCGGGCCGGCAGAGGTAGTCGAGCATCTTTTCGCTCTCCTCGTGCGTCCACTTGTCGTATTTGGTTGGCACATGGCCTTCCTTGGCGCCCTTGGATTTATCTAGCAAATGTCTTGCAATTAATGTAAGTGATCGATCGGAGATTCACCGGCTATGGCAATGCTGTTTTTTTATTCTGCCGAGAGGTACCTTTCTGCGACCTTGTCATGGGTTCTGTTGGTAAAACGGGAATGGACAGTGAAAGGTGTTGGGTGGCAGGCGAACAAACGAGGCTACAGTGACTTGATATCGTAGATGTTGCTGTAAATATGCAGCAAGACCGAAACAATTACAAAAGAAAAATAAAGCAGATATCGATGAATAAAGAAAACGCTCAAGTCGGGAAGGCGAGGAAAGATAGGGCCTTTATGGCCGACTGATTTATAACGGTACGTCTACAGGGGAGCGGATCCAGCATGAGCTGTGCTGCTGGGTCTCCCCACCAGTGAGTGTTTATGTCCACTGGAATCTTCAGGTCCAATGTTCGCCAATGCACGAAAAGGAGCAAAGATAAAAACACACACCACCCGCAAATTTTCACACTCTCTGTCTAACTTGTCGCACCTACCTCCCCTATCTTTGGGAGGAGCGGGTATTCTATGCCTCTCGAAATACAAGGGAATAAAGGCTGGCAAAAGAAAACCCCAAGCCGAAAGAGGCAGGTAGTTTGGGCCAGCTAAGGGGCAGTTGTGACGATGATGCTTCTTTCTCTTCGCTGATTATTCACTACAGCCAGTCGTCGACAAATGGCCCAAGAGTGCAAGTGTAGCGAGGGGTGGGAGCATCCCAAATAGCGCATGAGGAGGGCAAGGCTTTTCTATTTTCGTATGCAACCCTCTCTCGGCCCCAGAAATCGAGTAGCACTGAGCGAATAAACCCTGCTTCCATTGATTATGACTGGCCAGGCGTCGGGCTCACCCGATCGCAGCAAGGTGTGCCGAAGAATAACACCACAAAAAACTATGCCTGCTCGCCGTCACTCCACACGCCAAGCCCAAGAGTGGTCCTCCTTCAGCCGCATTCTGTTTAAATTGGCTGACACTGTGCAACAGTCATCGTCTCTTCCCATCCCCGCCCTCTCAGCCCCTCGGTCATACTCAGAGCCGCACTGGCTTGTGCTCTCAGCCTCCCCCATCAACAGATACATGATGGCAATCCTGCTTTCACAAATCGCGTTCGGAGGCTAGAAACGGGGAGGTGGATTAAGGGGCCTTGGGCTGATGCCTTCCGTGTTGGCAGCCGCCAGTTTTGCCCTTCTCTGAAATCCGCAAGGTTCGGATGATTTGCGTTTACGCGGCAACCGCCCTGTGGCGTGCATGTCGCTCGCATTCCACACCCACTGCACCGGATATTTCGCCATCTGTACAAGATTAGCGATCGATTTTGTACAGACTACTTTCGCCTCCCCCCGCCTGCCGCCCTTGTACTAGGGCTGCTGCCAATTGCCGGGTGCCTTCCGTATGATGTGTCGCTGGTAACAAAGTGTAGGCAAACAGATGGTGCACATTGGGCCCCTGTCCTACTACACGCCCCTGTCAAATCGAATGTGCATCGGTTGTGAGCAAGGCAAAAATGACATGGGGCTAACAAAAAGTATGTGTCGTGCCCTGCAGGCTGCCAAGCTAGACCAGGTTCGATGATCCCACGCACATGGTTATGTGTTTCATTTTTGTGCATACACCCGCGTCATAGTACCCTCTACACATTTCGCCTCAATGGTATGTTTTCGCTTCAGCCATTAGTAAACAGGGCACCAGTGGAGGTGAATGGCAGGGAGAGAGACTCATTTTTGATTTGGCCACTCCCACCCGCACTTCATACAAGGAAAGGCTATCGGTTTGTTGGATAAGACCATTCTCGTACGCTACCATGATGGGCGAATAATACTGCTGACTAGGGAAGAGTCACCATCTACTGAGGCACAACAGCCTTGTTCGCAGAGCAGGAAATGTAAAAACAACTTGTTGACAAAGAGTGAGAATGGCACTTAGAGCTTTTCGTACTCGAGCTTGGACTCGAGCTTCTTGGCATCGGCGACCTTGCGCACCGCCTTCATGAAGTCGTCCTGAATGACATAGTCGCGCTCCTCGCGGATGGCAAACATGCCAGCCTCAGTGCACACGTTACGCAGATCGGCACCATTGAACTCGTCGCTGAGCTTGACAATGGCCTCATAGTCGATCTCGCCATGCTTGGCGATGCCGGCAGCGTGGATCTTGAGGATCTCTGTGCGGCCCTGCTCGTTGGGCAGCGGGATCTCGATCTTGCGGTCCAGGCGGCCTGGGCGCAGCAGAGCCGGATCAAGCGTGTCGGGCCGGTTCGTAGCCATGATCATTTTGACCTTGCCCAGCACGTCGAAACCGTCCATCTGGTTCAGCAGCTCCATCAGCGTGCGCTGGATCTCACGATCCGCCGATGTGCTCTCGGAGAAACGCCGGCCACCAATAGCGTCGATCTCGTCCATGAAGATGATGCACGGCTCGTGGTCGCGCGCATACCCAAACATCTCACGCACAATGCGCGAGCTCTCGCCAATATACTTGTCCACAATGGCACTGCTTACCACCTTCAGGAAGTTTGTCTCCAGCGAGTTCGCCACAGCCTTGGCTAGCAGCGTCTTTCCAGTTCCGGGTGGACCGTACAGGAGCACACCCTTGGGTGGGCTCACACCTACGCGCAGGAACAGCTCGGGGTTCATCAGCGGGAGCTCGATGACCTCGCGCAGCTCGCGGATCTGCTCCGAAAGACCACCGACACCAGCAAACGACACGTCCTCGGGCTTTTCAGCGCTCATGTTGTATACGAGGGGGTCGACCTCACGAGGCAGCTTGCGCATGATTGTCAGTGTCGTCATGTCCAGCGACACACGAGAGCCCTGCTTCAGCTCGGCCTTGTTCACCCGCTTCCGGCACCCGACCACATAGCGCGGCCCTGTCGATGACTTCACAATGAAACGGTCCTCGTCCAGCTGCTTAAACACCTCGCCCACAATCTGTCCAGCGCTCTGCAGCGCCTTCAGGTCGTCCTCTGACTTTTCGTACTCCTTCTCGAGCCTCCTGACGCCCAGGCGAGCTATATAGCGCAGAAACGACACATTAAGCGAATTCAGCCAGTGCTAGCATAATTGCATCAGTGCCTTCAGCAGTTGGCGCAGTTTGCTACTTACCCTCTTTGACCTTGTCTTCCCAGTCGCCATGCTCGACAATCGTACGGCGGTAGACATTCAAAACTCTGGCGCGTTCCTCGTCCATTATTCCTGCGAATTTTAATAGCTTTAAAGTGAAGTGGTGTGTATATAAAATTGAAGTTAAGGGAGAAAAGTCAGCAAGACAAAAGTTGCTGCAGAGCTTGCACAATTACGTGTTGCGTCAACCAGCTCGAATTTGCCAGCCAGCCCTCGCCGCGCGATGACGAGTGCCATGTAGCATGATTTACAGATCATAATCAATGATCAATGATATTGGTTGCTTGCTGGAGGCTGTTCTTGCCGCATGGAGTCAGCATCTGGACGACACCAAGAGACGCGTTCGTGGTGGGGCTCGGTGTGCAAGATATTAGCTGTCCAGCATACTGCATGGCCAACTCCTGCGATGGGACAACAGTTTGGCTAGACAAGCTGTGCAACATTGAGTGACATTCTGCTTACATGGGAGCCTGGCTATCACAGTCAAATCTCAATGGCATAGGATGACGTGCGTCGCCAGAGAAGACATCTGGCAGTTTCAGCAGACCACAGCGTTGCCACAATTACCTCATTGATAACGCTATTTAGCTGTTGTCAATAATAGTGGCTATATAAACATGTATCAGTCCCATATTAATAACTACCAATGGTCAGATGTTACTGACAGCGACGAATCATGGTGGCCCTATCAGCATATCTGACATCCTGGTTCGGTTCTCTCTAGCATACCTGACACGCTTGTTTATTCTTTGCTATTCAAAAATCCTCTTCATGTTCGAGCCACCAAGAACACAGCACGCATGGGCAGTTTTCCGTGCACCCAACAGGCCTGGTGGTCCATACATGCCGAATGAGATATACTTTTTCGAGCGCTCTAACGGTATCAGCACCTGGCACCGGCCATTCGACTATGCTGACGACACAGATGGACTCACAACCGGTGAGCAATGGAAAGTAGAGCACCTGGAGCAGCAGCGAGAGCAGGCCAGGGCTAAGGCCAAGCAGGATAAGCCTAAATCTCAGACGGCCATTCCAGGTACCGATTGGTCCCGTGTCCTAACTGAGCAGGGGCGTACTTACTACTGCAACTCAGAAACTGGGCAATCAAGGTGGGATATACCCGAAGATCTGGCAAAAACGCTCGCGGACCAGGCTAGCACAGAAAATGAGGTAGAAGCAGAGAACACAGAACTCAACGCCGAAGATGCCGACTGGATGCTGGAACAGATGGCCGATGAACTGATGGACGACATGCCATTAGAAGCAAGTGATGCTGAAGTAGAGGAGCCAGCTGAGCCAGCGGCAGAGAAGGTTTCAAAGGATGACAAACTTGCGCAGTTCAATGAGCTGCTCAAATCTGCGAGCCTCAATCCATTTGGCACCTGGGAAAGCGAGCAGCTAAAGATTGCAGCTGACCCACGGTTCCGGCTAATCGACACTGACGCGGAGCGACACTGTCTGTTTGACGCTGTCTGTACTGACCTGATTGCGCAGCGGCGCCAACAGCAGGCAGCCGCACGACCAGCGAAGCTGGCAGGCGACCCGTTCGACCAGCTACTGCAAGAAAAGGTCACGTCCAAGAAGCTATCGTTTGCCAAGTTTTGCCAGCAAAACCGCAAAGATCCGAGATTTCTGAAGCTGCGGTCTTCGCGAGACCGCGAGAAGCGGTTCAACAAGCATATCGGCTCGATGTAGTTGGCAATATTTGTGGCAAACAGACGTCATAAATGTTGAAACTGATATTGAGATTTTTTGTACTGCGGTTGAAGTGAAATAGGATAGGTGTTTACTCGATGAGCTCGGTAACGAGGCCAGTGCCCACGGTACGGCCACCCTCACGGATGGTGAAGCGCATGCCCTTCTCGATGGCGATCTCAGCCAGCAGCTCGCACTGCATGGTGATGTTATCACCAGGCATGACCATCATGTTCTCTGGGTCCTCACCGTTAGGGCCACGCGGATGGGTCAGAATGGCAGTGACGTCGCAGGTGCGCACGAACATCTGGGGGCGGTAGTTGTCCGAGAACGGCGTGTGGCGGCCGCCTTCGTCCTTGGTCAGAATGTACAGCGATGCCATGAACTTCTTGTGCGCCTTGATCGTGCCAGGGGCAGCCAGGACCTGACCACGGTGTAGGGTCTCGCGCTTGACACCACGCAGCAGAGCGCCCATGTTGTCACCGGCCTGGCCCTGCTCCAGCTGCTTGTGGAACATCTCGATTCCAGTCAGGGTAGTCTTGAAGGGAGCGCCGAAGCCAATGACCTCGAGCTCCTGGCCCTTGGTGATCTGGCCACGCTCGACACGACCAGTGACAACGGTACCACGGCCGGCAATCGAGAAGATATCCTCGACAGGCATCAGGAACGGCTTGTCCAAGTCGCGCTCAGGGGTCGGGATCCATTCGTCGACGGCGGCCATCAGTTTCTTGATCGCCTCAAGGCCGAGCTCCGGCTGCTTACCCTCAAGGGCGCACAGGGCCGATCCAGACACGATCGGAGTGTTGTCGCCATCGAAGCCGTAGGTCGTCAGCAGCTCACGCATCTCCATGTCGACGAGCTCCAGCATCTCGGCATCATCAATGGCATCAGCCTTGTTGATGAAGACAACAAGTTTCTTGATGCCCACCTGCTTTGCCAGGAGCAGATGTTCGCGCGTCTGCGGCATCTGACCATCGGTGGCAGAAACGACGATGATTGCACCGTCCATCTGAGCGGCACCGGAGATCATGTTCTTGATATAATCCGCGTGTCCAGGACAATCCACGTGAGCGTAGTGGCGGTTAGCGGTCTCATACTCGACATGGGCAGTCGAGATGGTGATACCACGAGCCTTCTCCTCAGGGGCCTTGTCAATATCAGAGTAATCACGGAACTTGGCACCTCCAGCCTCAGCAAGCACCTTGGTGATTGCAGCAGTGAGGGTAGTCTTACCGTGATCAACGTGGCCGATGGTACCAACATTGAGGTGAGGCTTGGAGCGAGTGTAGACGTTGTCAGCATAGCTACGCACACCCATACCGCGGACAGCGCTGGGGATCACCACAGGACGCATGCTGGCAACACGCATGTTGCGCGCAACAGCCGGCCGCGACAGCGACGAGATCGAGCGCACACTTGAGATAACGGCGGTGCGCGAAGAAGACTGCATGATCTGCTTGGCAGGAGCAGCAGTGATACGAACGGCAGAGCGAAGCATCCTTATCTTTGAGTCGATTTCTGCAAAAACTAGAAAATGTCAAGAGCAAGCAGGACGGAGAAAGAAAAATGCGAAATATTACCCCAATTCTGTCTCAAAACCTGTGTGGCAGCGATTGATCGTTTGATCGTTTGATTTACTGATTCCGCTATCATCATGTGCAGTGAAAAGTGGCGATTCAGATTACCAAAACCTGCTCCATCTGAAGACCAGACTTGCTTTGGACCCAACTGCTTAGGACCTTGCTTCTTTGCATAAGGGTGTGAATGGAGTTTGTTTATCTGCCAACTGCCATTTGACCAAGCAAATAATACGCAGAACTCAAAGACTGACTGGCGAACCACATAAATGATGAAAAGTGTACCAGTAAGGGCAGTAATCGGCGGATACTGCGGTTTGGCAGGCCATATGGCCTTGAATGATACTGTGATATCAGATATCGTTAAGCAGCTGCATTTGGACAGATATGAAGCGTTGCAAAATGTAGTCCACTTTGCACAGAGACATAGAGTTAATTCGGGATACATGGAATATAGCAAGCCATTTCATTTAGATATTGAAGACATCGTCTTTGAACATGAGCTCAAGCCAGATGGATACGGGGACTTTTACTCATCGAGTTACAGCTCTTCTGATTAGTTTGGTGGGCTCATCTTGGACCACCTCGACCTGGTCCATTCCGATCTAGGCTTTGCTGGCAACCTCATTCCCGGTCTTTAGAGGGGATGTTGCATGACAAAATCTTGCCGACGATATCGAGGTTGTAAAATACAGGGTGTATACCTTGAAAAGTGGAAGCAATGAGAAAAATGTCGCAGCGAAAAGGGGCAAAGTGTTTGGTTTACACCACAAAGCGAAACTGCGAGACAATGACGTGTTTCTTAGATCACTAATGCATTCTATTACCGCTCTGTCACCTAGGGTGACAAGCCTTAAGCCCGATGAGCCGAAGGAGCACATAGCAACTAGGAATACTGGACCAAGGCGCAGCGGTGACATTTGGCACCACAGGCGGAGAAAGTAGAGGTATACCATGTCGGAAAAGTATGATGGGTGGCTATGGCGTGTCAGCATGTTCGGCCAACTGATAGGACGTGCTCCACTTCATATTGGCTGGTGATTTCTAAATTATCGCTGTCCATATGATCCATCGATAATTAAGATCAGCCTGTCCCTCTGTACTCGCACAAAAAAAAATTACACTAAGCGGAGGGCAATCGCGTCGCAAATGAGTGTTTATGCACCGTTTTTGGGGACGGGGGCTTGAAGCGAGCCTGAAATCATGATAGCAGGACCGGGAGTCAGCGCATGAGCCAAAAACTTTTCATGTGTCCAAGGCTGAATGTGCCTATCTCGTCTCTTATCTCCTCCTGCTACTCGTTTATCTGCTTTCTTTCTGTTATCTCGGCCCTTTTGCCTTTCCCTTGAGCGTTTAGTCAGCATTACTTGATCTCTCACATACACAGCATGTCGCCTACTAGTGGAAAGAAGGGTAGCGAGTCGGGAACAGCCCGTCTCCTGGGAGCTGGAACCAGCGGTATTCTGGAGCTGTTCACGTTCCACCCGGTGGACACAGTGGCCAAGCGCCTGATGAGCAACACGGACAAGATCTTCGGCAACGGACAGACGACGGGCCAGTCGATGGGCAAGCTGAACAATGTCATCTTCCGCGACGCGGCAACCAAGCCGACGCTCAGCAAGTACATCTCTTTGTTCCCTGGCCTGGGCTACGCTGCTGGCTACAAGGTAGCGCAGCGTATCTACAAGTTTGGTGGGCAGCCGGTGGTGCGTGACTACCTGGAGCGGAACCATGGGCAGTCGTTCACGCGCGCGTTCGGCGACCGCAACGGCAAGGCCATGCTGCACGCAACGGCCGGCTCGCTGATCGGCATCGGTGAGGTGGCTCTGCTTCCCCTGGACGTGCTGAAGATCAAGCGCCAGACGAACCCGGAGGCATTCCGCGGCCGCGGACTGTTCCGCATTGTGGCTGATGAGGGCATGGCCCTGTACCGCGGTGCTGGATGGACCGTCATGCGCAATGCGCCAGGCTCGTTTGCGCTGTTTGGTGGATCGGCGTTCGTCAAGGAGTTTGTGTTCAAGCTGGAGGACTACAACAAGGCCACGTTCATCCAGAACTTCTTCGCCTCGATCGGTGGAGCTGTGGCCTCGCTGACAGTGTCCGCGCCCATGGATGTCATCAAGACACGTATCCAGGCGCGCTCGTTCGACAACCCCGAGAGCGGCATGACCATCCTGCGCCGCATGGTGCAGCAGGAGGGCTTCGGCTCGTTCTTCAAGGGCCTGACGCCCAAGATCCTGGTGGTCGGTCCCAAGCTTGTCTTTGGCTTCACGCTGGCCCAGTGGTTCATCCCCATGTTCGACGGCATCATCAAGGGGAAGAAGGCCGAGCACTGATTAATGCAGATTCAAAACATAAAAATATATTTCTTACAAGCAGCTCCTGGGTGTCTTTTTGGTCAGCGACAGAGAGCCGCGCGGCGAGAACCACCCAGCCAGCCGGGCCAGGCCGGAGCTGGATAGCACGGCGGTGGGTGGAGTTGGGTGGATGGCCGTGACTTCATGCACGGCAATGAGCCCCGAGCGCTGATCCAGCCTGTATCTGAACTCGCCCTCATACATCGACCCGCCACCGCCAATCAGGTCTGCATGTCTTGGCATTCCCTCAAACACCCACCGCACATACACCTCGAACCTCTTATTCTGTGTGGCTGCTGCTGCGTCTGCTCCATGCGGGCCCTTCCATCCATCTGTCGCTTCCTCCTGTTCCTCGGCCGGCGGCGAATCAGAAACTGGGACCTGCCGAATCTGCACGACCGTCAGCGTCGGATTACTGAAATACGCGCTCATGGCAATTCGCAAGACACGCGCCATGCCCATATATTGGGTACGGCTCGACAGGTGCAGGCCCATGTGTGTGCGTTCAATAAACCTCAGCTGCTCGCTGTAGATGCCCGGCTCCAACCCATGCTCAAAGAACCCCTCCAGCTGGTGTGGCAGCTCGACCATCACCCGACCTACCGTTGTTAGATAGTCCATCGGCTGGTCGCCGTCGTTGTCTTCCTCTGGCTCGGGTTCCGGTTTTGGCTCGGGCTTTGCCGGGCTGTCTGTTTCGGCCAGCCGGCGCTCTAAATCAAGCTCGCGCTTAGCCTGATCTAGCGCCTCTTGAAGTGTGCGGTCCCAGGCGGTTTCGGGCTGGTCCGCTTTGATCGGCTTCTCGCCGCCGTGCTGCTGATGCTGCGAGCCCATCGATCGCATGGACAACGCCATTAATGGCTGTGGCACACGTAGGCGCATAGGCGGCGATAATGTAAGTCGGCGCAAGATCTGTCGGCGCAGCATATTCCTTCTATGTAAATGGTGAACAGAGCAGGTTTTTTGTGTGAATAACGAGAAGTGAGAGGGAAAATAGTCTGTAGTGGAGTTAAAAATGCTTTTTTTTTTTTCGGCCTCCACGCATGACCTAATCATCAGTCGTGGCAGGTTAAGGGGCACATGCGCCTGTGACATCACAGACTTCCGGTTTACCCGATGGTCTTTTTTCTTTGCCGCTTCAGCTCCAGATGCTGGAATCCCAGTGTACATACAACCAAGAGTATCGAGAATGGCAGCAGTGCATAGAACGAGGCACGCAGCGCCCTCTGGAAGATATGCACAATTGCCACACGCAGCTCAGCCGGCACATCAGGTTTGTAGATGATTGACTGGTTCTCGCCGACATCCAGCAGGAACCGGATGCTGAACGGGTACCTTGTGGCTAAATGTATCAGCCCCTGTCTGACATTGCTATGCATGACCGAGCTCAGGATGGCCACGCTCAGGATTCCGCCCAGAGACCTGAGGAACGCACACAGCGTGGTGACTGCCGCCATATCGCGACCACACACTGCCACCTGTGCAGCCATCATAATCGGCTGGATACAGGCGCCCGCGCCCAGCCCGCATAGGAACAGTAGACCGATCTGTAAGGTAAGACGGGATTTCTCGTCAAGTAAAACAAGCAGGCCATTGCCCACGGCCAACATGGCGGATCCGGCCACAATTAGCCGGCGATACCGCCCAGTGCGTGCCATGATGAACCCGCCCACCACCGATGTCACCACGGTGCCGATTGTGAACGGCAGCAGATGCATGCCGGCTGATATTGCCGTCGCACCTTTTACTAGCAGCGCCCACTGCGGAATGAAGATGATCGGAGCCAGCCCTGCAGCGCCATAGAAGAAGTGACCAACTGAAGATAGCGAGACATTGCGGATAGCCAGCAGGTGCGAGGGCACAATTGGCTCGTTCGGCACCTTCCACTCTATGGCCATGAACACACACAGCGCCAGAGACCCGCCGACCAGACACCCGAGTACCAGCGGCGACGTCCATGTGTACTCGCGGCCGCCCCATGACAGCCCCAGCAGCAGCGGCACAGTGCCTATGAGGAACATTAATGTGCCCAGAAAATCAATCTTTTTGATCTTGTCGCGCATCGACCCCTGGGGCTTTGGCAGCCGCATGGTCACAATGACCAGCGCCAGTGCAATGGCACAGATCGGCAGGTTGATCCAGAAGATCAGCCGCCAGGAGCTCCGCTGCACAATGGCGCCGCCCAGAATCGGGGCCACCGCCGACGCTAGGCCCCAGGTGCCCGAAAACAGCCCAATGTATTTCCCGCGCTCGCGCTCACTCAGAATATCTGCGGCTACCACAAATATCAGACTGACCAGGCCGCCACCGCCCAGCCCTTGCACGGCCCTGCTGGCAATCAGCATGCTCATAGAGTTGCTCAGCGCACACATTATCGAGCCAACAACGAACAGCAGCACTGCAACCACAATAGCTTCAACGCGGCCCAGGATGTCGCTGAATTTCCCATACAGCGGCTGCAATGCTGTTGATGCTAGCATATACGATGTCACTGTCCACTCGGCCCGTGAGAGAGACGAAAAGCTGTCGGCTATCTCCACGTATACTGTCGCGATGATCGTCATGTCCAGCGAGGCAATAAATAGCAGCGTGTCAAGACCGGCCAGCGCCAGGTACAGGCGCTTTCCGGTCAGAAGACTTGTCTCGACATCGTCATCAGAGGATACTGCCGATGACGACGCGTCGTCCAGCACGCTTTCGCCAATGGGGTCGGTGGTCTCAAAGGTGTCTCGCCGGACAATGTTGATAAATGGGTTGGGTGTCGTTGGCTTCTCGCTCTCGCATATTCCATAGGGCATTCCGTCCATCACTAATCCAAGTCCTTCGCCGGTAATGTTTGTGGCCAAGGGTGATTGTATCCCCGACCTCCTTTCAAATGAGCAGCTCTTTTGTCTTGCACTCATTGTTTTTGCATTCCTCACGGCTGTTTAATGATATGAGAGTAGTTTAGAAATGGAGTCGGTGGGTTAATGTGCTTGAGCAGCATACCAGTTTTCTCTCTCTGGGACTCCTTTCTCCCGACCAGGTCAGATGCCATTTCGGGAAACTGAATAGCTCTATCGACGAGCTTCTGCTACTACCTTGTAGGGATATATTTAATATCACTTTTGTACGTACTACCGTCCTGACCACTTTCGCCTCGACATCTGTCTGGGCAGTAGATTGTGCAGGTATTTGCCATTGCACATACGCCACAGGTGACGGGTAAAGAAGAGGCCTTGCACTTCATATCAACACCCTATGTTCTCGCCACAGCCGACTGGCTGTTGTTCATTGGGTCCACAATGGCTGAATTCAAAATATGCCATTCAAAAGAAAATAACTACAAAGCTTCATTTATCGATATGGCCAATCTGCTATTTGATAGTTTTCTTGCGTCGCGTGTTGAGTTCAACATGTTTGAAGAATAGCACCGCTATAAAGAACATGGCGGCGAACGGAACCAGTCCAATATACACCTTGTGCATGGTGGTCTGGAACATGTGAGTAAGTGCCGTTCTGAGCTCCTCTGGGATGCTTGGATCTTTGGTGATCACTGACTGGTCATCAAGTGCCTTCAGAATGGTATACATGCTGAATGGAAACAGCGTGATGAGTTTCACCGCCTCTGTGCGCAGCGTCCGGTTCATTACTGACGATAGAATTGACAGGACAAAGATTCCGCCCAGTGACCGTAAGAACGTCAACATTGTTGTGACTGTTGCCATGTCTTTCCCTGACACTGTGACCTGGGCTGCGACAAGCAAAGGCTGCAGGCTCAGACCGATTCCGGTCCCAAGTATTGCGACAAATCCGATACGCTTTCCATTACCCGAGTCCTCGTCCATCAGAATTAGCAGCGAGGTGCCGATAACGGTCAGCATACCACCGAGGGCTATTACCAGTCTGTATCTCCCTGTTCTGGCCATTAGTGCACCTGATATGGCAGCGCTGATCACCATGGGTAGCATCATTGGTAGCAGATGGAGACCAGACGAGACTTCAGACGAGTGTTTCACCGACAGTTCCCAAACAGGAATAAACATGATTGGGCCATATGTCGACGCACCGAAGAAGAAATGGCTTATTGATGACACTGCGATATTGCGGATCTTGTACAGCTTCAGCTCGATGATGGGCTCCGCCGACACCTTCCACTCAACGATCAAAAACACAACACACATGACGGCACCAGCAACAATACACGTCATGTTTTTTGCCGATGTCCAGCTCTCCCCGACACCAGCCCACGAGAACGCCAGAACCAGCGGGATGATGCCGCACATGAACAAGAACGACCCGAGGAAATCGATCCGCTTGAATTTCTCCCGTATTGTGCCCTGCGGCCGCGGCACCTTTAGCCCGTAAAGGATAATAGCCATGGCAGGCAGGCAGACAGGCAAGTTAAGCCAAAAGATTACTCGCCACGACGAGTGCTGGACCAGCAGACCGCCAAGTACCGGCCCGACCGCCGACGCTACGCCGAAACTCGCAGCTAAAAAACTGCTGTATTTCCCCCGGTCTCTTTCTGTGGTTACATCAGACAGGACAACCGATGTCAGAGCCATGAGGCCACCACCGCCGACACCCTGCACAACCCGGCTCACAATCAGCATTCCGAGCGACTTTGATACTGCGCACAAAATAGACCCGATTGTGAATATCCCGACCGATATCAGAATTGTCTCGACTCGTCCAAGGATATCACAGAGCTTCCCATACAATGGCTGGACTGCAGTTGATGATAGCATGTAGCTAGTAATGATCCAGATGCCATTCGACATGTCGTCGTATTGATTTGCAATATCAATGTACACGGTAGCCAGGATTGTCGTCTCCAGCGCAGCTATAAAATAAAGCAAGACGCCGCCAGTAATTGCCATGTACAACTGTCGCGCTGTCACCGGGCTTCGCTCAAAGTTGCTAGAGCCATTCGTCGAGGTGGTGTCTTCGACGGATGTGGTGTCTTCGGCAGATGCGCTGCCAGGCGGAATCAGGATGATCTCGCTCTCCTTGCTCGGCATGCTGTGGTTGCTGCAGGTACTAGCGTTTGTTGTGACCAGCGACCGAACCGTTGGCTGGCACTCACCAGTAGTAATCGCTGCATCCGGCATTACTACTTTTTGCAGCTAGTATATGTGGTTAGTAAAAAAAATAGGATTGGAAGCAAAGGGCAGGCTTTGGATGAATGGAAGTAAATGGAAGGGGCAGAAGAAAATGTGCTTTGAGCTACGGAAATATCTTGCTGTTGGGAATGGCAATGTGCGTTGTGTCAATGTGCCACCTCTGGGAGTAATATATATAAAGTCAATGTTTTTACGATAACGCCAGCTTGCAGACAGAACAGCAGAATAGCAAGATAGAGAGAAAAAAGTGAAGCTCAATTCGATAGGAAGAGTTTGCCCTGGCAACTGCGTCTCTTGGCTATATGTTTCTTTCCCTTTTCTCCCTCCCCAAGCCCACTTGGCGTGGTGAGTGGGAATGCCACACAGGAGAATCCCATGGCTCTCGTTTGAGCGTTTCTGTAAGCTCCCCCATCTCTACCTCTCCATCAGCGCAAAACAATAGTGTTCCCTACTCGGCAGCGATGTATATTGTTGGCGCGCTGTATTATCTGCGCTGGGGGTGAGCAAAACCGGCGGCAAGTCAATGCTCCCGTTCTGCCAACGCTGCTGTTGTCTGTCACCACCAACAATCGGTAATCCTGGCTTAAGCCATCGGCTTGAATGCCGATTGTCTGGCCGTGTCTTTGGCAGACGCCCCGAATAAAACCACCTACCTCAGCATGCGTGTATGCCTACTGGAAAGCCCATCCCCTTCAAGGTTGAAGAGGAGGAGCCTCCGGAACGTGGTGCGAAAACACACCGCCTCGTTTGCCCCGAGTATGATGCAGCCCACTCTCACACACCTGGCGCCAAGACTGCAGGGCAGCACGGCTACTCCATGTGCCAGTCCAGACCTTGCGTATAGTGCAGCAATTCTTCTAGATAATGCTGCTCGAAAGCCACTCACTTGTACGTACTGCTGGGTCCGACGCTAAGCCATCCAGAGCCTTTCTGGTGGAAATAAAGCAGGGACCGAGGATTACATCTACCACGTGGGAAACGCCTTGATCACAGCACAATAATCAGAATTGGCCTGCAAATCAGCAAGCACCGAAAATGGGCAGCCGGCGCACGCACAGCACAAGGAGTTTAGAAAACCGGTAGTGTGCCTTGTATATGTGCGGCATAATTACATTGGTGAGTTCAACAACAGGGACACTTGCGCAGCAGGTTTTCGCACAATATCATCCTCCGCACTTGGCGCATACCAGCACTGCTGCGGGAGCGGATAAGTGCATTTCGTGTTAAGTTCCATCCTTTCTAGGCGGACTCGTAGCTGCACAAAGCCTGGATTGCGCTAACAGTCAAAAGAAGGGGATGCGCGCGATTTTCCTTGCATTAGCGCATACGGGCTGAATGAAGTGGGGGAGAATAGCAGGTTTATAGTATAAGAATGGGGAAATCAACAGACATGCAGAGCGCCTTCCATTTTTATATCAACTTGCATCAGGTAAACATGCATGTTGGGCGGCGAGCCCGTCCTTCCATGACGAACATCATTGGCTCGGCGCGGACTATGCTGAGCTAAGGACTTTCGCATGCTCAGTGGTGGTGCGCGTACCGTTTTTGTCTGTCTGCTTTATATAGCGACGCCTGGTCCATTCCTTCTCGCCTTTTTTCTTCATAGTTGAACAGTTCCTCACTTTTTTCTTTGCTACTTTGTCTAATTATATCTGCCCTTTTCTACACATAATGAAGCTCTCTATTCTCGCCGCTTCCGCTCTGTTTGCCAGCCAGGCAACTGCCTACAGCATCGTCCATTCCAGCTCGCTTAACTGTCGCAAGGAGCCTACAGCCGCCTCGGATAAGGTCACAATCTACCAGCTGAGCGACGATATCCAGATCGAATGCCAGATCCCCGGCCAGGACGTCTATGGCAATAAGCTTTGGGATCTCACCCAGGACGGCTGCTATGTGGCTGACTACTATGTACTGACTGGCGCTGCCGGCTACATTGCGCCTCGTTGTGATGGCGGTAGCACTGACGTTGGCGACAGTAACAGTTCCTCTGACAAGCCCTCTGGTTCGGCCACCAAGGCTTCTGCCACCAAGACTTCTGCCACCAAGGCCCACACCTCTAGCAAGCACACACAGCTCAGTGGCATCGAGGATGAGAGCTCGGCCGACGACGCGTCGAATGTCGAGCTGTCTGATATTCTGCTGCCATCTGAGGACGAGAGTCTGACAGAGGTTGAGTCAAGCGCCAAGCCGAGCGCTAAGACGAGCGCCGAGTCTACCTCTGCAAAGGTGACGACGCCTGGGTCGCAGGGCTCGGCCAGCGCTATCGGTGTGTCACCAGCCAAGGCTGTGGCTATGTGTGCTGCTGCCATCGTTGCCCTGGCGTTCTAAACACTAAAAATAGGACAGCGTCAGCGACATCATTCTGCATCCTGGTCACTTGCTGACCGCATTGTTCGCTCGCTATCTTTTTTGTTTTGTTTTCAATCCACAATGCGCTCATTTGCCAGCTAAACAGGGAGCTATTGTCAAACATGCATTGATTTCTTCTGGTTAGAACTAAACAGACTATTCACCAGGCACTGTTTGCGGTTGTAGTCCCTCAGCTAGCGCTCAGAGATTTGCCACAGGTTTAGAATAGAGCCAAAGTTTGGAACGCGGTCAATTGTTTTTAGTTTAACTTTTTGTTATTGGCAAGTCTGTACAAGGATAAAAGCATGTTCAGCTGAAAAACGGTGCTGGCAAGCAGCTGTTACTACGGCCAGTGAGGGGTGCATGAGTATCTCTCACACCCACTGCGGATGCCCAGTGGTTTCTGCTTGCAGTAATGTTCAGTCGTGACCTCAGCAGATGCGACCCTGTGTGGCGTGCGACCACGACGGCTCCTCGGCGACAAGTGCGTGCGGTAGTGCTGCATCATATTGTCCTGGCGCGAGAACCGACTAGTGCATCCTGGATGTAGGCACTCATAGTTCTTCTCGCCAGTATGGATGCGATAATGCCTAGTCATATGGCCGCTGGTTGTGAATGCCTTTTCGCAGCCTGGATACTCGCACCGGTACTTGCGCACCATGGGAGTCCTGGGGATAATGCGTGTGCATGGCGGGAGCACAGCCGGCAGCGGATTGAGATGGCGCTTTGGTGTGATTTCCCCGACGAGTGCGGAAAGCGATGGGAGGCGGATCGCAGGCGAGGGCGTGCGGCTCATCGGTGAATAGGCAGGAGCCAGATCTGGCATGGATGAGCGTCGGCGCACATCGCAGTAGATATCGTCATTGAGCAGGCTGACGCAGCTCCCGTCGGCAGTCCGGATCGACAGTGAGCGAATGTTCCTTTGCCGAGCCGATTCGGGGATACCCAGGCTGTACGAGTTCGTGGGAGCCATTGGTTATTTGTGTGTGCGATAGGGGAAAGTATGAGAATGTCTTGGGGATTCGGTGTGCGCTTGTTCCGAGATGGAGAGAGAAAAGCAGTGTTTACAGACCAGCTTTGGCGTTTTATAGTCCTCGGAGATGATCCCACAGTCCAGCCATAGCCAGACCGCTACCTGAAGTGTAACAATCAGACCGCACCATGACAAGAGGCACTGTATCTGGAGGGCTGGACTACCTAAAATTGCGATTACGGACCTGTGAAACAAGCAAAACAGCCTGAAGAAGAGGACATGAATTAGGCGCCGAAGAGCAAGAAAGCCTTGTCCCCAGCCGTTTTTCTCCTTCTCGACAATGCACCCAATGTTCGCGAATTCTGCCTTATTTGCAAGTACGGGTTTGAGAGTATTAACTGTTTTGTGCGGTTGTATATATATCTAATCTTGAAGGCTGGCCTCCCGAAGCAACAGAGTGTGCGGTTAGATAAATGCTGCTTACCCCGGAAATCACAAGCCATTTGCAGCCAATGTTTCCTGGAAGGGCACACGAGTCCTTGTTGTCTCCTAGGCCAAATCTGGCAGATGGATAGTGAAACAAACCAGCCATCTAACAGCAAATAGATAGATGTATTTTGAGCTTACTAACCTTATAGAATCCTCGCAAGGCTATCGCCCTTGTGCTGTGAGCTGCGTGGAATTGCTATTTGTGACGGCAAGTAGCAAATCGGTGCTAGTTCTGCATCGCCTATATGCAGCCCCATCTTCATCCAAGGGCACTGGACCCGGGTCCACTAGCCAACTTGCTCGGCCCTTCCAGGCTCTGGCGAGGAGGGGTTCTCAGGAATGCAACAGACCCCGAGCTGGTTTGCAACAGGTTCTAGCACTGGTGTAAAGCACTTTCTGCTTTTGGCAGGTACTTGAGGGTACTCATTCTAGGATCGTCGCTCAGACTTTCGTGGTGTCTGTGTCACTTACAGTATAGAGTTCGCCCTGACATCCACCTCGGTTCTCTCACAGCGAAATGCGGCTCTAGCCAGCACACAGTCTCTTATCCACTGGCAGCCCCTTTCATTTTCCTTGCTTTAGCCTATTCCCCGGGCTCTTGCTTGTTGCTATCTCAATCCAGCAGTGGATCCATGGGGATGAGGCACAGCACTTCTAATGGGCGAACGCATTATTGCTGGACGTCCAGGAGTGTCATAATTAGAGATATTGGGCTTCAATCGATAGGACAAAGTAGCAGGCTTTGAGGGATTGCTTGGCGGACATATGCCCACGCCACCACATAGTGCTGAAGAAAAATAGCAGCGAGACACACAAATTAATTAGGTTTCCATTGTCTCGAACAGGTGAAAGCACGCAACCACAAAACCCAAGGAAAGCAATGACCCATTCGGCCCTAATAGCACCCCCTTGTTGCCAAACGCTTCAGGCGGTTTGCAGTCGCCAGTCAAGAAAATAGCCGCTGCTGCGGCCTATGCTATGTAATTCGCTCTCGCTTGTGCATATACCAGAGGAGAGGGGCTGTAAGAGGTCATCCCGAGTACGAAAACGGGCGTTGAGCTGTTATATTGTTATGTGAACCGAAAAGAGAGAAGGAAATATAGGATGGATGAGGGAGGCACAGGCATGTCGATAGGTCTTCGAATTCCAGTTCCTCTCAATAACCTGGACTGGGCTTTAGTGCGCCATTATCCTGCGAAACGAGGAGCGAAGGGCAAATGGACAGGGGGTGGGGAGGCACCTATTCAAAAGGAGTCGGGACTGTTGTCAGACGAAGCGGGAGCTTGCTTGCCAGCCTAGATAACCATAGAGGGGGCACACTTAGTGGCAGTGTTCACCAGCATTGCATCCGTCGCAGGAGCAGTCGCAGTTGTTGAAGGCCATTGTTGTTGGGTGAGACGGTGCGTTCGCGCTACAGAGAGTAAGGTGTGAGGGCTAGATTCCAAGAGATAGTGGAAGGAGAGGATGAAATGTCTGGGTGGAAGCCCCTGTCAAAATGCTCTTTTATACCCAAGTTTCGTCTGGGATGAGGGCGTCAACGTGTTGGAGGCAATTTCCTCTCAGTTGCATGGTAGGCGAGTCTGGAAATCAACTGAGGGATGTGCACCAGCGGTTGACGGGGATGTGGGCCGACCGGCTGTTTCCGGCATAGGGTCACTGTGGGTAGCAATAGGTGTCGTCGTCCAGTAGAAACGCGGACAGAGTGGGAGGGGAGAAGGGGGTCTGCAGGATATGCAGACGTCATGTTGGACACGTGCATGGAGGCACATCACTTGGCCAGCTTAAATTAAAAGCGACTGCATGCCCGAGCTAGCTGCTCGAATGTCAAGACTTGCCAGGGGCGGAAATTTGCGCTCCACCACTCGCCCCCCGCCGCCCAATGCCTGAACCGAGAACAGCTTGCATATGAAGCAACTGCTGGATTTTTTCTGACTCGGGGGTACATGTACAGAAATAGGAGACGCAAGATAAGGTGTCTCATTGTCCCTCGATGAGCTGCGCTTGCATTGGTGCTGCTGCGGGCCGCAGGAGACGAGAGACATGCATGGCCCGCTGCCCAGCACATCCCCTCGTCCCCAAGCCACCCATCGGCTGATCGGTTAATCGATCATGGCAGGCATCAGGGGTTTACCTGATGACGCGTGACTCTGCCACACCCTACCTTTCGCTGGATCGCTTTTTTTTACGCGTCAAATTCCTGACTTTTAATTTCCGCGCCCAGAATCTTTCATTTTTTGCGTCAGTAATCAGAATGGTCAAACGGACAGCAGAGGAAAACTGGGATCCAGTCGAGGACGACAAGGTTGTTGAGGAAGACAAGGCCGTTGAGGGAGACAAGGTCGTTGAGGAAGACAAGGTCGCTGAGGAAGACAAGGTTGTCGAGGAAGACAAGGTTGTCGAGGAAGGGGTTGTTAAGAAGGATGCTGCCGACAAGAGCGATGAATCGAACACTGAGGAAGAGGATGACGTCTATGTCGTCGAGAAAATCGTTGAGCATACAAAGGGTGAGGTAAGTTACAAATATCCCCACGATGGCTATTAGTGCTGAGCCAGCCTCTGCTTACTAGCTTTGTTTATCGGCACGATAGGATGGCGAGACACTCTTCATGATCAAATGGGAAGGGTACGATGATCCTGCGGACAACACATGGGAGACGGAGGACAACATCATCGACAAGGATATACTAAAGAAGTACTGGGATGACTATAATGCGAAGGCTGCAAAGAAGGTGGCGCCTGCAAAAAAGCGTGGCCGCCCGGCGTCTAACGGTGCGTCGTCGCTCAAGGCCAAAGAAGCGGCTACCAAGCGCCGGCGCACATCGGCAAGACAGGAGGCAACAGCCAAGCAGAACCCCCGGCAGAAACCCCAGCAGGAGGCTGAGCCAGAAGCAGCGGAAGCCGAGAGCAACGAAGCGTCTGGCCAGGAGATCGTGTATGGCGAGGAAGGCCCTGAAGCCGATGACTGGGTGCCGCTCCTGGACGAGATCATTACGCTTGATGCTACCGACGACGGCCTTATTGCCCAGATCCAGTGGAAGAACGGCCAAAAGTGCGAGTACCCAATAGAGCTTATTTACGCGAAGCTGCCCATGCAGATGCTGAAGTTTTACGAGCAGCGCTTAAGATTCCGGTCTTCTCAGTAAGTCTCTTGACAGCCCCGGACCTGCCGCGAAGGGAATGCAAGTTGTGCGAACGTGATATGGCACAAGGCAAAGCCGAAGCTTCTGCACTGCTTTGGTAAGGAACGCAGATACCAGACAAAAACAATAACAAAAAGTATATTTTCCGAGACCTTTGCTACAGTGAATCGCCGCAGAGATCCATGGTTAGCCTGTGCTGTTCAACGGCCAGGGCCCACATACGTACGTACTTGGTACTGTATGCTGTTTCTCAAGGATGCAGTGCTGGCGCAGCAGCATTCCTTGTGCAATAGGCCAATCGAACTCGAGGGTAACGTGCTTTCTGGTTAAACCCTGAGTAGACCTGTTTTGCCAGAGTGACGCAATCGATTGGGCGGTACTGAAACAGTGGCACCAGCTCCAAGCCCTCCACACCTCTTAGCATATCACCACCCAAGAGGCAGTGGCGTGCACATGCCACCATTCCCTACCGGTGCACGCAGATACCTCCGAGCCACTGTCCCATCGACACATCGCCGAGCTTAGCATAGCCATGTACGGCAGTTGCCCCAGCGCCACTGAGCCAATGGACACTGCTGAGGTAGGCCGCAGTTCCAAAGTCTGGGATATGGCCAAATCCAATCCTATAAATACTGAGACGGCTCTGTCCCGCTGGGTCTACACACTAGATTTTTGTTCTTTCCCTTTTTCTCTAGCTCTCGGTTTCTATTCTACCGAAATCCTGTTTAGTTTAGAGCATTTGCAAAGACACTTGTGCCCGCCTCGTCTCTTTCCGACCGTCCTCTTTGCTAAATTTTTCGAAGTTCTACAGCCCAGACCTGGTTTTGGCCGCTTGTTTAGTCATGGCGGAACATGAAGACTCCGACGATGAGCTCATGTCTCGGGGGCAATTGTTGAGCCTTTTTACCGGCTTGTGGGATGTTTATACCTGGACATGCAGAATTTCTTTGTATGGCAGACAAAGCGCCCTTCCATACAAACTTGTCAGCTATCAAGCGCGCTGCATTCCAGGGACTAACAGGAATGCTGATTTTCTTATTTGCTACAGTACTGCACCCATGTACGATTTTTACTCTGCCCATTCAGCTGTCGTGTGCAGACAGACGACACCCACCGACACCATACCTGATGATGCTCTAGAAGAAATGGGGATTCTTGCTCTCGAGATTTGGAAGCATCAGCCAACCCGCCTAACTGTTCCCATTCTACTCCTGCATGGTGTAAAGATACGGATAGTCAAGTTCAATCGTGACGGTAACCTCCATTCACTTGTTGGAAAATACGTGGATCCCCAAGGCTCTGAGGTAGTGGACTTTTTTGGCGATTGCAAAGAACTGATGGTAAACCTATGCCGTGTATTCTCACTTCCAGCCAACGAGTTTGGCCATGTCTGCGAGTACTCACACAAGCCGAAGGGGTATCGATTTGAGCCACATGGAAACGAGTACAAAATGTCTGCCGTTGACAAATGTGGCAAGGACACGTTTATAGTGAGTATCGTTGGCCGCGGCAATTACACTTTGGCGGGCCGCCATGACCATATAATCTATGGAAAGTTCAACAGTCATGCTGCAGTTCTAAGGGTTTCCTGGATCCCAGCTGATCAGCCCGTTGAATATACCCCGGATTACAAGATTGGCTCAAGCGCTTTGAATGCCAAGCCAAAAGTGCTCCAGTGTGGAACTGTTGTCAAGGACATCGCGAGACATCGCATGGAGTTCATTATTTATGAAGATACTGCTGGCTAGTCGTACAAAGCCACCGCTACCTATCACCTTCATCGACCCTGAAGTCGCCTATTACTATTTCCTACTAGTCCATTTTTACTGAATAAATTATAACCAGCATAAAACAGTTGTGCCCATAGCATGTCCATTGGTTATCAGTTTATCATGACCCATGGGTTCGTACTACATGCGTGCTTGTGGTTTTAATGCCCCTTCTCTTGAATGCAATGAACTGGCTGATTCCTTCGGTAACCGGTGTGGGAATACGGAGGTCCAGCAGCGATGGCGTCCGTACGATCAGCTGGCAAATACATTAGACAAATGTTGGAATAAGATATCCTCGACTCGACTTGAGTGAGAATGTTTGAAGTGACGTGCTCAATGATACAGAATAATCACTTGTGTCCATATCCATGGTGGTGATTCCATATCGAGAAGACTGAGATAAAGGAAGGAGAAGTATAGTAAATCTCAGCAACTTCGGAAGCTGCATTAGGATATTCTCAATGCTTGAATATGAAATCCCACAGTCCCTGAGAAAAAGAGTTTGAAGGACAAACCAGTTTACAGTAGATGTGGGTGTCAATGGTATAAAATGCAGTGCTGCGGTTCTGATGTTGGACGATATGGCCAGCATGTCAGTGTACGGGTTCATTGCTATCATCCTGACATCAGATGGCTCCATATACGGGTATGATATAAACATGCCAGCTTTCCTGATAAGGCTGGGGCTCACATAACCCATGTGTCTTCTAAACTCTTTGGTAAGCCCAACAACGGTTAGCTTCTGTAGTGCGGTGATAGGAAACTTTACCGTTCTTGGCAGCATGGGCCCAGTGATAAAGTCCAGCTTAAGAATGGTGAGATGGCTACTAATTGGTTCTATCGTCTCAACAGGCAGTGGTATGTATGCATGAAGGCTGCGTAGTCGTGAAAAGTAATAAGTAATGAGCTGTGTTAAGACCAGCGGACTACCAGCAGCTAACTGGGATAACGGATAATATTGTATCACGACAATCAATGGAAGACAGGGCACAAGACGCGACAGAATTTGGTTGGAGATATCTGTTGGTAAACACCCAGTACTACCAGGTGTATGACCACGAAGATGAAGCGAGGTGATATTCTCCCAAGAGCGTGAAGTTAACTTGAATTCATCTAGTACCGCTGCGAATGTGCATGTGCTCTCAGGTGGGATATCGTGTATATCGAGTTATTTTGTTTCTGTCGTCAGCCCCATGGAAACGATGAATCCAATATTTGTATACCACTTGTCGTGTGTGCGTTGGGAGTTTAGCATATTGGAGCGGCTTGTTCATTTGTTGTGCAAGATGGCCCTGCTGTATAGTGGTTGTTTTAGGTGGTCTCTCCACTGATGACACAAAGTTGATAGTCGATACACCACTAAAAATGTATCAAGGGAATCCTCAAATTTCTTGGCTGTCTCGATTACACAGGACAGAACGCCAGCAACAAGCTTGTCGGCAGCTAACGTGTTTAGATTTAAAGCAAGTCTATCCGTGAAAGAATGTAAATAAGGCTTAAAAATCAGAGAGATGTGAATGAGAGAAGCTTGTGTACACAATGCACAACTGCCACAACCGGCCTGAGTCATATATGTGAAGCGGAGTCTTGAAATGCCCATTTTTAGATAGCCAATGACATTACACTAATCACCAAGCCTCAGGACGAGTCTCACTCAATTCTTCTTTGGCACCAATAAAGCATCACAGTTCTGGAACTTCTCACTTGGTAGAGCCGTACAGATGCAACCAATACTAGCTGTATGCGGCGCTGAGTCGATATTCATAAAACTTCTGCTTGTCAGTGGCGACAAGTTTAATCTGGGACAGGTATCGAGCGCCATATTTCTACTAGTTGCAATGATGAGTCGTATATATGCACTACTCATCACCAAGCTCGATATCCATACATGCAGCCCTTTTATTCTGACACAGGCATTCGTAGCTAGCTACCCTGTATCAAGCAACTCAGGGTTAGGATCTTGGCCATAGGTGTCTGAGTATGGGCAGCCACCTGGACAGCTCAAACATGCATCGGATGCCAACACAGACGGCGAACAGAGTGGTCCTAGACAAACGTAGTACTGACTAGTTCTGTATGTTCACCAGCTGCATTGATACAGTAGTCCAAAAAAAAAAAAGCGACGCAGGTGCTGGCTATCAAATTAAGCTGCTGCTTGTAGTTTTGAAGCACCCCCTTCGCTGTTTCGCGGTAGCATGGTCTGACGGCAGAGGTGCTATCCCTAGGCAGACCCCTGTTATGCATGTGCATACTGTTGTTTGCCCCCGCTTCACTCGCCAGCCGGCTGTTGTCACCTGTGCTTTACGGCCTCGTTCTGCCGATGCTGCATTCCAGCCAATCACGTGTTTGGGGGTGCAGAGGTCGATTATTGAGGCCCATTTTCAAGTGAGATTGTATCCTGACCACGTGATTGGTGGGCGGCGCGTAGGGGCAGGGCGGTGCAAGCCTGCTGCTGCGAGCTTGCTTCTTCCTCTTCCACTCCCGTGACAGAGCCCACATTTTTGCCATTTTCACCTCTTTAAGTGCTGGAAGGTACATTTCACGAGAACAATTTCTTGTTTCTGCTCGCTTTGAACTCCATTCACACCACCCTTTGACCATTGCAGCCAATGGCGTCGCCAACAACAGCCGCTGACCAGGCCAGCGTACTTTTGGAAATCGAAGACAAGGCACACGTGTTGCCAGGACGCGCCTCGAACAACAGCAGCGCGCCAGCAGGCTACCCAGCGATAGCACCACGCAACAACAGCATCACCAACACGAGCCAGACGGCGTCGACAAGCGCACACCCGGCGCCTGTGCCAATAGCGCCGGCCACCGAGAGCCGCACGGATGGCACGCCCATCAACCCGTTCCTATCAGACCGCAACACGTCGGGCAAGCGCAAGCGGACGGGTGGCGGCGGCAGCGGCGGTGAAGCACCTCCTCCTGGATCGGATGAGTGGCACAAGCAGCGCAAGGAGAGCCACAAGGAGGTGGAGCGGCGTCGGCGAGAGGTGATCAACCAGGGAATTGATCGGTTGGCGGAGCTGGTGCCGAGCGCAGAGAAGAACAAGGGCCGCATCCTGGCCCAGGCCGTTGACTACATCCACCGTCTGAAGGCGACTGAGGCAAAGAACATTGAGAAGTGGACGATCGAGAAGCTGCTGGCAGACCAGGCGATTTCGGAGCTGACGAGCCAGAACGAGCAGCTCAAGGCAGAGAATAGGAGACTCAGAGAGAAGCTTGGCGAGTCGCCAGTCGAGGAAGAGGAGGATCTGCAGGATCATAGCGCGGCGTTCCACTCTGATGTTGATGTCAGTGCTATGGCAGCCGCGGCAGCAGCTGCTGTTGCTAGCGCGCAGGGTCACGCAAAGGCCGAAGACGACACTGATGACGCCGAGGAGGAAGATGGCATGGAAGTGGACGAGGACGATGAGGACGATGGTGAAGGCACGAGTGCTGATGTCGAAGCTATGCAGGTGGCGGCAAAGGCAGCAGCTTCAGGCAAGCCATCCAAGAAGCGCTCTAAGAAGCATTCCAAGTCATCAAAGAAGAAGAATCGTGATAGCAAGCACTGAGACCCTCTGTTGCTTTACCTGTCTGCTTGCCAAAGTACCCAACTATTCTCGTATTTTTCAACCTATTATTTAATAAATGCAGTATCCCTGCTCAAGCACGATCTATGCAATTCTCCGACACATCTGGCACGTCATCGGTAACTAGCATAAGCTGGTACTGGGTGGCTGCATTTTTCAAAAGGAAGATAATGAAAAGAATTACATGAAGATGGATGATTAATGTGAGAAAGTGCATGTCTAGCAGGGGATTCCTGTGAGGTTAGTTGCCGTGGATGGCATCCCTCAAGGCAATAGCGCCGTCCTTGGTGCCCAGCACCATGGCCAGGATACCCAGGAACAGCATGATGACGCCGACAATGTGCTCATACCAAGGGATGTTGCGGATGCCGTAGAGCTTCCAGTAGAATAGAATGGGCTCGATCAAGAACACGCATCCCGTGGACAGGGCACCAACAAGCGTCATAACCTGGGAGAAGTACGGAATGGCCATAGAGACGCCCATGAGTGCGGCCAGAAGCACAGTGCGCATGGTGGTGCGGGTGATGCGCTCCTTCCACTTGCCCATGAACTGGGGCGTGATGTTGAAGGACTTTTCGACCTCCATAGCGAACGAGGTCATAAGCACGGGCACGGCAATAATCACGTGAATGACGATCATGATCTGAGCCGCCACGCTAGGGGCACCGCGCGGCAGGTTATCGAGCATCGGCGAGACTGTAAGATGTCCGTACGCATGGTATCCAGCGGCACCGCAGAGCATGTAGAAGGCAGTGATGATAGTCATGGCGCACATGGAGACATACGGCCAGTGCTGCGGGTTGCGCATGCTGCCCTCGATGTACGGGTAGATGGCATTGCCGGCGAAAGCGAACGAGAAGGTGGCCATGGCGGTGGGCACACCAGCCCAGTCCCAGAACACGTGGTTGATATCGGTGCCCTGGATGACAGCGTGGATATTGTCAGCGGGGGCGTGATCACTCTGCAGGTACGGCTTGCTGAAGGCGATGACAACGGCGATCAGGACAACGACGACGCTCGAGAGGAATCCAAACATGCTGATGATTGCGGTCTCAGCCATCTGCTTCAGGATAATGTACGGCACCCACATGATGAAGGTGCAGACAAACATCCAGAACTTCTCGCTCAGGTTCACACCCGTCGGCAAGAGCAGCGTGTGGATAGTAGTGCCGGCCAGGATGATGTACAGACAGGTGCTGCCGAAGCAGTACAGGGCATGGAAGAAATAGGCGACGTAGCGACCTGGCTTGCCAAAGCTGGCCTGGCCAATGTCGACGAATCCGAGCAGGCGCTTGCCGGGCACGGCGTGCAGACAGCGGATGGTGATGATGGAGCTGAACACAGCGATGATACCGCAGACCCCCATGATGATTAGGCCAACCCAGCCGCCGCGTGCCAGGACGTAGGGAAGCTGCAGGGAACCGGAGCCCAAGACCATGCCGACCATGTTGAAGAAGGCGCCAAGGGAGGAGCTGGTGCGGTGGATGTGGTCGTACTCGCCGTTGGCTTCGGATCCGGTCTGGGAGATGGCGTAGTCAGCCTTCCCGTTGGAAAAGTTCTTGTTGACGGAGGTTGGACGGCTCGGGGGAGCGGTCGTTGACTCGGAATTGCTCATTTTCGCTAGTAATGAGTTGAGTAGGAATATTACAAAGAGAGCGGAACAAAAAGGTGGTGAGGGGTTTTTTAGATTGTTAGAAAAATTTTGTGTTCCTGGAGGGCAAGTTCAAGAGGTTTTATACCCAAAAACCTGGTGGATACGAATGCTCTCTCGGCCATTTTGCCTCTCTGCTTAGCAATGGTACCATCGGGTCGCAAAGGCATTGGTCAGCTCAATCCTTATGCTAGAACTAGGGGGCTAGAAAGAGAGATAGTCGACAGTCTAGCCGCACCTTGTGTCCAAAATCACACAGCTGAGTTGGTTGGCAGCGCCCGTGGTCGTTGTCCCCCAAAAGCGGGGCTCTGTAGCGTACTCATTGGGCGAAGGCAGTTGGAATAGAAATATTACTGGGCCGCACAGATGTAGCGGTTTCCATATGTGGTACAGCAGGGGGCAAAATGGGGCGATTGCACCATACATCCTCTGCGGCCTTTCTGTGCCTTCCCACGTATTAGGCAGGTGCAGGCAGAACAGGGATTGACCAGGCTGGGGAATGGAGTGTGGCCCAAATGACTCTGCCCATGTTGCGCCGACACTAGGTGTCAAGCAGCTGCATCCAGATCGGCTTGCAGTCTGGGCATTCTATAGGCGACGTGCATGGCGAGCGCAACCCAACAGCTGCCTTCTTCAAGCTATACTGGGCACTCCTTGCTAGTTTAACGAAGAATTCGCCGATCAGCATGCCATCGGTGAAATGTTGCGACGTTGTTTTTGGGGGGAAAGATGAAGAACAACTAATATCGTACAACGATCACGCCAGGCGGTATCATTCTGAGCTCATTGGGTGGGAAAGCTGGATGTTTGGTATGTTTGCACATGAATACTTATTCATGCCCAGAGGATACCGTTCCGCAGAAGGCAGATGAGGGAAGCAGATAGTTCATGAGAAGGAATGGTAGATCCGTCTAGGCTTTGCAGCTCCGCTATGCCGAAATAGGTGCCATGGGAACTGATTTGGAGTTTGAAGTTTGGATTTGGATCTAGGGATTCCAATTGGCAGCTGTACTGCCACGTGTGGTGGAAGTGCAGATACGCTGTATGTTAGGTGGCCATCTACCAACACTACATACATACGCTTTGCATGATAGTATGCAATATATGAAATACTATAGTGGTCGCGCGAGCTACAGGCGATGTGCATGCAAGGTGCACAGTAGAAAGTGGCACTGGCGGGTTGTATGATTGTCGGCTGAAGCAGGTTTTATCATGTGGAGAAAATTCATTTTGCTGCAGCTCTTGGGCCATTGAGTGACCTTTTAAAGGTTTGTTTTCCGGATGAGCGGAGGTGGCGGTCCAGGTGGCGAGCAAAGGCCGAGTCAACAGGTTTGTGATTATTGTGACCAAAATCCCTCAGCGTGACATTATTCCGTGAGTTGCTTCCCAAATGGAGGCATTGGTGAGATTGACCTGTTGCATCATCACCAAGCGCTGAAAGTAACACGTGGTGGGGTTTGGGGAAGTGTGAGTATCCTTGCAATTGCTGTTGTTGCCCTTTTCGTTTCGACGCTCCGGAACTCCACCGTTGGGGCAGAGAAAATGGCAAAACACAAAAGCCCTAGTCTGGGTTCCGCAGCTTGGTAGCAGCAGCGCAATTAGCAAGCCTGAATTCGCTTACCCTCATTTGCGGGTGATGACGATGCAGCCTTCAGTGTGCACTGTCACTTGCTTGCTGATGTGTAAATCAATAGCTGAAGTGTGGGGCATTGCTTTATATCACAACCAGTGGGTTTACGCCTGAGTTGTGAGTTATCCTAGTCTCATATGACTGCTGACAGCTCCCTGGTAAACGAAGATGCGAAAAGTACTGACTAGAACACACCACATTGTGATCCGTAGATGTTAACGGTTTGTATGGCATGTAATATGCTGTCATTTATCTCTTGTGACGTTCAAGCGCAGGCATGGCTGATAAAGGTGTTTCAGAGCAATATAAAACCAGAGGATGCACTTAGGTAGCAGCACTAGGCTAATTGAATACTTGCCTTGAACATCGTATTTCTACAAACCAGAACATTCTCAAGAACAGTGACCACTCTTCTTAAGCCTAAGGCAAAAGAAAGCTACAACTGTCAGAGTTGCTTCAAGAATATCAAGACACCTGGCGACTATTTGGGTCATGCAAGAAATCACATTGGCATGTATTCCGAGACGAGCTACACTAAGTAACCAGTGAGTCACATCCCACGCGAGATCGCCTTTCTCAGCTATATCCATGGCCCAGTGGATGGCAGGTGCATTGTCCGTTGCCTTCCAAGTGCTCGTGGACAGTACTCTGCTTTCGCTTTTATAGTCTTTAGGGTATCGATATATACCCCAAGGGATAGCTGCTGAGAAAGTGCCTAGCGACTGATTCCCAAGCAAAGCGGCCAAGGATACTTCCGCAGGCTTCATGGACAGGGCGGCCATGTACGATTTTGACGTGCGATTTTGCAGAACTGTCTCCACGTAAATATTTAGTAGAGAAAAAGATGACTCCTCAGCACACTTTAGGGTGTTCGTGTTGCCAATTGCCAAGTGGTTTGTATGTGTTTGTATTCGTCAGCCATTCCAAGTTTTCTGAGAGGAGCGGTCAGGTGATTTTCAATCCTGGATTTGCACCCGCAGCTATTTCCCTGGGCTTCTTTCAGAATTTCGGGAGCCGAGAGGCTCGTGGCTATTGGCTACATCCAGAGACATCAGCGTGCCAAGCCTGTGAAAGCAATCCACAGTTATTAGAATGGCAGTCTGGCGCTTTGAATGATTACAAAGGGGCTTGAGGGCGCCTCGCTCTTCCACTAACTCTCCTTTACTAAATAGCCATAACCTATGTCTCTTGAAACATATACCTGCTCCTCCCTGCGTAACTTGGAATACCACAAAAACATTGTGTTCTACAATGGCAGGTTCGACACCAGACAAGCCGCTGCAAGCTCTGGAATGCAAGCCTACCGCATCGTAACTCGGTTTCCTTGCGTAGCCCTCCTGACGACGGATGTGGATGACGATGCAACGATTGTTGCTGGAGTGATGCCGACAAGCGGTAGTACTGTAGCTAATGCACTAATCGACAAGGTCTCGACGAGAAGTGCCAGCGCCATAGCTCGGGGTGTTCCCTACAAAATGGAGCAGCGAGATATGCAGCTGGGATGGAAGTTTACAGATGCGCAAGGGGTCAAGTACAAGTGGAACACTAAAGCGCTGAAGACTCGGTGGGAGCTACTTGACAGCAAAAAAGCAGCCATTGCCACCTTTGACTGCACAAAGTTCTGGAAGGACGGTCCTGGCATCCTAGAATTCAAGACTGGTATTAGTGATGAGCTTCGAGTGCTTTCTCTTTTGGCTCTTGGCATAACTGCACTCACTATCGCAAGGACTCAAGACAACACCCACACAAATGTTGAGGAGTGTAGGTGGTTGAAATACGAAGGTATTTATGGACTTCAATGTTGACCTTCAGAGAATCCAGTAGTTATGAGCTTTATGGAATGAGTATGACTAGACATTGCTGAGGAGAAAAAGGGAGGATGGGGCCGTTCCGGCCCACAATGTTTATACAGGTGGGAATTTGGAGCTGCATATGGTGACGAAGGGCATGGGGTTGTCTAAATATCAACATCCTATACCGTTTCCTCATGGAAAGAAATAGATATTCTCCTCAGCTGTTTTTACTTTTTCACAATCAGGTTTTCCGCTTAGCTCCCCACTGTTAGAGCATCTACTCTTCTCAAACACTATTATTTAATACTATGTCAATGAACCTCGCACTTCGCGTTACACGCGCAGTATTTAAGAAATATTTGTCCGCTAGCACTATATATCGCAACCAAAATAATAGCTTTAATGCTTTACTTGAAGTCATCATTTTTAGGCCTTTCCTTGGTACATGGAGAGCAACACAGCGGCTATTTGCTATCTTAATATGCCGGTTCACTTCTGCACAGGTTCTCAGCGAAACTGAATTTTTGCTTGAATACCTTGATGACAACTTTTCATCCACAAGAGATCTGCTGTCAAGCTTTGTCTCGAGGGTACTACGAAAGCCAAGAATGCGTCCCCAAATCTTGGCTTCAACATACCCAGTTATTAACACCGAGCACCTCTAGTCCGAGAGAGTGCTGGTTTCTCGTTTTCCTCATATTTTATAGCTTGTTTACAATACCAATGGGGGGGGGGTTTTAGTGTTTTTTTCCTCGAACGCGCCGAGAACCTTCAGCAGCATATTTCTCCACCGTGAAGCCTATAGGTCCGCAGTCGCTGGTTTGTCTACTGGAACTCCAGCTGATTGTGCCAAGACACAAAATATGCAGCTAACTACTAGCAATCAAGATGTTGAAGTTTTGAAAGGACGGCGCTAGCATCCTGGAGTTCAAGACTGGAGTCAATAATGAGCTTCGAGTGCATCTTCTTTTGGTACTTGGCATAACTGCACTCACTGTCGCAAGGACTCATGCCAACAGCCACAGCAATGTAACTTAGCCCAAGCTTGCTCATGGTTGGTAGTGAGGCGAGTTACTGACTCAACGAAATACACTTTTCGTTAACACAGTATGATATCCTCATACGATTGTTTTTAGCATGTACCGATGAGAGTACTCTCTCATCATACTTGAGCAGTGTAGTGTCAGGCGATTCCGGCGGTCGATTCTTTATTGAGGGCTGTTTGTGCTTTCTTTTGGGAGAGAAATCAGCAGAGGGTATTCGCTAGCATACACTCTCAGTTTGCAAGATACGCATTCTGTAGTCCGGCCTTGAAGTACCAGTGTGCCAAGACGGCGAGGGACACCCTCTTTTTGCTAAAGAACATTCCACGTGTCTTGTGCAGCCTATTTAAACGCCGAAAGCCGGCGTGCGCATCGCCCTCAGTCATTCTCCAGTTAGCTATCATGTCCACAGATCCATTTACAATTTTCTCCAAAACTGTTCCCATCGCTGTGAGGTGTGTCGTTTTCTACAGCGGCTGTTTTGACAGCATCGATGCGGCCCAGGGTTCTGGCAAGCCTGTCTACAGAGCATATGTAAAGTGCCCGAACTTGATCCTCAGCTCGGTTGAAATTGATTTTGATGGCAATACCACGCTAGTTGCTGGCATCATGTCCAAAGTCAAGAGCAGCGATCGCCCGGAGGCAACACCAGTTGTAGATATGCAATAGTACGAGATATGACATTTAAACTGGAGCAAAGAGTTACACAGCTCGGTTGGAAGTTCAAAGACGCGAGCGGTACTGACTACAAGTGGAACACTCCAATCAAAGGTAGTCGGTAGGAGCTGCGAGATGGCAATGGGTATGTTGCTGCGACACTCGATATCAGGAAGCTCCATCCTAAAAAGCTGGAGATTAGACCGAGCATGGACAAGCAGCTCCGTGCCCTTGTTTTAACCTTGCTCATGTTTAATATCGTCACTCTCGCCAGCCAAGGTCCAAACTACATCAATGTTGGCCACGAGACGATGGGCGGCTGGTATTACCTGACAGGAAAACCATAAAGCAGTAGCATTTCCTGTGATGTTTCTGGTAGCATGGCGGCTCTACAGTTGGTGGCTGGCTTAGCAACAGAATGGTTCTTACTGTAATAACGTCAATTTGTCAAGGATATTTTTTAGTACACTCAAGGTCTCCCCTTCGCATATTTCCGGATTGAGTGTGTACCGGCGCCTCTCGCACTGTCTTTAGAGAGTGCACGCCACAGTCATTGATGTTCCCTCCTTCTCAGCTCAACAGTTAGCAGAAGCAGGGTGGCAGGCTTCAGCTTTCCAACCCGCGACAGTGAAGTGACATCGTTGGAGACCTTTTCGACTCATACCGGCGACTCTAGAGTAATCTCTCAGAAAACAACATGCGGTACCCGGGTTGCCCTGTCTACATGACTCAGCAGGGCGGTGTATACGTTACACCCCCGTGTGCTAGAGCTTCAGCAGAGGGCGTTTCCCCGGCAAAGCAGTTGGACCGACAGCGGGGGTTCGGAGTGTTGTGATGATTTGCACAGGAAAAATCCGCTGTGAGCGACCCGCACCAATCAGCGTCGACAATGATTGTGTCATTGTCTGGCGTGGTGTGAAGATTTGCTCTTGGTAACAGGTCATCTAATTGCCTGTGGCCCGCTTTATAAATGGGTGGGGGCAGCACTGGCCAACTCCAGCAATTCTTTCACTTTTTTCTTCTCAACAACACTTTTTCTTCACCTTTTCTCTTTCTTTTTTTTGCACAGAAACTCCTTCATCATGGCTGGCAGCGACGACACTAGACCTCAGTACCACATCGCCACGGAGCTGGTCCACATGGACAGCGACAACGTCAAGGACAACTACAATGCGGCATCGGTGCCTATCTACCAGACGGCGACGTTCAAGCAGACGCAGGCGGATGGAACGGGCGGCGAGTACGACTACTCGCGGTCAGGAAATCCGACGCGCACGGCGGTGGAAGCACACATGGCAAAGATCATGCGGGCGGAGCGGGCGTTCGTGGTGTCTACGGGGATGACGGCGCTGGATGTGATTCTACGGCTGGTGAAGAGTGGGCAGGAGATCATTGCCGGCGACGACCTGTACGGTGGGACGAACCGTCTGCTGACATACGTGTCGCAGTATAACGGCGTCAAGGTGCACAATGTGGACACAACGCAGCCGGAGAAGGTGGCGGAGCGGCTGGACCCGGTGAAGACGCGTCTGGTGCTGCTGGAGTCGCCGACGAACCCGCTGATTAAGATCGCGGATATCCGCACAATAGCAAGCAAGGTGCACGAGCAGTGCCCGGCGGCGCTGGTGGTGGTGGACAACACGATGATGTCGCCGCTGCTGCAGAACACGCTGGAGCTGGGCGCCGACATCGAGTACCACTCGGGCACCAAGTATCTGTCGGGCCACCATGATCTGATGGCGGGCGTGATCGGGTGCAAGACGGCGCAGGTGGCGGATCAGCTGTATTTTGTGATCAACTCGAACGGCTCGGGCCTGGGAGCGTTCGACTCGTGGCTGTTGCTGCGCGGCGTCAAGACGCTGGCGATCCGCATGGACAAGCAGCAGGCGAATGCCGAGCAGATTGCCGAGTTCCTGGAGGCGCAGGGGCTCAAGGTTCATTATCCAGGGCTCAAGTCGCACCCGCAGTACGAGCTGCATCGGTCGCTGGCCAGCGGGCCCGGGGCGGTGCTGAGCTTCGAGACCGGCGACGTCGGCGTGTCGGAGCGCATTGTGGAGAGCGCGCGGCTGTGGGGCATCTCGGTCAGCTTCGGGTGCGTGAACTCGCTGATCTCGATGCCGTGCAAGATGTCGCATGCGTCTATTCCGGCGGAGATCCGCAAGCAGCGGCACCTGCCCGAAGACCTGATCCGTCTGTGCGTGGGCATCGAGCACGTCGACGACCTTGTTAGCGACCTGGCCAATGCACTGCGCAAGGCTGGCATTACCGTCAAGCAGTAACTGGAATTTTAAATGAAATGTATTTAGAAGGAAAACCAGGACGATTAATTGGACTTTTTGCTGGCGTCGGCCTTGTGCTTGATGGTAAGGCAGTTGATGTCGAGGTACTGGCAGATGGTGCTGATGACCTCCAGGGCAAAGTGGGCGTACTGCACGGCCGTGTAGACAAGGCAGGCGTACACCAGATACAGCTCATGGATGCCGTCGGCCAGCTTGGGCAGCCCCAGCATGGGCATGACGGCGTTGAGGGTGCCGAGGAAAATAGGCACGTGCATCCTGTTGAGCTTGGGGAAAGGCGCGCCTGTGACATGGGCGACGATAACGCGACCGACGATGTACGAGAAGGCGAAGCCAACAAACAGCAGGAACAGCACCAGGTGCTGGCCGAGAATCTCCGGCGACGCATACAGCCACAGCGTCACGCTGCTGATCGAGGCAACAAACGGCACCACATCGGCCACAGCCACGGCCACGCTCCTGTTCTGCTCGCGGCAGGCAATGGAAATGTTATCGAGGCTGGCGTAGATGGTCGGGATCAGGATCGCGCCCATGCCCACCACCACCGAGTGCGCCAGCGTCAGCTCCGGCAGGTACTGCGACACGGCCGTGGGCAGCACTGCAAAGATCTTGGTGTGCCAGAACTCTGGGCCCCAGATCCCCGTAGCCAGGGTGGCCAGCGAAAAGCTCAGGATGCCCTCGACGGGACCCGAAAAGTACCCGAGGTAGAGCACATGTGTATGGTACTCCTCCATGGTCGACATGTAGAAATTGGCCAGCGAAAAAAACACCAGCGCCGCCGTCCACCACGTCTCGCCCAGCTGGCACGTCGCCGCATACAGAATCATAATCTGCGATACCACCAGCGAGTCGCACCCGTGGTCAAACAGCTCTCCCAGCGGACTCGCCGTGCCTGTCCGCCGCGCCTGCTTCCCGTCCACCGCGTCAAACGACCCGTAGATCCAGATGCACAGCGAGTATGCAAAGTACACCCACGACGGACATGTCTCTGTCAGGTTCGGCGCATACACCTGCATTAAACCCATTGCCAGCAGCACGTGCAGCGAGCCCAGCAAAGTCACCATGTTCGCCGCCATGGTCAGCGGGAATATCTTCACCAGCTGGTTCCAGTACTCGGCCAGCACATACTTGCTGATTAGCGACTTGTCGATGGCCGCGTACTTGTATTTTTTCAGGTTGGGCAGGTATTGCGAGGGAATGTACGCCATTGTGAATTAATATAGGGAAAAAATGTATGGCGGAAAGAGAAGAAGCGGGCCGAAATAGTGGACGGAGTGCCCGGCTCCCAACGCTTTTTCATGCGTGAAATTTGGAGAAAGTGACTTCCAAATGATGTATCACGTGTTGTGACACGCCCCACGACATGTGCTGATCTGGTTGATTTGATCGCATGCTGATGAGATCTCTTTGCCAAGTTCCTCAGCTGGGCAAAAATAGATGCAAGGCATGGTGCGCACATACTGGGACAATCTCCCTCTCTTTGTTTACCTCTGCGAGTATTTATTTACTTATTCTGTTATGCATACACTGTCCATACTATTAGCCCTCGCTCTCCCACTCACACTAGCATTGAACGAGCCGCGGATCCTGGGCGGGCAGGCGGCACTTCCCGGCCAGTACAACGCTACAGCACTTGTGCTGGTAGCGACATCAGCCAAGCAGACGACAGTATGCGGGGGCACGCTGATATCGTCGCGCGCAGTTCTGACGGCTGCGCACTGTGTGCAGAGCCTTCTGGGCGACAACTACGAGCCGGAGCAGTTCACAGTGGGTGTGGGGCAGCTGAGCAGCGAGGGGTTCAATCTGACGCACCCGTATTTTGTGGACAAGACCATTGCACATCCATCGTATTCCGCCGACATAGTATCGAACGACATTGGGCTGATACTGCTGAACTCGTCGGTGCCCGCCAACGTTAGCACGCCGATGAAAATCATCAAGGGCTATGACTGGGGAGCGCGGCTGGTGGCGACCGGGTACGGGCAGACGACGAACCAGAAGGGCTCTTTGGCCACGCAGCTGATGGCGGTGGAGCTACGGCTGGGCAATGTGACGCACTGCAAGAGCTTGAATCCCCACTGGAAGCAAGACACCCAGATGTGCACGGACGGAACCGTGGGCCGCGACACGTGCAATGCCGATAGCGGCGGCCCGCTGATGGGTCAGTATAATGATGCAGGCGACTGGGGGCTGGTGGGCGTGACATCGTATGGCGAGGAGGGCAAGGCGAGTAGTGGCGGCAACATGTGCGGGACCGAAGGTGGCGCCGGGTTCTATACGTATGCGGCGTATTATGCTGACTGGATTGCCCAGAATGCGGGGCTGGAGAGGGACAAGATCTTGGTTGTGAATTCAACCACGGTGCACCCGAATGCGACGCTGATGGCTGAGGCATCGGAGGGGTCGACAGTGCTGGCGGTGGCAAGCGAGTCACTGACGTCGGCGGCTGCGGCGGGGCCGGCAAGTGGTATAGCAGCAGTGGTGGCAGCAGCAGTGCATATTGCAATGTGTCTGGCATTGGCATAATGGATGTGAAGAGGAGGCTTTATGTTTTTGTGTTTTGCCTTGTCCGGAAACCTCGCAAAACGACTCGCAGAACCTGGAATGCAGGCCGGCAGAGGCCAGGTTCGATCCCCCCCCCAATACCGAGCAGAGGGGAAAAATCAAGGATTCTCGCAGTCAGCTTCTGGCTTTGCGATGCCAGCGAGTGTGAAAGTCAGTTGTGCAAGACAGGCTGGCGGAAAAATACCACCAAAACACGCCCTTCTTCTCCTCAAGTTGTAAATTCTTTTCTTTCTTGTTCCATCTCCACCCTCTTTAATATAGGTTTTAATTAATTCACATACCATCGACTGAGGGGGACACCTTCCAGCTCGGAAAACTTGTATTACATGATAGAAACGCCCAGCATGGATTCTTCAAAAGAGCGATCGGCAGAAAGTCTTGGCGCATTTCCGGTTCCACGGCTCAACCACGCGAGCAGCGAGGTCAGCAGTAGCCACGGGTCGCCGGTGCAGCGGCTATCGCACTCGATGGCGCACGGACTGCGGCGGGCACTAATGCCCTTGAAGCACCTGGGTGCGCAGTCAATGCCAAGCTCGCCGCACACCAAGCTCGCCACAGCGTCACAGCCAGTGACACCTATACCAGTGACTGCAAGCAGCACCGAGTCGTCGATGTCGCCGGACACCACTCGCGAGGAGCAGTGGTCGGAGCAAGGTGCGCTGGCAGTGGCAATGGCCGAGAAGCGCCGCTTGCCACCGCCACTGCCGACGGAGACTCTGGCAGTGCAGGGAATGATAGACGGGCTGATGGACCTGCCGGACCGCGTGGACTGCGGACTGGTGGATGTGTCGCAGATGCGGCGGCGGCTGGGCGTCGGGCCGAAGCGGCGCGAGGAGTGCCAGGTGTACTATGAGGTGTTTGGGAGTGGGCCTAGGCGGCTGCTGTTGCTGATGGGCATGCTGGGCAGCACCATGTTCTGGCGGCTGCAGACCCGGTATTTTGCGCACCTGGGCGACTACACTGTGTGTGTGTTCGACAACCGCGGCAGCGGGCGCACCACACTGGCCAGTGGGCCGTACCGGATCACGCAGATGGCCCGGGACGCAATGCAGGTGATGGAACATCTGGGGTGGCATGATAATGTGCATTTGGTGGGCGTGTCGATGGGTGGCATGATTGCACAGGAGCTGTGTCTGATGAATGACCGGGAAGACCGGTATGCGTCGGTGGCGCTGGTGGATACGTGGCATAGCGCATCGATGGCGCTGCCGACGGCCAAGGAAGTCAAATTTGCATTCAATGGCATGGCGGCACTGGGCAGCGACCCCGGCCATCTGATCGACCTGGTGTTTTCGCGCGACTGGGCGCAGGCGCCGTTCCGCGATCCGCTCGGCTCAGAGGCTGTGGGCTGCGATCTAACAAACCGCCAGATGCTGCGGACGCTGTTTGCACGCATCGAGTCCGACTTGGCCGAGTACCGCACAGCCTCGCCGCCCAAAACCGCTCATGCCACTACATCAGTCAGCACCGAGTCGCCAGAGCCGCCCAGATTCCCGCATACGCAGTCCTCGCCGATAATCGGCACAGTGCAGATGACCCGGCATGGCACACAGAGCACCCCAGGCACCGACCAGAAGCGCGAGACCTCGGGCGACCTGCACCAGTTCATGGCCTGCCTGGGCCACCGGCTGACGCCCGCGCGCGTGCGCCGCATTCAGACGCAGAACCCAGCGACGCGCTTCCTGGTGATCCACGGGCGGAAGGATCGCGTGATCCGGCCGGTCTGCGGCCGCACATTGGCGAAGCTGCTGGGCTGCCCGCTGGTGTGGCTCGAGGGCGCCGGCCACATGCCGCTGATTGACGCCCACTGCTCGTTCAACCTGGTGGTGCGTGCGTTTACACGGCACGAGCCGTGGCTCGATGAGCTGCCGGACCGGACACGCATTGCACCGGCGCCTTGGCACGAGCAAGTCAGAGTGCGTGAGTGGATGGGCAGGCCCGTGGGCGAGATTGCGCTGGAGGGCATGGAGCAGGTAAGGCTGGCGTGCAGGTCGCCGCCGACCAGCCCCGGGCCTCGCAAGTCCACCGTGGACCGCATCGAGCCGGTGGGCGAGCTGGCCCAGGAGCTGATCCTCGTCGATGATCGTGATCTTGCCCATGACTCCAAGATCGTCGGCCCACATGACGCAGGTGATGCCGATACTTGTGGATTCGTCATCTACGGCTCGCTGCTCGATGCCCCGCTGCGAATGCGACGGTACACCACCACCAGCTGACCGGTGTGGGAAGGATAGGTGCCACAATTTGATTGGCACACGTGATTGCAAACACATGCTCCGATTTTTTTTTCATGCTGACGACGTTCAGTCCACCCGCCCCTGGCATGAGCTCCTCCTGCTCTCCTCTCAATTTTTTCGCTCGTGTAATTATTTCACTCTTATTCCTCAGTTTTATTTCATAACCACTCTGTGGTAAAAGCGATACTTTTTTGGAATATACCAGCAGAACAACTTGCCTGCATATTCAGTCCCTACAAACAGCAAGCCTGCAACAATTCACGCACTAAGCCCTAAGAAGGTTCTGAGACGGTTCTCCTTGGGCCGAGACGGAAGCAGCTCCAAAGACAAGAGCCACCAACACAACACGATGTCCGGAAAGCAGAAGATTGGCAACTACACCGTGCTGCAGACCCTCGGCGTCGGGTCCTTTGGCAAGGTCAAGCGTAAGTACAATACAAACCTCAAACTGCCCTCCCCCAACACATTTTTGGTATCTTCTCAATCCTCCACCCTCACCTTTTTTCCCTCCTCTGCTTCCATATGCTGGTGTATAGTGGCCGTGCACTCGCAGACAGGTCACAAGGTGGCGCTAAAGATCATTGGGCGCAGCAAGCTGGCGCACTCGGACATGATCGGGCGGGTCAACCGCGAGATCCAGTACCTGAAGATGTTGCGGCATCCGCACATCATCAAGCTGTACGAGGTCATCACCACGCCCACCGACATCATCATGGTCATCGAGTATGCTGGCGGCGAGCTCTTCAACTACATTGTCGAGCGCGGGCGCATGGCCGAGAAGGACGCGCGGCGCTTCTTCCAGCAGATCGTCTCGGCCGTCGAGTACTGCCATCGCCGCAACATTGTGCATCGCGACTTGAAGCCCGAGAATGTGCTTCTGGATCCATACAATAACGTCAAAGTGGCTGATTTTGGCTTGTCCAATATCATGAAGGACGGCGAGTTCCTGCAGACGTCGTGCGGGTCACCCAACTACGCGGCTCCCGAGGTCATCAACGGCAAGCTGTACGCGGGCCCTGAGGTCGACGCGTGGTCGTGCGGAGTGATTCTGTATGTGATGCTGTGCGGCCGCCTGCCATTCGACGACGACCACATTCCGGCGCTGTTCAAAAAGATCACATCCGGCATCTTTACCATGCCTGGCTTCCTGTCACCGGGCGCCAAGCAAGTTCTGTCGGGACTCCTGCAGGTCGACCCGCTCAAGCGCATGTCGCTGTCGCAGGTGCGCCAGCAGCCATGGTTCATCACTGACCTGCCCGAGTACCTGAAGCCGCTGCCCGAGAGCACCGACATTGAGTCGCTGGCACGCCTGGACGAGTCGATTCTGGGTGAGCTCGAGAAGCAGCTCGAGATGACACGCACGTCGCTGGTCAAGCAGCTGCGGCAGCGCGGCACCAACCCTGCCAAAGTCGCGTATCAGCTGACTCTGGATAATCGCCACATGCTTGAGCAGAGCCGACACTCGAACACCCAGGGGATCCGCAACTTTGCGCTGGCATCATCACCACCCGCCGCCTTCAACGCCGCCATCGACCTACGCGATAGCACCGGCACTGCATCGTCATCGCCGCTGGCAAACAACCCCAACGACGATGACGACGGGACGCCGTCGAGCATCGCTATTCTGGGCTCCAGTCTGCCGCGCTCCGCTGGCCACACGCTCGAATCGCAAATGTACAAGATGCGTCTGCGCGGCCCCAACGCCGTCCCAGCCCCGCGCGTGTCGTCGCCACTGGCGCCCGCTCACGACTCTGCGTCGCGCCGGCCATCGTCGGGTGCAGCAGCAGTTGCCCAGCAGGCGCTAGGGACGACGGGCTCAGCGGTGCCATCACGGACGCCATCGAACTATTTCCGCGCGCAGTTGCCGCCACTGCCAGGCGCGAATGGCGTGGCAGGGCAGTCAAACTCGTCGGTAGCGAGCCTGGCGCATGCATCGGTGCGCACGGCATCGCAGAGCCACCTGAGCCCGTACGCGCACCGGTCAGGCAACAGCAGCGAGAACAGCAGCACCGACGGCAGCCCGGCAGGATCGGTGGTGCCGCCGCACTCGGTCAATGTGTCGAGCCCACTAGCTCGCTCTAGCGATGAGACGCCGCCGGCGCGTAAGCCCACGGTGATGCGCAAGCGGGCGAAGCTGACGCGTACACGCTGGCATTTCGGCATCCGGTCGCGGTCGCCGCCTGCCGACGTCATGGCTGAGGTCTACCGGGCGCTGCTGCAGCTGGGCATGAAGTGGAAGCACTTCAACCCCTACCACCTGCGTGCCATGTATGTCGACGCGCAGGGCCGCCAGGTCAAGATCGACCTGCAGCTGTACAAGCTCGACTCGCGTGACAACTACCTGGTCGACTTCAAGGCTGTTATCCCGACCCCCAAGTCCACGGCTGACTCGGGCGCCAGCGACTCGGGCACCATCCCGACATACCGTGCAGGTGAGAACACGCTGATAGCTCCGCCGCCACCGTTCATCCAGGCTGCCCGCCGGCGGATGTCATCGGCTGCACGGCCCGTTTCGACGGTATTAGACGACGTCGCCACGATGATGGGTGCCGAGCAGGCCGAGCCACGGTCGCTCGATGACCAGTTCCTGGACTCGAACTACCCTATCCAGATTCCAGCTGAGGTGCCCGCGCCATCACTGCCAGCCGGCCACGACCGCTCAGACATGCTGCCGGAGCCCGACACATTACCAGCACGCACCATGCAGCGGCGGCTGGGCGGCGGCTCGCCGATGTCGTCTGCAGCGGGCTTTGAGGAATCCAGCGAGATTATAGAGGCTTCGGGCGGTATTCCGATCCCCGGCTCGCTGGCAAAGTCGCCGGTACGCGCAATCGACATCAACCAAAGACGCAATCTGGCCGAATCACAGAGCTCTGGCCAGTTCCTGGGCGGCACACCGCGTAGCCAGGGGAAGGCGCCCGGCAGCTACATGCCCGGCAGCGTCGTCGGCCGCGTTTCATTGGCGCGCACAGACGTGTCGCTGACTGCCGATGGCGTCGGCGCCGGCAATGGCGCAAGTAGATTGGCGCAGGAGCGCGTGGTCAATGCGTTCCCGTTCTTTGACGTGTGCTGCAGGCTAATTACGGAGCTGGCTGTGCCGTCGGCCCCACAGGCGTCGTAAGCATGGCCCGCCTTGTGTTGGAATATAGACTTGCTTCTTCTTTTTCTCATTATTTCTTGCTGCTGCTAGCTCAACCTGGCGGCCTTGGTTGATTATTGTAAACACATAGTACTACCTTTTTGGTGGTGGAAATGGTGTGTGATTTCTTGCAATGTTTGGGGCTCCAATCAGAGCATACGTTGATTTCTCTTCCTGATCTCCCCTTTATGAGTGAGTGCGTATGTCTATTCTTGGCAAAAAATGGCGTGTATGACCAAGAAATCAATGCCCAGACAGCCAGCCGCAGATCATTGACTGCTTGCATGTGGAGATAGAAAAATCAAAAAGCAGTCGAGAACACTAAGAGCGAACATGCGTCTAGAAATAATGCTAACTAATGCTAACAAGTCCCATGGCAATAGTTGCCAGAATAGAAAATAAGCAAAGAGAAATCAGGCCCTTTGGGCTAATGTATATAAAGACCGGGCAAACTGGCTACTACCCGTCTTAGACCATCCTTTTTCACAAATCTCACTTTTTATAAACATGGTACAATCAGCGATTCTCGATACGCTCGGCCCCCTGGCCAGCGCACTAATGGACGCCATCTCCCAGCTCATCGGCATGGGCAACCCGCAGGATGCATATACCGCCTCCCACGCCGACCTGGTCAAATACGCTACCTACGCCGGCCTCGCCTACCAGACCACCGATGCCTGGCCTGCAAGCCGCACTGTGCCCAAAGACACCACGCTGATCAGTTCTTTCGACCACACGCTGAAGGGCAGCTCCGGCTACATTGCATTTAATGAGCCATGCAAGGAGATCATCGTGGCCTACCGTGGCACCGACTCATTGATTGACTGGCTAACCAACCTGAATTTCGATAAAACCGCCTGGCCAGCCAACATCTCCAATAGTCTCGTCCACGAGGGATTCCTGAACGCCTATCTGGTGTCTATGCAGCAAGTCCAGGAGGCTGTGGACTCCTTGCTGGCGAAATGCCCCGATGCCACCATCTCATTCACTGGCCATTCCTTAGGCGGCGCCCTAGCCTGCATATCCATGGTGGACACAGCGCAGCGCCATAGGGGCATCAAGATGCAAATGTTTACATACGGCCAGCCGCGCACCGGCAATCAGGCGTTTGCTGAGTATGTGGAGAACCTGGGCCACCCGGTGTTTCGTGTGGTCTATCGGCATGATATTGTGCCGCGGATGCCCCCGATGGACCTTGGGTTCCAGCATCATGGCCAGGAAGTCTGGTACGAAGGGGATGAGAATATCAAATTCTGCAAAGGCGAAGGAGAGAACCTGACGTGTGAGCTGGGGGTGCCGTTTAGTGAACTTAATGCCAAGGACCATTCGGAGTATCCTGGTATGCACTGATGCATCCCCTTTCAGCAATAGGATGTAGGGGATATTTTTGTACGATATTTTTCTTGATCCCCTGTGCATCCCGCAGCTGCTGTGCTGTTGTAGTTACTGGTGTTGTCAATCAGATATCAGCGGGCATATACGATAGCTTACTCTTCGGTGTGAATTGCCGAGAGGGTCTTGCTGAATGAAGGCATGTGTAGTAAGTGATTGAAAATATGCAGAATGATAAACGGATACATGTGGTAAAGGTTCGCAGGTTATATAGTAGCAGCCATTGTTGAAACAAGCGTCGATCATATACTTCTGCTCCTGGGTGTTAACCTGCAACTAGGGCTGAGGCCATTTGCAAACATTCCGCTGGCTTAGGAGAAATATATTAAAACCAGGAGCAAAGCTAAAATAGAAAGCATATGACATGACCAAGGGAAAGTAGATCAGCCACAGTCTTACACACGCTTGAAACTATATTACTTGGACATCAAGGAGAACAGAGGAAGTAGATAACTTGGGAGGTGGCTATATGCCGCTATCTCTCGCCAGAGGCTATTAATCCATATTAGGGCTTCTAGTGTCAGAATCTGTGATTCTCTGGGTTTCTACAATTTTTCCTTTTCTCATCGGACCCATGTGCTAGCACAACCATCGCCCTGATCCTCGTTTGAGATCTCGCTCTTCTCCACTTTCTATTTTTCTCTTATATCTGCTTTCTCTTGTTCATAGTTCTTTCCTTTTTCTGGCTGACCCAGTCCAAACCACTCATTGAAACTCGTGACCTTCCAACACAGTGGTAATAGCTGTGCCGGTAGGCTGCATGTTGGGAGCCTGAGTGACGGCTTGCTGGGCTTGATGCTTGTATTAGAAATATCAACTCTTTGGTATAGGATTCTCTATTATCTTTTCCCTCATTCTTCTTCGCATTAGTTATCAAGCAACACCTCTCGACTCCTTAGGAGTTCCTCTTTCCTCTACCTTCTATTTTCGCCTCTCTCACCTCCTCCTCTAATGCATCTCTTTACTATCTTCATCAGCCTAAACTGCATTTCTGCGCTTATACCCCCTTAACACCTGTAGGTAGCAAAAGTACCGGCAAGGCCTTTGACTTCGTTGAACATGTTGTTGATAGCTGCACAGATGCTAGCAGCGGCGGTGTGCCGAACAGAGGAGCTGCTCTCAGCAACGCCAGTATGCACTGGGGAAGTGGTGATGATGGGTATGTGGGTAAAGTTTGTGCGTATGCGTGTGCGTGTGTTTCTGGCCCTCGCCTTTTGCTATTCTGTAGAAAAAGAGGTAGAAAATATAATTCGAAGGAGCTATAGTGAAGACAAAGGAAGCTGGCCAGCCTGCAAGCGCACAAATTTTTATACTTGGACATCCTAGGGCTGGTAGAGCCTTGACGTGTAATGATTTTCGTCTCGAAATCAAAACCTTGCAGTAAAGAATATGCCAGTATCTGGTGCATACATAGGCGATGATGAATTTTACTCACTTTGAAGTGCTCGTGCCGACAGACGATGCCACTCTGAGTGATCATTACATACTACACTGGCAATGGCTATGAGGATAGCTTCTTCCGTTGCCGTACAAGGGATTTCTGGTCGGTTATTGGGACAGAGGACATGTCTGATGAGTTTCCTGAACTTGTATATGATGGACTATACGGCTGGTATGGGTGACGAGCTTTTGAGATCTAGATACAGCCCCTGAAATACTTGCTCTGCATGTCCTTAATCTGCTTCATTTGTGGACTCTCATCCGGAAGTTTACGACCCTTGGTCGCTAGGCTATCCAGACGCCTGATATTGTCTACAATTGACTGGAATAAGTTATTTAGCCTAAATTCTATATACCCTCACTGCCTTATAGCAACGAAAATAATCTCATATGCATTTTTCAGTTCTCATCGAGTCCTCGCTACGGAATCAGTATGAAGCACCATTAAGTTAACTAACCGCTTCCGTTTGTCCCTATTTTTATAGCTGCATGAAGGAAAATGCCAATGCCCTTGTCAATGAAATTGATAAAGTGGTCCAAGTAATGCAGTATTTGGGGAATTACTTTAATTACACTCAAAAATTTTTGACATGTTCCACTACTAGCTTCTGCTATGGCATTCATTTTTTGTTAGTGGAATCATAGCAAGAGTAAATATTTAAATAATATACTTTAGCATATACAAGTATATATTATAGTGGTAAATAGACAAATGATCAATAATAATGACAACAGCCTTAAAAGCAGATAAAATAGTGAATGATAACTTTTATGTTTCAGAATTAAATCATCTTTACCTTTATATAAGATTTTATAGTCTAAAAAGTGTCCGACCGTCCGCTAGAAATTATTTAATTGGTTAAAAAACTCTTAAGCTTCAACACGGGTTTGAGTGACTTGCTCTGTAAACTCCCTTTGATCTTGTGCGGCATCTGACCTCATCGGTGAAACCAGGGTGACAAGCTGGTATTGTAGTGGTCACAGGTCTCCACTAGATATCTCCATTGGTTCAGCACAAGAGCTGCTCTCATTGTCGGTCGGCCTGATAACTTCCATGGCGTCATCATGGTGGTCATCACCGGCTGCGCAACACTCTTAGGATGTTTATCTATGAGCACCTATTGAATAAGGCCGTATAGCTCTTCTGGTGGTTATGCAATATTTGTGGGTTTATTTTACAAATTAATTTGTCTTATGAACATGCGTAAGCGGTAGTATTTGAGCCACAATGGACCCAGTCTTTATAGACTGATTCAAGAGACTGTATCAATGCTAAGGGCCCCAAGAACCATGCAAGCCAGATCATTATTAATAAAAAGTTCTTAATGCTATGCATACGCAATAAAGCAAAACTGAACAGAATCATTTCTCTTCTTACTTTGCCTACCAAATTTCTCAAATGAATATTACCCGCAGCACTACTGTCATAAAGACATCACTTGGTGGTATTGGCTTCCGTGATTCTATGTTGCCCCGCCTAGAGCAATTTGTACATAGTGTCAATATCATCAAAGAGCATACATACATGCTTGCACGATGGAGATTACTCCATCAGCTAGCTGACGGGGATGCTTTTGACCCAGCAACATTTGTGAAAAAGGGTTTTTTTCGTTTTATTTATTTATTCATTTATCGTAACCTGAAGGCGAAGACTGTCATATCTGCCAAGGATTTCGTCAACCGGAAGGACAAGTCAGAACTGTCGGGCGCAGATTTCGGTGATGTAGTTAGATACCATATTTATGATTATCTATTGCATAATGGCGATATCGAGCTACATGGTGTACGTGAAATGAATCAAGTAGCAACATACGTGGATACCGAGCTGATGACAGCATACAAGAACAACATTGTGTTGCACTATGGCACTTGCCTACAGCGGATTCTGGCCAAATTGATTGATATTCGCAGCCGCAAAAACACACTGCACAGTACAATGGGCAATGTGTCCAAGGCTGAGTTCAATAACGCATGTCAAGCGTGTATTTATACACCTTCACAGAAGCTCCGCCAGGCAGTTGCCTCTAGGCGCCCTGATCTCAGTGTGCTCACCCCACCGATGCTTGCAATCTACAACAAGCTGGCACCAGTCCTTAATGCCTATGATGCCAAGTACAGATTCGCTAAAGACAGCCGATACTATGATGCCAAGGTAAATCCACTTAAGCATCTGCGTGCATACATTCGTCTATGCCAGCTTATCGAGAATGAGCAGCTTGGCAAGTCTCCCCCCAATGCTTGCCTCTGCGGACATCATGGATCCCAGGCCATGTGCGTTTGGACAAGCAAATAATCAAGCAGGTGTTTGTTTCGAAAACACGTGAGGAGGTTACCAAGATCAACGCAGCAAAGAGGGCAGCAACAGAGGCAAGGAAAGCAGCAGAAAGGGGCGAAAAATTGGCCAAGAAGGCTGCACACGAAGCAGCGAAGATGCCATCGGATGCAACAGAGGCTACTGCAGCAACTGCAGCAGTAGCGGCTGATTCACTTGCTGCTGCATCGGCAGCAGCAGCAGACACTGTTGCAGCACTTAACAATGCATATGCACCAGCACCCCCAGTCTGTGCACATGACCCGGTCCAAGGGATCACACAACCTGTGTGGGATGTGTGGGGCCGGGTCGCAGATCTAACATCAAAGCCATTTAAGGCGCATGGTGATAGAAAATTCCACGGAATGGCGACAACAGATGGTGTAGCAATATGCATTTTGTTGCAAGACAAGATATCCAAGGCTGATGGTGCAGTGGATGCTGATGCTGCAGGAGGCGATGCTGCGGGAGGCGATGCTGCGGGAGGCGATGCTGCGGGAGGCGATGCTGCGGGAGGCGATGCTGCGGGAGGCAATTCTGTGGGAGGCGATGCTACAGGCGATGCTGTGGGAGGCGATGCTACAGGCGATGTTGCAGGAGGTGATGCTGTGGGAGGCAGTACTATAGCTGACTGTCGCTATATCCACCAGATCCCACAGCCAGAGCTGCAGAATCTGAAAGGCCGCTGTGTATTCATCGATCCAGGTCGGGGCGATTTGCTATACATGATGCACGAAAATAGCAGCAATGGGAAAGAGGGTGAAAAAATGCTCTACCGCTACACACGGCAGCAGCGCAATAAGGAGCTCAAGCTGCGCCACTATGACAGGATTCGTCGGGCTACAAAGGATCAAGTCCCAGAAGATGCTGTCCGCAGAGCAGAGGCAGGGCTTTCCAAGCACTGCTGCCGGACCCTTATCCCAGCAAAATTCCGTGCCTACGTTGCTGCCCGTGCATCTGTGCGGTGTGTCCTAGCACCGTTTTATGCCAGCACGATGACAGCGCGAAGGTTACCAGAGCAGCAACTCACTAAGTCAAACAAGCAGCACCAAAGGCGCTGGAAGGCCCATCCAGGTGTCAGTACCAGTCCCAAGGTGTACCCGCTTCACCGCAAGCTGCACCTTGATTCATTCATGAACCAGGCCCGTGCAGACCACAGGCTTGCTGCGAAACTCCGGAGCAAGTTCGGTCCAGATCCAGTGCTGATCATGGGCAATTGGAGTGCGCCGATGGCCCGACACCATGCGCCGATCCGTGGCAAAGGATGGCGCGACAAGTTCAAGCACCATGGCTTTGAAGTCTATCTGATCGACGAATTCCGGACATCGTCGATGTGCCCGTTCTGCTGCGATAAGTCACTGCAGACATTCCGGCATGTTCCCAACCCGCGGCCCTACCAGAGATCGAAGAACCCAACTGTGAAGTGCCATGGCCTTCTCCGCTGTACAAGCGAGTCATGTAAGCGGGCCATGGCACAATACAGGCGGGCCTATTCGTCTCGGCTCTTGAACCGCGATCTCGCAGCAGTTCTAAACTTCAGGCTCATTTTCCAGTCACTCTGTGATTCAGGCAGTATTCCTGAACGGTTCCGTCGCTTTACGGCCATTGTTGCCGATGCTTCTGGCACCACCCTGGCAACAAAGAACCTGCACAAGAGGCGTGCAGCAGCAGGCGATTCTGCTGCTAGCAGCAGCGAGCCAGCGCTGAAGCGCCTACGCAGAGCAGGCCATCAAGACAGGAGATGTCCATGATCGGCATTGCACCAACAACCATCCGACACGTTCAAATGACCGGTTCGCCGTGATGCCCTTATCGACGTGTCAACCCATGCTGACTAGCAGCCGAGCTCGCATCGCGAGCAGAGTATTTCTAGTAGCCATTTGGATAGACATGATCACGTACAAAAGACTCCAATTTCGAATCACCTAGAGCCTCTGTAGCCATATGCGCAGCCTTCACAGTATCGAGAATGGGGATAAAAAGGCAAAATAGTGATATTGTGTATGTTTTTAATTTCCACCAGTATTCAACAGCTTGAGGGATGATTGCCTCACAAAAAGCGCTTCAAATCCGCAATGGTCCAGTGGCTAGGATCCGACGCTCTCACCGTCGTGGCCGGGGTTCGATTCCCCGTTGCGGAATTTTTAGCTTTTGCTGCTTTCGCCCTAACCGGCGGCAGGTTCTATTTTGCAGATGTGCGCGCTTGCTTAGCGGGAAAGTCTACATATTCTTTGGAGTGAATTTGCTATTCTTAATAGAAGATTCTATTAGAAAATCGGTTGATGTGGAGCTTGCAGCCTCTTGTCATCGCTCTTGCTGTGCTCAATTGAAGTGAACTCTAACAGTTTAGATTACAATCGAATACCCTCAGTTGCTGGACAACGAAAAAAAAAAAAAAAAAAAAAAAAAAAAAAAAAAAAAAAAAAAAAAAAAAAAACAAATACCCTCAGTTGCTGGACACGGAGTGATATGAATGCTAATTTTACTCCCTCCTAGTCCCTGGTGGCGCCAGACTCGTCTTGGGTCCAGCTGCAGGCCGCAGGAATCTGTCTGGGGCTGCGGCAAGGGCAAGTAAACTCTTTAACCAGCGTCCTCCTCAACTGGGATGGCTGGATAAGGAGGCATCGAGTGGTTTCAGGAAATTCAACAGCTCCCCCTTCTTGCATCCGAAATTTGGAGAGCAGACGGCTTGCTAAAAATAACAATGCTGCGGAGGGCCTGGTGGTGCTGGACCGCGGTCTAATTATAGCAGCCCATACCATGCAGTCTTCTAAGCCACAAAGACGTGTCTGGCCTTCGTGCACCAACGATGCAGTCATGTAAGCTTATTTTACCAGTCCTATAAAACCGGTCACCCCTTATCATTCTCCAACTCTCTCTCTTTTCCTTCATTGTTTTCATTTCTAACCTGCTACTTATCGATAGCCATTTTTCTTTGCAATACAAACTGACATGATCCTCATTTCGACCATCTGGTCTCTGCTCTTTGTAAACCAAGATGCCAGCAATAAATGATCTGGGCACTGAGGATATCTCATTTGCCGCTTACGTCAAACTATTCTCTATCAAAGCTGACTGGGCCACTCCGCATGTTTTTCCTACCCTTTGCTGATTATACAATTGCAAGTCTTGTCTGCCTCTGACCCTGGATGCATTGAATGTTTAGCTCAGGCAGCTATTATTAAAGTAAACACCGCTGCTACTCCATCTGTGCAGCCAGATAAGCACAAGAGACAGTCTACTCTGGCATTTGTGTCTGTCGCAGCTAGCAGTTGCTGCGGATGCTGCTGGTGCAAGAGTTGGCCCAACTCAGCCTGCCTTTGCTAGTATCGAGTCGATCAAGATAGCCAGCACCTCTGATGGCACACGGAGATTGGGGCTACAGCTGGAAACAGTCATTAACTTCCAGGACTACTCAATTCTATTAGTCGTACCACTGGCGGAATTGCCTAGCATCAAAGACCGTGCTGCTAAATCAATTGCATGTTCTAACGCGCTTGTTGCTGCTATTAAGACACGGCATGCAGCAGCTAAGGAGGAGCTGGCAATATCCAAGAGTCAGCTTATTGAGTTCAGAAAGCTGGCGTGCCATTAACCATACATGAGTCATTACTGGTATTATTTCGCTTCTGAAGCAGCTGAATAGCGGTGTTTATATAGCTATTGACCCACAGCTAGCACTTGAGGCGAACAGAAAACACATGGTCGACTAATCCAATGGAATCGGACGAACGACTACGATCTAGAAATGGACTATATAATCCCTGAGCATGCTGCTTGCAGTTAATACTGTTAGCCACTGTACGTTGTCATAGGTCTATTCAGTATATATACGTATTGGCCCTAAGCTTGGAATTCTTCTTTCATATCCTCATTTATCCATTTAGTTACCGATGAGGAAGGTTTATTATACTACAATTTACGAACACAGCCCCAAGCAAGCATATAGCAAGGTATATATGATATAATGCTGTAGCATCCCAGGATAGCGACATTTGCAATGTCCACTTTTGTCATAGATTGCGATGCCAACACGAACGTTGATAGGGTGCTCAGTATTGGCCACATTAAATCAAGGAGCGGTCTGGTCTGCAGAAGGATAAAAAAGAACCACGCTCACATTCGAGGTGTTCAGCTGCAATTGGGTAAATCCCAGAATCCCTGTCTATCGACCTCCCAACAAAAGGGCCTACTAACAACCTGGCCCAGTTTCGGATAACTCCCAGTGTGTAATAAATCAGTTGTAACTCGTAGCATAATATTGTATACACAGCCGACGGGTATAGGCCACTGTCCATCGCAAATGGTTGTAGTATGTATATTTAGCTCACTAGTAAACAAAGTCCGCATACTTGCACCAGAATTCGTTCTTTTTGATTTCCGCAAGTACCTCTATTGTGTTGGTCATGCTTACAAGCCATGCTTTACTTGGTGGGCGGTCTGGTAGGATGGTTGTTGAGTCAGCATTGCTCACAGGACGTACTGTAGCAAAGTCAGGTACGCCATGCCCAAAGTCCATTTCATAGGGAGTGAAACCGGGAGTGGTTCGTGACCGCAACCGAGCTTTTGAACGACTGGAGTCATGATAACGTTGTTCATGTAGCAGTTTGCCTTGGATGTCATCAGGTCGTGCTCTGTAGCGGCGGTTTCGGCATCTACCGCGCCTACACTCTTGCGCACCTCGACAGCAAGCTCAGCTAGCGATTTGAGCGTGGTTTGTGACTCCACTAGATGCAGCGGGGTATGCACGGCCGATGAGAACTGCGCATTGACCTGAATAGTTGATCTCGCCCATTCCAAGGCGCGGGCGCGTATCGCATGGGATCATGAGCCGCTGGAATTCACGCTTCCCTGCAATCCAGCTACCGATATTAGAAAGGACCTGCAGCCTGCCTACTTTGGTTGCTTTTACAGACTGGGCTACTGTCTTGGCAATCAGTGCCGAAATCACATCGTTCTTGGTCAACTGCACGCCCTCAGGGACATAGCGGTTGAGTTCTTCACGCAGCACTCCCAATTTTTCAGTATCAACGCGATACAGCGTTCCCTGCCAAGGTGCAGCGCCGATAGCCCTGCTGAATAGACCGTTACGTGTGGCTGGTGACAGCCATGCCAACCCTGTTCCCATAGGCCGATCGGAACTCAAATGACTCAGCGCTGGCCTCATTAAGCTGTTTGCGATCCTTGGGCAAAAACTTTTGGATCAGTTCACGGTCATAGGTGAACTGCTTGTCACTTGCTACACTACCATTGGCAAGTACCTTGGCCTCCTCCACCCAACGGTTTGCGAACATGTGGAAACCGGCCCCATCGCCTGCGGCATGGGACAGACTGAGGAATACAGCAACACCGCTGTTCTCATGTAGCCGCGCAACATGCACCATGTGCCATTTTTATCTGTCCGTCGCCGTTGGGTGCTGCTACCTCACCGACAGTCATTAGGTCGGATGGCCAGGCGCGATAGTCGAAACCGCACGCTTTGATATCGTTGTAATGTACAGTCGATGTGGATTCGCGATACTCGGGCAGGTTGAGGCTGTCCTTGTCAATGATAATCGACAGGCTGTTGTCAGGCTGCTGGCGGAGGTGACCAAGCAGGGGTGGGAACTGCGAGATTGTCTTGTTGAATGCTGTATGAAGGGTGTCCGCTGGCATAAAATCAGGCGAGCGGTCTTTGTTTTCGTAAAAGTAAACTTGCTGGATATTGAGAATCGACACCAGGGCATCAAACGCCGTCAACTTGATGCTCTGTGGCTTGCCAGTATACGTGGGCGGCTCCATGGCTATGGATTTTCTTTAAAAGCCAGAGTGGGAGTAGGAAGAAGATGAGGAAAGCGCTGGTAGAACACTTGATGAGCGTGAAACTAGCCGTGTTTATATATCGCTCTTTGCCTCTTGCACCTACTTGACTGGCCTGCTGTCTTTCACTTTTCCTCTGGGGTGGGGTTTATTCAGGGACCGGCTATCCAAAAGGTACACTCCTGAAAATCAGTGCAATATAGCTGTGCATCCAGATGCAGCATGCTTGGACTTCAATGACTATCCGATTTGTTTCCGCCTCTGCTACAACAGCACTGATCGTCACAATTTACCAACGATCCGCTCTCAAAGAAATCCTCGTCCTCCCCAAAAACAAACTCGCTATTTTTCGGCCTTTGTCTGCCTCTTCGTCCACTGGTTGTCTGTTTAGCCAGTTTATCTCCGACATCCCAAGGGCCACGTTTTCAAAGTGGATCGAAGACATGTGCGCTAGTTCTGCATGCTGGCTGTATGCCCTGTAGGGAGCATAGATAATAATTACGGTTGGTAGCTCCAGTACAGCCCATTAGGGAAAAGCTCAAATTGCCTGTATCGATCTATGGTGGTAGTTACATAGGGTGAGAGGGGCGTGCATGTTTGCGTTACTTTTGCTAAGGTGCTTCGAGCTGAAGCGTGCGTTATGTTTTGTGAAGGCTGCTTTGTCCGATAGCCTTTCCTTTGACGCTCTAGGTGAATTCGACTGCACACTGCAGTGCATTCGCTTGGCCTATGGCCATATGGAGGCATCATATATTGATTCGGCACAACGCGGAAAGCAGCTTTGTCGACAGCACTTCCCAACTGGTAGCTGTTGTCACAGTACCCAATCTGGAACATATGCCGGGGATATACAATGCGCACTATAGCGAACTGTGCCCGAAGGCTCCACTGCGTTGTGGTCACAGCCAGCGGACAAACGAATGCATCGGCCAGACTGCCCCTTTCGGCATGACAAGAGCCTGACAATGGACATGCCAGCCTCATTTGTAGGGAGCCATTATCTGTGCTAATGGCCGCGGTTTGTATATGGAATCTCATGTAGCAGGCCAAAACGACCGCAAGCAGGACCACGACAATAAATAGGGAAACAATTGTGAAATGTGGAAAACAATTTCCGACGCCCCCTTTTATTCATTGCCAGAAGGGCCGTAAGCTCCCCCTTCATCGCCACTTCTTTCTCTCAGTGCACCTGGCTGCATATAAAAGACATCAGAACGACCTCGGCAGATGGTCAAGGTCCTTTAGTCTTCCTAAAGCTCAAAATTCCATACACCCCATCCCCTCTTTCCTCCTGCTTTTGGCCACTCTCCTCTCGTTGTTTTTGCCAACTCCGTTGATCGGCGTTATCTAAAGTTCCAACACCAACGCTTCATATTCTCATATTTTTAGTTACACAACCCACCATGGTTAGCATTACCTCGACCCTCATTCTTGCTTCTGCCCTCCTGGGGTCCCTGACCGGTGCCGCACCCATTGCAGCTGTTGACAGCTTGGCGGGGCGTCACTACGAAGAGTACAAGTCGAACGGCCCCTCTGGTCCGAGCAAGCACGGAAACACCTCTGCTCCCTCATACGCTGACACTGGCTACAACAGTGGTCCATCGACATCCTTCTCGAGCAGTAACTGGCACGAGGAGATGCTTCGGCAAGTCAACGCTGTGCGTGCCGAGAACGGTCGGTCGCCACTCAAGATTGACGAGCGCCTCAATGACATGGCGCAGAGACACTCGAACTACCAGAGCTCGGTTCGCCAGATGACGCACGACGATTCGGCTGGGTCTCTGGGAGATCGCTGCTCACAGTCCGGTATCGACTGGAGCGGAGTTGCCGAGAATGTCGCCCAGGACTACCCGGATGTCACAGCTGTCATGGATGGGATGGGTTAAGAGCCCTGGCCACTTCAAGAACCTCATTGGCGACTATAATATTGTTGGGTTTGGCCATGACAATGGCTACTCAACTCAGGAGTTTGCTCTCGCCTAGGAAATGCCGGTTCATTTCTTATACTCCTGCTTCAGCATCCGTTTCCACATTGCCCGCTATCAAATAAAGGAACACAGCCTATAAAGACATGCCAAGTGCAGCTACTGATACCGAAAATATATTTAAAAATGTGGGAGCCTACAAGGTCTTGGGCTTGTTCTCTCTCCTCCGGTATGTCCTGGTGAAAAACGACACAAACAGCCCCAGGAGCGGGAAGATGTAGGCGAGATTCATGTAAATGGCGATTTTCTGGCGGTCATTCTGGCATCCAGGGTAGAACAGATAGAAGAAGCAAATTGAGATCCCAAAGACAAATTGGAATATCTGGCTGCTCGTCAGCAGCTTTTTGCCAGGCGGCTTGATTCCTGCAGCAGTCAGGGCGTAGAAAACATACATCCACGTGTGGATCAGCGAGTTTGTGATAACAAAGAAGGTAATCGGCACGGCAGTGTAATAGCACCCGGCCCACATGGTCAGAACGGCACCGGCGTGATGGTACATCTGCAAGAGGCTGGCACGGCGGCCCTTATAGATGATGATCAGGGTGTCAATGAACTCGTAGTACTTTGACAGATAAAAGTAAAACGACAGCTGGAACAGCGAGTTGTTCCACATTGTAAACCCTGTGTCGCAGATCCCGTCGCGCCAGCCGTACGTGGACAGATTGACGGCGAGGCCATAGACCATTGAAACAAACGTCCACAGCGAGTATGCTGCCAGGATGATGTTGTGCAGAATGACCATGTTTTTGAACAGCGGCGATTGCGCCCGATGCAAAGGAGTCCGCGAGACATTGGACTTTTGTGGGTTGATCCGGCTGATTAGCATGAGATATGTGAGCGCAAGAAACAACGGCATTTTCCAGTGCATGGCGTACGGGTAGAGCCATCCCAGCGCAAACGAATCCGGGGACACAGTGATCTCCTGCGGTGTCGGATACGCCTCAAGCATTGCCAGGAAAAAGCGGTCGAAGGACGGATATTGTCTGTACAGAAAAAAGTAACGAGGGGGCGCGGTTTTGGAAAAACAACTAAAATACGAGGCTGGTGGTATTGAAAAAGGGAGAGAGAAAGAGGGACAGCAGGTTAGCGTTTTAGGGGCAAAGGTAGGGGGAAGGTTAGAAGGGAACTGGGCAGCAATTTATTATGCAGCCAGTGGTCGGGGGCTATTTCTCAAAATCCTGATGCTTGCTACGCCTCACAAGACAGAAAGAAATCGGAAAAGTGCGCTTTTCATCGTTGTATGTGCAGTGCTGCCTCTGCCTGTTGTTGCCAAAATGAGGCTTACATGCGTGGAAGAGGCGCAGATAAAATTGCTCTAGTACAGGCAAGTAGAATACCAGGGTGGGCAGAGCAGTAGGATTTGCACTTGTGCATTATAGAGGGAGCATGTGAGCTCGGTAGAGCTTGCTCCGGCGAACACCAGGACAAAGCAGCGAGAGAGCCACTAGAGCATTGCATGCTGCGTCATGTGCAGCGGGTCGCAGGTATGCAATTTTTATTGCTGATCTGCTCTGCAGTGCTATTCGGGCAACAGGTATCAGAAAAAACCACTGCGTCCTTGTCTATTCCTACTTTACCGCCCATTATTGTGATGCAGTTGCTCCTAGATAATGCTCCATGTATTGCCTACTGCGCCCCACCTATCCAGCGAAAAGAAGTACCGGCAGCGGGCTCCGAAGGGGCGCGGCGATGGGCATTGGCGCTAATCATAATGGCAAAGCCATATGTTGGCAGAAAGTGCGATTGATCCTCAATCGTCCTGAATCACGGGCTTTAGCAGACGTGTGATTGTGGCGAGCTGGCTGTTTATATCCGCCATACGCGCATCCAGCTCCGCCAGCCTGCGTTCGGTATCAGCCGTGGCTTGGGCAGCCTGTGGGCCACCCGGGGCTCACCGGCGGACCGCTCCTTCCTCTGCGAGCTCCAAGCGCTCAAGAAGCTTGCCCAGCCCCTGCCATGCCGCTCATCCGACAGCTTCCCGAGGCTCTTGGGAGACGCTGGGTTCGACGGCGAGACAGCACGGCGCCTATCCTGCTTTACTGCACCCGATAATTTCCGGGTATTGGTGGCGGAATCGTCGCTAGGTGTCGGTGTCGTTGGCAAAGGCGAATTCGTCGATATCGGACTTGTCGATTTTAATAAGGGCCAGTTCGCGCTCGGCCAGGAAGCACTCGGCACGCAGGGCTTTGCGGTGCATGCCAGACTTTGCGCGCCACCAGCGGCCGACGGTTTTGTAGAGGCAGTAGAGGACCAGGTGTGGGGCGTAGGCAATAAGCAGGGTGGTGGAGCGAAGCAGCGCAAAAGTGCGTGTGGAGATGGCTGTCTTGCGCAGCGGCCAGAAGACGCCAATCTGCAAAAGATTGAGGGGAGGCACACACGGGTACGTCTGCTTGGCGCTGACGTATTCGGTGACGCGCATGGTGTACAGGAACCGGAACTCCTGGGACGAGTTCTCGGTGATCTCAACCATGCACTGGTTGATGACACCGATAAGGATATTGTACAGGATGAGCATGGACACGGCGATATACGTGCCCATGGCGAACAGACCGACGTGCGGGCCAAACAAGGTCGTATCGGTCCCAGCCAATGACTGCAGAGCCAAAGAAGATCCGCGCCATCAGACCCGAGATCTCGGAGGCTGCCAGCTTGTTGTGGCGGCTGCCCAGCGCATAGAAGGTCTGGAAGAAGCCGATGATGAAGACTAGGAGCAGGGCGAAAAACAGACTGGTGCCAGCGATAATCCGGCGCACCTGGATAATGATGGTGCCGCAGAACTCAAACTGGTCGAGCACAGCAAACAGGCGTGGCCACATCATGGCGGCGTTCAATGCCAGGACATCATATGCCTTGTCGAGGTCGTCATCGGAGCCCGTGTACCAGCTGCGGATGCGCAGGATAAAGAAGGCAGAAAAAATCGAGTAAATCGTGATGTCAAGAACATTCCACACGCTCTTGATGTACACCACAATGCCGTTCTCCATGCACTGGCGGATTTCGTCGGCAATATAGGCGAGCACGCAGATGTGCAGGACCAGCTCTTCGGCGCTCAGGGCGGGCTGGCGGCGCATTGATACGGTCGAGTACAGCACCAAAAAGAAAAACGCGTGAACCATGGTCAGGATGTTTTCAAACATGGGGATCCGCAGCGGGCTCAGTATCGACGCCAGCTGCTTTTCCAGCCTAGCCTGCCATGTTCTGTGTGGTGGCCGGGAGACCTGAGGTAGCAGTGGGTCCAGCATATCGTGGATATCGTCGGCCAGACCCACCGACGCATTGCTCCTGCTGCTGTCCCTGCGCGCAATCGTCAAGACTGCATCGGACAGTCTGCGCGGGGGTGGGCCAGGCTCAGCTGGGGTGTTCGCTGATGGCTGCGCTATACAGACACACTGGTACCCCTTCCAGTGCAATGTGCCGTCCCACAGCAGCTGGACGACATCGCCAACGACCTTTTGTGCAGTGAACCTTTTGGCTTCGCTGCGAATAGCCACTTCCAGTGCCCGCTCCACCACCAGCCGCGACCTGCTCCCCAAGTAGATCTGCGCGAGCTCCGTGGCAGGAGTCGACCAGCCGCCCATGATACCCGAGCCCCAGGTTCTCTGCGTGGGCGTATGGGAGCCACTGTCATCAACGACGTCACCGGCCCTGCCCAGCCGGTAAACCCGCACACGGTGCTCAGCTGACATCAGCGACATGTGCTGCTCGCCGCGCACAGGATTCGGCAGCTGCCATTCGCTGACGGTGGCATTCGAGTTGTGCATTGCATTGGCCATCTCCAGGCGCATGCTGTCCAGGTCGATCGGCGAGAACTTGGTGCACAGGGCGTTTTCCAGATCCCGCTTGCCCAGCTTGTGCAGCGCCTTGACACACATGATGGCGATGGTCTCTGCCACCTCCGCGCGGCTCTGGTGCTGCTCGGCCTGCGACTGTCCGGCGCTGGCCAGTACCAGAAAGTAGTCGCGGTTGGCCAATGCCGCGTACAGCATGGCGGCGCTGACCAAAGGTCCGCTGAGGGTCTCTGAGGTGATGGCTTCCTGCGTATGCCGCATGTCGCCGCGACGCCATACTCCGCATCTGTCCCGGATGGCTTGCCACAGCGGGGCTATGAGGTTGATTTGCACGTCAGGCGAGTGCAGCTGTGTCGAGGACAGCACGACGCTGACGTGCTCCAGAAGCAGGCTTCGCAGTGTCACTATTTCGAAATACGCGCAGACCGGATTCTTGTCGTCGGCTATTTCCATGTATGGTTCAACCGAGTTGTAGCTGGGCTGCGAGGTGGTGTCACCCAGGCGCAGGCGGAACGACGTGCCAGCCTGCAACCGTCGTGGCATGGTTTTCACAATAATATAAAACGCAAAATAATGAAGCAAAGTGCGAGGAGCGAAAGAAGATGGTGTTTACGGGTTTTCTGAATAGTGCAGCGCATGCTCGTTTTTAAGCGTATAAACACGTCAATGCCTGGCAGGTTCGGAAATAGGCATTGGCTGAACGGGTCAATCAAGCCCTTCTTTTTTATCTTTTTATCTGCGAACAATTCCACATTCTACAATTGGCACAGCCCACAAAATGAACCGCGCCGTGCTTGCCCGACAGTTCTCTACGACCGCAGCCAGACACTATGCCTCCAAGGCCGGCTACGAGGAGACGGCCAAGCAGCAATGGCGCAGCTACAATAACTGGCGCAAGCACTTTACATGGAAGCGGTCCACGATCCGCGAGTTCTTCCGCGACTACACACTCTGGTCAGCACTGGCCCTGGTTGCATACGTTCGGCTGACGCAAAAGCAGGAATTCGATGCGTACACGGCTGACGCCTACGTCAAAATCGACGATTTGCAGGACAAGATCAAGGAGCTGAAGCCAGCCGAACCAGAGCCGGTCGCACCAGCTACCAGCAAGCCAGAGCCCACCAGCCAGCAGGGTCCTAGTAGCTCTGGCGGCATGTTCTTTTAAGAGCCAAGGGGGTGGAAAACACAGAATATATTTACTACAGCTAGAAATCAAGGCACCCAGATTTTCTGGTCTAGTTTTGTTCACCCGAGTGTGCGTCTCTTCTCGAGCGGGTTGTACTGCAGCAGCTTCTCGATCAGGTCGACGTGGGTCAGCACCATACGGCGGCAGCAGTAGCGCTTCAGACCCAGGGCATCGAGGGCCTCGCTGTCTGTGTAGTCCTTCTGCAGGAGCTCCAGGTAGGTTTCCCACTTGTTGCCAACGACCTTTCCGCAAGTAAAGCAGCGCACCGGGATAATCATTCTAAAAAAGATCCGAAGAGTTAGCTGTCCTGCGTATGTGATTGAATTGAGGGGCCGGATTGAGAAGAGAGAATTGTACCTTGTAAACACGCGTAAAGAACGAAAAAGTGTGGTTTTTTGGACGCAAAAGAGTGCCTGGCGGTCCAGCGCAAGGCAGTCGTTTTTCAGCCAACATTTTCGCCTGATCGGGTGATTAGTGGGATCAGAGTATAAAATGCTTTTTTCTTTGGCGTTTCTTTTGCCAGCTCCCCTCTTTCTTTTTTTTTTTTTTCTCTCATTCGCGTCCTCATTCACCTCTAATACACATAAAAAAGGCATGGCACCCACAAAGCGTACTCGCAGCGGCACGGCCAAGGGCAAGCTGACAGCAAAGGTCCAAAAGGCCACAGAAGTCGCAGAGGCGAGCTCGGCGTCGGATAGCGAGGTGGGCACCAGTGGCAGCGACTCTGGGTCAGACTCAGAGTACGACAAGATGACAAAGGAGAGCAAGAAGAGCAAGAAGCACGATGCTGACGCGCAAGAGTTCTCGACTATCCTCACATCGATCCTGGGCCAGACGACGCCCTCTGCGGCGCCAATCATGGCCAAGGACCGCACACGCGAGCAGCAGATCAAGGATGAGCTGCTGAGCTACCGTGCGCGCAAGGCGCTGGTGCACGAGAAGCGGATGCTGCTGAGCAAGGACCGGGTGATTCCGACAATGGAGGGGTTTGACTACGAGCGGAAGCTGCGGAAGGTGGCGACCCGGGGCGTGGTGAAGCTGTTCAATGTGGTCAAGGCGCAGCAGACGGAGCTGGACCAGATCGAGACCATTCCGAGCCGCCGCACCGAGCGGGTGGCAGAAATGTCCAAGAGCAAGTTTGTTGATTTGCTCAAGGCAAAGACCAGCTGAAGAGACGGTTTTTATCAGGCTTTTTAGTGAGAACAATAGACAGGTTGCATGTAGAACGCTTAGTGGGGGATAATGTATAGTGGTTAGGCTGCGGTGGTCTTGGGGAACCACCGCCGTGCAAACGCCCCGTACTCTTTGCTCTCGTGAGCAAAGGTCTGGCGCTGCTCGTCGGTCAGTGCAAAGACGTTGGCCATGGAGACGGCCTCGGATCTGCTGCGCGACCGCATCTTGTCAGCACGGGCCGGGTCAACCGGCAGGTCGGGGATGTTCCAGAACGGGTCGTGCAGCGGGTCGCCTTTGTGCTCGTTTGGATCAATCCAGCGCAGATTCTGCGGGTCAAACACGGGCCTGGGCTTCGGGTCCACGGGCTCCTCGCCCTCGTCACTGCGTGGGCTGCCGCCAGAGCGGGCCGAGATTTTGCGCGCGAGCTTGCGCGAGTCCAGCGGCTCGTTGCGGATCAGCCCACGTGACCGCAGCTGCCGATCAGACTCAGCAATGGCGCTGGAAATCCGCGTGCCCTCCTCGTCATTGCCCACCCACATGCGGCCCACCGGGTCGTACCGCATGCACCCGATGACCACCGGCTCGTTGCCCCGCGACATGTTGCGGATAAGCATCGGCCGGCGCGGCTTGTGGCTCGCCTCCTGCTTCCCCTTGAGCTGCCACTCTAGCACGCGCTGCCTGGCCGACGGCACCCGGTGCGCATTTTCGGGCGTGCTTATGCCCAGGCCCAAAGACATGGGCCGCGAGTGCGCAGCCTTTTCGCTGGCAGGCTTCGACGGGGAGACGGCGGTAGCGCCGGATAACAGCGATTCCGAGTTGCGTGGCCATGAGGGGATCCGCCTACGCGGCGTCTTCAGTGCAGCCAGGTGCGAGTCCAGCTGGTCGGCTTCGTTCGGCAGCACCAGGTCATTGTAGTCTTCGTCGTCGTTTTCCACGTACTTGTCCAGCAGCGTCTGCGGCTTTTTCGCTGCCGGCTGTATCAGCGGCAGGTTCTGCGGGAGTATGCTCCGCGGTGACACTGCAGGCGGCATTAGACTGAGCTGCGTCGAGGGCGGCATCAGCCCAAGCTGCGCTGACGGCGGCAAGTGCCCCAGCTGTGCGGCAGCCGGCGGCGGTGTTCTGAGCCGTGGCATGTCGACCGGAAGCGTGGGCATTGGCGGCAGCGCGGCTTCTGTGAGTGAGTGGTCAATAATCAGCCCGTAGTCGTCACCGTCATCGTCCTCTGGCGACTCCATCCACCGCGACAGGTCGTTCTTCAGGTCCATTTTGCTTTTTTATATAAGGTATATATGTACAGGTACGGGGGTTTGGTGAAAGAAAAGGAATAAAAGGGTATAGGGCTAAATAAAAGGTGTCTTTGAAATAAAAGGGAATAAAAAGGGGAGAAAAAAAGCAAAAGGTGGGCAATTTGTCATGGCCTGGCGTATATTTTCTCCCCCTCTGTTCTTATGTCGCTTGGGTAAATCCATGATCACCCGGCGCGCGCTTCGCAAAAAATCCACTCTCCTTTAGAGAAAAAATAGTCTTTTCTGGCACTGCGTCCAAACGCCCGCACGGCCATACTGGTGCTCTAAAAATTGCAGGGACAATCCGAGAAGCAAGAACGAGACACGTACCACGGTCTCTGTGCAACAGGCATCCCCAGGTGGAGTGATTCCGCTATTCCCCTAAAGCCGTGCACTGTGAATTTCAAGGAAACCACGGGGAGCGCGGTTCTCGTTTACCACAGCCTGGCAGTTTCCGGGTTCAAAAATAGCACGCAGGCTAGCCTGCAAAACCTCTCCCCACAAGAACACCAGAGATATAGTGTCGGGCACATTTCACACTTTAGCTCGCAGCAAACAATGCCAGAATGCAAGAAAAGCCGATTATCTCATTTGTGGACAAAGGCGCGAATTGTCCAAGCCCAAATAGAGCACCCATCCATACATTTGTGCATGCTTGCACTATATTGTCTGCTTTCGAGCGCACATCCTGGTTGGCAATCTCGTACAAACAAAAAATGCATTCAGACCTCCAGCGCCGAGTCCCAGAACTTGATCTCCAGCGCAGTCGTGTCGACAAAGGTCTTGAGCAGGCGGTTTAGGCGGGCCTGGGACGGCTGCTCCTGCTGCACCAGGTCCTCAATCTGCTGCCTGCCCTTTCTTACGGCGTCCTGGAAATGCGCATCGGCGTAGTTGCTGATCCACGGCCAGTACTCATTGCCCTCCGTGACAGTCTCCGGGTCCTCTGCCTGGCACACAGCGGCCTCGCCGTAGCCAAGCAGGCACGGATACATGGCGACAAGCAGCTCGAGGAGGTCGCTGGAGGTGCCCTTGTCGAGAATATAGCGGGTGTAAGCGACGCTGGCCCAGCTTTCCTGCTCGTTCTCCATCTCCTCCCTGGAGATGCCCCAGTCGCTGCACATTTTGACATGCAGCTCGCTTTCACGCGCACACCCCAGGGCAATGTCGGCCATGCCGCCGATCTCCCGCATCGTGTCGCTTTTGAACGCGGCCAGGGCGTTGGTGCGTGCATAATGCTTCAGGTAGATGTAGTCTTGCTTCAGATAGTAAATGAAGGCCGGACGGCGCAGCGTGCCCGTGCCGGCTTGGCGCACAAAGGCGTGGCGGATGTACTTGTCCCACAAGCCGTTGGAGTGGGCTTTCAGGTAGGCCGTGAATGGATAGGGGGTTTGCACGGTTGGCGGCGGGATTGCCAAAGACGTCAGTGCATAGGCGTGGTTGACTGGGCCGTGGCCGTGGCCCACCGGGTAGGCGGCCTGGATCGCCTGATTAACATATTTGATGGCATATCGGACGGCATCCAGGGGCGCCATGTCCTTGGCCAGATTGGCGGCAATGGCAGCGCTGAGCGTGCATCCGGTGCCGTGGGTGCTGGTGGATGCAACGCGCGGGTTCTCAATACAGGTGGTCTCCTGCGACTTGCTCTCAAATACCACATCCACAATCGGCCCATTCGCCAGATGCCCGCCCTTGACCACCACCACGGGGACTCCAAACCGCTGGCCAATCTCGCGGCCCGCCACCTGCATCTCCTCAATGGTCTCGATTGAGTGCTCTGGCATATCAAGAAGAACCTCGGCCTCGCGCAGATTCGGCGTCACCAATGTCGCCAAGGGCAGCAGCTTCTGGCGCAGCGCATCGATGGCGTCTTCCTTGAGCAGACGGCCGCCAGAAGTCGCCACCATGACTGGATCCACGACCAGGGGGATTCCGGGTGCATTGCGCTTCCAGGCATTGACCACGGCCTCGATGGTTGCGCAGTCCATCAGCATGCCAGTCTTGGCGGCCTTGATGCTGATGTCAGAGAAGACTGCATCAAGCTGCTCCGAGATCATCGAGGGCGGCACGGCAAACACCGACTGCACCGATTGCGTGTTCTGGGCCGTCAGGGCGACGACGGCTGAGAGCCCGTAGGTGGCGTGCGCCATGAAGGTCTTCAGATCGGCCTGGATACCAGCGCCGCCACCACTGTCGCTGCCAGCGATTGTGAGCACTGCGGGTGGAGATGCGGGAGAATTCACAGACATTTATGCTTATTACAAGAGAATAGCGATAGCGACAGAGTCAGCGAAATGAAGAGACAAGCTGCGTTGCTGGGAAGAAGAAACGTCCCCGAGGTCCGCAAAACAAGACCCTCGCTAAAAAGACCCCCAAGAAGGGAACTTTCCAGTGTAATATCCGCAAAACCGGGATGCGGGGGTGCCTGGCGGATAATATGGCGGCGAGCAGCTTGGGATAAATTGGGCGCCCGCTATCTCTCCTTGTGCAGCTCCTTACACCCATCCACACCACTTTTCTCTCGCAAGCAAGAATGAAGCTCGATTTTGACCTCACGCTCTACCTCGTCACTGACAGCGGCATGGTACCGGCCGGCTCGACGCTCTCGCAGATCGTCGACGAGGCCATCCAGGGGGGCGTCACCATCGTCCAGCTCCGCGAGAAGCACGCCGACACCAGCGACTTCTTGGCGCAGGCCAAGCTCGTGCAGCAGGTGACCAAGCGCCATAAGGTCCCGCTGCTCATCAACGACCGCATCGACATTGCGCTGGCCATCGACGCCGATGGCGTGCACATCGGCCAGGACGACATGCCATTGCACGAGGCCCGGCGGCTCCTGGGCGACGACAAGATCATCGGCGTGTCAGTGCAGACCAGAGAGCACGCCGAGCAGGCAGTCCTGGGCGGCGCCGACTATCTGGGCATCGGCGCCTGTTTCGATACGCAGACGAAGGAGCTCAAGCAGGGGTCGCAGGGACCGGCAGGCATTCGCGATGTCTGGGAGCACGCGGTCGAGGTCAGTGGCCCGAGGCCTGTGCGTGCGGTGACCATTGGCGGGGTCAACTCGTACAATGCCGTCCATGTGCTGATCTGCACGCGCACCACACGCGGGAACCTGCCCCTGGACGGCCTGGCCGTCGTCTCGGCCATTGTTGCCGCTGAGAGCCCGCGCAATGCTGCTGCCATACTGCGCCGCCAGATTGCCTTTGCCTTTGAGAGCGCGTGGATTGCACGGACTCCGGCCGCACGTGATTCCATCCGCTCTGCAATCGGCGATGCCTTCGAGGCCGCGCGCCAAAACACGCCGCTGGTGCAGCACATCACCAACCCCGTGGTCATCAACGACTGCGCAAACGCCTGCCTGGCGCTCGGCGGGTCGCCCATGATGGCCACCGACGCCAGCGAGCAGGCTGACCTGGCGCCCGTCGTGTCCTCTCTGGTGATCAACATCGGCACCCTCAATGCCTGGCAGGTCGACGGCATGCGCGCAGCCATGAAGCAGGCCAATCTGCGCAACACCCCCGTGATCCTCGACCCCGTGGCTGCCGGCGCCACAAAGTACCGGTCGCAGATCGTCAGCGAGTTCCTCAAGGAGTTTGGCGTCCATGTGATCAAGGGCAATGCTGGCGAGATCGCCGCTCTGGTGGGCTCCGACGAAATGCACGTGCGCGGCGTCGACGCCGTCGGCTGCGGATTCAAGGACCCCGCAGGCATTGTGCGGGCCCTGAGCCTCAAGGAGCGCTGCGTTGTCGTGATGACCGGGCCCGTCGACTACATCTCCGACGGCTCCAGCACCTTCGCCGTCAAGAATGGCCACAAGCTCCAAGGCACCATCACCGGCTCCGGCTGCATGACCGGTACTGCCGTGGGCACGTACGTCTACGCTGTCGCCCACACTGATCCGCTGGTCGGCGCAATCACCGGGATGGTTGCGATTAACTTGGCCGGCGAGCATGCGGCCCAGAGACCCGATGTCAAGGGACCAGGGACCTTCCGTGCTGCATTCATCGACGAGATGTATAATCTGACCAAGGAGCAGCTGCTGGCCGAGATGCGGATCGAGCAGCTCCACTAGGATCTTTCAGCCATGGAATAAATGCAACCCCACAAAGCGACGATGAACCTGCCAACTATGAGCGCATGCGCAGTGCTAAGGTGGTGGAGATGTTGTTGGATTTTTCTTTCATGCATTCATATCTGCCCCGTCCCAGCCGTTTCAGCAAAAGACAAAGCAGACGTACAAAAAAAGGGAAAGAAAGAAAAAGCAGAACCAGAAATATCTAATATACAAGTGTGGGAGTTTGACGGGGGACCGAACAGAGGGGAGATTAGAACCTCGGGTAGAGCAAAAACGAAGAAAACCTTGGGCTGGCTAGAAACCTCCGATCTTGCGCTGGGAACCGACCACAGGCTTAGAGCTTGTTGGCGGGGCGCGAGATGGTGGCGGTGATGAAGCCGGACGGGTCAGCAATGGGCATGTAGACCTCAGCGTCCGAAGCCAGGTTCTTCAGGCCGAGCTTGCTCAGATCGAACGGGAAGTAGTGAATGTTGGGCAGAGCATAGTACACATCGTCGACAGCAGCAAAGTCGTTGAGGGTGCGGTCCGCCATGATGTACAGGGTGGTCTGGACCGAGGCGTGGACCCAGGCGCGGGGGTCGTTGGCGAACGCATCGAGGGTGTTGCGCTTAGCACCGCTGTAGATGTCGTTGAACGGCGTGTTCTCCAGGCCAACGGCGGTGTTGGCAACAAACTTCCACTGGCACAGGACCTTGGTCGACAGCATGCGGTCGGGCATGTCCGGCAGGGTGGCCAGCTCGTCGCGCCAGAAGTCGGTGAACGACGAGTTGGTGGTCTTGAGCACCTCCAGGTCGTAGAAGCCCGAGGTCAGCTGGATCGTCTGCGCAATCGCCGACGGTGGGTTGGTCTTGGTGACCACGGCCTCGGTCCAGCGGGTCTCCTTGCCCTCGCGGTAGAACGCGTGCGGGTGGCCAGCGCCGGTGAACGCCATGCGCTCCCACGGCTTGGTGATGATCTTGACACGGCACGTGGTGACGTGCGCGTACTTGTTCACCATGAACTTGGCGATCTCCATCGCAAACACCTCGGGGACCATGACCTTCTCGGCAGGCAGCGTCTTGGCCAGGTAGTACACCGTGTTCTTCTGCGAGTCCGTGGCGACCACCAGCTTGTTGTCACCCTTGGTGTACGATGTCTCGAACTGGTCGCCCGAGAGCAGGCAGCAGACCGAGTAGTCGGCAACCTCCTGCCAGCCGTCGGCGTGGCGGACGACGCGGACGACACGGACGCGGTCCTTACCGTAGGCCTGAGACTTGATGATCGAGGACTCCATTGCAATTCGTTCCGAAAGTGGTGTTGGTGGGAGAGGAAGAGAGCTGGTTTCGTTGAGAAATAAAGATCCCTAAGCAAACATGGTGCCCGGACGGCTGCGCTTTTATACCCTCTCGGCGAGCAATCTGGGAACCCCCTGTCTGTTCGGCTGCAAGATATTTTGCCTTTGTGCGGTCTGTTTCCTGCAGGCCACATGGCGGACAAAATTGATACTTTTTGTTCGAAGACGTCTGAGCGATATTATCGCTCGAGACGTGCGGCGAATTTCTCGTTATGGAAAGGTATGCTGCCAACCAGAATGCATAGGGATCGCTGCCAGTCCGAGATAAATTCCCCGCTGTACTTGTTCTCCCTCCGGGCGCTGACGTCACTTGTCGGCAAGCCAAAACACTTAATCGATAGCGCAATCTAATCGGCGATTCCGTGGGTGATCTAGGAACTGCTGTGGTCGTGCAATCAGCTTTGCTTGTCATTCTTAGCGACTCTGAAGCGTAGCCGTGCTCTCCTGCAAGCCCGACAGATTCTAACGCCAAGTTGTCAACAGTACGTAGCAGCTACCCCTGCCAAGCCTTGTGTATCTCACTGAATGCTGCCCTCTGTTTTTCTGCTCGAGTACCGATGCGGAAATGTGCTTCCCCCGAAAACCATACCTCCTGGAACATCTGTTTTCCTTGAGGCAAGAGACGCAGGGTCCTCTCGACATAAAACACTAGAAATCAAGCGTACAAAAGGCAAATCAGCTCTGTATGCCAGTTTCTTCGCTTATGCAGTATCTTCTATTCTTAACCAGCCCTGGCCAAGGCTGATGTGCTGACCTTTGGCGTGCTCGGATGCATCTTGTATTCATCTCAATACGCCATATAAAAAGCCGTGTCCATCAAACCCTGTGCCTGCTAATAAGCAACATTACTGGTGCTTTTTCACCACTAGACTCTAGCACGCTATGATGGTCTTTTTGCTCTTGCTTCTGTCGTCTTTGCTGACGCAGGTTCCAAAAACTTGGGATCCGCAGAAAAGTCTACATTCTATGATTTGGGTTATTTGAACCAAAAAGGAAGCCATTGGGCAGGGAGTGTTTGAGTAATGAAATCCAAATATACAAGCTGTGCTTACTATATTATACTTCAGATGCAGTCGATATGAGAATGACATTTCCAGTAATGCAGCAAAGCATACATATTAACTACATGCGGCATATACTCATTGGTGCCGCCAATTCCTCCCCTCTCCTTATTGAGCTTGGTTATCTTATCGGTGTTTCTCTCGTGTATATCCGCCCTCAGAAAAATGATAAACTGCGGATAAGAATGCATATCTGGCGATAGACCTGCAGCTCTCCTTGTTTAATCTTGAGACGCTTGAGCGTCAAACTAATTGCTGGAAGATCGGTTGTATCTGTTGATATTCGGGGTTCGGAGTCCCACTGCGCCACCATAGACAAGGCCGAAACGCATACGTACAATGGCCCAGACAGACGACCAGCCCTCCTTCTCCCTCTCAGTCACTTTCTGAGAAGTTGCTTTTTTCCATATACTCGATAACCACTCATCCCCTAGGTTAAAAAAATTGATAAGATTGATATTTAGGTTTATAGAGTAGTGCTGTTTACCTCCATTGCATTCTCCAGCAGTGACGCTGGACACCGGCATATTTAATAACTGAGCGTAGAATCAGAAACCTCTACCTCTAGAATACTCCAAAAAGCTATAATAGAATAACTATGCCAAAGTGGTTCGACTCCTCGGGATTCTCAGTTAGAATTGTCCATTTGAGAATGCTACACAGGAGCTCTTTGGAGATATAAAATGGGTGGTGGGGTATGTTTGGAAAATGCCGTGGGTTTCGAGTGAAGAAAATAAAAGAGTGGAGCGAAAAGCGAGGAAGAGTCTCCATTGAGGTGCAGCAGGCTCAATATACCCTGGAACTCCAGGGAATCCCCCTTAGCAGTATGCCTGAGCTGTCGGTACTGGTGTGGAGGCGAGAATAAGATGAACACCTCGTTTATACAAAATATCTTACGACAGGGGAACTTCATTAGTAGCAATCCCAAAAAGCTGTGTGCTTGGCACAGAGACAGGTGCTGTTCATGGAGTGGGAAGTGGCCAAAAACCTCGCTCGGTTCCTGTCTCTGGCAGTACTAAGGAGGCAGGAGATGTGCATTCCTGCTATCCCTACTGCAAGCACTCCTGCACCGCCAGTATCCTCGCACTCGCCCCCTTCTATTTTTGGCTTGAATGAAAGGATTGTGGTCCTTGTGATCATCTCCTGTCAAAGATATCTTGCCAGCAGCTTCAAACTCCGCTCTTCTTTCTCACCCGAGCTTCGGTTTTCGATTTTGCAGATCTCATTTCCAGGCGAACAGTACTGCAAAGGATACAAGACTGGCAGCCAATGCATACCTAGCTTGGTGCTAAGCGTATAACAGCCTTTGTCACCAAAAGAAGGAGGTGATGTATAGTCAACTGCTGTTAGCTGTCCTTCTATTTCGCATAAAGCCGTTTTATATAATTGCAATAGCTACCAGCGCTGAAAAGCCGAAGCAGATGGCTTACTTCGTTCAGCAGCAAATTCAAATATATGGACTTTGGACAGGAGAGTAATCTGAGCATAATAGTATCCGGCATGCGTATGGATGAGAGGAGTTCCTACATCCTTTATTGGCTTTAAAGAAGTGTGAACGATCCTTTATAAAAAATGAACAAAGAAAAGTTGAACTAAGGAGAAAAGGGAGGCTAGCTTGATCTCCTTTGGCCTAACCATTCATGTTTGTTCTTAGTAGTAGTGGTAATTGGAGTGTAAAGCGTTGCTCAGTAGTTCGTGCCTGCTTTTGTGCTCGCATGTTTGGTCTTTTAAATGACATGAATGCGCAGCTGGGGCGAGTGTTAATCGAGCATCACGTCGAAAAAAGCAGAGCTAAGGATCTCAATTTCGTATACAACATAGTCGAATACCATCTCGGAGTTGCTGTAGATGGTCCAGTTCCTTGGTTTGTGCAGCGAGCCCATACACCTGAACCTAAAGAAGAACAGCCTAACGAGCTCTTGGTCGCGTACAAGGATAAAGCACTTGTATGTGTCTTCGTTGAATGTGGCCTTCTCGTTCCCGATTTCGATGCGCGCGTTGATGTAGCTGTGCAGCCCGGTGGCCGCAGTGTGTGTGTATCCTCCGAGGAAGTTGGCAAGGTCTTTGAGTTCGAGCGCGAGATTGAATGTCTCGTTTTCCAAGGTAAAGACCTTTCTATTCAAGACTTGTACAATCTCCGCAGCCTCGGCCTGGGCCATCTTCTCATCAAGCTCGCGGGGGGTCAACTTCCGCGGTACAGTGGCAGCGTTGTTGCCCTTCCACCCGATGAGGTACTCCGCGACCTGGATTATCTTTGCATCTGAAGCGTCGCTCAAGTTGGCAAAGGTATCCTTGAAGTTTTGAAGCACCCTCTCCTTAGTAGTGCGGGGGTTAATCACCTTCGACTCAGGAAACCACCTGTTCTCGCTGTCCGAGCGGTTAACGAATACGAGCGCAGGGCTTTCCATTGTGCGAGTAGTGTCTAGGGAAGAAGTGTATGTCCAAATGTGAGGTTTTTGAACTTGGAGGAAAATGGAAAGAAAGATACTTTGGGAATTGAATGTAATTTTATTGAGTTGACCGCTAGGACGAGCTTTAAATGAGTTGATATTGCAATGTTCAAGGCTAATGAAAAGCGAACCACATTTGAATGTAGAGTTAAAGAGGAAAGAAAGAAATTAGCGAATAGCTGGGCAGGCGGCTGCATGCCTGCTTGTAAAGGAATACCACATTCACATTCGACAGCTATTACAATTTTTAGCAATCTACGATCTGCAAGTGCATTATAATGATGTGCTGCTGAGAACGTCACAGCAGAATTGGCCAGCTCGCCCTATCCATATAGTCATTCGTCTTGTTCCTATTTGGCGACATAATAATCAGATTTATTAGCCGCTTGACGGACTGAATATGATAGCTTAGCCTAGCCCAAAGCAGTGCTAATATAGTACATGCATGTGGAGCTGTACATGTCCCACATACTGTGCTGGGCCGATGATCGGGCTGCTACTACGGCGATATTGGAAGTCGCATAAAGGGGTGCCTATTTGGTTTGCATAGCTGGCAATGTAGCAGATGGCAGGACGGGAATAGGCGATTCTACCAGATATTCAACTACAGTGCCATATTGGAACTCAGTAATAGAATTACAGTACATGGATATGCCAGTTATCTAGAGCTTGGACTTGGGCTTGGTGATGATGCCTGACGGCACCGCCTTGCGGCCCTTGTGCACCAGCGGCTTGAATCCAGCCAAAATCTTGATGGTGTCGCCCGCCAGAGTCTCATCCTCAATGCACCGGATCATCTCGACAACAACCTCATCGACAGTCAGCATGCCGTTCTTCTCAAAGATCTTGTTGTCACCACCCAGCTTGGCGTCTCTGCCCATATCGGTATCGGCAAAGTTGGGCGCCACCGCATTGACGTGAATCGGCTGATCGAGCAGCGCCAGGGTCGCGCATGACGCCGTAAAGTTGACCACTCCGCTCTTGGTCGCACCGTACACAGGGCCAAATTCTGCCGGGAAGAAGCCCATCATCGACGACACATTGACGACACAGCCGCGGCGAGCGTTCTCCATGAAATAGCGCACAGCAACCCGGGTGCCCTCGATGGGCCCCTTCAGGTTAACGTCGATGGTACGTGACAGCGCCTGGCCGTCGTCTTCCGCCCACGGCACACTGCCGCCGATGCCCGCGTTGTTGACCATGATGTCGAGGACGCCAAATTCGCTGACAGCGCGGTCGACCAGGGCGGAGATATCAGAGAACTTTGTGACGTCGCACTTTTGGAATACTGCGACCTTCTTTCCGTGCTGGGCGTTGAGCTGCTCGGCAACCTGCTGGCCAATCTCGAGGATATCGCCAAGCACGACCTTGCCGCCCTTGTCGGTGATCATCTCAGCCAGACGCTTACCGAAGCCGCGCGACCCGCCGGTGATGACTGCTACCTTGCCGGAAATCTGCATTGCCTGGAAATAAAGTGTGCTCAAAAAGAGAAAAGGGAGGCTGGCGAGAAGAGGAATATGTGTGGGCGTTCAGTGGGCGGCCTTGTGCTTGTGTTTTATAGCCGGCTCTGCTCCATTGCTTGCCGCCTTCCCCCTGAGCCGCACAGCCGCTGTCACAAAGCAGGATTAGCCTGTGCTGCTGTCGGGCTCCGATATGCTAGTGCAGCAAATAAAGACACTTGTTCACGAGCCACTAGCCCGTGTTTGCAGATCCAAAGTCGCAGGCGCAGAGCGGGGGATGCTTTGAGCCCCGAGCCGGTCCGTTCGCGCCCCCCGAGCCCCCGTGGCCTCCGGTTTTTCTGGCCCTGAAAGACTATCGGCACAAGAAAGAAGCGGCATACCCACCGTCGCCACAAAGGGCTATAGGCACAGGCACACCAAGCAGACACGCTCTGGCAGATGGACGGGCCCATTTGGACTGGGAAATCTTGCCATAGGTTAAATTGATTCTTGCACGTACAAATGGATAAGGTAAACAGGAAAAGCAGTGCTCCTAGACTGCCTGCTTGGCCGGACGATTGCGCGAATGCGTGTGTCTACGGCGGCTGCTGCCATTGCTCTGGCCATTGCCCTGGGCACTATTACCGCTATTGCGACCGCCGTTGGCAAAACCTGCCCTGCTCGATGCTCTCGATGACCGACCCGACGGCAGCGTATTGGCCCTCGAAAGTGTTCCGTGGCTCTGCTGCTGCGGTTGCTGTTGCTGGGTGCTAGTCACAGGCAGACCCAGCTTCTCGCGCTGCTGCTGGTTCGGCACTACAATATCTTCCGGCAGCGGGCAATCGGCCGCCAGATGGCCCTTTTGCCGGCATCTGTAGCACAGCCGGGGCCGCCTACGTCGTGCGTCCGACTGCACACGCAGCATGCTCGACAGATGCTCGAGCTGATCTGCTAAGCAGTTGAGATCAGCCGCAGACTTGACGTCCTTCTCGCCGTCGCCGTTGCTGCTAGACGCCGAGGGCGCACGGTCAGCTGCCGAGGGCGGGTATGGCGGAAGCCCCGACAATGGCCCGTCCTCAGCACCGCTGCTGAGGTCGAATGTGCGGAACACTGACCCGCGCGCGGCCTGCAGCGACGCCGATGAGGACGACCGTGGCTGCGTGCTGTAGCGGTGCATCGAGTTGAGCTGGTAGCCACCATTGGTCTCTGAGCCCAGGGCAGATTCGGCCCTGCTATATACTGACATGCTTTGGCGATGGTGCTGCTGCCGGGCGCCTTGGTACGTGTCAGGCGAAAACATACCCGAGCCATGTCCCTGCGTCTGCTGCTGCCCAGTGAGCCACGGTGACGACGATTGCGCGCGCGTCCGAGAAACAGTGCCGTTGCCGCTGCTGTACTGCATATTTGAGTACCCCGCGTCGTCGTCGTCCAGCGAAAACGTCGCACCCTTTGATGTTGCACCCCGCACCATCCCTGCATTTTTCCCATCAACTGTACGCAGTGCCTCTCCGGCATCGTCCTCTTCTTCGTCCGAGTCATATTTGAGTGCGGGGAGTGTGAACGTGCATGCCAGCGTATCGGGTGTCATGTCTCGCGTGCTTCCGTCGAAGCTCTCGGGCTCGTCAAACGTCGCTGGGCTGGCCAGCAAAAGCTCGGCGGGCTGGTGGCTTTTGCTGAACTGGTCCGCCATGTTTGGCGTGTCGGCGTCCAGGTTCCCCAACGGTGGCGGAGCCAGCAGCGGCACAACCTTGGCTATCCTGTACATCTGATCGGGCGCCACAAACCCGATGGCCTTGTCGATGCTGTTGGGCCGACGCAGCGTCAGCTGCATCCGGACCGCCAAGTTGCGCAGGCCCATCATGTATAGCTGCGTCAGCACCTGCGTGTCCAGGGCATGATCGACCACCAATGTTGAGACTGTGTCGATGAATCTCTCCGAGTACTCGGACCCAGACTCCCCCGCGAGCTGCCGGATGCTCAGCAGATCCCTCAGCTGCCGCTCGTGCACATACGCATCAGAGTACTCGAACAGCAGCGCTGCCTTCAGGTTGTTCCACGACGATGGACCAACTACCTCCTCTGCTGGCTTGCTGGTCTTGGCCGCAGGGCCGGCCTCGGTCGACTTGTCCGCTGCAGTACGCACTAGCGGCAACGTCTTGCGCGCGTCGCCTTTGATCATTGTCCGTGCATAGCAGTATGCGACTTGGCTGGACCATTTGAAGTTTTTGCGCAATGCTTCGACGCTGGTGACAAACTCGCTGACATCCTCGCCAGGAGCTCCGCTGAACGACATGAACGCCGGTCCTTCTTCTTCCTCCATGGTCAGATATGTTCCCAGATAGTGCTAGAGATTGAAGTAAAAACAGGTGGTAGGAGCGAGAAGAAACGGCGCCAAGAGTGCAAGGCGAAACAAGGGGTTTTAGGGAAACTCGGCGGGGTCAAGTAGAGCCAAATTAGAGTGCTGGAAGCAAGGGGCCACCTATGTGGGAAGAAGCGATAATGCCAATATATTGCCTGGAGACGTGAGACGAGCGAGGGGTTAATAAACGTTGCTGTGTGTGGAGAGAGAAGAGAAAATTAGGCGAGGTCGCACAGGAGGGCACCACATCCATGCCCTCGCAGAAAATCCTCAGCCTACTCTGGCCCAGAGCACTGGTGATCAGCCCGCCCAGTGATTGACTGATTTCTGTGATCAGGCACTGGCGCTTTGCGGGCGGCACAGGCAAAACACCCAATATATTCGGCCCGCGCTCGAGCTCACCCTTTTCTTTTTGAATTCGTTCAATCTTTTCGCAGTCTAGGTGCGTATCTAATTTTTGAGTATCCGGGCGCGGAGCAGCAGGAGGCAGAGCGACGATGGATTCGCCTGCGCTGGCGGCAGAATCGGCACCGCCAATGGATGCGACAGTGAATTTTTGGACTAAACCCACCCGCAAATTTCAACCATCCGACTTGAATCCTGTAGCTCTTTAAATTTTTAGCGCATTACCGCCAAAAACCCCACGAACACTAATTCAAAGATGTCGTCCAAGGGAGAGAAGAAGGCCGCTTACTTCACCAAGCTCGAGAACCTGCTGACTTCGTACAAGTCGATCTTCGTTGTCAACGTCGACAACGTCGGTTCGCAGCAGATGCACATGATCCGTCGCTCCCTGCGCGGTGTGGCTGAGGTCCTCATGGGCAAGAACACCATGGTCCGCCGTGCCCTGAAGATCCTGGGTCACGACAACGAGGCTCTGGAGTTCCTTGCCCCGTTCGTCAAGGGCAACATTGGTTTCGTCTTCACCAACGGCGACCTCAAGGAGGTCCGCGAGCTCATCATCGCTAACCGTGTCGCTGCCCCCGCTCGTGCCGGTGCTCTTGCCCCGGTCGATGTGTTCGTCCCTGCCGGTAACACTGGTATGGAGCCCGGACAGACCTCGTTCTTCCAGGCCCTCGGTATCCCCACCAAGATTGCCCGTGGTACCATTGAGATCACCCAGGACGTGCATCTTGTCCACGTCGGTGACAAGGTCGGTGCTTCCGAGGCTACCCTGCTCAACAAGCTGAACATCTCGCCCTTCACCTACGGTATGACTGTCACCCAGATCTACGACAACGGCACCACTTTCTCGCCGGCTGTTCTGGACATCACCGAGGAGGACCTGATCAAGCGCGTTGTCGAGAACATCACCGCCATCGCCGCCATCTCGCTCGCCACCAACTACCTGGCTCTGCCCGCTGTCCCCCACATCCTCATCAACCAGTTCAAGGACATCCTGGCTGTTTCGGTCGCCACCGACTACACCATCGAGGCTGCCGAGTCGGTAAGTATCTGCTGTCTATGCCACACTGTGCCATGCTTGTGTGTATGCTGCCAATGATGTTCAAATACGTGAACAATCTATGAGGAAGCCTGTGATTTCCAAATACTCTAATTTTTTCCTGAGGCCATCACACACAAGCAGTCCGCTATGCTGCTGGACTCTGCATGCTCCAGAAACATCTGTTTGCTAACGACGACACCCACCTGCTGTCTTATCGCTATAGATCAAGGAGCTGCTCGCTAACCCCGAGGCCCTTGCCGCTGCCGCCGCTGCTGCTGCCGCCACCGCTGCCCCTGCTGCTGGTGCCGCTGCCGCTGAGGAGGCCGCCGCTGAGGAGGAGGAGGAGTCCGACGACGACATGGGCTTCGGTCTGTTCGACTAAGTTGTCTCCAGCTCTTCTCGAGTGCAACAACCGCCACATCTCTGTCGCTTTCGTTGCGATGCCGAGCGCTAGGAATTCAAGGACCCATGGTTTTTAGCTTTTGCAGTTTTCGGCATTGGAAATTGACAGTATGTTGGCATTCTTTAGGAACACATCACGTGCATGTACACAGCCATTGTTCGTGTTTTCTGTCACTGGCATAAAGTCAATGGTCCCACTGAGAGAGCGGCGTGGCGGGAGGCCAGCAACGGCTTGGACACACCGAAAACGGGAGCGAGGCTGACTGCAACAATGCAGCTGCAAAATGAATTGCTGGCTGTTCATACGAGAGTTGCGCACTTGACTACTAGTTCGATGGAGCTCATGGCGCAATTCGTCTGTTGACATCTCTCAACTCCACGTTCCAACGCCGTTGTTTCTGAGTTCCTTCAAAGTATCTGTATATGTGGCTAACACAAATATGGCCAGCTATTTACACGCTTTGTAGTGTGTAAAAGGAATGCGCACAACGTCATTGCGTACATTGAGCCGCCGCCATCGCACGCCCTCCAGTGCATAAGGATGGCATGTACCTTGTCTGCAGACTAAGCCATATGCCGGTTACTTTCAAATGCTGTCGCTGGCCTCTTTGTGAAAGCGTGTTTCCAGCCAGTGAATTGGCTATATAAGCGAAGATTCCTTTGGATGTTGTGGTTACTCCTCATACCAATAGCTCTTCTTTAATCCCTGTATCCTCCACGTCCCTTTATAATGCGTTCGATCTCGCTCATCCTCCTTGCCGCTACCTCGATGGCCCTTGCGGCTCCCCTGGGTAATGACGTCCCTGCTGATGCTGCTCAGGCAGGCGCTGGTGTTGGTCCTGGCCCAGCCCCTGGCGCCGGTGTTGGAGCTGGACCCGCCCCAGGACTTGGACCTGATACCGGTGCCGGCCCTGCTCCGGGACCTGGAGCTGGACCTGCTCCTGGCCCTGGCGCTGGACCTGCTCCTGGCCCTGGCGCTGGACCTGTTCCGGGACCTGGCGCTGGCCCTGAGCCTAATATTGGTCCTGCTCCAGGACCTGCTCCTGGTGCCGGTCCTGCTCCTGGCGTTGGACCTGCTCCTGGACCTGGCGCTGGACCTGCTCCGGGACCTGGTGTTGGCCCTGAGCCTAATGTTGGTCCCGCTCCGGGACCTGGGCCTGCACCTGGGCCTGATGCCGGCCCTGGTCCTGCTCCGGGACCTGGTGTTGGTCCTGGTCCTGCTCCGGGACCTGGCGCTGGCCCTGAGCCTAATATCGGTCCTGCTCCAGGACCTGGTCCCGCTCCGGGGCCTGGCTTTGGCCCTGGTCCTACTCCAGGACCTGCCGGTCCCCCGGGCCCTGAAGGCCTTGCCGGTCCCCCGGGCCCCCATGGTGCTGATGGCTTCCCTGGTCCTGCTGGTCCAGTCGACCCTATTGGTTTTGCTGGCCCTGCTTTCCCTGCCGGCCCAGGGCGGTTCCCTGGCTTCGACGATTTCCCAGGCGTGGGTGGCTTTGGGGATGCCCACTTTGCTCAGGCTATCATCGATAGAGTCAACCACCAGATCCAAGACGGTACCATTATCCAGATCCAGCACTAGACTCTCATACTACACCTTTCATTAATTCCACAGGATTCAACATATGCCTAGCACTAAAGAAAGGGCTGTATATCTTACAACCGTTTCATATACTATGTTGCATTTCGCCAAACCATACCCATTTTGTTCTGGTTCTCCTCCAAAGGGATCCTCAAGTAGGGGCAAATACTGCTGCGCACTAACATTAGTGTGTCTATTTTCCTGTTGTTGTCGACTACGCATTTCAAACACCCCTGTCCATCGTTCTGGTGCGGTTGTATTTCTCAATCAAAATGTGGACCATGGTTTGGCAGGCAATAGCACTGTGGGGACTAATTCTGCCTCGCTACCTGCACTCAGTGCACACAAGCAAATCCCGACATCACTTCATACCGCTGGTGGTCCTGTCAGTCCTGTTGTCTTCCCCGCAGTTATTTGTCCTTCTACCTTTTGTATTTGTAATTTCAGCCCATCTGCTGACATGGCCGTCAGACCTGCTACCAATCTATGGCCTGGGACCGCTCGAGATCATTATCCGGGTGCATCTACTGTTGTGGATACCAGTGCAAGCGCTGACCATGGTTGTCCTAAGCACTCTTCCACTGGGACATTGCATCCGCGGAATTCGGCTGATGTGCATGTCGCGACCGCTGTTGCTACGAATTTAACAGCGATTCAAGCCCAAGCGGTTTACATGTGCATCTGACGGCAGACCTGCAAACCCACAATAGCTTTATTTCTAAATATATTCGCTTCTACTTTGATGTATTGCTTGACTCTTGGACTTTTTCAGTGGCCCTGGAGAAGGAATCAAAGCACATCATTGTCTGTCTATCAAACATCCATTCAAAATCGGGCGTGTCGGATTTGTGGTGCAGAGCAGTTCCCTTCTTGCGTTCCTGAACAGAGTTCAGCGAGGGGCAAAGCAACATAAGCACGGCATAGGATGCTAGATGTGCCCACTGGTCCTGCTTACCGGAAATATCACCGAATATCTGGACAAGACTCTCAGAAGCCGGGTACTGGATGTCATAATGTGCTTGGATATCAAACAACACGCTGGATAGCTGACCCAGATGGTCGCGGACAAAGTAAGGTAAATAGCGGCCGCGCATGCTTCTGATTCTGTCGCTATATCCAGGTTTTTGCGTGCATGGTCCCCGGCATTTAATATGGCGGATACTGTAACCATGTAGATCGTCTGTTACTTGTAGACTGGCACCGAAGTGTGTCAGGCAGGTGAGGTGTTTGATTAGCTCGAGCTGTTGGCCAAGAGTAAAGCCAATGAATCTCATGTCAAGGACCTTGATATAGCGCCCAATATCCGAATATCGTAGCTGCACGGAGCTGAAATCTGTGAAGTAATTGGTGCTTTTGATGATTCGAGCATTTTGTCCCATGCTGAATATCAACTGCGCCATGTCACTTTCATATCCCTCATAGTGGTACGCAGATATGAAGCTGCTGTCACTATCATCGCTGTCATAACCGTCAGGATCAAGCTGCATGTAGTCGTCGCTGTCAGTGTCCAGCATGGTCACCTCCGCGAAATGCAGTGCTGGGAACCGTCCGATTCTAGCTATGCCGTCGCGAGTGAGTGCCCTAATAACCGGGGGTGTAACGTGTATGCGGACAACCTCCAGCCTATCCTCGTTGCCTCTGAAGAGAATGTCGTTTGCGAATGGGTACTCTGGAATGCACACAAGATGCTGGAGGGACGGGAATGGCGTTCCTTCAGGGGACTGATACACCACCTGCTTCCTGGTATACATGAGTGTGTCTAGATCTAGAATGAGTGTCCGTACACGAGGGTATTCGATAGGCCTGCCGTCATGTCGGACAAGAATGTCGCGGAAGGCTTCAGGTGTATCATCCGAGACACAGAGGTATTCGAGCGTTTCTGAATGGCGACGGATGAGCTCGATTTTCGGTTCTGTTGGCCACACACCTCCTACCGATAAACTACGGATACTGGTAGGATTAACTGACAGCACCTTGTCAAGAGCAGGGTAGGCACCGATTGTGTGCACCGAAGGAATACCGGCGAATAGCCCAGAGAGCAGTCGCTTTATGAAAGCCTCGTGGTAGTGCCAGTATTGGAATGCCAGATCTGAGACCGCAACGCTATGGGCACCCGGGAACATCCGCCGAATTTCGTCACAGAACAGTACTGCAGGTGCTGTTTCGTTGAGCAAGATGAACTTGCTACGGTCGGTAATGCTGCTGAAGTGGAACTCGAGACTCCTCACTCCAGGGACAGCGAGCCCTGCAAATGCTGCATTTCTAAGAGTATCGATAGCAGCGCCGCTTGCTATATCCTCGATCCGACAGTGTATCTTTGCGGTTCTTGCAAAAACTAGATGCCCAGACCCTAGCGCATCCGCGAATGTCCTAAGCGAGGAGCAGCCGTTCCTTCTGCAGCCTGCACAGAGGCTGCACTCAGGGTCGTTACACCAGTATACTTCGCAGTAGACAGTGCCCAATACCAAACTCCTCCACCAGCGACACACGCCAAGCAGCAGCACCGCATGGCGATATGGGAAACAGATGCAGTGGTGATAAGGAGACTCTGCGGTACCTGTTGCATAAAGTGCATAGTCAATGACCTTCTCAAGAATGATACTCGGGATCTGCTGAGCGACCGATGCCATAGTAAGAATACCGGAAAGGAATGCTGTCCAAAAGGGTATTTATTTTTAGGCTACAGGAGCTTTTTGACGCATTCATAAACTAGCCAAACGCCATTGTGGGGACAACATCAGTCGTGCAGGCTACATTATAATCGATACCTGATCCAGTCGAGTAGACTAACGAGGAAGAGCAATGTATATAGCTGAAGTGCTCATACTGTATCCGTGCATAAGGTGTGTTGGTTACATTCTGTAGACTCTATGGCAGCCAGTATATTATTCGGAATAGTCAGCCATCCAATCAAAGCTATACTCTTTGCTTGTGCCATCCTCCAGCTCTGACATACCCAAGTCACCGCTCGGGGTATCTGCTAGTACTGAAATACCAAACTCGTAGCCGCCATCCGCCAAGTCTGATATAGTCGAGTCATATTCGTTACTAAATCTGCGAATCTCCTGCCGAACGTATCCTATCTCTTTGAAATGGATGTCCTTGCAGTGCCTGGTGTAGGGGCTGTTATAGGGGATACCAATGTATAAATTGACCATATGTTTCACCCCCTCCAAAACAAATGGGTTAGTCGCAAATGTGACGAGGCTGGGAACGCGCACCACAAACTCAGCAATACTGGCGACATCGTTGTCCTCAAGGTCGTATGGATACTGCTCGAGATCGGACAGCCCCTCACCCATCACTTGATGGTCAAAAACTGCAAGATATTCGAGGCACGTATGAAGCGGCTTGCTAATGTCGCCACTCTCAGCCAGCGCTCTATAGGGATGGATCATAAGTGGATCACACTCAAAATACAAACCGATGGAAAGGTGGCGGAGCCTAGGGAGGCTACCAATCCAGTCAGCAACATGGGGCTCGACGAGAACCCCGGCCAAGTTCAACACTGTGATATTGCCAAAGCTCAGGTTCCCGCTAAAGTCGAACTCTCCGTGTCCCCACTGCGCCAGCTCAAAGTAATCCAATGTTTCTGGCAACTGCTGAAGCGCTACTTGGCTAAAATCGTGTGGCAAGTTGGGATCCGAAAAGTTTCCTTGGATGGCATCCCTGCTGACAACAAGCGATCGAAGACCTTCTAGCAGCGAGTAGTCAAAGTTATCTGGCGAGAAAAGTAATGATATAATATCATCATGGGTGAGATGCTGCAGGAGGTAGAGACTCTTCAGTTGCCCCTTGAATGGCACCAAGAACTCGTTGACAAAGAACTCTTCACCAACCCGAAAGCCTGAGCAATTGAAGATTACAGTCTCAAGGTTTGGAAAGGCATCTGCTAGCTGTGCATTGAGATCAGCTGGGAATCCATCGTCAGCTTCCTCGCTGTCAATAAACAGGCTCAGTGTCTTAACTGATGTCCATGGTGCTTTGAGCGGATCCAGCGACAGCAAACTCGTATATGCGTCTTGCAGGGACACGTTCTCCTCGCACAGGCTAATAACGACCTCATCGACTCGTGCTAGGCGGCGCTGTTCGATTTGAATATCAGCTTCATCCATGAGATCGATTTTGCCCAGGTTTGAGTCGACCACACCTTCACTTTTGTAGAAAATCAGCGCCTTGCGTCGGTATGCGTCGTAGATGGATGTGCGAACCTCGGGAAGCGCGTCACTCATGGCCACTAGCGCGCTGTTGTAGTCATGGTGAGAATAAAGGGGGTTCCGAAGATACTCCTCGAACACAAGAGCAAAGATAGGCTCGGCTATCCCAGCGGATTGAAGTGCCGTAAAAGACATGTCTGGCTACGAGTAATGCAAATGCGGTATTTTGATGTATCCAGCGCAAAGAGAGCAGATTTGTGTTTTACGACACCTGCATGCGTTATGGCCGAGTGCTTATGATTAGCAATCCCAGATGTTGTTTGGTGTGCGTAGTAAAGTTGTGAAAAGGTGGTTTGAAAGTTTTTATTCAGCGAGAACAGAGAGAGAGAAGATGACGGATGCCAAGTGCCAGCCTTTTATCATCTCCAGCACCATACCACAACAGTATGATGAAAGCGATGCGCCAGGGGGCAAGTGGCCATTGTGCGCCTCAAAGACCCAAGGCTGAGTATCGTAATGCGAATCAGCGCCAGATCGTCCATCATCGCACACCTGGCTCGGGGTTTAGTGCTTGGCACAAAGCCTTATGCCAGTGTCTACCGACTCAAGCATGCAATGTACTGGGGACAGTAGTCACATGCAGAATGGCATTTATTGCGTCTAGAATTCGAAGCCGATGAGCATGTTGTCAATGAGGCGGGTGGTGCCCATTCTCCAGGCGCCCGAAAGGATAGCACCTGAGCTAGTGACACTGTCGACCTCCTCCAGGGTATCTGGGTCGCTGAGGCTGATGTACTCAATCTCAAGATCCTGCGTGGCAGCCTCCTTGATGACAGCACCAACAAGCTCATCGCGATCCAACACGCCAGACTCGAACAGTGCCTTGGCTTTGCACAGTCCGCGATAAAAAGCCGGGGCTCTCTTGCGCTGGTCCTCCGTCAGATAGACATTGCGGCTGCTCAATGCCAGGCCATCAGTGGGGTCACGCACAGTCGCGCCGATACGCAGCTCGACAGGGAAATGCAGATCGCGCACCATAGCGCGCAGCACACAGCACTGCTGCACGTCCTTCTGGCCAAAGAACGCCTTATCGGGCATGGTGATATGGAACAGCCTGCTGACAACCGTGGCTACGCCGCGGAAGAAATGCGGGCGCGTGCCGCCCTCCAGCATCTCGCTGAGTCCAAGCACCTCGACGAACGTGCCCTTTTGCTGGTCACGGTGGGTGGTGATTCCGCGCGGGTACATCTCGCTGACGGATGGAGCAAACACAGCAAACGCCTGGCCTGCGGCGGTCTGGGCAAACTCTGTCAACTTTGCCACGTCAGCGTCGAGCGTGCGCGGGTACTGATCCAGGTCCTCGTGCGGCGCGAATTGTGCGGGGTTCACAAAGATGCTGACGATTACCGAGCCGGATTCGCACGATGCTTGCTGGACCAGGTTCAGGTGCCCGCTGTGCAGGGCGCCCATGGTGGCCACAAAGCCGATCGTCTTGTTGGCCTGGCGCTGAGCCGCATGCCATTCGCGGACTTCCTTGACGGTATGCAGGACCTGGACGATGTTGGCCATGTTGGAGAAGGACAGGGGGTAGATAACAAAAGCTCGGTGATAAAGCCGGGAGGAGCTGGGAGCAGAGAAGAGAAGCAAGGGTGGCGAGATAGGGACCCGGCTTCCCACAAACCGGCAGCGGGGTTGGTGCAAGCCTATGGAGCCAATGCCTTTTTGGCCCGGTCCAGAACTGGGGTTCCGATTATCTTTTTTAATTTTTCATTCACTGGTTCCAATGTCACCGCAGGCCGAGCAGAGCACAAAAGAGCCAGCAGCACCAGCACCAGAGGATCTCCACAGCGGCACAGAGGCTGAATCTACAGCAAAGCCCGAAACACGAGATAGTAGTGGCTCGGAAGACGAGTGCACCGGCGATTCAGACTCGGACTCGGACTCGGACTCGGACTTTGATGAGCTGGTCTTTGTTGACGAGGACAGCTACGTGCCTCTTGATGACGAATGCGACGATGCTGATGAGCCAGACTCGGCAGACTCGGCAGGCTTGGACATCAGCATTGAGCGCGAGATCGATGCGCGGATGCACCAGGAGCTGTTTTCTGACCTCGACACCAGCGGTGCAGTAGACGAGCGGGCGGGCCCGGCGTCTGCAGCAGGCCAGCAGCTGCCGCAGATGGCCCGGCAGATCCGGCCGCTGGAGGTGGATGTCGCACGCAGCACACGCATGGCGGCAGACCACATTGACCAGATCAAGAGTATCATGGCCGGAATCCACATTAGTAATCATGGCATCCCCGAGTGGGCCAAGATTGTGCCTGAGGGCGCGTGGATGCCCAGGCGCAAGCCCAGCGACGACGGTGCTGGCGGCAGCGAGAAGGCCGGGTAGAGTGGGCCGTTCTATGGATTTCCACCAGCTATTCACGGCGCAGGGATTCTGATCTTCTGGAAAGCCAGCAAAAAAATTTTCTCCCGTTTCTCACTTTGCTGTCCAAATTCACTTTTACTTTTATTTTTTCAGCAGCCAGCAGCCCAAATGAGCGCACAGGACCAGAGCAAGACAACAGAGCCCGAGCAGCCTCTGCCCACGATCAACGCTGGCACGCAGCTGTTCACCGACCTCGACGCCAATGTGTCGGCGACAGAAATCGAGAGCATGTGCATGCGGTGTCACGAAAACGGCGTGACACGGCTGCTGCTGACGCGCATCCCGCACTTCAAGTCGATCATTGTGATGGCTTTCGAGTGCGCTCACTGCGGGTTCAAGAACAACGAGGTGCAGAGCGGCGAGGCCGTGCAGGAGAAGGGTCACCGGTACGAGTGCAAGTGCACCACAAAGAGTGACCTCAACCGCCAGATTGTGCGCAACAGCACCGCGTCGGTGTCGATCCCCGAGATGGACTTTGCTGCGCCGCCTGCCCAGCACTCGTCGCTGACCACAATCGAGGGCATTATCAACCGGTTCATCGAGGACCTCAGCATCGGTCTGGAGCAGCGCAAGGAGCAGCAGCCCGAGGTCTATGTGGCGATCGAGAAGCTTCTGGACAAGTTCCGTGGCGCCCTGACCCTGCCCGAGGATGGGGAGGACCACGAGCATGCGTTCACCCTGGTGCTCGACGACCCTACCGGCAACTCGTACGTCGAGAACCTGTGCGTGCCCAACGTCGACCCCAAGCTTACCATGCACACGTACAAGCGCACCCGTGAGCAGGAGATCGAGCTCGGCATGGTCAACCCCGATGCCGACGATGAGCAGCAGGAGCAGCCGCGTGGCCCCCGCATCAACATGCGCGAGGAGGCCGAGGCGTCCAAGGGCGTGATCCGTGCTGTCAAGGAGGCCTCCGAGAGCAACGAGGTCCTGTCGTTCCCTGCAAACTGCTCGTCGTGCAATGCCCCGTGCGACACGCGCATGCAGATGATCGACATCCCGCACTTCAAGGATGTCATCATCATGTCGACCACCTGCGACATCTGCGGATACAAGTCCAACGAGGTCAAGTGCGGCGGCGCCATCAGCGCCAAGGGCAAGCGCATCACGCTGACACTCGAGGACCGCGAGGACCTGTCGCGCGACATCCTCAAGTCCGAGACCAGCGGTCTGTCTATCCCCGAGATCGATCTGGACCTGATCCCCGGAACCCTGGGCGGCCGCTTCACCACCGTCGAGGGCCTGCTGCGCCAGGTGCACGATGAGCTGGACCGTCGGGTGCCGTTCCTGGAGGGCGACTCGGTGGCTGCCGAACGCCGCCAAAAGTTTGTCGCCTTCCTGCAGAAGCTGCAGGATGCCGCTGATGGCAAGACCTTCCCGCTGACGCTGGTTCTCGAGGACCCCGTCGCCAACTCGTACATCCAGAACATCTACGCCCCCGATCCCGACCCCAACATGAAGGAGGAGGAGTTTGAGCGCACCCTTTGAACAAAACGAGGATCTGGGCCTCAACGACATTGACGTCGGCGACGACCAGCAGCCTGCGCAGGAGTAAAATAGCATTCTTCGGTACACACAAAATGAAAAGCGTCATACAGTGCCGCAGTTGCAGATGGTGATGGGCTTCTTTGGCTGCGTGGGCGCGTTCTTGTCGCCCAGAGCCTCGACTGTCCGCACAATATCCATGCCTTTGGTGACCCGTCCAAAGACGACATGCTTGCCATCCAGCCACGGCGTCTTGTCCAGTGTGATGAAGAACTGCGAGCCGTTGGTGTTGGGTCCGGCATTCGCCATCGACAGGACTCCAGCACCGTCATGCTTCAGTGCAAAGTTCTCGTCGTCAAACTTGCTGCCGTAGATGGACTTGCCGCCAGTCCCGTCGCCATTGGTGAAATCGCCGCCCTGGATCATGAACCCTGGAATGATCCGATGTACCTTCGATCCCTGGTACCCGATCGACCGCTCGCGTGTGCACAGCGCCAGAAAGTTCTGTGCCGTGCGAGGAACCACATCGCGCCGCAGCTCAATCTCCACCCGCCCGCTTGGCTTCCCATCCACAGCAAACTCCAGAAACACATGCGGGTTGTCCACCGGCGTCGCTGTGTCCATGGCGCCAGCGGGCTGCATCCCCGGCATGTTCTTGTCGATCCACGCCGACTCGTTGAAGATCGCACGCGTGCCCTTTGTCAGCATCTCGCCTAGGGAGCTGGCGTTGCCGCGCGCGTACCGGACCGTGATTGTGCGGCCCTGCAGCTCGGACCCCTCCATGTTGTCGATTGCTGCTGCTGCATCGCCAGACTCCTCGAACTCGATGAATCCGAATCCGCGGTGCCGGTTCTTGGACCCCGTGTCGGGCGGCAGACTGATCTCGACGATCTCGCCAAACGGGATGAATGCTGCCTGCAGTGTCTGCTCTGTGACTTCCTGGTCGAGTCCACTGACAAACAGAATGCACTTTCCTTTTGTGTCCATGGCTGTGGTTGTGTGGGTATAAGGTAAACAGTGGAAGACAGTATCAAGGGGCAGTCGCTAAACCCCCCACTCCGTTGTGGCCATGTATATACCATATATCCGATTGCACGTGGTTTTGGGCAGACCATATGTTTTTTTAACATGTTGCTTTCTCTGCCAATACTGCACGCCACGCTTTGTAACCACGAATTGTTCGCAATACTGTCAATTATATTGTCAAGGTGTACAAGCGCCATGGGGGCAAGCTATCAAAACCTCGACTTGGGAAGCTATGTAGGCGCCGCAAAGATGTTTAGCCGCACCACACCTTGGTACCAATATAGTCGCTGGTGACCTCTAGATTGAGGCGGTTGAAGCGGTAGTCTGCGGTAACAGGAGTGCCAGGGGGGATGATGCGGGTCCCCTCAGGGAGCCCCTTGGCATAGAAGACGTTGTTGTGGGTGCCGTGGACACACTTGTTAGGGAGGATGATCTTCTTGCCAACAAGCAGAGGACCCCACTTGGCAGCGTTGCAGCCGTCCTGTCCAATGCCGGGCGCCTGGCGCTTGGCTGGGACTGCAGCAGCAGCAGCAGAGACGAGGAGGAGAGCAAGAGTCGCAAACAGCTTCATGGTGAAGAAAAAGAGTGGCCGAAAAGAAAAAAGAAGAGGAAGTCCTTGCTTTCCTCTCCACAGCTGGCCCTGGGCATGCACCGGCTTATATAGGTGTCTTTCACTAGGCTCAGCCAGCCACCCCCGGCTGTGGGTGCGGAAACGAATGGCGTGCAGCGATGCATCCGAACATTCTGCGGCATGCGGCTAGTGTGCCAGTATTTTTAGACTTCACCCAGTGTCAGCGCTGCTGCCCCGCGAGTCGGCTGAGGGGCGCAAGGGGCAAATCGCCCTTGCTTAGATGTCACGGCGTCGGAAAATCCGCTTGCCATGCCCAGGTGTAGAATACGCCTATTGCAGATATACGGCGGCCATGAGCCCTTGAGGCAGAGGAAAAAATAGCTGTTGCGCAGTGCCTTCTGGAAGTTTTGCAGGGGCATTTGGGATCATACGTGCGATACCTCACCTCATCGCGCAGTTATTTTTACATTTTTCCGCAATGAGTGCAGCTTGGACATTTTGCTCCTACGCAGCTACCAATATAATAGCCCTTTCATAATGCAGAATGTGATGCCATGTTGAAGGGTATACGCAGTTGTGATGAAATGTTTTACATGTGAAGAATGTGACTATGCAGTGCTTTCAGCACTTGATGCTAAAGTCAAGCTTGTGGCCAAAGTTGGAGTCAAAGACGCCAAAGTTGTACTCGTAGTCTGCCTGCTCCATGCTCTTCTTCCAGTCGGCGTTCTTCGCCTCGAAGAAAAAATACTCGAAGCCTGCCTTCTCGGCAGCACACTTGAACTTGCGCAGGTAGCTCTGCTGGTTTTCCAAGGTCAGCGGCATGCCCTTCAGATTGCCCCCCGCTGCCCATCCCGACTCGCTGATGCGCACCTTCTTTCCCTGGGCGACCGAATCGCGGACATGGTTGGCGCGGGCAATCACCCGCTGCACGGCTTGGTCCATGGTTATCGGGCTCCCATCAAACATCGAGTACACGTTAACGTTGACCACGTCGCTGGCCTTGGCCATTTCCGGCGTAAAGTGGCTATCGACATCAGTGGTGTACACAGGGATATGTCCGAGCCCAGCACCACGCAGCCTGGAGCGAACGTCGTTGATATGGCCAACGACTTGCGCAGAATCCATGTTCTTGAATGTTTCCTCGTTGCCTACAGACACGCCGCGGATCAGGCCCGATGAATTGTAGGCTTTGGCAGCGTCAATGAAAGCAGCCACATCCGAGTTCTTGCGTTGGTCGCCGTCAGTGATCCACAGCCCAGCATAGACACCCATGTCGAGGTCGTTCTTTGTGATCGCTTTTAGTGCAAACTTGAGCTGGCTGCAGTCGGTTGAGAACAGACGAATGTTTTTGGCAACATCGGCTACGGCGTTCAGACCGCTTTCGACTGACTCATAAGCAGGGCATGATCCGTCGTTGTTGTACGGCGAGTAGCACAGACCCCAAAGCGGTCGGTTAGACACTGGGGTTTTTGCGGTGACAACGCTTGCGATTAGCGTCAGTGCAAGTGCGAGGAGGGTGGAGTAGATGGCCAGCATCGTAGGTGGGTGAAGAGGTATTGATGGTGTAATGCAATGTGAATGGTAATGCAGGTTTGAATTGATGTGTAGATTATATTGCTGCCAGAAAACAAGTTGGTTTATATACAGTCTGGCACAGTTGCTCACATCAAAAGGACATGGTAGCAGATTTAGTGCTCATACTCGACTCTACATTAATAAAGTGCATATGCATTTTGCAGGCTAAATGGGGGTGAATAGTAAGGGCTGCGGAGCCTTGCTTTTCTATTTATAAATCACCCCTTGCTTTCTAGCCTCCCCCGGGTTTGCCTCCTTAATATTTAATTATCGTCACCTCCAGGGTTAAGGGCGTGCCAGAAATAACGGGAAAACCTCCGAAGCGTACACTGGCATATTATATGTGCGGCGACGAAGAATGGAGTCATCGTGCATAGCAACGCGCTCCTCCCGCCCTCGATGCCACTACCACATGCATTCTAGAAAGGGGATTAAGTCAAAGGGCCTCATGCGAACACGCCGCTCACCATGCATCCTGCGTGGATTCCCACAAAGCAACCAGGCGGCTGCTTCCAAGTGCGCATCTTTACACGTGGTCATATGAGAGGGACCTCTTCCCTCCAAAAGCTAAATATGCCATGTCCGCGGTGCTTGACAGCAAGACTACCAGGCTATGTATTGGTGTCAAGCACAGTGAAACCACTGGAGGCAGATTTCTATACTGGAAACGTTCGGTTGGACACATAACTACCCCAACCCGTCTAGATACGGCCCTATGTTCCACAGATCCGTGGAACGCAGTCGAATGATGATTCAAGCAGATTGTATTGTCATATCGAACGAAAGAAAAATCTAGTCAACGAAGAAAAGCCCAATAATAAAAAACATAAGAAATGGAGAGAGAAAAGAGACATTGAGGTTCGTAGAGCATATCAAAAGGACGTAGGGGAGGTGGGGGTTGGAGAGAAAGCTGAGATATACGTCGACGGTGAAGAATGTGTGCTAAAAGTACACGCGATGGAAGGCAGGGGGTGCAGTTGCCTAGCACGAGCCCAGGGAGTTGAGGTTGAACTTGGCGTTGAACGACGAGTCAAAGACACCAAAGTTCTTCTCAAGCAGGGACGCGCCCGTCTTCCAGTCGGCATTCTTTGCCTCGAAGAAGAAGTAGTCCAGGTTGCTGCTCTTGGCGGCGCAGCGGAACGCCTGAGTGTACTGCTGCTGGTTGGCGAGGGTCAGAGGGCAGGGGCCTGAGGTGCCAGCCGAGGCCCAGCCGGTCTCGCCGAGGCGGACAGGCTTGCTGCCTGCCATGCCGCGGATGTTGTTGGCGCGGGCAATCACAGACTGCACCGAGTTGGAGATGGACGTGAAGGTGGCATCGAACACAGCGTAGATGTTGACCTGCACAAGGTCGATGGCGTCAATCAGAGTCGAGGTGACCTTGGCGTCGGTCTCGGTGGTGTACACGGGGATGTTGCCGAGGCCCTCGGACTGCAGGCGCGAGCGCACCTGGTTGATGTAGCCGATCAGGGTGGACTCAGCCATGCCCTTGAACAGATCCTCGTTACCGACCGACACACCCTTGACGAGTCCCGGGTGCGCATGGACGGCCGAGACAAAGCTCTCGAGGTCCGACTGCACACGCGAGGCACCGTCCGTGGTCCAGATACCGGCGTACACGCCAAGGTTCAGGTTGTTCTCAGAGATTGCCTTCAGCACAAACTCGAGCTGCGAGCAGTCGGTCGAGTACAGGCGGATGTTGTCGGTGACAGAGACCAGCTTCTGCAGCTGGGCGGTGACGGCCGACTGATCGGGGCACGAGCCATCGTTGTTGTACGGCGAGTACGCCAAGCCCCACAGGGGCTTGCTGCTGTCGGTGCTGGTCGACGGCGAAGGGGCGGCGGCGGAGGTGGAGTAGGAGGCTGGGGCGGGAGCAGCCTCGGTGGTCACTGGGGCAGCAGAGGTAGCGGGAGCAGCCGAGCTAGTGGCGGCAGCCTCCGTGGTGGTGGGGGCAGCGGGCGCCTGCTCAGCAGGCGAAACAGCTGCGGCGGCAGCAGGCGACGGCGACCAGTTGACGTTTGCGTAGGGGTTGGTGGCAGCGTTGTACTGGATGTCCAGCGCGTCGCCAATGTTCTGCGGCACCGGGGCAGCCGACACACCAATGTTGGCCAGAGTGAACACGAAAAGCGCAAAGACAAAGGAAATAATGACCTGCATTGTTGGTGCTATGTTTCCGCTTCGAGTATATGTAGGAAGTGTATCCTGGTAACAGGGAACGCGGGGGTTGTAGGGGAAGGGGCAAGAGGAGCAGTAATAGAACCGGCCTATTTAGTGTCCTCAAAGGTTCGAAAGGGAGCTCGAAAAAGGAGGGAGAGAGAAGGGAAGGAGGAGTAGGAGTGCGAAAAGCAGTGAAGGATCAGAAGCCGAAGGCTGTGCCAGAACTCCGTCCTTAAAAACCGCGCAAGGCAGGCAGACCGCTGTGGGCAAGGCAGCCCAAGATGCAAAACAATGGCTGTATGAGGAAAAAAATAGAAGGACCGGTTGGCGGGCCGGGAAGGATCGACATCGTCTCACACTCAGATTCCCAAAAAAAAACATTCAACACAGCTTCCACACTGACGCGATTTTGATGGCCTGACAATGAGCCCGAATGCAAGGGGCCTGCCACCAGCCTGTGTGCTACATGGGCACACCTTCTCTTCTAGAAGCCCGGTATCAAAACCGGTGTCCGCTCTATGCTGGCCGCGGGTGTGTCGCAGTGGCACCATGTCCACCAGACTCCCGCCATGAGCCATGCAAGCGTCGACCACCAGCCAGGCACAGCGCCGTTTACCCCAGGAAATGCTAGTGCAGCGCGATCTGCTTTGCGTGTCCACACCGCCGGCAGTTTATTCAGCGGCCCATTTTGCCCTGGTGGGGCAAGCGACCTGAACAAGGCCAGGAATGGCGATCACCAACATCCCCCAAATAGCGCGCATCTCCATTAATTGGCTCCACCGACCGGTCCCCATTCAGCAACAGCGCGAAGCAAACGCGGTCCGCCAGCGGCTGCTTTTATTCTCAGCTCTGCAGAACCAGATGTACGGGCTCCTCCTATTGCATGTTATTTGCCGCGCTATACGTAGTGTGCAGCCAGGATGTCTTGACCATCTCATGGCGCAACACAGCGAGAGGCGCTGCTTTTGAGGGGAGGGATTTGCACATGCAAATGCAGATGCAAAAGCCTGGGAGACAGCGGTGCGAAAAGGAAAATAGCATATTGCCCTCAAGCACACCATGTACAGGCTTGGCCCATCGCACCTGTCAATATATGACAAGGCGCACACGCCACAAAGCCTGAGTATCCGACCACATAATTGCCACGATTCGCACGTTTTACAAAGCGAATAGCGAAGGCATCTGCCACGCCATTGTAAACATAGAAATGTTTGTTTACTTGTTGGTTTAATAATCCTGGAGAAAAATGCAGTTACTCGGCATTGTCCTCATCGTCGTCCTCGTCATTGTGGTTGGCAGCCCGGTCCTCGTCGTCGTCGCTGAGGTAGTCGAGCTCGCGGGTGCTCTCGGCCAGCTTGTTCAGCACGCGCCGCTGGTAGTCCAGCACCTGCTTGCCCTTCTCGGAGCTGGCGCCGCCCATGTTCTCGACATACGCCTTGAGGGCTTCGTCGGATCCGTCAAAGTCCTCGGCCGGCACGCGCGCCATGCGCAGGGCGTACAGAGCGCAGCGCTCGGCGGCCAGCTTGACCTGGATGTTGCGGTCGCGCACATGTGCCATGGCGGCCATGACGACCTGGTCACGCACACTCTCGATGAGGTCTGCGTAGCGGCGCTTGGCCAGCGACTTGAGCGCAGCCAGCGCAGCCTGCTGCGTCTCCGAGTCAAAGGCCGACATGGTTGCAGGGTCGACAGCACGCACCAGCGCAGACACCAGCGGCTCGACAATGGCGCTGCCAGGGGTAGCTACCTCCCTTTGCAGCAAAGCAGACTTCGCCACACCGATGGCCTGAAGAGCAGCCATCGGCTGGTGCACCGAGGTGCTGGGCACAAGCGCCTGCTCGACGCCAGCAACAATGCTGCTCTGCAGGGCCTCCGACTGGGCAAAGACCTGCGGAGCGGCAGCCAGAGCGGCAGCCATAGCCCGCAGCTTCAGCGCCTGGGTCTCTGACGGGTCGTCAGAGGTGGCCAGCGCGTACTGCTCGACAAGGCGGAGACGCATCCTCGGCAGGCACCATAGCGCACAGGGCGCCGAAGCATTCGCTCTTGAGCGCCTGCCAGCGGAAATCGGCGCTGCCCTCGACGGCGTCCACCATCGCCATTGGCCTTGTCAACAACGACGTCTTCGATGCCCTGCACGCTGTTGGCAGAGAGCGACTTCGCGTTGGGAGCACGCAGCACGGCCCGAATGGCCTTCATCATAGGCTAGGCGCATGCCAAGAGCCTCAGCCTGGCGGATTCCGGCCGTCAGCTCACTGACCAGCGGATCAAGACGCTGGCTGCAGCGGAATCAAGGCTGGACAGAGCCATGGCAGCACGCTGGCGGACTGCATCGTCCTGCTCGGTGCAGGCCACGCACAAACGTGCGCTGCAGCTGCGGCAGGAACGGGCGCATCAGCGCCGGAATCTGCGTCAGCAGCAGGCCAAGCGTGCTGAGAATCGCTGCCTTGACGTTGGCTGGGTGACGGTCTCCGACAATACGAATCAGCGGACCCGTAATGCCAGTTCGCGAACGGCCGCAGGGCTGCAGGGCTCGTGAACCGCACAAGACGCGCCATGCCACGCACAGCGCGCTCCTTGGAGTCGGCCGAGCCAACCAGCAGACCCTGGGCGTAGATGGGCAGGATCGGGCCCACGCCCTTGGGCAGATCGAAGCCAGGCAGCGTCGTGGTGCCCACAGGCAGCGAGTCGGTAGCCCGCTTCACTGAGCGGCTCACCGGGCCGACATAGCCGTCAAAGTCCTCCTTGGGCACAGTCTTGACCAGCGCGTCGAGCGCTGTCCAGGCCGCCTTGACCACCAGATCCGACGGCACCTGCCAGCAGGTCAATAAGCACCCGCAGCCAGTCGATCACATGTGTACCAAGCACAGTGCGCCCGCGCGCTGCAGAGCCTGGCCCGAACGCCTGGCACATGGCGGCCAGCGCAAAGCACGCCTCGGCCACACGCGACACGACCTCCGGCGCCTCGCTGAGCTTGGTGCTCTCGTTGATCTTGACCGACTCATGGAACAGCATCATCAGGGCCTCGAGCGTGTCCTCGTCCTGCGCTGCCGCAGTCACCACCACACGCACAGTGTCGCGCAGGGCACTCTCCGCCTCGGCATCGCCATTGGCGTGGTGTACTGGCAGCGACTCGAACAGCGACACCAGGATCTGCGGCAGCCGCCTGCTCAAGCTGCTGCCAGACACCTGGATCAGAGATGCCAGGGCCTGGGCGTGGAACGCTGTCACAGGCTTGGCTGTCAGTGTCGGGATCAGGACCGGGAACACCACGTTGGCACGCACTGCCATCAGCTCGCGCAGAGCTTCGAGCGCGTGCTCGGCATTGATGCCCGGGAGAATTGCGTCCTTGGCTCCCTCGCCGCCCTGCTGCACAGTCAGCGCTGTGAGCAGCGGTGGGACCACCGAATCAATGATGCTCGGGCCAACAGCCTGCTGCAGGCTGTCAAAGGCTGAGGCTGCCGCCTCGCGCACCATGGCGTCCTCGTCGCACAGGCCGCGGCGGACCAGCGGGATCATCGCGTCAGCATACACGTCGATGTATGACTTGCCTGCTGACTGCAGGATCTCCGACAGACCGATAAACACTCCGTGGCGCACGCCACCGGCTGCTCCAGAAGTCTGGTCGGACAGGGCCTTCTCCAGAATCGGCACAATCTCGGCCATGATCGACTCGCCCAGCTTGCGCACAAGGTCGCCGAGTGTGCGAGCAGCGGTTGTGCGGCGCTCGTACTCGTCTGCCGCCAGACCGCTCAGCACAATGTCCATGATCTTGGGTAGGCACTCGCGCAGCGTGCGTGGCGTATGGCTGACAATGCTCTTCCACACTGAGAACGCCGCCTGGCGCACCATCGCCGACACGTCACTGCGGGCCACATACAGCGACGCCAGCACAGAGTTGCAGCGCTCGGCTCCCAGGTTCTCGTTCAGCACGTTGCGCAGGTTGCTCGAGATGGCCAGCTCGTCGTCCTCGTCCTCGTCAGAGCCCTCGCCAGCCTCACCAGCACCCTCGCCGCCTTCGCCAGCACCCTCGCCATCCTCGCCATCCTCGCCGCCTTCCTGGACAGCAAAGAACTGAGCACGCGCCTCCTCGCGCTCCTTCTCGGCCTGCTTGCCGCTGATACCGGCGACCCGGAACAGGAACTCTCCGAGCAGCTCGATCGACGAGTGGCGGATGCGCCACGACTCGTGCTGCACGCCAGCCAGCAGCTCGGGCAGCAGCTGGTCGACAGCCGTCTTGGAATACGACATGACCAGGATGCGGCCGGCGCGCAGAGCAGCGTCTCTGACCTGCTCGTTCTCGTCGGCCAAGCCGGACAGAACAGGCGGGATCACCTGCGGCAGGAACTTCTGGAACTCCTCGCCGAACGTCACCGGAAGGTAGATCAGCAGCATCATGAAGCCCTCGCGCACAGGCACGCGCGACGAGTTGCAGTTGGCCAGGATCTCGGGAACCAGGCCCTCGAGACGCTCCATGCCGATACCCGACAGGACCTCAGACAGACCCTGCGCAGCTCCAGCCCGATCGACACCCGACGCGTCGCTCTTGAGCACCTTCACTAGGTCAGCCACCAGGCTCGGGAACTGCGTTTCGCCCAGCTTCTGCACCAGCGAGCCCAGGGCCTTGGCCGACGTGGCACGCGTTTCAGGAACAGGGTCCACAAGCACACCGCGCAGCAGAGGCACCAGCGAATCAAGATAGGGTACCAGGTCCTTGGGATCCGTCAGCGTCGCCATCGAGCCCATGATCTGCGACGCATTACGCTTGGTCGACGCCATGCGTGCGCGCATACCACGCTGGATAATCGGCACCACCAGCGCCAGCGACGGCGCATCGATGTAGTGGATAAAGGCCGTGTACAGCAGCGTACGCAGCGCCGAGTCGGTCTTGTTGGCCGGGTCGTCAAGGGCGCCCAGCAGAACTGGAACCAGCTCCTGGATCTCAGGGTTATGGATGACCTCGCCGAACCGCAGCAGCGCCTCGCGCGCAGCCGCCGCCACCTGGTGGTGTGTGTCAGTCAGGACCTCGATAATGCGCGGCACAATGGTGGGCAGCGACACCGACAGCTGCTTGGGAGCACAGTACGCCATGGAGCCGAGCACCTCGACACTGCCCTTCTTGGTGCGCCACTGGTCGTCGCTGAGACCCGTCAGAGCAGACGGCAGAATCAGCTTGACACCGTGCCCAGAGATGTTGGCCATGATCACACGCGCCGCGTCGCTGGCGGCCTCACGCACATCGGCATTGGCGTCGCTGAAGCGCGACAGGAGCAGCGGCAGGAACTGGATAATGTACGGCTCAAACAGCCGGCCCATCTTGCCTGACAGCGTCTCAAATGCAAACAGCGAGCCCTGGCGCTGCTGGAACGACTTGGTGTTGTTGCATGCCTCGCGCAGCTTGTCGATGATTGCATACTTCTTCAGCGCCGCCAGTCCGCGGCCCTTGATCAAACCAGACAGACCGTAGGCCGCACCACGCCGCTGCGAGTACCGCTCGCCGTTCAGCAGCACGTCGACAATACCGTCAATGACGCTGCCAAACTTGTCCTCAGACAGGCGCTTGGCCAGAGGCGGAAGGCACTCGCTGACTGCGCTCTGCACAGCCTCAGAGGGCGTCGCCAGAGTGGCCACCAGCTGGTCGACCGCATCGGCCACGCGTGCCTCCTCGCCGTTCGGCAGATGCTGCGCCAGCCGACCCAGCAGCACAACCACGCCCTCGCGGATGTAGTCGTACGACTCAGTGCCCTCGTCGGGCTCGGATAGGAACTTTTCGAGAATCGGCAGGAGCTCGCCCGACCACTGCGAGCCGTGGGCAGCCACTGCCTGGGCACCGGCAGAGAGCATGTGCGAACGCACAGACTCAGCCCGCTCGCCCAGCGCACGGTCGTGGACCAGGAAGGCGATCAGGCTCTTGACCTGGACCCGCCGTCTGCAGCAGCGGAGCCAGATGCAGGAACGAGTCAGCCACCGCGACACGAGTGGCGGCAATGTCCTGGCGGTTCTGCGTGCCCGGCACGACAATGCCAAAAGGCGTCGTACTCGGGGTCCAGCGAAATGTACCACTTGCGGTACGCATCCTGCAGGGCCACCAGCAGCTGGTCAATCTCGGCATTGACGCCGTCAGCGGTGATGTCGGTCTCCTCCTCGTCCTCGGCCAGCGCCAGGCGCTCCTGCACTGCATAGCCAATGGACTTGGCAGCGCAGGTGCGGATCTCCGCCGCATCGTGGTTCAGGTACGGCACAATGCCGTCAATGAGCTCCGGCAGCACCTCCATGCCGTTTTCAGCCCACAGCGTGCGGGCCAGCTCGGCATTTTCAACCAGCGCAACAGCATCGTCTTCGGACGCGCCAGTGTTGACCCACAGCTTGGCCGAGAACTCCAGATCCGTCAGGTCAATAAAGTCAAGCGCCGCCAGGCACGCGCTGCGCACAACACTGTCAGGACGCAGCAGGCCATCGAGCAGCGCGTCGCGCTCCAGCGGAGTGTCGGTTCCCTCCATCTCCTCGGCCATCTTGACCAAGCTGGTGCGGCACTGGGCCAGCAGCATCGGCTGCGTGGCCATCAGAAGCACCAGCAGCTCGATCATCTCCTTGCGCGGCATCTCGGAGACATTGCCAAAGTGCGCGTGGAAGCCCAGAATGGCCACTACCATCGTCAGCTGCTCGGCTGCGTGGTCCATCTGCGCATACTCGTCGTGCTCCTCAACCCCACGCTTGATCTTGCGGCCCCAGCCGCCTTGCTCAGAGGTCGCCTGCATGAACGGGAACAAAAAGTTGAACCCGGCCGAAGGCAGTGGCTGGTGCTCGCAGCTGACGCGCAGGCTGTAGTACAGACGCGTGGCCAGGTCCTCCATGGACTCGTACAGCCAGCCCTGGGGGATCACGCTGGCAAAGCCGCGCGCCCGCAGCAGACCCATGGCAATTGGCGTGCGCAGCGCCTCCTCAAGCCCGTCGGCAGGCCTTGCTCATGTCCAGCAGCGTGTCGCGGATCGCCTCGCCTGCCAGAGCCTCGCTGACGGAACCACCGCCAATGACAGCCCGCTCGACAACAATACGCACCAGCTCCAGCATGCACGTGCTGGCCACACTCAAGCTGCCGCGGACCACAGCCCTGACGGTCGCCAGACCGCAGGTCAGTCCATGGTAGGCCGCCTCAACCTTGGCACGCGCTGCATTCTCCTTGGCCCACTGCTTGTCAACCATCTCCTGCTCTTCGCTGGTCAGCTTGCGCACCTTGTTGTGCTTGCGCGCCAGCTCCTCCCGCAGCTGAGCCTCCCAGTCGTCCTTCTTGTTCTTGCCTCCCTGCTTGGCACGCTCCTTCTCGACAACTGGGTCCTCCAGCAGCTGGTCCTTGGGAGTCCGCCACACTGCAATGTCGTGCTGCGAAACCAGGCTCAGGCTGTCAGGATTGATGCTCTCGCGGGCAAACTCGAGCAGCCGCAGCGCAACGCTGTCGCTGCCGATGAACACCAGATCCTTGATCAGGTTGACTGCCGAGTCAAATTGTGCCTGGCCGCCCTCAGACGAGCCCTGCATGGCCAGCTCGATCGCCTGCCGCAGTGCCGCCAGGAATCCCGTGGCACAGCTCACCTGGGTCCACGCGCGCGCGCAGGATGGTCTCAATCCAGAAGCTCGAGCGGCCCGACTCCTTCAGAACTGCCGGGTGGTGCGCCGCCAAGGCCATGGATACCAGCACGTCGCTCTTCTTCTCCTGCGAGACTTCCTCGGCGTTGATTCCTGATGCGACTGCCGCCAGAATCCCCGTCCATTTGTACCTGATGCGCTCCAGCTCCAGCGACTTGGCCATTTCAGCCACAAAGCTTGGCTCTACCAGCTCCCACAGCCTGGCAGCATCGCTGGTGCTCATTGCCTGGACAACCTGCAGGGCTCCCCGAGTAGTCGCCAGCGTGGGCTCTGGGAAGCGGCACAGAGACCAGGTAATCAGACCAGCCAGACGCGGGTCGCTGCAGCCATTGTTGAACAGCATCTCGGCTGCACGCAGCACCCACGTCAGCTCGCGTGGGCTGGCAGCCTTGTGGTACACCTTGTCCCACAGCAGGAGCGACTTTTCGGACCCAGTGACGAGGTCCAATGAGGTCGTTGGCATTGGCATTGGGAATGGGCTCAGCCGAATGCAGGGCCAGCGCTACTCCGACATGGGCTTCCAGGGTTGTGCCAGCAGTGAGCGGGTTTGCTGCGGCCTTCACAGCGACTGCGGCCAGCGCCTGCACCAGCGGGTGGACTGACGACGCAAACCACAGGTGGGTCGATCCCGCCAAGCTGCGCGACTGCTGACCACAGGGGTTCACCGATCGCATTGGCCGCCCACGCCTGCCGCACCAGCGCCGACTTGTCCGGAAGCGCCAGGCCCTTCTTGGCTGCGTCCGAGAACGCCTTCAGCGCCTCTTCACACTGCGCAGCACCGTCAGCACCAGCCTCGGCCGTGCGCAGATACTCGATTACAACGCTGACATGGCTGCCAATAGCGCTGAGTACTGCGTTGACAGGCGCCTCCTGCGTCTCCTTGGCTGTCATCTTCAGCAGAGCAGGCAAGATCGCCACCGACGACGCCCACCCGTTGCCAGGCCCGGCGCGCACACTGCCCAGCAGATTGTAGAACACCTACGCGGTGGTCTGCCTGCGTGTAGCGGCCGGCAGTCAGCGGCTTGGTGGCAATCTCGGCCGCCTTGGTGGCATCCTCGATCGAGCGCGGTGTGCTGGCCAGCGACTCAAACAGCAGGGCAGCGGTCTCGCGCACCTTGTCCTTTGAGCTCTTGAGCAGGTTGCTGGCGATCTGGTCAGCAAACATGTCAATGTATACTGCGGCCAGATCAACATCGTTGCTCAGACACTTCAGCAGCCAGTAGCACGTCGGCAGCACAGCTTCCGGTGACCGCAGCAGCATCTTGGTAATCGACGGCTTGAACAGCTTGTCGAAGTCCGCTGCAACGAACCGCCGCAAGAAGTCGCCCAGATCCGCTACGCTGGCATACGAAACTGGTGCCTTTGCACTGATCAGCACCTTGTCGAATGTACGAAACGATCGTGTCTTTGAACTGCTCAACCTGCTTCAGCGCCGCACCGCCATCGCCACTCTTGCCGGGCTTGTCCGCCAGGACGGATCGCTGTCCCGACAATGTTACCGATCAGCACACCTGCCTCGCTGCCGCTTGCTGGGCGCGTTAAGATGCTCAGCATCGGCGCTGTCAGGACTGGGCATGAGCGCAGCGTGCGCCAGACATCGTGATGTGCGCTATTCGATACCGAGTTGATCTTCTGGTCCTTGATGCTGGCGCTGGACGGCGAAGTGCCCCAGATCAGGAAGCGCCGCCATCTCCACCAGCTTCACCCACGCCGTGTTCTTCTCCAGCTCGGCCGGATCCTTCTTCAGCTGCGTGACCGGAACTGGCAGCGCCAGGTTGATCCACGTCAGCAGCACGAATTTGGCCGCCGGTGTCGCGCCCACCATGTCAGGCGAGTCGCTGGTCTTGGGCTGCGCCGAGGCCACGATCGGCCCAAGCACGCCGACAATGACCTCTACAAACACGCTGGCCTTTTTGACGCTGAGCTCCCGGAGCGCTGCCAGCACGAGGCTGCGCGACTCGCGGTCGACGTAGCGAGAGACCGTCAGTGTGAGCGTGCGCACCAGCCCCACCAGCTCCTTGTCGCTGAGCGGGTGCGCGGCGATCTGTGGCATGAGATCGGCGGTAAACAGGGCGCGTCCGGTCGTTGACACGCGATGCTGTCACCAGCTCGTTCAGGCGCTCTGTGTACGGACCCCACGCAAACTCGCCCTCTGCTGCCACGGCTTCGCTCATTGCAAAAGTTGGTAATAAACGGTCTCGACGAAAGACTTGAGATAGTGATAGACGCCAAGCAGTAGTCTGATCGCTATTGGTAGTTTTGGTTTTCTCTAGAGCTGGTTGCTAACGGAACCACGGTCTGTGTCGCTTCTTGGAAATGTCAGAGTTGCTCCTAAGTTTGGGAGAAGGAAGGCTGAATCAATTGTTGCATTCCGTTGGCCGCCCGATTGCGCCCGCCCGATTGCGCCCGCCGGTGCCAGACGCCGACCCTGTGCTATGTACCTTTATCAGAAATATTCAATGCTCTGTGTGTCTAGCGAGGCAAGGAGAAGTATGGAGAGGAGAGAGTCGGGGCTACAAGCGCTGCCCGGGTTGCAGGGGTTGGCACGCGAAAAAATGTGCACACCCCCAGTCCAAATTTTGCACACATGCAATCTGCCTGCGGCCACAGCCTGCGGCCAGAAAAAAAAACCGGAACCCAGCTCGGCTCGCGGAATGCTGGAAGTCGGCGAGCCGCGATGGAAAAATAGTGGCCTTGTTCGCGTAGACACTGGCGAAATTCGCATTGTTTTTTGCCTTCCTTTAGTCTGTAGAATTCGAGTTCTTCCCAGCGCTTCCAACATACAGTCTCTCACTCACTCACTCACTCACTCCGCATCCGGCCACACATATCACACAGCGTGGACAATGAATTCAGCACAGAGCGCGCAGATTGCCAATGCACAGCAGCTCCGGCGCATGGGCTTGTTCGGCAGCGCCTACGTAGAGCGTCTTAAAGAGGGTGGCTCTGCCATGCTCGTCCTCTCAGCATCCGGGAACACCACAGGCGCCGGAAATGGCGCCGGCAGTGTCCATGGCGGCATGACTACCAGCAGCGGCCGCCTGACACGCACCCGGTCGACGCGCGGCAGCCGGCGTAACCTGCGCGAGTGGAGCTCGGACTCGGAGAACGAGTACGGAGTTGAGGACGACACCGAATCGATGTTTGAGACCGATGGCGGGTCGGTAAAGAACGACAGCGAGTCGCGTGACGGCAAGTCGCAGGAGGCCGAGCCGATGAGCGGCATCGGTGTACAGTCCTGCATACGACGCGAATGCAGAAGCGTGCGCGGCGTCGCACGGCCCATTGGCATCTACGGGACGACCAGGCAAAATGGCTGGCGCAACAGGACGAGCTGCTGGTTCCTATCCGGATCGAGCTGGAGGTTGGCGATTTCCGTCTGCATGACGTGTTTGTGTGGAACGCAAAGGAGCGCATTATCACGCCTGAACAGTTTGCGGCCATATACTGCGCAGACCTGGCGCTGCCTGCCGATGGCAAGGCCAGCGCACAGGTCCATATCGCCCAGCTGATCCGCCAGCAGGTCGCCGAGTACGTCGCTGTGGACTCCGCTGATGTGTCGGCCATCGAGCTGCGTGTGGTTCTCAACCTTGGAGATCCAGATCGGTTCCCATGTGCTGCGGGACCGCGTCGAGTGGGACATTCTCGAACCGCTAGACACCAAGCCCGAGGAGTTTGCCAAGTGCCTGTGCCGCGATTTGGGGCTGGGCTGGCGAGTATCCGCCGCTAGTGGCGCACCGCGTGCGCGAGGAGATTGCGAGGCTGCAGAAGGAGCTTATTGAAGCAGGCGACGCACACTGGCTTAGGCAGAACCCAGTTGAGTCGGCATTCCGACCTCCCGACATGGCCAATGCGTGGGGCCCCAGCGTCGAGGTTCTCACGGCCGAGGAGCTCGACCGCATGTGGATGCACAAGGAGCGCAGCTACCGCCGCATGCGTCGGTCAGAGCGCGGGCACATCAGATCGTTCAATTTTTTGCCGCCTGAAGCCCTACCGCACGAGCCAGGGGTCGCACCGACAGTTCTGGCACCTAGCATCAACCCAGCATACTATGCACAGGCGGCCTTGTCGACGTCAGCAGTCGATGCGGCGCTGGCACCACACGTGGACGGCTTCGCCAAGTGGCCGCCGCTCACAGCACTCGACCATCCGTATCCAAACAGCCACATCGACATCACAGCAGGGCACGCCGTCGCGGGTATCAACGCCACGGCAGCACACAAGGGTCGATTTAAGCAACTGGGAGTGCCAGCACTGTGGATGCGACAGCAGCGGGACCCCGATTCCGCGCCAAGGGCCGAATGGCCCAAAAACGCTGTGCAATGCCTGCGGAATCGCCTGGATGGTGCGCAACCGCCAGGAGCTGCCCTCGCACCGCAAGGACATGTACCGCAACAAGCACTGATATCGTACCCTACTAGCTTTTCCCAATAAATTTATCATGTTACCAGTTTACCCGCCTACTGCCTGGAATTCTAGCGGAGCGTCCTCCACTATTGCTGGTGGCCCAGCAATAGTGCGAGAATGTCAGCAGCAGAGCCTGCAGCCCGCCAGCGCTAGCGGGCTGGTTGAAGTACTCTGCACACGGAGCCTGCTGGTTTCGAAAGCACAAAAGCACTATCGTATGAAGCAGAAAGTCCTTAGCAGCGTCCACCGATGCGTGCACATGCCAAGGGCATAGCAGAGGGCAACCTGGCGCCGGGTCTCTAATTGCTCGCTACAACTGCTGCCCGCTCAATGGCACACACGACGACACCACGGGTTCAACCAGAAGCCTGGATGGATGTGCATGGGGACCATATACCAAGGCCGCCTGATAACCCGGCCCAGACCGTTCAGGTATGCGGCCCAACACCAAGCACACTATTGAGCGCGCAAACGTTGAACGATGAGCGGTGCTGCCAGTTCCAGCGTCCACGGATCACGCATATCCCCAACATCCCGCTCTAGTTCGGGAATGCGGGCTGGGTAAACAGGGGCAGAGCCAGTGACTGGTATGCATAGTAGGCATTTACTCTGCAGCTGGTGGCAATCTTTGTTGCTCTTTTATTAGCTGGATTCGCACTGGGCTACATAAATCTATGTCGATGGGAGGGCGCTGTTGCCGCCCTGTGGGCCCAACAAAATTGTTGGTGACGTGCCTGCCAACTCACTAAAGCCAAATTATGTGCTGCGAAGCATAAAAAATTTCGCACATTGTTTGAATATTTTATTTACACTTTTTGCCAGACAACGACTTTCAGCACTCTTTTTTCTCCCCCCTGAATGTTTTCAGCACCGTTTTAATTGCTCTCAGTCAATAATATCGGAAATATACACCACCGTACGTGAGAGGGTGACGTGTTTCGGCTATTCCTTTGGTTTACGTTATGCTTACCTCATTCAGTTCTGCATAGAATACGGGTTTACACATCGGACGCTCATACCTCTACTACAAACGCGCCTCCAGATATCAGCAATTCAGAGAAAATTGTCCTTGTATATTTTGGCCGTCCAGCATTGCACGTGCGACTCCCGACGGCTTACTTTCGCTGCTTTCAGGCTCGCTCATCGAAAAGCAGCTGACGCATGGTACAGAGCGCACTATAATTGAGTGGCAGAATCCTGATACCCGTTGCTCCTAGATACTCCCACATTGCAGCCAACTAAGGGAGCAGGAAAAAACTCGTCTGGTTTACGGCCTTCGCACTGCCTGTAATACTACTTGCTGTATCCGCGTGTTCTCTATCAAGGTATGTATAGTACAGCGGTTACAGCGAAACCACGCTTGAGTGTGCAAACTCCTGTTGGCTGCTTAGAGGAAACAGGTATGGTTCCCACAGATCGTAGCATCCTCTGGCTCTTCCCCTTGGTGCCCGACTCGTGCTTGGGGCATACACTGGTCCTCTCGGACTATCAATGTCATCTGGGTGCGCCTGCGTGCTCAGACTGCTGCTATCCAATACATTCGCGAAATGAGCAGCGATGCGAAGGAGAACTGACCGGGCTTGCCTTCACAGCCCGCTTCGCCATACTATGTGCCTGGCTCAAGCAATAGCATGCACTTAGCCTGCTGTTTCACGATATCTGCAGCAGGCACGGCTATTTTCTGCGCTAGGAGCCTGGGTGTTTTATGCTGTGAGCTGGTCAAACCCCCTCGGATAAACCTGCGCTTGTGCTCCGCTTCATAAATTGCTTGCCACGCCCGGATTGTAACCCGATTTTGCCACTCTTTCGGGTATTTCAGTTTGTTTTGCTGTATTTGCAATATTTGCCAGGGCTATTTTTGGAGCAGAGGACACGAAGAAATGCTAGCTGCACAGACATGGGATTGCATGGCACTGAGGTACTCTTCTCTCGCACGCTTTGGGAGTCACCAGTCCCGATCATATTGATCCAGTCGTTATCCCATTTATAAATCCCTTCAACAACAACAACAACAACAACATGGCCAGTGTGCTGGAGAGTGGGATGGAGGGGGGGTGAGCACAGCGGCACAGGGTGGGGTATCGGCTTTTCTGATGCTCCGTGGCCACTTTGAAAGCCAGCAATGGCCACAAAAGCATACCAAGAAAGCTGAGCCAACCCAACCCGCTGTCCGACCTCCCAGCCCAAATCAAGCTATATTTGGCCGCTCACTCGTGTGTTGAGTTCCAGCTGCTGTGGATGGCACCTTGTTGCGTGATAGCTGATTGCCTGCGTGCAGCCTCCAGGGCTTTTGATGAATAGGATGGTCGGTAGCACAGCGCTCTTTCGACTAGCCCTGTTTAGCGTGCTACAAGCGTCTTTATTTATCGGCGCTGCTCAGGGGGATATCTGAGCTGGATTGCTATATAAAGTGATCGCGATCAGGACCTAGGTGGTGTGCTTATTCTCCACCCCTTCATTGCCCCGCTGATTTATTCCCGCCCAGGCTCTACAAGGGGTAAGGTTGCACGCTGGGTCCTGCTTTACACAGCACCAGAGTTCACATTACAATAATTGTTTGGTATTTGCTGGTAATTACGGGTTTTAGAAAACAAAGGAGCTTTTATTTAGCCCCTCACAATCCTGTTGACGATAGATTCCCTCTCCTTTTCGCTCTCTTTTTTCCACCGTGTAATTTTTATTATTATTTGTCGTACTACCTTCCTTCATAGGCCCTGCTATATTTTTAGCTGCTGGCCATATCTCTCCCTCCTTTCCTACGCTCCCTTTACATGACATCATGCACTGCCTGAACACGATATAAAACTGCTCAACATACAAAGATACAAAGATACAGGCCTCTAATATCTCGCCTGCCACGACACCCGCGCTTCACCAATCTGATATAATCTAATTGAAACATAGACGCCTCCCTCGCACACATAGACGATGTCTTTATCGCGCTCTCCATCGCAGAATTCCCTTGAGAACCAGCAGCAGCAGCAGAAGCCGGGAGACACCAGCGGGAGTGCTACAAAAAGCATAAGCTACCCACGAATTCTTCCTCGCGGCAACCCGGATGAGCATCGACAGGCGATGGCTGAAGAGCAAGAGGTGCAGGAGAGCCAGCTGATAAGTGAGCGACGACGCAGGAACACGCAGGCGGCCGCACGAATGCGTGAGCGACAGCGACAGCGCGAGCGCGAGCTGATCCAGCGACGCAATGACTTGATGGGAAGGGTGCATCAGCTTGAGGCAGAGCTGGCTGCAATTCGGGAACAGCGGGTTGCTTCTGAAGGTAACTATAGCCGGGGTGCATGCATAAGGGGAGCAACGCGTGCTAGCTCGCACTCTGCGGTTTACACAAAGCGCCCCTCCTGTTAGCTGGCCACCGGCTTCTTTTTTGTTCTGCCCCTGCTTTTTGCTAATTCTGTTATTGATGAGGCGGCGATCAATTGCAACGATGAATTGTTTACTCTTTGACAATAGCCCCCATGGCGGGCAGGGAGTTGGCCGGGTAAATTGCAGGAAGATCTCTTGGCACATCGCTGCTTCCAGCTAACATGCCGGCCTGGGTGCATAGTGGCCTCCCGACACTCGTTGTGTTCCGGCTTGTCTCTGGGCGTGGTGGGGCACGCAATTGCACACGTTGCGTAATGGCGGTTTCAATTGCTTGGCGCTTGCCTCTTACAAAGGATCGCCTGCGCTCGTGAAATTGTGTCAATTACTGTTGCTGCCATTTGCTGCCCATCCTCACCCGGTTTATTACCAGTTCCTACGAGCGACTATCACCAGCTACAACTGATTAACATTCCATCTAAATTTTGACTGTTCTCCTTATCAGCCCAGCAAATGATACCGCAATCGCGGCAGCAAGACGAACAGCAAGCATCAGTGGGTAGGAAGCCGCACCGAAATGCACTGGTATTGTGCGCTCGATATCACTACGTGAATACGTGAATACATGAATACGTGAATACGTGAATACGTGAATACTGACACATGTGCACTTTCTGCCACCCTGTAGCCAGCGTAACAAACCAGTACGATAGCGTCCTCCAGGACCTCTCAAAGGAGCTCGAAAACGCCAACTCGGCAATGTGCGCGATTGTCGATGAGGTCGAAAAGCTAGTTGATATTGTGCGATCGGTCGACCGCTAGCTCATGCTCCATCATCGTTGGCGGCCATATCCAGCCATTGGCTTCATCCATTATATCTCCACGCACCTCATCCACTCTTATTTTATGTCATAGCCGAAGCCAAAAATTAGTGTCCAGCAGTACACGAGCACGTTTCTTGTTTTCCTTAGATCTCGTTATTAGTTTGAATTCATTTGTGTTTCATTTTCCATCGCGAATCTCAGATCCGCCATTTGCTGCTACATCATCATGAACCTCCCCTATGCGACAATGCAGCAACATTCACACTGTAGGTGGGTAGAGACGGCCATGGCTTGGAACAGCCACCAGCACCTCACATACGCCTTGATCGATAGATCCGAATCTGCCAGCGGCTGGCCCGCATCACAAAATCTAATTGATATTTGGTCAGCAAGTATCTCGGCACCCATGGACATCAAGCTCAGAGGCTCAGCGTGCCAGTCTTGCGGCTCTTGGTATGTGTCCCGAACCCCTCCTCTTCCCCTTTTGCGCATTCGAAACAGCGCTTACATAACCTTATTCCCTTTACACTTGTTATTCAAAACAGCAAGGCTGGAGCGCGCGAAACAGAAAATTAAGAATGCTGCGAGCTGTTGTGACTGCGAGGAGCCCGGCTGCTATTAAGCGGACGACCACAGTACAAATTCCGCGCCGTGCATTCCACCTGACGCCAATTAGTCAGACTGCCAAAGGTAAAGCACATACAGCCCAATCGCGTGGATGCGTTCCCGCACATGCACTGATAAGCCAAGCCTGCCTATAGATGGAACTCGGTGGAGGAGCGGGCGGATTGGCCTACGTGAGGCAGCGGCGCTGCGCACAAAAGAGCTGACAAATGAAGCAGCGCGGCGACGGGCGCTGAAAGAGCTCCTGGAGACGAAGGACATACAGGGAACTTCCAACGGCAATGGGGTGCCGGCTGATCCAGCAAGGCGCACATCGGCGCTGCGTGCGGCGTTTGTAGAGCAGCTGAAGCCGCTAGAGCTGCATGCACAGCCGGTACTTGGTGCCAGCAGCGGCGGTGGGTCAGGGGGCAACGGTAGGACGCCCGGTAGCAGTAGGACTAATTCGGATAAGCCAGGGTCTGCTACTGCTAGCACACCCGCGGTGTCGGATCTTTCCACCAGTGTCGTAGCACCAACAGAGCAGACGGGTGCTGGGTTTGTCGAGCGCGCATTCGATCCAGTGATCCTTAGCGATATTCAAAGCACGGTTCTTACAGGGCTGGTGCGCCGCAGCCACATGCTCTTGTATGCTGAGGATCCGTGGTCCGAAGCCTACTCGGTCGAGCTCCTTTCCGACACAGCCCGGCGCACAGGTGCACAGCTGACTGCAATCGATATCCCCGACTGGGCTGTGCTGACAGCCCGCATTGACCCAGTGCTCGAGGACCTGACGATCGTCAGCCACCCGTACTCGCCGCCGCCCGATCTGGATACTAGCGGATCTGGCGATGCGCCTGGCCGTAGTATGCCGTTCTTTGCCGGGATCGCCCGCAAAAAGTTCAACGATGAGGGAGATTCGCTCAGCGAACAGGTTGAGCGGCCGCAGTCGCCCGAAGGCTCACCCAAATCGCCGCGATCAGACGAGGATGATGTCGATGGTGTCGACAATGAGCGGGATTCTGACAGCAGGAAGCGTGTGGCCGATAGAGTGGCAGATGCGATCCGGGCCAGTTTTTCGAGCGGCTCTGGTAGGGGTGGATCTGGCGAGCGACTGGATGCGGCCGACGAAGATGCAGGTGGCGAGCCAGTGCTATCGCGTGAGATGATGACCAATCCGTTATCGCGTGAGGCCACCGAAAAGCTTGACCGGGTGCTGACGGATTTTGTGACCCTACAAACCGGCGATCCAGCACGGCCGCGCATCTTGGCTATTAAGCATCTGGGGGACCTGCTAAACACGCGGATCGGGTACACGCTGTTCACGCGGCTGGCAGCGTGTGTTGCCAAGCACAATGCCAATGCAGAGTCGCAGCCTGTGATGGTAGTTGGGCTGCTGCATCCGAGCTGGTTCCACATGGACACGCCGCCGCCTGGACTCCCGCCTTTTGATGTCAATCCGTCGACACCTGTTGCCCTAGCACCAAGTGCCGATCGCGGCGCAGGGCTGGAGCGCAACATGAACAGTATCGTCGAGGGTCTGCTGGGCGAGGACATGCATAATGCTGTCAACGGGCGGCTCGGAGTGCAGGTCGTGCAGGTAGGCGGGTCGCCTGGCAGCGGGCGGCTCCCCCGTGCGCTGGGCGGTTTGTCTAGTGGCGGGTCGAGGCATGCGAAGCAGCAGCAGCAGCCGGAAGAGTTGCCGCTGTTTGCGCGGGTCGGAATCCCGCCACCAAACAGCAAGGTAATGGCGGAGCCATGCGACATGCGGGTGCCAGAGTTTGCCAGCATCGGCGATGCAGAGCGTGAGCCGGTTATTGGGTCGCTGCGGCAGTCGATGGTGGCTGATCAGTGTCTGGACCGCAATACACGTGTGATCCGCAACATCTGCCTACTGTACCGGATCCCTGGGCTGCAGCTGACAGCAGACGAAGCAGCGCACCTGTCTAGGCTCACTGGCAACGAAGCAGACGGAGGCACTCAGAAGGTGTTGTTTGAGCGCAAGCCACTGTTTTACGAATCCGACATGCAGGTGATCTTGAAGCAGCAGGCGCGCGCATGGCACCTCGACCATCGGCCGCTGCTGGCCATGCTGCGGTGTCTGCCGGACGACACAGCGCGGCGGTATTTCTTTGGCGAGACGTTCCTGCACCGCTGGGTGTCGCTGGCACATGCAGCAGCTATCAAGGAGACGCTGACACTGGAGCACATCAAGAACGATCCGAGCATTCTGATTGATGGCGCACAGAAGGCAGTGCTGGGGTCGCGGCATCTGAGGCAGGCGTGGACGCAGTTGATCGACTCGCATGTGGCGCTCAGACATGGCGTGCTTGGGTATCCGCAGGACAAGCAAGACGATGCACGGCAGATCGATTTTGGCGAGATTGGGGTGGGCCGCAAGGTCGAGGACGACTATGACGTTGTGCTGCCGCCGGATGAGCTCGCCGAGCTTGTGGCTTCTGCTGCGCCTAAAGTGGCTGCGGCTGCCTCAGAGGAAGATGGTGCGGCCACAAGAGCAGAGGCTTCCGAGAAGCCCGGTGTGATCAGCGTAGCCGCAGCTGACTCAACACCTGCATATACGGAGTGGTCCGAAGTCGGTAGCGAGCATGATGGAATGGACGAGGATGTGGGCGATGCTGACAGCGCAGCGAAGACGCCAGCATCGGTGCCGTCGGCCAAGAGGCGGATCCAGCAGGCCAAGAAGCAGCTGAACGAATATGAGCAGCGCTTAGTGGGCAGCATTGTGGACCCGCAGAGCATCCCGACCGGATTCTCGCAGGTGTGCGTGCAGCCAGAGACAGTGACGACGCTGCAAGAGATCATCACGCTGCCGATGCTCCGGCCGGAGTACTTTAGCCAGGGGGTGCTGAAGCGGCACGGTGTGTCAGGGATCCTGCTGTTCGGGCCGCCGGGGACGGGCAAGACGATGCTGGCGAAGGCGGTGGCAAAGGAGTCGGGCAGCGTGGTGCTGAACATCCGGGCAAGCGACGTGTACGACAAGTACGTCGGGGAGGGCGAGAAGCTGGCAGAGGCCGTATTTACGCTTGCGCGCAAGCTGGCGCCATGCGTGGTGTTCATCGATGAGGTGGACGCGCTGTTTTCGGCGCGGTCGTCGGGCGAGCCGAACAAGTTCCGGCGGGACGTGATGAACCAGATCATGGCCGAGTGGGACGGGATGAATACGAGCCGGGGCAATGCATCGCGGGTGATGGTGATGGCGGCGACAAACCGGCCGTTCGACCTTGACGATGCAATCCTGCGGCGGCTGCCGCGGCGGATCCTGGTGGACCTGCCGGGGGAAAAGGAGCGGGCGCAGATCCTGGAGATTCATTTGGCAGGCGAGGCCGTGGAGGAGGGAATAGATTTGGCGGCGATCTCTGGGCGCACGCAGGGGTTCTCGGGGTCGGATCTGAAGAACCTGTGTGTGGCAGCGGCGCTGGCAGCACTGCGCGAGCGGGTGCGGCAGGAGGTCGGGGACAACGGCAGCATGGACAAGCTACGGGCGACTAGGGCGGTGGGCGGGACGATCAGCTTGGGGATGCGGCACTTTGAGCAGGCGCTGAAGAAGGTGGCGGCCAGCTCGTCGGACCAGATGGAGTCGCTGATGGAGCTGCGCAAGTGGGACAAGATATATGGAGACGGAGCGCAGGAGCGGAAGCGCACGCATACGATTGGGTTTGCGGGCCAGCCGGCAGAGGAGGAAAGTAAGGCCAGCAGGGATTCTCCGGGCCTTGGCGAAGGTGGAGCGGCCAAGGCAGACGAGGACACAAAGAAATAGACATACATGTTGACCCAGCAATATATGACGGATGCGCATAGAGGCTTTTTCGCACTTTGTTTGGTGACTTGGGAACTTGTCGGCCAGTCCGAAATCGTGAATGTGGGGGCATGAGTCCGGACCGATTAGAGAAAGCGCTGCGATTGGCTGTATGTATGCTGCATTAGCGCTTGAGGGGATTAAATGAAGCACCGAGCTCAGCGTGTATGGTGGAGGTGGCAGTCAGGCAGCTTGGCCACTGCTCGACGCGAACCAAGAAGGTATGCTGAGGCGTTGTGGAGATGAATAGGGTGGAGTTGAGATAGTGGCACGGGAAGCCCATTCACATGAGGTAAACGGGGAAGGAGCTAGTTTGTTGGGTGTGAGAGATAGTGGCGGGATGGCTAGAGACTCGCAAAAGAGTGCAGCTGGAGGCGGCGGCGTGATCCCTTTGCAAACATATATGACAGCCAATGCTCCCAGGCAAGCAGGGAGGCATTGCAGCATACGCTGAGGAGAAGCGACAAGGCGGCGTCCCGGCAGCGGCCCTGTTTGGCATGTGCAAATAGGAGGCAGGGGCAGGTTCTGCGAGGAAGATTGCGGAACCAGCAGGAGGCTTTCAGCGTTGAGGCATGGCCGGTATTTTTTATTATCGGTTATAAGGGTCAGGAATTGCGCGCTACTTTCATCCGCTTTCTCTCCTCTGTCCCTATTTTCTTGAACAAACTTGGTCTTTACCTTCTCCACGGGCTTTTCCCTAACTTTTTATTTTCAGAAGGTAGATTTTGTCGTTGCTGCTTCATTTCAGCAAGCATCACTTGTAATTAGGCACATCGTGGATTTCCCAACGCGGTACGAGTTTGCACACTCGGTGTGGTTTTGCTTTTACCATACCGTCAACTGGGGAGTAGTTTTCATCGCACGAGTCTTTCAGGTTCTCAACAAGTACAGGGTTCCGGGGAATCGGGTTCCTGGGCATCGTTCTTGGGTATTTCCATTTAACATCGGACAGCAGCACAGCAGCTGACCAGGGCAAGCGGCAAGACAGTACAGGCTCGCAGAAAGAGATGAGCACATCGTCAAAGGTGGAGTGGGGCGACATGGTGATTGTCTCGGGGGTGCTGGTGGGAGCGGCAACGTTCCTGTTCCGCAAGACGCTGTTTGGGGCGCGCAAGCCCGAGATGACGATAGCGCAGAAGGCGGCGCTGGCGGGGGGTGCTGACGGCAGCAGCGGGGCGGACGAGTACAACGAGGAGCGGGACTTTGTGCTGAAGATGCGCAATGCGGGCAAGAACGTGGTGATATTCTACGGGTCGCAGACGGGCACGGCGGAGGACTTTGCGACGCGGCTGGCGAAGGAGCTGCAGTCGGCGGCAGTGCGTCCGCTGGTGCTGGACCCGGAGCTGTACGACTTCCACGGGATGGCGGCGCTGAACGAGGACGAGCTGGCGGTGCTGATTCTGGCGACGACGGGCGAGGGCGAGCCGACTGACAACATGGAGCAGTGGTACGATGCATTTGTGTCGAACCGCGAGTCGCCCGAGGAGTCGGAGGTGCCCGAGTTCCGCGAGCCAGAGGACAAGGCGGGGATGCTGGACATGGAGCAGCCCCTGGCGGACGTGCGGTTTGCAGTGTTTGGGCTGGGCAACAACACGTATGAGCAGTTCAACTCGCACGCGCGCATCATGGACAGCCGGCTGCAGGCGCTGGGGGCGCAGCGCATTGGCGAGCGCGGCGAGGGAGACGACGACGTCGACATTGAGGAGGACTTTGCTCAGTGGAAGGACAAGACGCTGCCGCTGATCCGCGCCATGTTCGGGTCGGCCACGCCCGATGAGGACGCAGGCGGAGCGCCGGCGCTCACATGGACGGTCACCGAGACCGGCGGTAGCGACGCGTGGACGGCGGGGCAGCTGTATGCGTCGGCTGAGGCGTTCGACGCACGGCACCCGTTCCAGGCGCCGGTCAAGGCAGCGGCGGAGCTGACGCCAGGGGCCGACCGCCACGTGCTGCACGTGGAGGTGGACCTGGCGGGGTCGGGCATGCGGTACGAGGCCGGCGACCACATCGGCGTTTATGCGCAGAACTCGGACGAGGAGGTTGATCTGCTGCTGGCGGCGCTGGGGCTGCTGGACCGCGCGGATCAGGCGATCAGCGTGGCAGCGGCAGACCCGCACGCAGCGCAGCAGGCGCTGTTCCCGCACGTAACCACATACCGCGCGGCGCTGCGGCACTACCTGGAGATAGCGCTGCCGGTGCCACGCGCGCAGATCAAGTCGCTGGTGCTGCCGTTTGCGACCAGCGCCGCCGCCCGTGATTTCCTGGGCCCACTGGCCAACGACAAGGACGCGCATGCGCAGAAGGTGGGCGCCGGGTGCCTGTCGCTGGCGCGGCTGCTTAACGCTGTGCATGCCGCCGAACGCACGGCCGGCGAAACCGACCTGCTGATGCTGCCGCCGGCCGCGGTGTTCGAGCTGTGCCCGCGTATGCAGCCGCGCTTCTACTCCATCTCGTCCAGCGCGCGCGTGGCGCCCGAGACGCCCAGCATCACTGCTGTGGTTCTGCAGTATGAGGCAGCCGCCGGGCCCGCCGACGCCAAGCTTGGTCTGACGCGCTCCGGCGTGGCCACGAACTTTTTGCTGGGTGTCAAGCGCTATCTGCAGGGCGACCGTGCGGTGTCGCTGCCCGATGGAGTGCTGGTCAGCGAGAATGCTGCGCTGCCGACGCACGACGCGTCCGGTGCTCCAGTGGTGGCGGACAACAAGGGCCATGTGCTGGGCTCCTACACCATCCATCCGCCGGTCGACCGCCAGCTGGCCCTGCCGGTGTATATCCGCAAGTCGCAGTTCCGTCTGCCCACCGACCCCGCGGTGCCGATCATCATGATTGGGCCCGGCACTGGCCTGGCGCCCATGCGCGGCTTTGTGCAGGAGCGCGCCCACCAGGCACGTGCCAACCCCGAGTCGGCGCAGGGCACGGCGCTGCTGTTCTTCGGCGCGCGCACGGCTGTCCACGACTACATGTATGAGGACGAGCTGGCGCGTCTGTTCGACGACATCCGCACCGTGGCTCCGCAGTCGCAGGTCATCACGGCCTTCTCGCGCGACCAGGCCAACAAGATCTACGTGCAGCACCGTCTGGCCGAGCACGCCGACGCTGTCTTCGAGGCCTTGCTGGCGGGCCAGGACAAGCTCACCGGTCCGCCGCGGGCCCACATCTACGTGTGCGGCGACGCCAAGGCCATGGCCAAGGACGTGACCCGAGCCCTGGCTGCTCTGATCGCCGACAAGGCCGGCGTGCCAGTGGACACTGCTGCCCAGTGGCTGGCCGAGATGCGCAAGGCCTCCCGCTACCAGGAGGACGTGTGGTCGTAGCCGATAATCTCTCCCAGTCCAAAAACACGTTTTGCAATACACATACTCTAAAGATTAATATGATTAAAAGGCAACAAATGTAGCAAATACAAGCACGCAGGAAATCGCAACCATCGACGTGAACCCATTATGGCCCTCGGGCAGTATGTCCTTCGCCGACACGTCCTCGGGCGCCACCAGCACTCGCGCTGCCGTCCCCGATGCCCGCCGCAGCGCCAATGCGCGCTTCCGGTACTGTGCCTCTCGGTACGCGGTGTCCACCCGTCCCGCCTCCAGCACGCTGGACATGACGCCCACCGACACCTGCTCCTCCAGCACATCGGACATGGCGCCCGTCGGCACCTGCTCCTCTGCCTGCTCTGCCTGCGCTGTACCCGCCGCCCGCAATGTCTCTTGCTGGCGCACCTGCCAGCCCCGCGACCACAGCATCAGCGAAAACACCTGCGGCGACAGCGCCTTGGTGCCTGACCGCCATGTGTACAGCAGGTAGTTGCTCGACCCCATAGCCGATATCCAGAACACCAGGATGCTGGCCGTCACTGCAAACGATAACCGGACCATGAGCCCCCGAGCGAAGAAAAAACAATATTTTGTTTTGTGCAAATTAGAACGAATAAATACCGATACGATGAAGGGACACAGGCGAGGAAAGCGGGAGAAAGCGATGCTGCTGCCTTTTGGCCATCCGGAAATGGGGTCGGCTCTGCGCGTTGGACAGTTTTCCTCTGCCCCTCTTTCTGTCGTTAATACAGCCCCTTGTTCTGGCTGCTGAAAGTAATATGCGCTGTTTTTGGATGGCCAGCGCTGGGGTGGGGGCTAGCTTATTTCCCTAACAGAGCAAAGTGCTGATATAAACACGAAGAAAAACAAAAAGGTACAAACGCGCGCAGAAGAAGAAATCAGCATCTGTACCACAGCCGCCTTTATACAGCGCCTGGCGTCACTGCTGCATGGGCGCAACTGGCCGATCCGCAATGCTGCCCAGCCGTCCATCTCCAAGCGCTCGGAGAGCTGCCTGTTGGGGGCCGACTATGAACGTAAGGACCCCGTGTAATCTCTTGCTTCCTCCCCGTTCTCCACCAATCCGCACTTGCATACGCCAGGTATGTCTGCTGATGGCATATCTCGCCTTTCCTCTGCTTCCATCTACACGCGTGTCTCAATCGCCAGCGCGCAACCCGTCGATATGCCAATGTCCGCCCAGACATCCATGCACGCCAAGCCCTTGCCGCCCCATGCCCAATGGCATCGCACCTATACGCTTCTGCTGTCGAAAGCCAGGGAAAAAGGCCAGCAGAACCGGCAGTAGTATAGCGCCTGCCCTTGTTCACCCTCTCCTGCCGCACACACGCCATTGAAGGAAAACAAAACAAACAGCCTTTGCATTGTTGTTTTTCAAGCTTTTGCCACACAACCCCCGATGCCCGCGCTCTGCCTTGTCCCCTGTCATTTTCCATCGCACGAGGCGTCGCCTGTTTGTCAACGGCGCAATGTCGGTCTCCGCCCCGGGTGCGGAGTCCAGAAGCCCACCGCCCCCTTATTCCTGCTGCTTAGGAAATCAGTGCTTTATGCGCCAAGCACGAATCCCATTTGCACTCCCCAATGCCTGTGATGGCGCGCTCCTGGACTGCTCGGCTTTGGAACGAGTTAATCGTCCTGATGTGCCTGGCGGTCTGACCACACGCAGCCCGAGCATTCCCCCAATCGTCTCCCTCGCTGATGTTTCTGGGTTCCTTCTGGAAACTGGCTGAACATCATGCTCCCCATTTCCCCGTGGTAAAACCGACCCCCTCGCACATACAGGCAGCCCAGCTCTCACTTTCAGCTCTGGTGGCGGCTGCCGGCCATCATATGCTTTTTCGCCTCTGCGCCCTCCTCTGACTGAGACACCTTGCATGTGGCGCGGAACCACTGGCCATCCCCTCGCTACCTCGAGCCCAATGCTAATACCACCACATGTCCCCAGGGCACTGTCCATGTGCCAGCGAAACATCGCCACCCACCACCCACATGTATTTGCCAAGGTGCCGCATATAAGCCGGCCTATGGAACGCCGCAGCCCTCCTGTATGCCAAGACGCACCTCCAGAGATCATTCTGCACTCTATAGCCAGCCTAAATAAAGCAGTAGCACATCACTTATTTTTTGTTATTCAAGAAGAAATGAGACTTGCTTTCCTCGTTCCCGCGTTCTTGGCGCTAGTCACGACTGTCTTGGCACTCACTGCTGCCGAATCAACCGCCGTTGATCAGTTCCTTGAGGACACCAAAAATGTCGGCAAGAAGGGCGGCAAAACCAACGTCGAGCTGGTCCACGATCTGGCAGTGAGCCTTGGGATGCGCAACTCCGCCAGCAAGCTGTACAAAGACTCGCCCGACGCCAAGGCCGCCTACGACGCCATCTACGACACCCTGCTCTTCCTGTCAACCAGCAGCTTCTCCATGCAGGAGCAGAAGATCAAGCTCAACAAGGTCGCAAAGTACTTTGAATCGAACCTCTTGTAAGCCAGTTGGAATTGAATTGGGAGTTTGAAGTGAATATACGGGAAAAAAAAGTGAATAATTTTGTTTGTTCAGAGCTCATCGCGTGCTGCGGAACGGCGCTTCTTGACCTTGATCTTGCGCGGACCCCTTGTGGCTTGCGCCTGCTTCTCGTCGGCCTTCTTCATCCGCCGGCTCGCTGCTGGCTTGGCCGCCGACCCTGGCGCCACCACGGCCTCCTCCTTCTTGGGCTGCACAGCGGATTCGGCCACCGCACGTTCCACAGCCGCCGTGCTGGCCGCCGCCTTCACGTGCGAGGGCTCCGAAGCAGCCGGCGACGGCTCGGCTTGCGATTCGACCGCCGCAGCGACCGTCTCCTGCTCGACCTGCTCCTCCTCAGTAGCCGAGGTGCTCTGGCGGGTGCGCTCCTGCGCAACCTCCTTCGAAATCGACTTGCGCGCGTCCTTGACCCAGTTCGAAGCCGCCTTGCGCACCTCGTCGTCAACCGGCACAACAATCGACAGCAGCGGGCTTGTCTCCTCCACTACTTCCTCCTCCTTGGCCGCGTCCTCTGCCTTCGGGCTGGAATCAACCGACTGGCTATCCAAGACCACAGGCTCTTCTACCAGCGGAGCCTTGGCTGCCGGCAGCTCGGCAGCAGGCTCTGTGTCAACAGCCGACATGGCCGTCGCCTCCTTGAGACCATCCTGCTGCTGCTCACCGGCGGCCTGCGACGTCTCATGCTTGGCCTTGGCAGCCTCCGGTTCAGTCTTCTCGCTGGCTGCGGTGGTGGCCACAACCTGCTGCTTGTCCGTGGTCAGCGTCTCGAGCAGCGTCGAGTTCACTGTCACTGAACGAGTGGTCTTGACAGTGGTGGTGACCTGCGACGTCACGGTGCTCTGCTTGCGTACGGTCTTGGTGAGATACTGGGTCACTACTGCCTGGGTGGTCGTTTCGGCCGATTCCTTGGGCGGCTGCACGGGCTGCTCCACAGTGACTACCTTGTTCACTGTGCGCGTGGCGGTTGTCTGGGCCGTCACTGTCGTGGTAGACCCCTGCGCAACCAGGGAGGCAGACTGGCTGATCGACTCGCCGGACTCGTTGAGTTCGCGCTTGACCTCGGCGGCCTTGGCTGAGGTGCTGTGCTCTTCGACAGGCTCGGCCGCAGACGTTGCCTCCACACCAGCAGCACTGGCAGTCTCCGGGGCAGGGAGCGTCGTGGCCACGCGCACCTGCTGGTCGTCTTCAGCAGCAGCTGGCGCAGTAGTGGCGGCACCGACGGTTTTGTCATCCTCCTTGGGCTCAATGTCGTTGACAATCTGGGGCATCTTCTCCAGATTTGCCGCATCCCTGTCCTTGGCCGCACCGACCAGGTCCTCAAACTCCTTCTTCTGCTGCTCGTCCACACCAACACCAGCCATGGCCTCACGAGCATCGTAGACAGCAGAAGCTGCCTGGTTGGCATCGATCTCAGGCTTGTCCGAGGAAGATGCACCAACAGAATCAGTAGAAGGCGATTTCTCGACAGCAGGAGCAGTCTCGACAACGGGCTTCTGCTCTGGAACGACCTCAGTCAGCGTAGCCTCCTCAAGGATGGTCTCCTTGACAGGGATCTCGGTGGCAACCAGGGGCTGCTCAGGAGCAGTCGCAATGGTGGCTACTAGTTCCTCGACGATGACAGGCTCTTCCGCGACAGCAGACTCGGTGGTAGCAAGGGTCTCTTCAATAGCAGCATCGACAACATCGGACATTTCGGCATCAGCCTCGACAACAATAACGGTGTCTTCAGCGACTACCTCGACGATGCGGGGCTCCTCCACTGCGGTCACCTCGACAACAATCTCCTCCAAAGTGGCTTCGTCGGCAACAGTTTCCTCAGCAGCAGTCTCCTCAGCAGCAGTCTCCTCAACAGCAGTCTCCTCAGCAACAATATCCTCAGCAACAGACTCCTTGACTATGGTCTTCACAACCACAGGCTCTTCCTCAGTCGAGGGCTGCTCAGAAGAAATCGGTTCCAGAGTAGACGCAGGTGAAGCGGACATTGTGACCGACAGAGTAAGTTCGACGACAGAAACGGATGACGTCAAAGCAACTGGTTGCTGCTTGGGAATGCGCTCCACAACCGCCTTGGTGGCACGGTGGTAGAAATCGGTGGCCTTGTCATAGACGTACTGCTGGTTGGCAGGCGCAACCCATCCGCGGGCCACCTGGAACCACTGGCGCGCCGAGCCCGAAATCTTGCGGGCAATGTTTTGCGCATGCTCCGCCGGGGTCGAAAAGACGGTCTGGGTCGTGGACTGGTCGGCCTTGGCCAGCTGTTCTTCGTGGTGACGCTGGATGACAGTCGGGTGCTCGTCGCCGGTGAAAATTGTGTAGCACATGTAGTAGAACTCTTCGGTGAAGCTGCACGCAATGTCAAACAGCGTCGATCCAATCAGCACCGACTTGTCGTAGACAACCTCAACCTGGTCCCAAGGAACCACACGGTCCACGTACTGGCGCATGTGCTGGTCATAGAGGGACCGCACCGGCGGTGACACGTGGCGAGTAAAGAACAGATACGCGTGTACGGCACCACGCTTGGCATACGGCACAATGTGTTCTTGGGCGAATGCCCACGAGGCACTGGACGCACGGGCCGTGCCAGACACGATTCCAGGGAGCAGATTTTCGCGCACGGACTGCAGCGCAATCTTGGAGTACTTGCAGATCGCGGGGTACACCTGCTTGGCCCACAGGGGCTGCACATGGTTGACGTGCAGAGGAACAATATAGTCACTCCACCCACTCTTGGCCAGCGGCAGGACGTAGTCGCCGCCCACCCGAACAACAACCTCTTTGGTAGCCGTCACTACAGGCACCACGGCCTGGCTCACAGTCTGCTTGACCCAGCCAGCAACCATGTCTACCGTGGGTTTGGCATGTGCGCTATATGCGGCATATGCCTTATCCGTGTATGGATCAACAGCCCGGTGCAAGGCGTCGCACGCAGGCTTCGATGCTTTGGACAGGGCCGGGGCCACGGTCTCCGCAACGAAAACGCGCGTGTTGTCTAGGAGCGGTTCTGCGTGCCTCTCGTATAGCGGCACCAGGTGCGCATTGTATGCGTTGCTGATGCGCGCGCCAGTCTCAGTGCTAACAAACAGCCCGTGAACCGGGCCATTGATGACCTCCCTCACCGCTGCCTCTGTTCTGCACACTAGGTGCCCCGGATTCGACGGACACGTAGTCAGCGTAATGAATACCACGTACATCAAAAACAAACGTCGCAACAGCCATCCCAACCAGCCGCCTTTGCGTCCACTCTACAGGGGAATAAAACGCGGTTTTCGTCGTTAGCCAGAAATTGCAACACACTACTGCCTCGCCTCGTGCTGTTCAGGACCACCGCGTATGGGTTTGCATCGTATTGACGAGCAAGCTGTGCGTACCTTTGCATCCGCAGGGCGTGTGTTGGAATCGTGAGCATACCGGGCAACAGCCATTTTCCTCTCCGAATTCTCCTTTGCAATAAAACTGTGTACTACAAATAGCGATAAGGAAGACAGCAGAAGCTAGAGGAAAGGGAACGTTGAGTAGTTTACGCTATCTGGCCTACGGATAACTTTTTTGGAGAAGAGAAAAAGGCCTACAGCGCGCCGCTCACACTGGCTGTCGACACGGCGCATTCCAGCCTGCCACGTAAAAAAAGCTCCAGTGTGCCGCATTTTCGGGCTAATCACGGCCGAAATCTGGTGATCCTGGAGTTCTCAGTGGACGGAATTTTGCCTTGTCCGACCACCCGCTTGCTGCGCGACTTTATATCCTCCCGCGCCTTCCAGACCGGCCGCCTTTCCCACCACCCCACGCAGTTTTCCTCCTTGCATTCCCCGTATACTACTGCTTGTACTGCCCGTATCATGACGAATCGCGAAGAGGCAGCTACTGAGACAACGCCCCTGGTCGGGAACACATCTGCTGCAGAGCTCGAGGCAGCCAGCCAGCGCAGGCGCGATGAGCTCAAGGGGTACGTTTTCATGGCGCTCTCTGCACTCGGGTTCGCAACAAACTCGGCTTGTGTCAAGGCGCTGGCCATTGCAAACTTCCCGTCCCTCGAGATCGTGTTCGCCCGCAGCGTTGTTCAACTCGCGCTGGGTCTTCTTGGCTGCCTGTACTACCGTGTGAGCCCCATGGGCCCAAGCAACGCGAATGGGCTCCGCAAATGGCTGGTTCTGCGTGGTGCCGCCGGCGCATTCGGAAACGCCTGCTTCTTCTATGCGGTCTCGGTCATGACGCTCGCCGATGCCACTGTTGTATTCTTCACCGGCCCAGTGTTCAGTGCGATTTTCGCCAATATCATGCTTGGCGAGCCCTACGACGGGTTCGACAAGATTGCGTCAGCCGTCTGCATGTTGGGCATTGTGCTTGTGCTCAAGCCCAGTGCACTCTTCTCCGAGCATCTTGGTATGCTTGGCGAGATGCACCAGGTGCGCGGTGCTGCTGCTGCCCTGATCGGCGCCATGTCTGGTGCTCTAGCCTATTGCGTGGTTCGCAAGGTTGGCCGCGGCGTGCATGCCATGGTGCATGTCGTGTACTTTGGGTTCCTGTCGTTTGTTGGCTCGTCTATCGCCATGTTTGCGTTCCAGAATCCACGCCTGCCACAGACTACCTACGAGTGGACGGTGATGGCCATGGTTGGCTCGTTCGCATATCTGGGCCAGGTCCTACTGAACCGCGGGCTCCAGCTTGCCCCTGCTGGTCCAGGCACCCTGATGCGCAACATGGACGTTGTTTTCGCTTTCCTGTTTGGCATCACGCTGTTTGACGAGGTGCCAGACTGGATTAGTGTCCTGGGTGCAGCTGTCATTGTTGGATGTACCATTGCGATGGGCCTACACAAGTGGTTCAGTCACACTACCTAAAATAACATATAAATGTCCTGCTCGGTCTCGCATTGTAGTAGCTCTGTTTTTAAGCCTCTATCCGTGATTAAAGAGAGCTTTCAGCAGTGGGTTGATTTTGCAGCATCTCCAAGTCGACGCTCATCGAGAACTGCATGAGATAACCACTTCATCACAAGCCGCTGCTTAAGATAATAAACGCTGTGCTTGACTTTGGCGTGGTAACCAAATGCGCCATTCGCGCTAAATGCGCTCGACTTGCCATATATGGAATCTGCCAGCTTCTGGTTCATATGTGCTTGAGGATTTGGGCGCATGCGCAAAGGCTGCACTGGAGAGGCTGGTCTGCCAAGGCCCACCCGGTCCCGCTGCGCAGTGTTGACATGGGCGCCACCGCGTCTCCCCCATGCCAGATGCCTGCCCGCCCGGCCAAACACACCAGACAATGTGAGGACACAGATAGAGGCGCCCAAGTTCAGCTCGAACCATGTTTTGTTCCAAAATCCTCAAAAACACCACCTGGTGGCCGCAAACACGCCTGGCCTTGGGGAATAGAGTGGTTGAGAAGGCTGGGAGGCGGATGAATCAAAAGTGGATATGCGAGCAGCCAAGCGCTCGAGGGCAAAGGGGCTTGGTTGGTGGATTTGGCGAGTGTCAAACATCCCCCGCCAAACCCCTCGTTGTGGAAGGGTGCCACGCATTGTTCTCAGCTGGAGCTTCAAGCACTAGTTGCGTGCAGCAAGGAACGTGGTAAAAAGCCAGGCACCAAGCACCGAGCTCAGTCCCTACCCTTCCCGATACTGCTGCATTTCGACGGCGCAGCACTGCAGGCCCTATTAATAGCAGGCGCAATATATTAGCTACTATATCGTGCATATAAGCGCCCTTTCCATGCTGCTCTCCCATCCTAGGCACTGGTGTAGGGCTTACATTCCCCAGGTTGGAGCCTGGGGAACCGGGCTGCGTGTGGACCGCGGCTTCCTGTTCAGGACCGAATGCAAGCGAGCCTTGACAAGCAGAACCGCTTCTGATTTGTTTGTAGCCGGTTAAGGTTCTGACCGCAACTGCGCATTGTGCTTGGCTGCGTCGCTTGGCTCAACCATGCACCACCGCCTTTCCTATTCGGGCGAGAGTAGTTTGTAGATTCATTCAGCAGATTTAGAGTGTAAACAGTGATAGCCTTGCTTTGTCCTCGCCCACCCATCGTGCTCCAACCATCTTGTGTCCACCACCAACAATTAGCGGCCGCTGTGAGAACTCGCATGTGCCTTGTATTCTCCAGACCGTTTTGACCTGGATTCTCTGAACTTGTTGTTTCCGTTGCGATGAGGTTGCCCGCCAGCGCAGCGGAGCAGCAAACATGCTGGATGCCAATGCATTCTTCTGCTTACGAGCGGCTAAAAGCTAGAAAGGTTTTTTAGCCAGCCTCCCCACGCATTCACATTACGGGCCATTGTTTGCTGCTTGCAAGTGTGCTCGTGGGACCGGCGTGGGACCGTCTCCCAGGCCATGTATAAATGGCTCCTGTGCAGCCCTGGGTTCTGCACTATACCCTCAGATTGTTCCACATCGCATCCGACATCACCGCATCCTCCATTCCCTGCACACTCAGACCTACCAAACCACACCACCATCACCTGCTCAAGCGATGTATTCGACCTCTACCGCACCACTTGGTCTGCCCAGCATGCCCCGCAACATCTGCCATCGCTCATTCTCGGTCACAAGTGCCAACGGGACTCGTGTCAGCCTGCTCAACGAGGACACCCCTCAAGACCTTAGCTGCCGCTCGTCGATTCCTGGGCTGACACCCGACCAGTCGCCTCTCCTGCGCAGCTGCTCCAACTCACCGCTTCCCTTCCCACCGCTCAACTTTTTAGCCGATGCATGCCACATGGCCAGCTCGTGTGCCAAGCCGCTGCACAGGCAACCGCAAAGGGTCCTGAACCCTATGCCCCTGGTACTCCCGCCATGCACTCGCATCATTCCCCGGACAATTACAGTGCGCAAGTACAAGTGCTCGCACCCCGGCTGCGGAAAGGCATTTACGACCAGTGGCCATCTCTCACGCCACCATCGCATCCACACAGGCGAGAAGAACTTTGTATGCCTGCATCCCAGCTGCAATAGCCGCTTCTCGCGCCAGGACAACATGATGCAGCATTACCGCACACACCTCTCCCCTGGAAGCCGCCGTCCACGCAGCACGCACGCTCCCCACCCGTTCTAATTGAAATGTTCACCCTTGTCATGCGCTCCATTCCTCCAATGTGGCATATAGTATCCGTTGTTATTAATATAGTATTCTATTGTCCAATTTCCATTGCATTTGTAAGCATTGCAGAGATAGCCATATTCGCAGTATATCATGGATAGTACAAGAGTATGACGAGTAATATAGACCTATGAATGCACAGCATATGGTAAAGGCAGCTATCTGTGGGTATATATTCATGAACAGTTGAATTTTATGTGTAGTTCTGATGGCAAAAGTGAACCGTCTGCATTCGCACCAACTTGTAAACTATCTGGTTTGCGCGTAAATCACCTTTTGTTCATAGTTATCTTTCACTTTCTTCTTATCCTACCAGTATCTTTACCCATATATAAGATTTTATAGTCCAAAAAGTAACCAACCGTCCGCTAGAACCTCTTTAATTGAACAATTCAGGCTCTTTTGAGCCTCAAAGCGAGCATGTGCGACTCGCTCTGTAAACTCTTAACAGGGTTCTTTTATGGCCGATGGATTCAGACCTTAAGGTGACAAATATTTCTTCAAAGCACTAGAAAAATCGAATCCGGAACCGTAGTTATACCAAAGTACCATTCATTTCAGTTCGCATTTTGTAGATGCAGTACTGTACTAAGCAAACCACCCAATCCCTGCATCCTCGGCACTCAAACTTGGAACCACTGGCTTGCTGGCCAACACATATCCTACATATAAAAGCGGCATTCCCTGTATCGCCCACCTTTTCTAATACCTCCTTCCCCTCCACACATTCTGACTTCCCTACAAACCCCTCCTTTAGATTCCGTTATTTAATCTTCGTGGGTACCAGCCGTGGCATACCTCGGTACCGGGCTTGTCTCCGTGACGTGTATGGGCAGCCACTCGATGGATACGTCTGACTACGCAAGAATCACCCGCCCTGGACAATGGGATGAAACACCACTTTTGCTCTGCAACCTTCCGCAATAAACATTGTTATACCATACCTACAGGCTGGCTGCATTGAGCTCTCTTGGGCACATACCTCCTGCTATGCCAGACAGGCAATACTCCTGCAAGGTTTCGCTACTGATTCTGCTCCTGATGGGTCTGGTGCCACCCAGATTGCAAGTAAGCAGGCAGGCAAGCCAAGAAGCGCCCAGCCGCTGCCAGCAACGGCAAGCCAATGCAGTAACGCCAGTGCTGATCAAGCCCTCACCAGGAGTTTTTGAGCTTTCTGGGAAATTGCTATCGGCCTTGAGCGGTGAAGTCGTATGCTAGATTTCCTGCCACATTACAAACTGTCTAAACCATACGGACTAGCTGAGCTCGCATCGCGAGCACCAGAGGTCTAGTTAGACAATAGCAAAGACACTGCTGCCATGGTTATAAATGGGTGCAGGTAGCAATTGCGTTGGCTGACATGGCATTGGCATGTTACGTGTCGCCGGCTGCGCAACAAGGGGAGTTCAACACAAGCTCTGAAAAAAACGTGTATGTGATCAGGCCAGCTGAGCCGCAGCCATTTTCTTGGCTCGACGAGCTGAGTCGAAAAATAAAAAATCGGTGCCTCAGCCACTCAGGGCTGAAAACAAACCAGCAGTGACGACGGCGGTTTTCTCCTCAGCTTCTCCATTTTCGCTTGCTCATTCTTAGGTTTTGTAATTGAAAATCAACCAAGCGAAAATATTGAACCATGCAAGGTTCTGACGGCCTATTGGGAGCCAATTACGTGCTCACCACGATTGGTGAGAATGAAACAAAGGCAAGTGTGGGTTTGTCGAGTTCAGTCCAAAAGCGATGCTCGTCGCCAGAAGCCCAATGTGGTATAGTTTTCTTCTCAATTAAAATGAGCAAGTGTCTTGTTTTCAGTGTGTAGCGTATCCAGCTTCACCAAGTGAAGGCTGATACCTGCGTGCGCGTTACCAGCGAGCCATTCTCGTCGGCACGGCGCAGCACGCCCGCATATTCCCGGCTCTTGGCGCTGTCTAACAAATACGGGTATATTGCTGTCGGGGCACCTTCAGGAATCAGCGTTTTTACGACTGCAGATGCGGAAGCAGCACTTGTCAGCGGTGACGCGCCTGGTGACGGTGAGCCCGTTGTTCTGGCGAAGCGAAGCGAGATCAGTGTGGGCAAGGTCACGCATGTAGCTCTCAGTGCTGACGAGCTCTCGGTCATTGTGGCATTGGCGACTGGCTCGGTTCTGGTGTTCGCGGTGGGCGACCTGCTTGTCAGCCCCGATGCGAAGCCATCCATGACCATCGATGTGGACGACGAGATCCGCGACTTGCGACCCAATCCACTGGAGATGCCAACGCTGGTAGCAGTACTGACGCTGAGCGGTGCCGTTCTGATGGCGGATATCGCACAAGGGACGACAACGAGGATCACCAGCAATGCAGACTCAAGGGTTACTGCTATTTGTTGGTCCCGGAAGGGCAAGCAGATTGTGTGTGGAGATACCGATGGTGTTCTCACGCAGCGGGCACCCAACGACGGCGCAGCCAAGCGCACCATTCAACCACCGGCCACAGAGAACCATCCCAGTTCATTCGCTGTGTTGGCCGTCGACTGGATCGAGACCTACACGTTCATGGCCATCTATGGCGAGTTCCCGCCTGGCGGTTTCGTGTCTGGCAATGGCGGCGGCGGTAATGGATCGGCTGATGACGAGGACGAGTTTGAACAAGTCCAAACTGCAGCGTACATTATCACGCAGGCCAAGAAGCAGGCGCCCATGCACTGGAAGTATATCGAGGATCCATGCACGGCAATGGATTTCCCAATGCGCTACCCGGGCTTCCACTTTGCTAGCATCTACGATTGGGGAGCAAGCGTGCCGCACATGCAGTTTTTGACGAGCACGGGCTCGACCGATGTCAAGACGATTGCACACTGCCTGCCAGGCGTGCTTGAGGGCGGTGATGCTGGTAGCGATGGGCCTGACTGGTGCGATCTGGATACTGACCCGTTCCGTGGGCAGTTCCCACTAGCGGTGGTCAACACCGAAGAAAATGATACGACGTCGCTAGGCATGGCCATTGACTTCACCAGCACTCGTGATCTGCCGCCGCTTAACCCCGAGGATTCGACGGCGCCCATGCCACCGCAGCCCATCCTATGGATCCTAACCACTGACGGCTGTCTGCTTGGGTATTATGTCTACAACACGGTCGAGATTGAGCGCGGCCAGCAGTGCACGGGCATGGTCAAGCAGGTGCAGCCACTGCCTGGAGCCGCAGTATTGCCGGCCACTTCCGCCAAAACTCAGGCACCGGCTGCGGAGAAAGAGGAGGAGTCATCGCTGATATCTGGATTCGTCAAGTCCAAGGCATTTGGCGGTACTTTCTCGTCGATTCTTGCTCCAAAACCCAGCAGTGGCTTGGGTAGGACGCCAGGATTTGGCACGCCCAAGGAGTTTAAGCCGTCGTTTGGGCCAGCGGGCGCTTCAGCGTTTGGGATGACAACGAAGGTGGCGCCAAACTCTAACGCGCCTACGACGTTTGGTATCAGTGGGCAGCGCACGTTCGGTCAGGTGGGGGCATCGGCAGGGGCCGCTGGTGCGACGTCGTTTGCAGCACTGGCAGAGAAGAATTCAGGGTCATCCGGCAGCATATTTGACCAGCCAGCCAGCGGCCCGTCGCTTTTTGACCAGCCACCGTCAAAGTTCGGCTCGAGCATGGCCAAGAAGCAGTCGTTCTGGGGGGAACCAGTTGTAGTGGCGCCTGCCAAGAAGCCCGAGCCTGCATCGACCACCAGCTCAAAGGCTGGTGCCAATATACCGGCCAGTGTTGCCTTTGGCAGTGCAACTGGTGCTGGGGTAGTAAAGGGATCGGTGTTTGCGCAGTCGCGCAAGGTTGGTGAGTCGAAACCAGCAGACACAGCGGTAGCTGAAACCAAGCCCGTGACCTCGATGCCGATGTTCTCGACTGCCAACCTATTGAAGCCCAGCTTGTTCAAATCCCCCAAGCAAGGCAAGGGCGATGTTGCCAGTCCCTTTGCGATTAAGAAGTCACCTGAGGCGATCGAGAAGCACGTCTCCTTTGCTCCTATCCCGTCGAAGAAGACCGATGCGCCCAAGCCGCCCACTGCCGAGGAGATTGCAGAGGCGAAGAAGCTTGCAGAGGCCGAGCAGAAGCGGATTGACAAGGAGCGCCGCGCAAAGCAAGCCGAGGTGGAGAGACTGGCTGCTGAGGAGCAGAAACGCGCCGAGAAAGAACAGCGGGCCAAGGAGCGCGAGGAGCACCGCCTAATCCAGGAGCAGAAGCGTCACGAGGCGGATGAGCGCCGCGCCGAGAGGAGGCGCCGCGGTGAGCTGCGTCAGGACCTCAGGCGTATGTCCAGCCAGCTGGTCAGAAACCAGTTTGTTTTGACCCTGAACAAGTTTGACAGCGAGCTGAAGCAGTTCAAGAAGTCGGTGCGGCGGTCTCGCCAGACGATCAAGGGAGTCCATGCAGCCACTCTGCCGCCGATCGAGATCGACGAGTCGGTGACCAAGCTGGCGTCAGCTACGGTGCGCCTCGAGTCTTTGAGCATCGGGGATACCGGGGCCTGGAACAGCTTTGCCGATGTGCTGGCTGGTGCTCTGTTGCAGTCGCGCAAAGACCTGGAGAGCAGCTACAAGGGGATACGAGACGAGCAGGCAGATCTGTCTCGAATCGACACCCGCGGCAGTGAGATCAAGCGCATTCTGGAGTCTGCCAATTCGATGCGTGCAGCGCCCAATGCGACTGTCGATGGCGGAATGAACCCGCTGCAGCGCGAAATCCATAGGCGCCTCCAAAAGAACCTCACTGCCATCAAGGACAGCTCGGAGCGCGCTAGGGAGCTGGTCGAGGCTGTGGAGGCCAATCGCCAGTGCTCTGATGGCTTGCTTGGCAGCAGCCTGCTTGGCCCATCGCCCGAATCGATCGATCGAAAGATGAAGAGCATCGACAAGTCGCTGGCCACGAACAAGGATGCGCTCGATAGGATTGCCAAGGAGCTCAACGAGATGAAGGTGAGTGAGCTGTCGGCCGAGGAGGCCCAGAGGAGCTCGCGCATGGCGCGTGAAACTCTGGACCGGGTGATCGCGACTCCCGCGCAGGCTGATACGGGAGCCCCGCTGCGGGCTGCTACCGACGGCCAGCCCTGGTCGCCACACGCGCTGCCATTTGCTGCTGCTGATGAAGGCGAATCTGCCGACCCGCTGCGTACGCCGATCAGAAGTCCGACGCAGAATCCGCACTATCCGCACACGCGAGTGCGCACACTGACGCGCCGCTCGGTTAAGCCCACTCGCCGCCAGTCGTTGGTTCCCGATAGCGAGATAGCAGATCTCGAGCTGATGGCTACTGGAGACGTCGGCAACAAGGTGTCGAAGCCATCTGCAGCAACGGCGTTTATCCAGGCTCGACGCCGTCGCGCCTTGGTGAGTGAGGCCCTGACTGGTAACGCGCGTAGCGCAGCAGTCGTCCTGATCGCAAAGACGCCAAAGAGTGCACGGTATCTGGCAATGGACGGCGAGGAGAGCATAGTACCAGAGCCTCTGCTCATGCCAAACATGGAGCGGTATGTCGAGGCTTTTGGAAGGCTGAATCCTGATGGTGGGGAAACGGTGGGTGCCGGTCTGGAATCGGACTACGAGGAGACTTCCGATTCTGAGCAGGCAGTAGAAGAGGCTGAGGCAGATGGTGCCCAGTGGCCGCAGGTCGAACCGGTTTCCGACTACGAAGATGACGAAGAGGAAAGGCCAAGTACGGAGTGGGAGACAGAGACTGAGGGGGAGTCTGAGACAGAGACTGAGGAGGAGTCGGATGGGGAGCAGAGCGCAGAATCCGAGTCTGGGGAGGAGCAAGAGGGAAGGCAGAAAAAGACAGCCGAGAGTGATGGTGGCAAGGAGCCTGTAGATGGAGGCTCGGCAAAGGACACCGCTGCACCGGCCGTGGCTTCCAAGACGGTAGCGTTCAGCAGCCCTGTACCCAATCTCCCGGCAGGCACCGTTTGGCAGTGCGAGAAGTGCAGCATGTCGAACACTGGCCCTTGGAGCAAATGCAGTCGCTGCAATGCACCAAAGCCCTCAGCGACGAGCGAGGCCAAATCCGAAGAACCCAAGCTTGCGGTAAAGGCGGATGCTGCGGATGCAACAGAGAGGGCTTTTACACCTCTGTCAGCCAGTGGTTTCAAGGTGGCGGCGGTCGAGGATGGCAAGTGGAAGTGTTCGACATGCGACCTGCTCAGTCCTAACTCTGCATCCAAGTGCACTGTCTGCGAAGCGCCAAAGCCTGGAGCGGTTACCGATGAGGCGACGAAGGCTGGCACACCAGCTATGCCTTCATTTGGCAGCTTTAAACCTACTGGTGGATTGCAGTTTGGGACCAGCAACACATCGGTGTTTCAGGCCACACTCAGTGATACTGGCGGGTTCAAGAGATCGTTCCCTGGATTCGTGCCGCCTGGGGCCGAGAAACCTGCCGCTGGGCAGGATGTAACCTCGCTGGCAGGCATGACCACTGGTACCGGTGTAGGCGTTCCTGGGTCAAGTGGTGCTGGTATCTCCACGCCACTGTTCCGTGGATTCGTGCCGCCTGGTGCAGAGAAGGCTGCTGCAGATAAGAGTTCGAAGGACACTGCAGCACGGCATGAAAGCAAGACGGCTGATGCTGATGCGGGTGTACCTGGGTCAAGTGGTGTTGGTATCTCCAAGCCACTGTTCCGTGGATTCGTGCCGCCCAGTGCAGAGAAACCTACTATCGAGGAGGATTCGAAGCGTGCTGGTGCACCGGATGAAGGCAAGACGGCTGATGCTGATGCAGACGTGCTTGAGGTGGGTGGTGAAGTGGATCAAAAAAAGGAAAGCCATGATTCGGAAAGTGGATCGGACGATTTTGCCCATGTTAGTCAGCAGACAGAGAGCCAGGCTGAGGACATCGCTGACGAACCAGCGGAATCGGATGGCGAGGAGTCTAAGCAGGACTCTGCTTCAAGGCCGGCACCTACCAAGGATGTGCAAATGTCTCTAGCGCTGGCTGAATCTGCGCCGTTGGACACGGATTACGACCGGATCAGCCAGGGAAAGGTTGCACAGGCTGGACTCGACAGAGTGGAGGTGCCATCGGCTGCGATTACTGTTGAGAGCGCAAGGGTCGAGGATATTGCCAAATCGGCATTGGCAGTTGGCAGCGATGCGCAAAACGAGCACAGCGACGTGCCTGCTACTTTGCCAATTGTTGAGAAGGCGAAGGTTGAGGATATTGTAGAGTTGGCGCTGCCAGCAGGCAAAGGCAAGCCTGCATTGGAGATTTCTGAATCGGCCAAAGTTCAGCTAAACGCTGACTACGACAAGATCAGCACTCCCAACGAGTCGCTAACGACTGAGCAACAGAAGGCTGCCGAGGGCAGCTGTTTGGACCAGGTTGTTCCTGAAGAGGCTCGAGCCGTTGATGCTATTGCAGGTGCTTTGGTTGAGGACGTAGTTGAATCGGCACTTCGCTCTGCTGCTGATGTGGGCAGTGAGGACGATGCTGCTGCTGTATTCGAGCAGGCAGTTGCTGAGGTTGCCGGTCAGCCTGGCGCCAACGATACTATTTGCACTGGAGTCGATGTGACCATCAAGAGTGACGATGCCGCCAATGGCGCCCAGAAGCCGTCCGCAGATGTGGCCACTAGCGAGGACGCTACACAGTTGGCCGACGTCGCGGAACCCAAGACGGAGTCTGAGGCCAAGGAGGACACAGAGGGAACTGATTCGACTGCGTCAGATAATGAATCGGACGATTTTATCCATGTTAGCCAGCAGGCAGAGAGCCAGGTCGAGGAAATTGCTGACAGAATGGCACCCGATGCGGGCGGTGCGATCCAGGCTGTTGCTGCTATCACTGGGTCTAGTGCTGCTGATGCTTCTGGCGAAAGCAGCGCAGAGCAGACTAATGAGCTGTCAGAGCTGGAGCGCGTGGATGTCGATCAGCTAGTTCGTGGTGTCTCCGTCGAGGATATTGTTGCTGCCGCAGTTCCTGCACTTATCTGTTCGTCGTCTGTGCTGGAGGCACCGGAGCACGCACGCCAGCAGGCGGGTAGTGCTGCTGTGGAGGGCATCGTTGAGAGTGGCTCTACGAATGTAGTGGATGCGGCATCCGTCGAAAATGATGCTGCGGAACAGCCTATGAGCCACATTGCTACAGAAGCTGATGTCGATGAATCGCAGCCGTCGGATGATTTCGAATTCTTGTCACACCCAGACAGCTTTGATGGCACTGGCCGCATATCCCAGGCCGATCTCAGGGCAGAGTCGGCACCAGCAGCGCTGTTTGGTATGGATGCCATTTCGTCGAGCCTTGATGATGCAGCGGCAAATATCGTGTCTGATGCAGATACCGAAGAAGTCGAGGAAAGCGACGACGACGACGACGTGCCGAATATTGCTGCCGAGACGCCTCCGCCTGGCATGTCTCCATCACCAGCTCCTGGCGCATCGTCTCTTTTCAAACAGTCGTCTCTCTTCAGAGAGCCATCAGCGTTTGGCCAGAAGCCTTCGGCGCCGGCGCCTAGTACTTCGTCGGGTGTGTTCAAAAAGGGTGCATTCGGGAACTTGGGCAGCTTTGGAGGAAACCCCAAGTATGTCGTTGCTTCAACGGACGCCAGCACGTCCGGACTGCCCAACGCATTCTCGAGCACAGCCGGGAGGACACGCATGCCGGAGTTTGGCTCGAAACTCGGCAAGCCAGCGTTTGGCGTGGCGTCAATGACTCAAGTGAAGCGCATTGTGTCGCCCACTGCTGGTGCAGCGATGGGGACATTCGGCAGCAAGTCGTCTGGATTTGGAGCTGCGTCTGACGCCTCGATCAATCCGTTCGACAAGTACAAGGAGGCATCGTCAGACCAGGCTTTGGGTGGCCCGAACCCTGCAGCTGTGTCGCCAAATGTTGCGTCTCCGAGGACGACAAGCAAGAACACGCAAAAGCCAGGCAAGCCAGGCAACGGCATGGACGATCCAGTGCGCAGGATGATCGAGGGGAGTGACTACGAGGACAACTCAGAGGCAGAGCTCGGCGACGAGTCTGACTGAGGAGGGTCGCTGCTTGTACTTGCTTGGTTATCAATATATCAGCATTTTGTTCGTAAAATTGGCAGTCCTAAGAGCTATACAGATCCTTGAGTAGCCTGCTGCACATGTCCAGAGTGTTGATGTTGGACACAGAGCGCACAGAAATTCGGGGCGGGGTTCGCTGGTTCACGAGCACATTCTGGCGGTTGAGCCGCAGCGGCTGCTGTCTGATTGCCTGCGGGCCGTTTGGTGCTGCCTCTGCCCAGCCAACAACACGCAAGCGCCTACTGCTCGCCACTGCGCGACTGGCAGCTGCAGTAATTGGCGAGTGCTCTGACTGCGGATTCCACATGAGCTGGCCATTCCACGATTGGGCAGCTGAGCAGCATATGCCGTCGAAGTCCTGGTCAGTCATGCCGAGCATGAGGGCAACATCGCACCTGCGGCTCAGTACCAGACATGAAATCCCGCTACCGTCCGTGGCCCAGCAGCACGCTTCGGTGATGCAAGCGATCGTCTGGCCAGATGCCGATGACGACAGCCGGTGTCGCTTGCTTGGGCACGAGCAGCGCATTGCACAAACACGCTGCTTGCATTTACGGCACGCGACAGAGATAGCCACATGCTCGATCTTGGTGATCTGGCAGATCAGCTCTACTGGGTATGCACGGTCTGCTGCAGACGACATGTGCAGGTCGCCAATGCACCACCGGCGTGCTGGTGTGGTGCTCTGGGATGGCCGTTCGCCGCCTGATGAAGGTGTACCCGAGAGGTCTGCCTGCTGCAGCGGTGGCACGATCGCCTGGGCAAACGTTGACAGCGTGCCTGACAGGTAGATGCTTTTGCGCGTTTGCGACACACTGACGATCAGGTCGTGGACCACAAACCGAGCGCCTTGCACCACTGCAAGCGGGTGCGAGAAGCTGGCAAGCTTGAGGTAGACAGGGATAGATTGCTCTGGACTGTCCTCGTCACATAGCGTAATGCGATTACTGAACACGCCCGAGACTGGTCGAGGCGATGCGCTGTCTGCCACCGTATTCGGCTCGGGTAAAAGCGGCTCCAGGAACACAATGTCGGACACACTGCGGTCGACCACCGTTCCGCGTACAGTGATCAGGCTATTTGGCGAGCACCCGTCCTTGGCCTGCAGCACTTCAGCTACAGAGTACACCTTGGGGCCACTGATCAGGCTCAGGGCCGCTGCAGCGTCGGTGGTGACATTGCACTGCACGGCTGGCAGGTGTACGGGCTGTGTCGAGACGTCTACAATGAACGGCACCACGCTGACTGTTTGCCACGGCAGGTCCGCTGGACTGCCGCTAGCCCTAAACTCAGCCTGCACTGGGATCGCAGAGTCGGCAGAGCCAAGTGTGATGAGCAGGACCTGCTCATGCTGGCTGCTGTCGCCGCTGCGCACATACTGCAGCGATGCTGTGCTTTTGATGCAGATGAGGTAGGCACTGCCAGGGGCCAGCAGCACAGACTGGCGCTTGAAGTCAACCATGAGCAGACACCTCCGAACGCTGGCGGCAGGGATATCGCCGAGATCAAAGGGCTCGTCTACTTCACCGCCCAAAGATGCCAGCACGGCTTGCGCATCCTGTTTGGTGACTGGAACAGCAATGCCCTTTGCTGTGTATCCCATTGACCGCTGGCTGTCGGCTGCCTCTGTGACTTTTGCGCCTTCGGGACCCGCATGGCGTGTCCTGTTTACTGGCGCTGCATTGCCACGTGCATGCACTACTACAAGGAGGCATTCGGCGGAGCTCAGCAGAGGATCACTGCTGATCGCATGGCCAAACGATGTGTCAAAGTGAAGGAGTACTGGCGAAGAAGCGGCCGCATATACGAGGTCGAAGGGATTGACGCCATGCTTGGCGATGCGTTCGACGGAGAATTGCCAATGCATCCATGCAGCGACATGGCCGATCAGTGCCTGGCCCGGGAAGAGCACCCGGTGAGTGTCGCCAATGCAGCTTGCATCCGGATGGACCCGGATCCTCGCTGTTGCGTCTGCCAGGTACAGCGATCCGCGGGTATCCAAGGTGAGCCGGCCTACCAGAGCCGTGGTCGTTTGTTGAAGATCCTCGGGGCTGACGTGGCTGACACTAAACTCTGGCATGTCCTCGTCGCTTGCTGCAGATGCAAGGGGCAGACTCGAAAGATTCTCCCGGCTCCACTTGATGAAGCGCGATGCGACGTCGCTCAGAGCAACGATGCGGGTAGGAAAGTGCGACCGTGGCGTCTCAGCTCGGCAGCTGGCGTCGTGGGCGAGGAATTCTGCGTACAGGTTCCTCGACGTGGCAGGGGCTCCAGCGACGGTGGGCACGCCAGCCCAGCGCATGGCAGAATCGAGCAGCTCCCGGCGTATCAGCTTGCCGTCAGCCTGCGGATCGTAGCCCGCCACCATGCCGCGAGGGAACTTTTTGCTGAGCTTCCAGAACGCCTCTGCCGTCTCAATCATCTGCACTAGCCCTTGCGCGTTTCTCGCCAGCAAAGACGCCATCTCGCTGTCAATGGCCGTTGCCATAGCAGCAGAATTGCCGGTGCCAGAAAAGTCGGTGACCCGCACAGACGTCCGTGCGCAGGCACCAAAAACCAGCAGCCGCTGCTTGCTGGGCTCGGCAGTGTCGCCAGGCAGTGCTCGCTTGATCCACTCCCACTGGTAGCCAGCCGAGTTTGACAAAAGAATGATATGCGAGTTCTCCACCAGTATTCTTGTCCCTGTCCGCAGAACCGTCAGCGGTGACAGCAGTGGCCAGTATGTGAGGATCAGCATATGGCAGTCATCGACGACGTAGATGCCGAGCACCAGGTCGACAATCCTGGTTACGACTCCAGCGTAGCTCTCAAGCTTGCCCTGGTTCACAAACAAGTGGGGGTCACGCCATGTGTTTAAGGGCGGTCCGGCTGGCACGCGCTCAGGCCGCGAAGCCCAATTTCCCGGTGCCTGCGACGTGTCTGTCCTCTGCGAGCTATCGGCAATCTGCTCCAGCAGCATGTTCTGCGAGGACTGCGTAAAGTGCGACGACCGCTGCGACGAGGGCTGCTGGTCGCCCCAAACAAAAGCCACAGAATCCTCGATGCGGAATGCCTGGGAGTCGAGTGATGTAATGAAGATTGCCTGCGAGTGATCGCTTTCAGCGAAGGGCGCTCTGGCACGCAGATGGTCGACAAACAGCGAGTCGCCGGCGCGCAGTGATGCAAAGAGGCCCAGAAATCGCGCACCAACCAGCAGCACTGAGAAGCTGCTAATTGGGTCCATGGCCGATGATTCGACGGCGATGCAGACAAAAAACCCAACGTCCTCCGATGCGGTGACTAGCAGCGACCCCATTGCATCAACTCGCCCATATACAGCATGGCTGTGGTGGTGCGTTGGGTCCGGACTTGGACTGCGCTGTGCCTGTTGCAATATATGTGCCCCACGGGTTGCACTGATAGGAGGCGATACACGAATTGCCGATTGGATCTGGTCAGTAGTGTCGGGCACAGGGGCCTGCTGAGCGGTCCACCATGAGTACGGCTGCTTGTTTTTGGGCATGTCCATTTGCGATGGCACCAGTACGGGGTCAGCCAGGATCTCTATATATGCCCAGGCAAGGCGCTCTCTGCCGCTTAACTGGCGAGGCGGCGGGATGTACCGCCAGCGTGTGAGCAGCACATATACGTGGTCGGCAAACCATGATGGGTGGGGATCCACAGCGCAGCATCGGATCTGCGCTCCACAGGAGTCGACCAGCACGATGGATCCAGCGGGCAGGTGGAACGGCTCAGTGGCCAGCTGCTCTGTCCGACTAGCCACGCGCAGCTTCCCCAACAGCGCCCCGCCGACAAAGCCATCCTTGCTCAGCGCCTGCTGCCTTCGCACATCGTCCAGGCGGCGAATATCTACCACGGCTGATGGCCCCATGTCGTGTCATGTAGTGGGAAGAGAGTGCAGGGTTGGCTAGGGGCAGAGGGGCTATGAAATCAAGCGGGCTCGCTGCCGAATGGTCTACACGTAGTTTCCTGATAATAAAATAAGCCGGGCGATCCGGATGAATATGGAGGCAGAATTTCTTGTTGAACTTGATTTTTTTTCCTCTACAGGAGCTTGTTCGGCGGCCTGAAACCTCCTATCTCCGGCCTCGCTCGCTCCCCCAAAATGAAGAAGACGTCCATCTTGCTCCTGGGCAGAAACCTGGCATGTCTGCTGTTGAGAGGGTCCGAACGGGCTATTGATTATGCACAAGCATGCTCCTGTGCGTGCCGCACCCAGAAAAACGAGTGCCCCAGATTCCGCTCTACAGCGCGCCCCGCCCTGGTCGCCTGCCGATACACAGAGGGAATTCTCATGGCATAGCCCTGTGCGGTGCCAGCCAGCTGGTGCTGGCGTAGGTTTTTGTGGGTGGGATGTGGGCTGATTGCCATAAAAAGCTCGCATGCTGCTTGCGCGTCGGACAGGCGTACAGTCGCAGGACTTGCCAGCGCTGCATACGTTGCACATCCTGCTGTGAAGCGTCCTTCCTGGGCAAAGCCATGTAAAAACGATTGCCACCGCTGACGTCAGAGGGCGAGAGGGAATTGCCTGCTGCTGCCAGCGCCTGGCTTGGTGCGCCGGAGCAATCGTGGATTTCTTGCAACAGCGCGGCGGATATTATTCTGGTCGAGAAATTGACCGGCGATAAGGACGGTGCGCATGGACGCGCCCGGACTAGCAGCTGCAGCCGTATTTCACGCGCCCAGTCGATTATCTGGCGTCCCAGCCATGTGGAGTAAAAAAAACCACGCTACCCTGCTGGCGAGATAAGCCAGACAGGAAATTACGGGGCAGCCGAGCGCTTTTGCATCATCGAAAGGCTGGGTGCGCGCCCGCTGGCCAGCCTGACGCTTTGAAGTGCGGGGCTCAGGATTGGCAGTGCATGGCTGCCGCTTTAGGAAGGCGCTTTGATGGGCCATTCTGCAACCGTCGCGGCAGCGCGATCCGCCCGCCTCTGCTCTATGGCCCGCGGCCCAGTGTTCACGGGCCAAACTGGCGCCCTTATTCTCCGCGTTGCGCCAATGGGCAAATTGCCCACCGTTCCTCGGCAAGAAAAAGTCAACCTGCAATGCGCCCCTCCCCATCTGCCGCTGCGCGCCTGCTACTGTTTGCCCACGGGGCGCCGTTTGTGATTAGCCGCCCGCAATTATTTAAAGGGACTGAATCGGCCAGGGGAGGAACACAATGAAAGCGTGCACCAGTTCCCTAACCAACCCCCTTTCTGCTTTGCTTCCGCCCAGCTGCTCTGTTTTCTGCACTCTCTACTCCTGTTCACTGGTACAACTGTAATTATTCCAACCGCAACGACCCATCGCCATGGAACTGCGAAAGACGCTTCTGGTCCTGGGCACGCTGCTGTGCGCGCAAATCGCTACTGCAAACCAGCTCTGGCACCAAGGTACGTGACGAAGCCGCCTGGCCCGAACAGCTGGACGCCCTCCCTCCCCCGCAGCAAAATAACACATGCTAACGCCGTAGTACCAGCATCATAGTTAACCGCTACGATGAGAACGGCGCCGAATGCCCGCTGAGGCAGGCATACAACCAGACGTGCTATTCGCTCTGCGTATCCGATCTGTCAAAGTGCCCCGGCAATGTACGGCCAGCCTGCCCCGAAGGACAGAGCTTCTGTGCCGATGGCCATTGCCACGACGAATGCACAGCCGAGATCAATGCGGCCAACCCGTGCTTTTGCAAGCAAAAGCCCAGTAAGATCCCCTCCGAAGCCCTGTCGCTGGTCCCTTGCGGGCCGATCCCCAAGGTCAACATCACCCAGTTCCATCCATGGGACCCGAAACCCGACATCCGCAACAGGTGTGGTGAGTGGGCCGGCATCACCGACCAGAGCCAATCTGTAGGTATCTGGGGCAGCATGTGGGCAACCGGCGATATGATCGGGGTGTGGGCTGACTGCCCAGCGGCGCCACATGCCAACTACAAGTACAATGAGGGCTACTGGATTGCCACCTTTGCCGTCAACGGTGCCCTGGCCTTTATAATCGGCGTGTGGTCGCTGTACAAGCGCTGGGCCGAGCGCGGCGTGCACCAAATTGCCTCCCACACGCTCGATGCCTCAGAGGCCAAGCGCTCAGCCGCCGCTGCTGCCGCCGCCGCCAACACACCGATTGATGACGTCAAGGCCGAGAAGGGTGCGGCAATTGCTTTCGATGACGATTCAGATGAGCGCAACACGCTGGACAAGACTGCCCGGCCCGGTGCTACCACGATCAACGGGGCAAGCCCGTCGCTTCTGGAGACTACAGATAGCCTGCAGCGCGACATCAGCCTCAAGGGCTACCGCGACCATTTCCTCGGCACATTGGGGATCTGGTCGATCGGCGGAGTGATGATTCTGTGGATCTGCTACTTGGGCGTGTGGACTACCGACTACTACGGCTCGATGCCCGGCTGGCGCCACGGCGTGGTTTCAAGCCTGGCGTACAAAGATGACTACCTGGAGCTGGCCACCTTCCTGATCGTCTGGGGGCTGTCGTTCCTTTTCCTGATCGTGCTCTACATCCTCAAGCCCCACCTGCGCAACTTTTTCCGTGTGCAGACCCTGCCGGCCACAGGGCAGTACGTCTGCGTGGTGCGTCCTGTGCATGAGGTCAAGCTTGTAGCTGAGCAGCCCAACGTGCTGCAGGAGGCCATCAACCGGATCACCGAGAGGCTGAGCATTGTGATGAGCCAGGATAGGACCTACACCACTTGTCCCGTCGAGCGCACCAGCGAGGGCCGCATCTACTTTACGTACCAGTGCACACGCTACGTGTTTGACGACCAGATTGGCCAGTACGCGCCGTTCGATTTTGATCTGGGAGCCACCAACCGCAGTCTGATCTCGCAGGCGGGTGGCTTGTCCTCTGAGGATGCACTGTACCGCTCCGAGCTGGTGGGTCCCAACTTTATCCAGGTCGAAGTGCCCGGCGTCTTCATGGCCTTTGTGCGCGAGCTGGTCTCGTTCTTCTACATCTACCAGTTCATCTTTCTGTGGGCCTTCTACTTTTACGCCTACTACCAGGTCGGTCTTGTCGACACTGGCGTGATCATGATCTCGGCCACTATCAAGGTCCTCTTGCGCATGGGCTCAGAGAAGCGCCTGAAGCGCATGGCCGAGCAAGAGGAAATGATCAGCGTGAAGCGTGACGGCCAGTGGATCGAGACTTCGACAAAAGGTCTCGTGCCTGGCGATGTCATTGAGATCATCTCTGGCTCACACATGTCGTGCGATTGCATCTTGCTTTCTGGAAGTGCCATCATGGACGAGTCATCACTGACGGGTGAGCCGCTGCCGATACGCAAGTTCCCGCTCCGCCTGGACGAGGGGCATTACGACCCCGAAGGCGCCGGAAAGATGTCTACCCTGTACGCAGGTACAATCGTATCGCAAGTGCAGCCCATCCTGCATGCCACCGACCAGCTCGAGAGCGACCGTGTGCTGGCGCTGGTCAACCGCACGGGTACCTCGTCTGACAAGGGCCAGCTGGTGCGCAAGATCCTGTTCCCGAATCCGATCTCATTCATCTTCAACGAGCAGATGCGCATTGTGGTGTTCATTCTAATCCTGTACTCAGTCTTCGTCATGGCCATGGCGGCATACCTGTACAAGGGCAATAACGTCGCCATTGTCTTCTACGGCGTGTTTGCCATTGCCCAGCTGCTCTCACCGCTACTGCCTGCTGCTCTGGTCATCGGCCAGTCGATTGCTGCTGCGCGTCTGCGCAAGAAGCAGATCTTCTGTGTCGACCCTCAGCGCATCATGATTGCTGGCAAGGTCCAGATCTTCTGCTTCGACAAGACTGGCACGCTGACCAAGGAGGGCCTCGAGTACTACGGCGGCCAGTGCATTGACAAGCAGACAGGCGCTTTCAACAAGTTCCAGAACACGTTGGGCGACAATGATGTTCTCTTCCAGCAGGCTGTTGCCAGCTGCCATGCTGTCACTGACCTCAACGGGCAGCTCATCGGTAACCCCGTCGACATTGAGCAGTTCCGTGCGTCAAAATCTACCATTGATCCAGCCCCCAGGTATCTCGATGCGATCATTCCCGCTGATAGCGCCAAGCATGGGATCTTGCACGTTGTTCGCCGCTTCGAGTTCGTCCATGCCCGTGCCTCCATGTCGGTCGCCATTCTGGATGAAACCACTGGTAAGCTGCATGTGTTTGTCAAGGGTTCGTTTGAGCGCATCAGGCAGATCGCGAACAGCAGTTCTGTGCCATCCGACTACGATGATACCTGCGCCGGTCTGGCCCGTGAGGGCTGCTATGTCCTATCGATTGCCCACAAGGAGCTGGACATTCCACTCGAAAAGATCAAGGACCTGACGCAGGACGAGCTTGAGGGTGACTGCAATCTGCTTGGCCTGCTGGTGTTCAAGAACATGCTCAAGAGCGACACTGAGTCCGCCATTGGCGAGCTGAAGGGTGGCTCAACCCGTACTGTCATGATCACCGGGGACACCGCTCTAACTGGCGTCTATATTGCGCGCCAGTGCGGTATGATCCCGCCCAACAACAAGGTCCTGCTAGGTGACTGCAAATCGACCATGGACGATGTCCAGTGGATTGATGTCGACACGATGGAGGCTGTCAGCGACATTGCCCCGTACCTGGCAGAGCTTGGCCAAGATGGATATCCGACAACGGAGCTGGCGCTTACAGGCACTGCATTCTCGCGTCTCAACAACACGGGCGCCATCGACAGCATCCTGTTCCATACTCGCGTATTTGCGCGTATGAAGCCGGTCAACAAGGTCGAATGCATCGAGCTGCATATGAAGTACGGCATCACGGCAATGTGTGGTGATGGCGGCAATGATTGCGGTGCCCTGCGTGCTGCGCATGTTGGTATCGCCCTCTCCGATGCTGAGGCCTCGATTGTATCGCCCTTCTCGTCTGCCAACCGTTCTATCTATTCGTGTGTTGAGCTGCTGATTCAGAGTCGTGCTGGCTTGGCCACATCGTTTGCCAACTTTGCCGCCCTCATCTGCTACGGTCAGATCATGTCGGGAATGGTCAAAATGGCCAGCTTCTACTTTGCCATCAGTCTGACGCAGAACCTGTGGATGCTTATTGATGGTGCTATCGCCACTGGTCTGGCTATGACAGTTTCCATGTCTGGCCCCGCTAAAAAGCTGGCGCCGTATCGGCCAACCACACGCATTCTCGGTCCTCAGATGCTGGCCTCCGTTGGCGGCATTGCTCTGATCAACTGGCTCTTCTCTGCAATGGCCTATGTCTGGCTCTTCCAGCAACCCTGGTTCCGCTGCAACGAGCACGCGTCTGCTGAGGTAGATGTGACCAAGTGGTGGTTGTTGGGCGACAACTACGAGGCATCAATTCTGTCGTTTGTCTCCACATTCCAGTTCATTAACAACGGGTTCGTTGTCAACTACGGTCACCTCTACCGTGCCCGTTGGTACAAAAACTACTCGCTGCTTGTCATCTGGGCCTTCTTGATGACCTTTGTGTCGTATATGCTTCTAGCTAATCCGAACCGGGTGGGCTGTGCATTCCGCCTCAACTGTGGAACCGATACTGTCCTCGAGAGCCTGCACTACCCTAAGCCCACATGGAAAATCGAGCCATACAACAGCCCACTTGGCCACAATGTTATCCCTAGGAACAGCCGCTGGGCACTGTGGGGATACTGTCTCGGTAACATGGCTGCAACCAATTTCTGGCAGGTGTTCGTCATCAATGGTCCTATGCGCAGCCTCCTGCGGAAGAAGAAGCCGCTGCGTCGTTTGAAGATCAAGCTGTAAGTTGCAAATACTTTAGTTGTTTTATAAACTCATTGCTATCAACGCCGTATCATGAACTATGCACTCGTTGTGTAGAAATGTTTTTACTTGGATTGATGTGTTTGTAATTTGAGTAAAAGAATAAACCTGTGGAAACAAGCTGTTTCTCTGATGTATATAGCCTTTTATCTGTATGTTCTGGGGGTGGGCTTCACTCCCTTGTGACTAGTCTCACCTGCCCATACAATACAGGATTATATGCTGAGTACTACACTGAGCAGTAAAATTGAGTCACAAAATTTTTTCAGCTTATACACTGGGCGGCAAAATTGAGTCACAAAAAATTTTTTTCAACATTTTGATGCTATATCTTCATCATCAGATAACGTAGATACTTCCATTCGACATATGTTTGATGGGGCTTGACATAGTATAAACGTATGAAGTTAGATGTGTGGTGCCGGGTGCCTTTCTTCTGTCAGCACTCATCATAGCCCACAAAATACACTTAAATAATACAGTACGCGCCTAAAACGACCTAGGTCAAATGTCAGGGAAGAGGAAACTAGGTAGCGTGTTCTCCTAATGATGATTATAAATGTGCTGATAAAACCAAAAGTAGGCGTTCACCAAGATATATTGGAAAAACCAGAAGGAATCCCTGCTGCTAGGAGCCAGCAAGGGGTATTTAAGCAAGGGCCGAGTGCGCATACTGAGCCCTCATCTAAGCCGCGTACGGCCCTGGATAAAGCTGCGCCACTCTCAGTGAGTAATCCGCCTTGGGTGAGTCGGAACCACCCTAGCAGCATGACAGATGTTCATTAAACATCATACTTCGTATGATATCGATACAAGAGTAAAAAACTAGAAAAATTTGAGAGGCAAAATTTTTACCAACTTTGGCTTCATAGTGCTATTTCTATACCTTATCATTTTTTGAATGATGTGAAATCTCTACCCATAACTCTGCTGCACTCCCTCTTCTATATAAATATCTCATTCACAATGTTGCTCAACTACGCATGGTACTATCATGTATTCAACATGAGATGAAAAATATGAAGGAAATGATCAATGCTTCAGTGCTGCCTTCACTCTTATAGATGTAGATTGCATGATTGATATTCACATGACTAGTATTCAACGCTGAAGAGAAATGAGATTGATAGCTAGTTCACTGAAGGAGTAATCAACTATAAATAATGTGCAACTACACTTATGCTCTCCTTTGAAGCAATGTATTTCTATGACATGATTTTTTATAGTATCAGTATATAGATAGGTAGAGAGGTTACTACTGTGGCTATCCACTCTATACTGTGAGATATCTATATGTATCCTCTGTGCCTAATGATAAGCCATTTAATCTGAATCACAAATTTTGCAACTTTCTTAATCCTTCTTTAAGCAGCGATTTCTGATCAAATACACAATAGATCAAATCAAATATACTTGCTATACAAAGTACATGCCCTACTGGTGATAGTGGGAATGAAAAATCCTAATCAATATACTCTGTTCTGCCAACATTGAGAGGAAAACTAGATTCTAAGAAAATTGGAAAAAGTAGATTCTGAGTTTAGAGTAGTATATCTCCATACAGCTGTGGCTATTGCTTCCTTAGTAGAGGGGGATGTGACATGCTGACCAGTGTGCATATGATGGTATATAACTTACCTTGATTACATACTTAGGATATGCAGTAGGAGAGTGCAAAGATTATGTCTGAAATAGTCTTCATTACATAAATGGCAATTTGGGTTATAAATTGACTAGATGTGTGTACTGTTTCTATTGTACGATGGTCAGTGGCATCTCCTAGATACGATGCGCTACTCACATATAGGGCTTCACTATGCGTATGATCTGATAATGGCCAAAATTCATCGTTTTTGGCACCTACGTTGCATTGGTCTAGGAAATTGTACATGAGAAAGTAAATGAAACCGTTTATTCGTGGCTAGTGAACTCGATGCATGGGCCTATCGCTGCAGTCAAAAAAAGCCTATGGTGGCTATGCTAGTTGTTGAGAGATAAATCGACAAATTTTTGTGAGCAAAACAAAGTCAAAAATATATTTTTCAAAAAGTCAATGGAGATCAGTCAGAATTGGTTAGCTATTTCATAATTATTAATATTTTTATTGTTTTCTTGTTCTGATGCCAAATATGGTGCTTCTACGAAACCCCCTTCGGCATCCTGAAAAATTTCAGTTGATTTCTTGGGACACAGCCTCTATCTCAGTAGAAGCATATTAATTGTGTATCAACTGAAATTTTTCAGGATGCCGAAGGGGGTTTCGTAGAAGCACCATATTTGGCATCTTTGTTTATTTGTTAATCTAGTTGCTAGAATCTTTTTGGCCACTACTAAACATTCTGTATTTTAAAATATTTATCTACTGCTAGTAATTGATTTCTTATTTGTTAATTGGTTATTCTGATAATAGTTATTTAGTTTCTTTAACTATTTATATTTGTGAATGGCCTCCTTGGGAGTACATCTTAACTCCCTTTTGGGACTTCAGTTGAAGAATAGAGATAATATGCCTGATATATCTGATGCAAGATATACTAGTAATGGCATTGAACAACAAGGATTTGTTCAGCAATCTGATATCTTTATGGATTCATGTGTTGTTGAGATACCTGAATCATATGCTCTTATAGATCAGATTAACAATATTACTCCATTTGTTAGATTGCATAGAGTTTTTGGTGATGGATACAGATTTAAGTATATGAAGTGCATGACAAGTGCAAGAAATGGTAAAGTCTCTGTTTACAAAGTATCTGCTCCAAATGTTGCAATAGCTGATCCTGCACTAACTGATATCTTTCTTAGGATGCATCAGGAACATGTATTTCTTCTGAACTATGATATTACAATGGATTGTTTAAACATATCTTCTAGGGCTGTGATTAAGGAATTTCTTCTTGATAATGAAATCAGTAGCAATGATATTCTTGATGATGAAGATAAAGTTGGAGCAAACTGTATTAGCTGGTTTACTGATGAAGATGAAATAAAAATTAGGAACAAGTTGTATAATAAATTTGTTCAACTTCTAGAAAGTGGTGAGGTTCGTAATCAACTTACTTCTAAGCTATCAGAGCTAGTGATGCCAACTTCTCAGCAATTTGGTGAAACACTTGTTGCTTGCAGGAATGAAGGATTAATGAGACTTGAGCTTACTGTTCACTCTCCTGAGTTGAAAGAAGTAGAATGGAACATAAACTTAATTGCTAGTACACTGGAGTTTCTTAGTGATTGTAGGACATTTGCAACATCTTATGAAAAGCAATGGATGGCACTAGTTGATCAGATTTATAACAAAAATATGTTATGCATTTACTTCCATAAAGAACATGCTCTTGGTTACTGCCATTGGTTCAATAGGACAACTATGAAGAAACAAGGAATAGCTAAAAAGTTGAAAGAGAATGAGGATGTGATGACTGTTGTTTCCAATCTTACATTTAATGGGCACCCAACTGTTCTTCTAACATATGCTACCAGCAGTGGTCCTGTTGAATCAGAAGTTGTTCTAAGAAGAGATAACACAAACATCACCATTGTTCCAAGTCAGAGGAATTCTTTCTGGCCTGTTGCTTCAAGAGAAAGACAACAACACACATTTGCTGAAATGGGACTTGTAAACTATCGTGGGATGCATATTGATTGGCTAACTGCTCAACAAGCAAGAGAGAAAGTTTGTCTCTCAACTCTCTCAAGTATTAGTGAGGATGCTGATGACCTAGGAATAGATGATCTTATTGCTGATATCAGCAACATTGAACTTGATGATCTAGAACCCATATACATAAGAGAAAATACTGATCTTAGGCCAGCTAGATACAAAGTTGCTTATAACATACTTCATGCTGGAGATGAGTTCCTAGTTAGTCATTATTTCTTATATACTTTTAGAGGGTTGCCATTCTACTATCTAGATATCTATATGATTCACAATGAAGTAGTTAGCAGTACTCACACTCATATCAAAATACAAGCAAGTAGTCCATTTGGTGAATATATTGCTTCTATTATTGGTGAACCAAATCAAGAAGTAGTACTTAAAGTAGCTAGAATTCATAATCGTATTATCCATATTGCGAGGATCTAGTTTTAAAATGGGCAGTTAGCAACCATTACTTCCATATCTGCACAACTGTAGTTGCATACATCAAACACATGCTTAATAGTAACACCCTTATCTTCTGAAACACTCTCAATCCATGCTCTGATATATACTGACAATTTCCTGCTCATACTGAAATTCTTAGTTAGTAGTTGTGCAAGCTTTTCTCTCTCTTGCTCATCAAGGTCAGCAAGTTTTGTAGTGAAGAAAGTGTAGAATGGGCCCATTGTAATAAATGACAACTTTTAAATTTATGAGTGCCTCACAATGATGAATCATCAATTACAAGAACTCAGAGAAAGGGAGTTTCATAAGCTGTACACAAACAAATGGAAGTTTCTGAATGATGACTGGGTAATTTTAAAGCCCACAAAATATCACAGAAGTGAAGTTCATGAAGTAAGAGAAATTAAGCATATAAAAGATACACTTCTTAAACATCTAGGGATGATTCCTGTTTTCTTCTTTCTGAATGTTTTGTTTGGTTGCACTCATTATCCATGTCCTTACAGAAGTGTAGAGAAAGGATTGCTCATCTTGTACCAACTTGTTGAAGGATTGTCAATCAATGAAATGGAAAGATTCATTCCAAGAAGCAGCTATCAAGCTATTCACAATATGTTCTATATTTCTGAAATGAAAGATTTGAACAAGAAGCTAACATACTATCTACAAACAATGTTTTCAACTCCAGAACTACGAGTCTTTGCAGCAAAGATACAGAATCCACAAGGGTTTAAACATGTAACACTAATGTTAGATGGCCATGACTCAAGAGCACTACACAATGGAGCATACAAACCAGATCTCTATTCATTCAAATTGAAAAAATCAGGATATCGCACACAAGTATGCATTGATGTGAATGGAATGGTTCTACTTGTTTCACCAACTGAAGACTGTAGAGATCACCCAGACTCAAGAATGATTAAGAACATGG